CATCATTTATTCTTTTGTGATCTCAGTCAATAGATTGTATCATCATCTCTAACTGTTGGCGTCATTAGCACGCGAAGGGTTCTTTGCAAGAGGAGGTAAGATTAGTACTTAATATAAAAAAGAATGTGTTTATTACTGGATCTTAAACCTTCTAATGAAAGAGATAATGTAGGAAGTGATGCTTAGTTTTATATAATGGCACTGCTTATATTCCAATGGTATGGTAGTATTTCAATAGAAAACTAAGCATAGAGAAGAGGGGAAGAAGTATGTACATAGTGGGGAGATATATAAACAGAGGGTGGAACAGTGCAAACAATCCAAACAGCCCTGGAGAGGTAAGCAGTCAAGATGGGCAGAAAGCTCCGTGTAAGGAGGTCCACGGGGAACATGGTGACGGATTGTCACAAAAGCAGCTTTTTATCAAGAGTTAGTATAAAGCCTTGACTGTTATAAAAATTTTTACTTATACTAAATACAGAGGATACATCAGAACACCAGCCTGTTATTATATTCACGCACTGAAGATCAGATAGTCCGACGTCTGGTTGATACAGTGGAGACTGTGGTTGAACCCTAGGTCCCGACTTAAGGAGCATGTAGAGGAACCCATCCTTGAATATGTGCCATATATGGTGGTAAGCTAAGATTCAAGTTCCTCCTGGAGTAGTACCAATGGGGTTAAGAACTATCGTGGATCTCCCCATGGACGCGATGCAGAAAACGCAATTCCTACTGCAGCTATAGCAGGCTCCTTGGGCCTCCTGGGAGCACCCTTTAAGCAAGGTTTTCCTTTTGTGTCGGAGCATACGCTGCTCTTACTAGCAGCCAAAAGTGTGAATTATAATTTAGACCCAAATCAAATTATCAACTTAGCCCAGATCTACTTCCTCTACAGCCGCAGGAGAAATCCATCATATACTCATTACTCCTTATGGGCTGGTGTTAAGGGCTACGGCAGACTGCAGACAATAAAACGGCCATATGCTGTCCATCTTTACAGTTCCCTAAGAAGTCGTTGTACAGGCTCTGGTAACAGACGTTTCGTAGCATTCGTCCTAAGACTCAAAGAAGAGACTCTAAAGTGGTCCAAATGGAGAACCAGGAGCAACAGCCGGTACATGATCAGGAGCCATATCACGCATAGCTTAACAAATAGACGATTTGTATACAAGTTATTCAGGCGTTGAATATAGCTTCGTATTTGAGCCACGGTCAAGAACCTGCGGGTGGGCTGATCGGCTCGCTTGATGGTCACGTTATGACCAGGAGGGTATTTCCTGATCGGTCATGTCAGGATTTCAGGACTCGCACGTGGCTGCCGGAACCTGGGACAGCAGGGGGTGACGACCATGAAACCTGGCGGTCTAAGCCTGCTGTTAGAAAATAGAATACCACTATGATTACACAATGAGACCCTATCCTGACTGGGATATAGTTCTGGACACCCCTTTTGGCCTAGTGGTATATTATTGTGATACCTGCATAACTGTAATAAACTTTCGGCTGCCCCGAAGCGGCCCGCGTTTTTAGTCTCTGAAACACTGTGGGGAGTCTTGGCGTTGGCTATATGAGTTTGTTGAATTTTTGATGAATTCCATGACCAATGTATACATTCATGGGAGTTATGCTTACCCTTTTAGATGTTATAAAAAATGGAAAATTATTTTGATAGATTACCTGCCATCCTCTTTCAGATTAGAAAACACAGGTACAGAATGATTGCACCATGTTCTCAATGCAGACAGGTGGCTGATTGCACCAGCCTGCCCAGCTAACGATTGAGAAATGAACTGTTGATCGGCACTGTGGAGATATAGAAGATCAGCTTTTTCATGCCGGCTGACGTCTTTGCAGAATTACATGAATGAGTCTTTTCCACAAAGTAACACCAAACCATATCCACAGCCCTGGACCCTCCCCCAGTATCAGGAGAAGACTGTAATCCGGACAGAAGCAACATATGAACACAGCAATTCACCCTACTGTGCAGAGAAGTAACTCATGCCTCTTTCCCCTTCGCACCGCTCCTATCTTCGTAATGTGACTGTAACCAAGTTACTCCCGTACATGCGCTTGCCAAGTCCACAAACATACTGCGCCTTCCGGTTAATTCTGATCCCTTGCCTAGAGATTAAGTTAAGGTCTGGCCCTCATTTGGGATATCAATTGCGATTTTACGGTCGACATGGCTTAGCTGAACTTGGACTACTGAGTACTCCGTATTACTGTAGGCAACTGTCGTACGCAGGCAACTAGTTGGACGGCAGGTACAAAACTACAGTGCATCAGAAAGTCTGCAGGTTTTCGTCACAACTTTCCAGCCAGCCACATTGCTCAGGTCTCCACATCACTTTGCGCAACTGGCGGTACTTTTGCGTGGAGTTGCACAAACGCCCTTGGCTCTTATCTTCACCTGGAAAAAGCTGAAGAGTTCTTGCCTGCCTTTCCTGCGCCAAGTCTCTATCCGAGGCATACATGATGCATATGGGTATACATGCTGACCTGAGCCATATCTCCAAATAGATGGTCTTACGTACTTGGTTGCCTGTTACACAGAAGGCGTTTTTGAAGCTTGTTAGTCCATTTTATGCCGCTGCTAGGGGCTTACTTGATTGTCCCGATCATCTCATAAATATAGAACCATGAGGGCCAGAATCATGTAATCTCCCATTCACTGTGATATTTTCTAACGGAGTATGCTGTATGAGTGCATTGGCGATACGCTATAGAAATTAGTCCCTAACAAAGCCAACCCCACAATCGCGCATGTACCTGATATTTAAACATGCAGGAAGAGAACTGCTCGCTGTACAAGTCACACCGAGTTCTCTATACTCGAACCATCGGAAGAGACTCCGGATTCCGGAGTTCGAAATCCTGCGTTCGAAATTCTGCCGAATTTGAAGCTGGAGACCAGCTCTCCCAATATCAAGGTTGTTAGGTCAGGGATCGAAGCCATCCTGAAGGAGACACAGGTTGTGCAGGATGCACGGTCGAGCATCGAAATCATTCACGAATATTCGAAAGGATGTCGCCTCACGGCCTGGAAGTGCTGCTGAAGTGAGCAGAGCATAATAGCAGCAAAATAGCCGTAATTTATAAAAATTCTCTGAAATAGCTGAGCAGGGACTGCCGCAACAATGGAACTTACATACGGTGTGACAACCAGTTGCATATTCAGGCTGCACATGTGAACTCTTGACTTGGTAGAGCTAATCGAGCCTCTGGTACTCGGTCTTCCGGCGTCAAGATGCATGCATGATATTTCAATTCCGACGAGCAGAATAATGCCTACTATTCAGGCGCGCTTATGCAACCTGGAGAAGCCACTTAGTGATTAGTCCTCTTACGCACGCTGCATGGAGAGGGCAGGTAGAGGAAAACAAAGGCCTGCTTAAAAACATACCTAGTTGCCTACTATAGTGCTTTCAGCTTCTGGTGATGCGAGTATAGCGCCGTGTGATGAATCCTGGTGTCAAAGAAGCGGTATTGGGTGTCGCTATCCCAAGGAACTATAATATGTGGAGATGTGATACTGTGAGTTGTTTATGCATTCATCATCTGCCTGATGAGTGCAGCAGGTTTATCATTGGAATAGGTGATGGGTGACATGTCCATAGCAGGATCTGGCGCACATCTTCTCTCATGGGTTCAGAATCACGCATGTTAAGAAATTTCTTTCAGCAGCTCTTGCCAACAGATATAAATACGACCTTGAGTTTCCCGACTGAAGAAGGCGTTCCAACCATCGCTGCACTCTCCATTGACCTGCCCAGCCAGAACTATTCTCTTCACAAGTCAATCATACTTCCTCTCTTCGCAGATCGACCATAAGAGTTGTTGGTATCAACATTTCCTTTTCACAATGACTACTGCTGAATACTCCATCACCGTCAAGAACAAGACGGGGAAGACCAAAAACTACCTTTTCTTCAACCAAGAGCCCGGAGAGTCTAGCTCCGTTGGACAGATATACACCAACGTCTGGATCAGATCTCCCGGAGTTCCATCTCCCAACGGCAGAGCTGACTTCCATGTCAAGGTGGCAAACTTTGCCATTTGTGGGACGACACCAGACCCGGTCGACTATGGTGTTGTTGTCGCGACAAGCGATTTCGCGCCGGTGGAGCTTACCACTAACGCGAAGAAGGGTACGGTTCCCTTGATGAACATCGTGAACGAAGGACCTCAATTCATTGCGCCATATGGGGAAACCGACAAGGATAACTCGTTCGGTATCCAAGTCAAGGCTTTCGACCCGGACAGATACCGTGAGTCTTGACCCCCTCCTCCCCCACAACTGCAAGTATCTGACTGTCTGTCCATATGCAGCCACGGTTTATTGCGGATTCGGCAAGCTCAACCAAAAGGGGGAAGTTGTCCCAGTCGCCGTTTGGCGAGCCTCTCCCTCCGAAAAATACATACTCACTCCCAAAGTCACCTATTATGTCAGCACAGGGGATTATAAAGCTGGCGAAACAGTAGATGTTACTCAGATTGGCGCCATTTCGACAGTTGATTTCACCACGGCCAAACCAGGCCAGACCGTCGCGACCATCACTCATAAGGAAGACGGGAGTTACTCTGAACCCGAGTTCAGCTTTCCTGAGAAGCGCAAGCCGTATGCCTAGGGATTAGGGTAGTGAGCAGCTGATCATCTGATGCGAGTGCACAGCTCGAAGGAGATGATCCATTCCAAACCTCATGTTTTTTGTTGTTTAATCACATTCATTCTTTGCTGTTCTTTATCATTCTTTATCAATCTTTGTCATTCCTTGGACCTATTTATTCCTTTCCACATTTCACTCCTGAGCATGTGGCAACTATATCTATGCAATCAATTTTTGCAGAAGCGCTATAGGCGAATCTAGTGGCGACGTCCCCGGCTACCTGTCTTGAAAAGATAGAGAAGATAGAGATACTACTGCGGCCAGTACGTAGCGTGTCATTGAGCGGTGGGTATACGCCAACAACGGCAACCACGGTCCCCAGTAATCTCAGCTTTCAAGCAGCAGGTTTCCACAACCCCTCTGAAGCCACTTGATTCGAGCCCATCTTGATCTCGTCGAAGATATTCGGCTCACTTGAGCCACTTGCCCGTGTAAACCAGCCGGGTGCTCGACCTTCACCTGACGGATATCGAAGATGAAGTTGTGCACCTGGCGGAAGAAGTTTATTCTGGTTGGTATACTATTCGGCACCGTTGTCACCGTCGATGTACACATCAGACGAGATAACACCCAGGCTAACAAAGCTTCTGGCAGCTCGAATGGTGGGCGGATCGGTTGAATCGCCAACGAGCTGGGTATTGTACATTGCCACGATCGACGAGCTCATCAGTGTTGAACTGTCCGCATTGAACGCCATCATACCGTTGTGATTGAGGGAATCCATCCACCACGCACTATCCCTGCTTGTCTACCCTTGTGAAGCCGAAGACGAAGTGGTATTCAGATTGGTAGACAAATTAGTCACGACCTGTGCGGCCAGTAATCGAGCGAGCAACGCCGCAGCTGCCGCGGCGCCGAAGGGAGCCGTCCCTGGCTTTCATGACATTGTGGCGAGAATTGTCAAAGAGAGGTTTACTGTATGCGCTTTGCTTTTTGATGGCTGCCTTGACTAAGGCCACAGCCCTTTTGGTCTCCGACCGTGTGATGATTTTATAAAGCGCTTTCTTTTTCACCGACGATTTGTTTAAACGATGTAGATGAGGTCGTTCTCGGCATGGGAGGTATAAGTGAGGCTGGTAGTGATCGTTTCGTAGGCGCCAGCTGTTGGACCTCCTACACCAGTGACACGGACGGTTGCTGACTCTGTGATGGTTGTACGAAAGGGATAGCCTTGATTCGAAAATAAACAGCTGCTCCCTCTACGTACGCGAGACGCCCGATAGCAGAACATACTGGTCTTCGTTGGTGTTGGCGTCTGGACCGGTGCACCGATGACGATATGTTGTGAGGATGCGACTGGAGAACCACACCTTACAGTAGAGGGCACTACAATGCAACTTACTTGTGGATGGCGACCCTAAAGCGATCCAGCTTGGGCTTTCGATCTTCCTACCTTGTCCTTTGTCGTGCATGAACCAACGGTAGCTGGTAGAGAGACTCCAAATCTTCAACGGAAAACCAATACGGCTTGTCTGGGCCAGTAGAAGCTCTTAATGAACATGCGAATCGCTCTAGCAGAGAGTCCGTTCCTCGGAGGATGCCTGGGACTTCCATATCGATATCGACTTTAGTGGTGTTAATCCGGATCAAAAGATATTTGCATGCCGTAGCATGACGTTTTGTAGGGTCTCTGTAACTTCTCCTAACACTGTGTTAGCTGTATTATCATGGCCCTTCGACTATAGCTCGCCTATTTCGGACCTACAATTGTGTTTGAAGAACACTCATGTCCTTGGCTTGAAATTTCAAGATATCGTCTGGTAGACCAATGTGTTGGCTGCGGTAACATTACAAACTGTGTTACATCTCTGGAACTAAACTCGTCAAGATCAAAGGATAAGAAAATATGAGTTCTCTGGTAGTCACCACCCAAATAATAACCAGCCAGAGTATAAATAAAGGCGGTCGATACCCCCAGGTGGGTGCCCTCACTGGTGATGCACCTCGGAGCTCGTGTTCGGGATACTCAACCTATTGCTGTACGCCTCCTGGACCGATGCAGACAGCTGCGTCATTTCTCTGCGTCATTTCAAACTCCGCCTTGTTTTAATACGAGCTCCCCACACACACACCCCAGGACTTAAGACCAAGGCATCTCCTACTGTTCAATCCTCGAGTCCCTCTCTCATACTGGGTTGACGACAGCTCTACCAAGATGACAAGTGACGCGGGACATCCTTCTGAGATAACCGGTGGCTGCCTATGTGCGAGTATCCAGTACACTGTCCATTTCGACGGAGTACATAAGTGGCCGCCAAAGGTACTGCATCGTCCTGAGAACTTGGTTCCCCGCTAACTGAAAACCTGCTTGCAAACAGTCGGGTTCCTGTCAATGCACAATGTGCCGCAAGTGGACTGCTAGTCTACTGCCTCAGTTCCTTTCCCTCTCACCAGAACAGATCAGTCCAGCAATCTCCACATCTCCGACCTATGCAGAATACCGTTCGTCAGAGAACTGCCTGAGAGGATTCTGCTCAAAGTGTGGAAGTTCGCTGTTGTGGAGGACCGAGGAACGTCCGGAGGAGATTGATTTGTTTCTAGGAACAATAGACGAAAAATGGCTGGTTGGCGAGAGAGTGGACAGTGGAGAAAGCACAGCCAATTCTGTCGGGCCTACGAGAAAAGGCGGCGTTGGAAAGACGCTGGGTAGCCCAACGGACGGACAGTATTATTATGAAAATGTGATTACCGGAGTGACGGATAGTCTTCGTGGAGGGAAAAAGTATCTTACGCACCCATCACAAGGGGATGGATTTGACTGATTCAACTGAAATGGCAATGTGGAATGTTTACCGCCATGCTATGGAAATGTCGGCCAAGATAAGGATCAGAAGGCAGTTGTATGGGTACCATGACACAACAAGCTAGTATATTGCGAACAAAGCTTACATTTGTGCAATGGCTCTGCTCATCACCACCTTCTCAATGGTCTAGTTCAGCCTCGGCTTCTCGCATATATCATACATAATATATCCAAAGCATTGAGGTCAATAATGAACATCCACCATGTAACCCATGCCGGTCCCATCAGTCCCAAACAATCCGGCTCAAACCCACAACACACGGTAGCTACACACCCTGGGATGCCACCTTGAACCTTGAAAGCATATGCTTATCCATGATATGATACGCAGAGAATGCGCCGGCTTACGGCCCACTACGAGCGGGGCGCATACATGGGGCAAATCAGATTCGGAATACGGACCCAATCCCAACACACAAAGAGCATAGAGACTTCAACTCCGCGTTATAACCCAATATCACCTATGTCTGAGGATGCCGAGGGCTGCCGAGATCGGCTTAGATGCGAAGACGTGGCCCCTGAGTCTAGCAACAGTCGCGTTATAGTCTCGTTGCCCTCCGCGAATTCCAGAGGTGTACGCCCTCCGTCATCCATTGCGCCGATATCCGCCCCAGCATCAAGAAGTATTCTCACTGACGTCAGATTCGCAGCCGCAGCTGCGCAGTGCAATGCTGTGAGCCCCTTGCCATTTCTTAACCCAATATTGACCCAGCCCTGCTTCAGCATCAGTGCGATAATCTCGTCACACCCCCAAAGTGCCGCTGTAAAAAAGAGATGCCCGTGACTCTTAAACGCGCTTTGGGACGCAATGTCAGCACCAAGCTCAACGAGGGCTGCGAAGGCGCTGGCTGAGTCACCATCCAGCGCGCAGGCGAGATAGCTGCGGCCGTTTGGGTCCATTCCCCAGCAGACCAACTCGCGGACGGTGGCCGCTTTGTCTGACTCGACGGCGCAGTGCAGCGCATCGCCGTACCAATTACGTAGATATGGATCAGCGCCGCGGGCCAGTAGGCTTCGGGTTGTGAGCACGTGTCCACCCGCGGCAGCGTGGATCACAGGTGTAGAGCCCATGCTCGTCAGCTCGTTGACGTCGTAGGCGCCACTGTCGAGAAGCTGAATAATCGCCCGCTCGAGACCGTGGCGCGAAGCATGGTGGAGTGCTGAGAAGCTGCTGCACTCATCCGCATTCCAATAGTTGCTGTTGCGGCCCATCAAGTACTGCCGGATCTGGTTCGCCGTGGCCATGGCGGCCGGGGAGGAGAAGAAAGCGAAGAGCGTGCGCCATACCTCCGCATCGGTTTCGGTCCGTTGGGCGAATTGTCCCCAGTACATGGCGGCCCAGGCGAGAAAGGGGTAAGTTTCCATGTTAGACTTGATATCCCCTTCGGTCAACCATGGCCCGTTCTGAAAATTCTCAAAGACAAGATAGCGAAGGCAAGTCACCGCAATTTGGGCTTCTGCTTGTGGAAAGAAATCCTTCCAATGTTCTCCAACGTACTCCTGGATTGTGTAATGTGCAAGACGTATATAGCCTTCCGCGTCTACGATTGCAAGTCCTTGGCAGCATTCAAGGATGGTCTTTGTAGTTGGGCGATATTTGCTGTTAACCACATTCTGCGCCCTTTGGGTAGCCAAGGCGTCACTAAGTTCAGCTGCTCTCAATGCCCGAGGTGTGTAGGTAAGCCACATGAGCGCACCCATGCCGAGCCGGCTGCGGCTCTCGGGGAGCCGTTGGATGCGGGAAATGGTATCCGCAAAAGCGCCGCTGAGACTGTGGGACAGGTCTGTTATTCTATCCTCCATTTCGCCGAGAGTAGGTTCCTTGAGGATAGTCCGCAGCCGTAGAACTGGGAGAAGGAACCTAAAATTCAAAGAGCACATTTGTCAGTAATCTTAATCCTGAAGAAGGTGGACGGTGGACAAACGGCCTTGGGAGGAAAAAGACATACATCCCCTCTGCCCCTTGCGTCAGGTTCTGGACCAGTCTGTTTGCAAAGTCTTGATCCGCGATGTCATATATCCCTCCTTGGTCCAGCTCTCGGTAGAGGTACGTCTTAAGATCTTCCTCGTGGGCCTCGATCCTGATATTTGGATGTTGCTGGAACAGGTCTACGAGATCTGGGATATGGGGCCGGCTCGTGACGAGCAAACGGACTTGGTGACTCTGAATGATATTCTTAATGCTCTGGAGGAGGGATTTCCGATCTTCTGATTCATCGAGACCATCAAGCACTAGATATGTACACCTCAGACCGGAAGCAATATCGGTGAGTAGTCGTTCGCATTCGTGGAGGGGCATTTGACCCTTGTGACCGCTCTTCTGAAATAGCTCGGCCACGGGACTCGGAATTGCCGGTAGCTTCTCGAGGAGTTGTCTAAGCATACAACATAAGACTTCCGACGTGCCCTGAGTAGAGTGGTCCTGATGGTCAAAGTAGAAGAACGCGACAGGTGAAGCTTCGGTGGAGCTTGAGTTAAGAAGCTCATCGATAATGATGGAGCTGGTAAATCAGTTGGAGCGCCAAAAGCAGAGACAGGCGCCTTACGCAAGGTTTGTTTTGCCAGAACCTGGGATACCATGACACACCAGAACATTCGACGGGGAGCTATCGCCTCGCCACCGAATAAATTCGTTTTCATGGAGGATCCAAGTCCCAGTATTTGGTGCCCTCGACGCTTGGATGAGCTGGTGTTTCTGGTCGTGCTTTAGAGTCGATACCCAGTCCAGAATGCTCCTTCTACTCTCCCGCTCGGTATTCACCTGGATTGCGCGCTTCTGGTCTTGAACAAAGTCGAGGATTCGAAGCGTGTCTGCTTCAAGTGTCTGGATGGCCCTGAACTGTTCTAGCTGCTGTCTTATCAACTTCAAAACGTCATCAGACGTCCGCGATAAAAGCCGGCAGCCGTTGACCGACAAGGCAAATTGCATCCAGTTGGTAAAATTGCGTACTTCCTGGATCGTTTTCTGGTGCTCTTTTTCGGTAAAAGGCCAAAGTAAACGAATCCCTTTCCCGTTTGATTCTTGGCCCAGCGTCTTGCAGAGTGATCGCAACTTTGCCTCGCACGCGGCGGAGCAGGCAAGGAGAACAGAAGTCTTGTGAAATCGCACAGCACTACCTTTTAATTCATCGCCTTTCAAGAGGTCTTGCAGATTCGTCACATTGGATTGCAGCGCTTCGAGCTCGACTACCAAGGTTGCGATTGACTTCCTCGCTGACCTTACAGTGTCTATGTACCTTTTCGAAGTGGTGATCACAGTGGCAATTAGAGGCAGAATGCCAGCAAGGCTAACAGATAGAGATAAAGGGTCCATTGCCAATGTGTTGGTAATTTGCAAAAGGTGATGCCAGACTTTTTCAGGTATCTGATGGATAGGGAAGAGGCTGAAGGCAGAAGCAAGTCATGGAATATATCGGACGCCCATGCAACAGCCAGGGCAGTGCTCAATGTAGTACAGCCTCGCCCATAGCCAAATCAAGAGAGTGTATTCGCATCGATACAGGAATATGATGTTCCGGGATTATCCTTATTTTTCCTAAAGTAAATCTTGGCACCGGGGTCTAAGGAACAATTGTCCACGCGATCCTCCAAGCCACCACAGAGGGCCAAACAGATGGAATCGCACTCCGCCTCAAATGAGCTCCAGGACATTGCGACAAACCAGATGTACATACTCGGAAGTCTCGGATATATATACTTGTTGTAGCCTGCATATCGCTCTCTGAATTGATTTTACCACTAGACTGAGATACGAATCCGTACCCAGTCTAGTGGTTTGTGGAATGATCAACTCTCCGTGCGATTATTCAGGATAAATGAGATTAATTACCTAAAAAAGGATAGTAGTACTATTGTTAATAATCTGTATTCAAAAGATATGTGAATCTAAAATTCTACAGTACCAGTATGCAAGCGGCAATGTTGTCTGGATATTACTAAATGTTGTCCCTCTGGCGACGGATCTTTGCTCACATGGTTAGCCTATTCATAGATGTCGTGAACAAATCGCCGCGCAGTTCCCTGCATCACCCCCTGTTTAATGGAAAACTGCACATGCTCTTGATCCTCTTCAATTAACTCAAGGTTAAGGCCATTTGTCAGAGTTATGTCATGTACCTTACGCCAATCTGCCTATGCGTTTCATAAGTTACCAATAGTTCATGCTGTTTGTAATATTCCCTAATGGCGGCATCTCTCAGCCCCATGGCTTTAAGTCTCTTATTCAAACGTTCAGATCCTCAGGACTTCAGGTATGGTGGTTGGCGTAGCCATGACAGGTCCATGTGTGTCCTGACTCCTCCATGGGTGAGAGGTTGATGTTAATTAGATAAGGAGCATTAAATGCAAGCTGATTATTCCTTCTATTTAAAGGCTCCCTCAAGACTTTGCTGGGCCTGAGGTATAGAGCTTGTTGAATATCCTCTAGGATATTATGTATAGAGCTGAAATCGCGACAAAGAAAAACGGACGGGTGGTGAATAGAAGGAGTGCTCTGGCCAATGACAAGAAAGCACACGTCTGCGCAATGCAGGAAGCTTTTCTCGCCTATCCTTCTTTAAACCTATTCTTCAAAGGATTATACACCGTGGACTAGTTAGATTTCCGGATTGCGGCACCCCCTTATTACCATTTTCACCGCTGATCGAGATCTAGGCTGACTGGAAGCAAGACAGACTTGGTATCTGCAACTGTTCAATCTGCAGCCAATAGTAGGGGAAGATTTACAGATTAAGTTACCGTGTGAGCCAAAGTTGGCTGCGTTGGCGAGTACTGGTGGAGACACCTGGTGATCAAGAGAGGTGGATGGCCGTGTCGACAGAGATTTATTGTGTTTCAGATACAGACAGAAACTACGGAGAACAAAAGTAAGCGTGAAAGGAGTCTCTGTAGTACATAAGATGGTTCTCATTGGAAGTATGATGGAGCTTCTACTATTAACTGAACTTCATAGGCTCCTCTTATAGTAGTAGCCTACCTACCTAGTAAATACAGTCTTACTACAAAATGGAAAGTGCACTGCGTGATCAGATGAGTTTAACTACATGTAAGTTTGTAATCGTGTGACCTATCTCTGCATTTCTTGTACTTCACAATGGCATTGATATGCTGTGGGCATCTCTGCATAGCTATTGTGATTCAGTATTAATCAACGTGCTGTTACAATTCAGGATGAAACCATCAGCAAAAGTATATTATTCCTTGGTCTAGCTTCTTTCCTCTTGCGCTGGGTTGGGTTGCTGCTGAAAAGAGTTAGGTAGGAGATCAACAGGGTGTGCTCCAACTTGCGAAGAGTTACATCTATGAATCCGCATATATTCTCCGCGGGATATAAGTGAATACATCACTGGATATGCCCAACTGCTATCTCTGTTGACTAAATCATAGATCATTGCATCGAAGACTTCTGCACCTGGGGCTACTAACATTGGGTATATGTGAATATGATCTTGGTTTTACGTGAATATGATCTCAGGTGACTCATGGAGCAGTATTTCTTATAGCCATGAGTGCTATCCTCAGTTGTGCTTCGGTAATTGAAACTCTTACTCTAAACCGTTCTCAGTGGTTATTTACATAAGACATATCACAGGGCCAGCTCTACGCATAGTCCAGTTTTCTATGACACCATGGCATTGCACAGAGAAACAGAAACTGCATTGCTCAAGCCCATCATTTGTACCTATAATCCCGGCCTTGTTCTTGGCCCAAGGGCTCTAGAATACTTCAACATTCTGAGATCAGACAGTCTTACCGCTTCTGACTTCAAACACTCGCTTGAAATAGATCCCAGTTCCCTCCGTCTTCCGTGGCCCAGTTCCTTCCCAGCCAGCCGACAATGCAAACACTGGCGTGATGCTGAGAACGCCTGCATATCTTTCCTGAAAGAGGTTTACGCAATAGACCCTTCAGAACGAGGGAAGTTGCCAGATGGACTTTCTGACCAGTCGACCGAGCTCGCTTTATCCCAAAGAGCGCGGTCTGCGATCTCAAACGCAGTAAATGCGGCTATCTATATGAATCCAGAAGCAAGTGGCACGAGAATATCCATGGTCGCCAAATTTTATCTTCTTGCATGGCTACATGATGGTCAGTCTCTATTCCGTCTTATCGATGTCATATCATTGTTGCGTCGTTAACTGAGAAGACTTACAGATGTGGTGGAATTTAATCCTGCTGTAGGGACATCTTGCCTGGGACAATACAGATAGCTAACTTGATCTAGGGATTAACCTTCGTTGATTCGATCTCACAAATCTGGCTCAGAGACGTCTTCGAGCCTCAGAATACTGTGTCTGCGACACATCGCCTTTCATTCCGTCTTGCTCAAGAACTCACTAGTGAAGACGACGCTCTTGGTCAGCAGGTTATGAAAGGTCTTCTATCTTACATTCACTCTACCAGAGATCAGCCCAGACAGGAATTTTCTGGGCTCAAAGACTTTCTTGATTACCGTGCTATTGATATTGCTTCAGAGTAAGGTTTATCCTGCAGAGAAGACGTATTCAGGAAGACACCTCACTAATAATTGGCGTTACTAGTTTCGTTTTCGCGTGCGTCAGATTCGTCAACAGCATCAACCTCTCCTCTGCCGGGGCAGAACCATTGGACAAGCTCGTCAATCTCGCCCGGGACCACATAATACTCGTTAACGACCTGTACTCGTTTGAGAAAGAGGAGAACGATTTACAGTCGAAAAATGCCACTATTATCAACACAGTACATTACCTGAAGCTCCTCCTGTCAGTCGAATCCAAAGCAGCAAAAGACATTGCATATTGTCTTATTCAGGACATTGAACTCCAACTACATGAAGAACTACGCAAATTACGCACCCTGAGATCATTGGACAAGACACAGTTCAGGTATGCTCGAGCGGTGATTGAATGCGCGGCTGGTAATGTGATGTATTCAGTCACTTCAAAACGCTATGGTAGAAAGGCTGCTATTCCTTACAAGCCTTCAGACAGTCCACAACGTCAGGGAGCTTCCATTCTGGCACTTTAGGTCAGCAGGCGATACATCTTCGAGGCGAAAGGGTGGCGTGACCAGCAGCGCTCCTGTATCATTACATATCAAATGACACAAAGTTGTCTATTATAGTCACAGTGAAAGATGAAACATTACATGGCACCTTATAGGAACAGCAGTAGCAAGTTCGCTGGACGTCGGAATATTATACTACTGTTGGGACTGGCTTGACAGAGGAAAGCCCTTCCACTTACGCAGGCCAACAATTCTAATCTGTCATTTGCTTGCCTGCAGCACAGGGGCCATATGTTTTCCTGGAATCTGTAAGATTCGAGTCCGGTGGGCAGACAAAGGAAAATAACAAAGAAATATTTGCTACCTATTGGACTTTTCACAGTGCTCGGCACTACTGTTCATGACCTGCTGCTGAGGTTATTCTTATCATGGTGTCAAGCGGAACTTGGTATTCCGGCTTAGGTTGACACGGAATGTTTTGTAATCATCCCGAAGCCGCAAACCATGCAGATCTATTGTTTGGGTCCGGGCTGATGACAAATGACCTGATTTTCAGTTGGCCAAAGGATGTGTAGGGATTTCAGAGGCTTATCACATAAGGATGTAATGACAAATGATCTACCAAACAACTCGAAGACTGTGGCGAGGGGCCCTATGTAGGTAGCAGGTTCCCCACCGGCGGCCCTTCAAGTAGTTGTATATAAATCACTCAGTTATTTTTATAAAGTTATTGGGCTACAGTGATAATATTTTTTCTGGCTTCCAAGTGGCTATCTACAAAATCAACTGCACTATGTCTCAGAAGACGGTCTTCATCACAGGTTGCAGCGAAGGCGGAATAGGTGACGCTCTAGCTAAAACATTCCACAAAAAGGGCATGCGAGTTTTTGCAAGTGCTCGCAATGCTGCAAAGGTCCAACATCTTAAGGACATGGGTCTTGACATCGTCCGACTGGACGTCGCCGACGAAGAGTCGATTAGAGAAGCGGTGGGGACTGTCAAGGCGGCAACTGGGGGAACTTTGGACTTCCTGGTCAATAATTCGGGTTTAGGTACGTCTCAAGTAGTCGAGGCATTAAATTATTCTTCTCTTGTCAAGCTGACTATTCGACAGGATACAGTCTTCCCTTGTTGGACTCGGACGTGTCAGTAGCGAAGAAGATGTTTGATGTGAACGTCTTCGGCGTCGTTACGGTAACTCAAGCATTTGCACCTCTTCTCATTGCATCGAAAGGGACAATTATCAACATCGGGTCCGTACTTGGCAAAATGCCACTCCCATGGCAAGGATACTACAATGCAAGTAAAGCGGCGGTTGCTCTCATCACCGACCAAATGCGCATTGAGCTCTCTCCTTGGGGAGTTAGAGCGATCCTCGTCAATACCGGTGTAATCAGAACGAAGTTCTTCGATAATCTTCCAAACACCCCCGTCCTACCAGAAAGTTCCCTGTACTATCCTGCTAAGGATGTGATTGAGCCAGCATTAGCTGGAGCCGAGGCGGAGAAGAATGCCATGGATGTCAACTCGTATGCTGAGGCTGTTGTCAACAACGCAACAAGATCTAGCCCTAAAAAGAATCTCTGGGTTGGAGGAGGGGCTTTTCTGATCTGGCTGGCTTCGACTTTCGGTTGGTCAACCATTTGGGTAGGATCACTCCATTATCCAAAAGCAAAAGGTTCTACTTTACTGACTTGACGCAGGACTTGTTAGTTCCTCCTTTCATTAACCTGCGGGCTATAACGAACAAGATCCGCACCGCAGAGAAGGTGGAACAGGATCGCCGAAAGGTGAACATTTCGAACTAACCACCCATGTATGCTTACTTTTTGTTGTGAAAGCAGCGTGTCTCCGTCTTTCCCCGTTTTAGTTTCATGTTTAATAAGACTAGTCGGTCATTTGGTTTTGTACAGTACAGAAGGCCACATGCTTCGCTGTGCCTGGAGCCCTACACCGTAAATGGATTTCTGATAATCCTAAATAACCTTAAAATAGCCCACAATTAGACTGGTTTACCCAATCTGCAAATCCATTTCCAACCCACCCAATCCACATGTATATGGGAGGATGATACCCAACCCACATGGGTATAGATACCCATTTAGGTGCATGTGACTGGCAGAATTTAGTAGGTTTATGGATTTAGTGGTTTGTATCCATAATATCCATAATATCCATAATATCCATAATATACATAATATACATAATATACATAATATTCTCTCAATGAGATCTTTCCGCCTACTAAAAGTAGTATAGTTTTATGATCATGTGTAGAATATGTGGATTTCAGGGTGGATGACTAGTGGCATGGGTTAACCCAAAACCCATATGGGGTTGGGTTGAACCCCATGCGGATCCATCCAAACCCAACCCATGACCAGTCTACCCACAATACACTCGATATATGGTCAAATTCTTCGTCCAAACTACTAAATATACACATTCACCAGAAGAGACAAGTATACAGTCGGAAATAGTAGTAGTAGACCTGAAGTCAGGCTGAGGTATTCTCGACCCAAACATGATTACTGATCATCCCGCATTCTCCGCCGCCTTTCGAGGGGCCTGTTCTCTTTTCTCGTCGTCCCTACGAACCCAATCTGGCCCGTATACTGAGTCGGTTCACTTTTTACCCCGTCGGCCTTATACATCCATCCGGGTTGGAATGAGGTTAACCTTGCCCCATCAGCAATATCACCATCAACATAATCTTGGTCTGCTGTATACAAATTCAATCAATCTGTAGAATCTACCCTTCTGGAAGACTTCCAATCTCCCCAATACTCTTCACTCTCTGCGAAGCTAATCAGTCTTACCCACACACACAATCATACTGCTATACTTATCCAACAATAATGAAAGCGATAGTCACAAAACGGTTCCTGCCCGAGCGGTTAATCAACTTTGCTCTTGATAGTTCAGTTGGGAATGGCGCACAAGTTGCAGATATCCCGATCCCAGAAATTACAGAAAACGAGGTCCTGGTCAAAGTATGTGCGGTGGCGCTAAATCCAATAGACTTCAAGGACATCGATTACTTTTCTCCACGGAATAGGGTTGCTGGCTGCGACTATGCGGGTCAGGTGACCAAGGTTGGGAAGAATTCAGCACAGCGTTGGAAAGTTGGGGACAGAATAGCTGGCTTTGTTCATGGCGGATTGTACCCTGATGTTGGCTCATTCGCTGAGTACCTCAAAGTCGACGGAGATCTCGCCTGGAAAGTACCCGACACGATGAGCTACGCCGAAGCAGCTACCTACGGAGTTCCAGCAGCTACGGCGCTGCTTGCACTCGCATACCTTGACATTCCCTGGGCAGGTATCGAGAAGGGGCGCGACCTGCACACCGAGCAATCGTCGATTCTCATTTATTCTGGCGGTTCGAATGTCGGTCTCTTCACGATCCAGCTAGCCAAGAGGGCAGGTTTGAAGGTCGTTGTAACGGCATCGCCACGTTCTTTTGATCTTGTGAAGCGATATGGTGCAGATGCTGTCTATGATTACCGGTCTCCAACAGCAGCCGCAGAAATTGTTAAAGCCTATCCAGATATTACAGGAGCTTTGGACTGTTTCTCAGAGGGAGGTTCCACCGCATTTTGCGCCAGTGTGATGAAAAAGGGCAAAGTGATAACGTTACTTGACCGAGGGAAGGCGAATAAACCAGACATCGAGTATAAATATTTGATGGTCTACACTGTCTTCGGTCGGCAGTTCAGCATGGTGGCGCCACTAGGTCCTACGTTTCCAGCCGTCCCGTCTGATCTCCAGGCTCTTCGTCAGTTTTATGCTGGTCTACCAAATCTGTGCCTTGATGTTGTGAAACCACCACCTATCACAACCACACAAGGAGGATTCAAGGAGATATTCGAGGGCTTGAACAAGATCCGAAAGGGAGAAAGCCGGGGCACCAAGCTTGTCGTGGAATTCGAATGAGGATGCTGCTCTTTCCTTATCTCTTGCCTTCGTGATTGACAACCTACCAGGCGCTGTTTGGCAGCCTTTTCTCTGCTTTTTCGTTGGAAATGAAATGACTTGATTCGCTAGGACTTATGTAATGGCAGACCTGTAGATGATGAAATGATGAAGATCAATGGATCGTCTAATACATTGTCAATTCTATTAGCAATATATTCTATACCTTATTAGATGAGGGCACTCTGCCTATATCTTGTGGCTGCTTTTTTCAGTCCTTCACCTAGTCTGTCAATGGCAAGAGAAATAGGCCCAGTATCATAGAGGCGCTTCGCTCGCTCTAAGTAACTATACCGCGAGGATATTGACATCTAAGAAGGGCATCAGAGATGGCGGCACGAGCCTACCACGAGAACAGAAATTCAAGGACTGATAACGATGATAATGGGTACAGGCCGAAATCTACTGCAACCCACGCTCTCCTGTATTTTAAGCCATATGCTGGCTTGGCAGATTCGCCTTTCGACTGGATGTATGCTCAACTACTTTCAAACGATGTGTCGCCGCTTCGATCAACGTGGAGAGCGTTCCATCACGTCAGCTTCTAAGCAAAGTCTGTCTGTTCGTTTTACAACCATACAGTACTTTACATAGTCGACCAAGTTAAGCATCGGACTTCCTTACACATATCAGGAATGCCGAAGTAGCAGAGCGGCGACGGCGGACGACCACCAAACGTCCGTTGCTCTTGCTTCTGCGCACATTATTATTATTAGACCAGTGGAATCAATCCACTCGAAACTCATCGTATATGCAATCGGGAGGTTTATTGCTCCGTTACTGTATCCTTGTTTCGGTCGGCTCAATTTCTGATTAGTGAACACAGGCATATCCTCGGGCCCAAGACAGATTATTCAGTTCTCACCCTCTCCAATCCACTGGCCCTTGAGACCGTCTCTACACTGGATTTGCTTTGCGTCTAGGGCTCTATCAGTTAAATTTATTCCTCAGTAGAGTCCATTACACATTAACTTCGAAACAAACTTACACGCAAAGATGTCAGCAGCCAACTTGTCCTCTCGCTCTCGACTCCACCTCTCCCCCATTTTCTATTCAATCAAGATGAGCAGTTGCAAAAGAAGCACTACGCCAGTCACGATGAAGAAAGCTTTCATCACCCTTACGGCATCAATTAGTGGCTGGATGACGCTGACAGCAGACAACGGCACAGGTTGTTGAGGGCTGTAGCACTGGCAAGGCGCTCAGGAAAGCAGTCGATCAGTAACGTCGGGTTGGTGTTAAGGAGAGCCATTGCCGCGAATGCGATCAGGAACTGGAGGATGAGCGGCGCCGCTAGGTTCGGACCGAACTGCCGCCGCAGATCGTTGAACTCGAAGCTGGGCCCGTACAGCGCTAGCGAGATGACGAGAGCGATGCTGAGAGGAGGCATGTATTTGAGACGGGCCCGTACGAGAGGAAGGTCGCGCTTGCTGACTAATAGTTCGTCGGAGGACATGTTGTGCTCCAGTCTGTATCGCTCCTGGGCACGTCCGAAGCTTTGGTCCAGGAGCCAACCTGAGCTGAGCGAGCCGCAGATGCAGCCGAGGCCATTGGGTAGGAAACATAGGCCAAGCTGCCACTCAGTAAGACAGGGGAAGCCGTACAACAGCATCGTTGTAGTCGAGGATTTCACCATGCTCCATGCAATGTAGGCTAAAGGACTGGATGCTTTCTTCTTCAAGGTTATCGGTGGACGTGCGGCTCGATGACCGACTCGTTACCGGGCTTACCTTCGACGCCATTAGTGGTTTGAGCATATGGATAGAGGGTTTGCTGAATCCCCAAAGTGGGATGCTGCCGTTGCCCGTTATAAGTCTGCGGCAGAAAGATAAGGAGGGCGCTGAGAATGACCACGCCCAAGGCAAATAGCAGCCAGAAAATGCTTCTGAAACCCCACACGTTGTTCAGAGCACCTCCGATGACAGGACCAAACGCCTGGCCGGTCATTCTGTGGCGTCAGTAATATGAACTACTTTTAGGGCCATGTGGTTTCCGCTGCATCTACAACATACAGGCGTTCGCCCCCATGAAGACACCACGTTCCTTTGAGGATGTGATGTCAGCGATGACACTAGTGCTGATGCTAATTGTAGCTGCAGAGCCTGCAGCCTGTTGGCCTCGCAGGACCATTAGCATTGGATAACTGGACGTAAATGCGAGAGCTCGTTCGCTAATGGCACGGTGAGGTGGATAAAAGAATTTCCAATCTTCCCTGTTTATCAAAATCAAGAGCCGGGAGAGAACACAGCCTCTCCACATGAGGTTTCCGTTGGTACATTCTCCTTACTGCCTGCCTACTTAGGATGATTCCGCACGGTGTCCCATCTTCCCTTCCTCCGATATGATCGACAGTGATCTCCCCTCTGAAACATTCGATCTGCCAACTAATCTACCTAGGATATGATGATTTAGATGGTGAAATTCTACGAGTGTTCCTGAACGGGGTGCCAAACATGTTTCCATGTGCCCAGTGCTCCAACTTGATTGGTCACCCTGACCGTTGTATACGCCAACCGCAGAAATCTGGGGAAAAAGCCAACACGGGCCACACCGAACCCGCTGTGGTGTGGATTCAGTCCCTAGCCTAGGGAACTGCCTTGGTTTCGGTTTCCCTACCCGAAAACTTCTTTGGATTCGGTGAAAACCGGACCCGTTTCGGGTCGGATGAGCGTCTGGCCAAGTCCAGGCCCGGGAAATACTTAAAATGGATGTCACCTTGGCTCTTGGAGATCAAAGTTCAAGAACTTCGTCACCCAAAAGTCGGGATGGCAGATTTACGTGGCAGCCAAACTGAGAATGGAAGGAGGTAGACTATCGAGTACATCATTTCGAAGTGGTAAAAGACCGGACCAGAGAAGTTGCACTACTCTCTACTGCTAAAAAATCATGCCTTTATATTTTCATCTTGACTCCTCACCTGGTAAACGTCTCAATGTATGAGGGACCTTCCTTTGCAGATCACGAATACAGAAATGGAAGGATACTCTTCGATTGGGGTTTTGAATGATGTGATGCCTGCAGAGTAAGCGCTAGAAATTGCATCCTGGATTCGACTCGCTGTCTCAAATATCAATCTTGTTCAGAGTCAACCAGTGATCTACAGATGACTTTATCGACTCCTTCCTTGAGTCTGACCCGGGCCCAGTCTGGCAGACAATATTTTAGGGTTTTTAATTCTTTTATTCACCGCACCGTGCCATTAGCGAACGAGCACAAGTTGATTCTTCGACTCTGCAAACATATCTTCTGAATCATCCTCAACCACCATCTATAATGGTAGGGCAATAATTATCCATATGACGTATTTGGAAAACATTCCAAGATACTTGATGTTGACAGCCATGATGTATATCCTTCTTTCAAGATCGTCGATGGCTTGAATATGTTCATGTCATCGATAAGCATTCGACATCAGACAATTGAGTTTATCCTGGACGTCGATGCACTTAGCTGCGAAGAATATATATTGCTGGTGTGATGACACGAGTCCCAACGTCTTCTCAGTCTTCCTCTCTCAGAAGAAGCCTTCGTTGGGGTTTATTAAGAACGATTTATTTTTCTAAGTTCAATTCTATTCCTCGAAGTATTTGGGGCTGAAACGCATGTCTTCAATAATCGCGCAGTATCATCAAGGCGGAGAGGCTCCTTAGTCTATGAATGCGATAACGGCAGAAAGTCAACATCAAGGCCTGCTGGCCCAATGGTAAGGCGCTTGACTACGGATCAAGAGATTGCAGGTTCGAATCCTGCGTAGGTCATTTTTTGTCCCTTATCTTTTTTGATTCCCCATTCCTCTAACCGTCTAAATAAACTGCTTTAAATACTCCGTAATTATTGCGTTCCCCTCATAAGTAACCGACTTCTGATTACCGACTCTCAAGACCTCTCGCCGAAAACGTCCCGAATCAAACTCCATTTTCATAGTCATACTTCGGATACCCGTTCCCCTTCTTCATCATCATAGCCATTCCCTCTCCATTCTTACTCTCCTGCACGCTCATCCCCAGGATTTTCTTGTAGAATGGCACCGACCGCTCCCAGTCGAGCGTAAACAACATACTGCGTCTCAGATACGGCATCGCATCGATAACCTCGCCCATGCACTCTACAAGCCAACTGCCCAGACCCTTGCCCTGGTGACTGGAGAGCACGTAGACGTCGGTGATGTAAATAAACGTGGCGTAATCTGTGATGAAGCGGGCGATGCCGACAAACTCGGGCCCTGCGCTGGCGTTGTCTGGCTGGTCGGGTGTGTAGTAGAGGCCGAAGCACATGGAGTTCTCAACTGATTGTTTCAGAATATCGAGGGGCAGTGATCTTGCCCAGTATATGTCGTCTGATGCGAGCCAGTCGTTGAGGGTTTCGAGGGGATAAGCGACGAGTCTGTTGAGATGAAGTATGCCCCTTTGGTCCATGTTTGGGTAGGGATAGGAGGTGTTGATTTGGTCATTTTGTGTTTGATCGGGCTGAGAAGAATTATGTTGATAAACTGATCGTTGGAAATCCAGCTGCTTTTAAATGTGAGTTTATTCGGGATAGTGACTCATAGTCTTTGATTGGAGGGAATGGCCGGCTTGGCAGATATGATGATAGACTCGTACTCGTATTTGAGATCACGGCGCAGATCGTTTATCGAAAGCATGTTGATAGGTATAAGAGTGGATGACTCATTGTACTGGCTAATTTGTTTGATATCAGAATTGTTATCATAGACGAGTCAGTACTCTATTGAGCGGAGATGTTAAATGGCAGGACTTCTCTATGGTACAAGCACCGGGTACTGCAGCCAGTTCCCAGCATGATTCGACTTGCTTTAATTCGTATCCTCATCGTCGCTCTTCCACCAGCGCCAAAGTGTTTGGGCCCAGAACCAGCTTTCGATAGTGCCAAAGACACCGAGAATGACGAGGACAACAGTCTTCGTAGTCTTGCTCAGACCTAGAGAGTCGAAACTGAAGGATGGGATCTCTGGATTCTGTGGATGATTGCCTTGCGACTGGCCATTTTGCGAGCCGATCTGTTTGTTTGCGACAGCGAAATGGGTGGAGAAGGATGCAGTGGGTTGAGGCCATCTGCGGAGCCCGTGTTGGCGGGGTATTATCCTATGTTGGATGTTCGCATACAGAGGAAGGCCGCGCCTGAACGCCATGGATAACACTAGAGTTCGGATAAATTTGGCCTGCGAATAAACCCCTAAAAGCAATTGATGGATGAAGAAGAAGATGAAGGAAGGTTGAAATTGATGGCGACGCTGACGTCTCATGCTAAGGATGTCTCACATGCAGCGGGGTCCTGCCCGTAGCACCAATCATGCGATCACTGCTTGTTGGATATTCTCGTATGAGAATATGCTTCACTTCCTCCATCCGGACTGTGAACAATGATTGATATTGAACCTCGGATCCCCATCGAGTTCAACATCATCTTCACCCCACGCTCCGGAGCGGAGACCTTTCGAAGAATGCGTTCTTGTTAGTGTATTTTGGACTAGATCTCGGTTATCTGTAAGTGATATTCCTGCTAAGGACCGGTCGCCCTTCGTCGTAACGTCCATCGGACCGAATATCAACTCGAAGCATGGAGTGAGATCTCTGCCAGAGCCGACTGATTCTAGGTTAAATTCCAAAACCAGACCTTCGGGAGAACTACGAATGGCAGGTATACCGCAAAACATATGCTGAGGAGGAATCGCAGGGGTCTATTTCTGGAATCCACCGACTTCTCTCTTTCTTGAGGCTGGACAGTCTGCATGATTTGGGTAGATAATATTGAGGACATATTATCGGCGACAAGCTGCTATTGCCATTCCTGGTCATTTCCTATGTGTGGTAGTTACATGAGATGTGGAAGTCAAGACGGAAGGCGGAAGAAAACATCGACATACACTTACACTGCATTGGCTCTTTTAGTTTGCTTTCTTTTCTTGTGTCTTCCAGCATCACTCTTCGTCAAAGAAATAGAAAGGAACCAACTGCTCTCTGTTGAGCTGAGTATAGGGAATGACCCTAACCCTGTATATGAAGTCTGCCTCTGCATTGTAGGGAGAAGTCGACCTCGTTCCTTTTTCCGATGACTGTCAAAAAGAAGATATCTATCATCGGATAGGATCTGTATGCTAAGGGTCCTAATCGAATGTGTAGGGGCTAGGGCCGCCAGAAGGAAGCTCCAACCAAAACGATGTACTCGCCAAAGTAGCATCATCGTGTCCTGGTCTAACTGGACTTCGAATGAAATCACTCTCGTGGGCGCGCCTGATTTCCACAAAATGCGCAATGCGACACGGCGATTCTCAACATTGCCTCGTCCTCCTGTGCGGTTGCTGGGGAGTCGAGCTTCCAAACCTACGTCGCATTGTCGATAAGAGACCACGATCAGGCTCTGACCCATTTATGTGCTTAATTGCAACCATACTATTTGCGACAGATCGAAGAGCGAAACTATAGCCGCGGCATGACCTGTGGATTCAAAGAGGCTCATGATGCTGTTGTCCAAATATGCCCCATTAGCTTTATCTGATATAAGCTAGTCATGTATCCGGGCCGTCGCGACGGCTGTCTTTAGTACCAGAAAATTTATTGCACGTTTTGAAACATGAAGCTATATGGATTAGGAGCTGTATGCTAAAGGGGTTTGCCTACTCCAGACATAAATCAACTGACTCAAAGGGATTACTTATTGTTGATGGCCCCTGAAGTCCTCAGACCCACATAGAATGTTCTAATCTTATAAGCCACGTCATCTCTAAACATGCTTCCACATTAGTAGACTACTGTAGCCCAGCTTAATACACAGTGCGGTCCCATCGAGATAAACTGACCGTAGTAACGTGGGGTTCCTACGACTTTGTATGGCGTATCTGCCTATACAGCCCCGTCTCGAACTCATCCCTAACCGCAATTACCTGGGGATCCGACGGAGGGAGGTGCTGGAAGAAGCTCGCCGCACATATTCCTGCCTTCCGATCGACCCACTGGTATTATGCATCCCATCAGTGATCACCCTTCTTTCGACCAGCAGACCAGAAAGGCACTTACAAAATGAGTATTGGTATGTCCTCCCCACGAAACCGTGCCATCTGCACGACCATCTGGAACATCACCGACCGTGATTGCGACGGCCAGCCCGAAGTCGACTTTGTCCCCTGTCGTAAACAGCCATTTCATTGCTTGCGCCTCTGGCATATTAATCAGCTGGTTCAACCTTATCCTCACAGCTTCCGGCAGCTGAGGCCGAAAGATCTCATCCACGCTCTCGGGTCTGATGACTCCCCACCTCCCGCCAGAAGAGCCGACAGAAACTTGGTGAACTCGCGTGGCGTCGAATACAGTGACCCACCGCCGAGATCGTCCGGCGTAGGCAGAGGGAATATCTCTTTGGTTGGAGTTAGGGATCCGTCTTCGGTGCGGAGGGCGATCTCCACTTTTCTCTTCTTGAAGTCGGGCAGTGTCTCCGGGTGGAAGGTGGTGGATTGGAGATTCAATGGACCGCAGATGTTCTCATGAATAAATTCCCCGAGTCTCTTTCCGGAGAGGACTTCGACCTGCATGTGCGCTGGTTAGATGCGGTGCTGAGTTCAGTTGCAGCCAGAGACCTACCACTCGTCCAGCCCAGTCCACTCCGGGTCCGTATCTCCAATCATCGCCCGGTTCGAAAATAAGAGGGTGTGTGATTGACTCCTAAGGTCAGACGACGTTTTTTGGTCAGATCGTTTATCAGGGATTTTGCAGGAAGGAAGCGGAGTACATATGTTCCTTGTGTGTGGTCGATGTTTCTCCCATGATACGCGGCCCATTTCTGCAGATTCTCGCTCATCACGCTATATGTGAAGCCGCTTGTATGCGTCAAGAGATGGCGCAAGGTGAGTTTCTTCTCCGTCCGATTGACGATGGGTTTTCCTAGGAGGAAGATCCTCAGCATGGCGATTCCTCTGACAACGGAATTTCCCGTCAAGAACAATACCATCTTCGTCGAATCCAGATAGGACCTCTGGCGCTGCCAACTCTGGCACAACCTTCCCGACATCATCGTCGAGTGAAATCAAGTCTCGCTCAACGACAATCATCACAGCGACGGCCGTGATGATTTTGGTCAAGGACGCGACCCAGAAAATTGAATCTTCGGTGACTGCAGGGCCGGCAGGGTCTGCGGTCTGAGTTCCTTGGATGCTGGAACAAATTGCATCTCCTTGAGCATTGTACGCGGTCAGTGCAGCAGCGTGAAATGGTCTAGGCGCCTTGTTGTAGTATTTCGCAAGGATAGTATCCATAGTGGCTGTGTGTTTTCGCCAGGAAGTTTACTGCTACAAAGAGCCTGGCTGTCAGTGATGTCCACCGTTTATATATGTATGAGATCTATTATCAATAATCTAAATGGCAGAATAACTAATCAACAAGTGAAAATCCAACCCCAAATTCCCACCTGTCGGCGTCCCAAATTGGTAAAGCAAAACGAACACGGGGACCCCACAAGGAACAAACTAAGCTATACTATGTATGTTGGAAACTGACTATCCCTATCTCCACAGAGATATTTACCCGACTTCCTCCAAGAGCCAGTTTGGAACAACGGGAAAGTGCAGATGTGACTTGCCCATGGGGGTGGGGTTACTTTATTTATGCGTCTTCCTGGCGAGCCACTTTATGTTTGGTATATCCTGCGTGCGTTGGTCGGACCCTATCGATAACCAGGACTACCCGCTTGGCTAGGAGGATAATGGACGGCGAAAGTGGAATGTTTTCTGCCAGTATATTAAAGTAGAGATAGTCTTTGTGGAGACTGCGTAACCATATAATATTTGTACAGTTCAGGCAAGTCAGCGCATAGGAGCAAGGCAACCAGTCCTGCTATATTGACACATATTGACTTCACAAATCCGAGACATTTCGAGGACAAGGCGTCTTATGGGACTTTCTATTCGAATCAGCTCCAGAAAAAGAGCGATATTCTCGCTACATGTACTTGTCAACAGCAAAGCGAGCCCTCAAAGCTTCTCCGTAGCGGTAAAACAGCCACGGCACTGGCATGAACGACAGCGTGACAAAGACCAGCAGACTATTCCCCCAACCTAGTCCTAGGGTATTGTACAGAGGTGCGGCAGCAAGATCCAGAAAGGCACCAAAAGGGGATCGGGTGAGGAGGTGGCCGCGAGATATGCGTTAAGCGATCCAACCACGAGTACTGTCTGCTTGTATCTGAGCCATCGGGGTAAATGCAGGTACAGCCCTCTGGCAAATCTCCTTATAAACCTCTGTCCTTGAGCAGCGTAATTAAACGTTCACCAACTACCTCACCCACGAGGTTATACCCCTCGGCAGTTAAATGCAGTCCATCATCCCAGATTTTCTTCCTGAATTCCTCTGTGGCGTTGTGATACGGGACTCTCCCGTGCAGGTTAAATGGGTGGCTACCCAAGGTCAGCCGCTTTGCACATATTATTATCTTGATTGAACTCACAATCCCTCTGCTTTATGATCGAGTATGGAATAATTTACTTCGTTCCTCCTCGCGTCAAGCGTCTTACTGACGACCGAACATTCAGGAATCGTCAGGGCGAGAACATTTGCGCCGTTCTCTAGAGCTACCTCCCACACCTCTTGCAGGGCACGGTATATCCTCGAAGCTGGATGGCCTCTCCCGAGATCACTGCTGACGTTAGCACCAGCCTCCTCCAGCCGTAAGGACGATGCAACATACTTTGTTCCCCCGAGAATGATAACCCAGTCATAGTTGGATCCGTCAACTGTTACGGTCAGACTCTGCACCGCAAGAAAGATAGTGGACGCAACACACATTTTGCTTGTAATCGAGCCAGAAATCTTCCGACAGGGCTGACAACCAAATCGCCTGGAAGGCCGTCCTCGTCAATGGTGAATGTGGTGGTGGGAAAGGCTGCCTGCAGTTTATCTTTCAGTGTCAAGGCGTATGGATGATAGTCGCATCCAAAATGGTAGTATCCGGCTGTAAGCGAGTCGCCGAAACAGAGGATTGAGAGCTCCTTGTCCATTTTGGATGTTCAGCTGGGGTTCTGTTGGGCGTCTCATTGTTTTATATACCCCGCATCTGTGACACTTCATAACAGAATGCGCCAGACCTAAAATAGCAAGCATCCGTCACCGTAAAATCCTGCTCATTGGTCATTTCACCATTCACATCAGAATGGGACAGAGCCTCTCGAGACGAATAAGTGAATGCAAGTGAAGAACATAATGAGTAATAAAGAAACCCTCCTAATCAGGATATCCAGTGCAAATGCCAAATGGCGGGTTAACTAGTAAATGTCCCTCTTCAGGACTATACACTCAGCGGAGCTGGTAATCCAACAAATACCTACCCAATCTCACCATTTCTTACTTCGTTTCAGCCGGCTCATCATGGCTGAGCACTTCAAGCAATTGATCCGCTGTCAAATGATCCGAGACATGCTCCATCCGATGGACATAAACACACTTGCCCCTCGAAACACCCATTCGCCGCCGTTCTGCCCCAGCTTCCACCCCGAAACGCCTGCCGCCCACTCCGCAACATCTGTTTGAATGTCTTTCCAAGCGCACCAAAGAAGGAGATCTGAACATAAGAGGGCGGTTTAGTGGCGTGCGACCTCGTCCTCTTCATGTGCAGCTTCTCGTAGATCTTCCCCGTGCGGTCCGTGTAGATGGGGAACGCGGCCTCAGTCTCCGACACATAAGGGACGATGCGTTGGGAGTCACCGCAGCCGATAATAATGAGCTGTGATGGGCCGGCGGGTTGGGGAGGGTCGCGAGGACGGAGTCGGTGAGACGGCGAGAGACTACGCGGACGTAGCCCTGGTCGTAGGCGCAGAAGAAGTGGCGGACTTGAACGGTCAGCAGATGGAAGGTGAGTAACGCAGCGTGAGGAAGAGACATACTGAAAATCACAACCGTTGTGATATGGACCCCTTTTCCTGCGACTAGCTCGCCGAATCGGATCGGCTGGCCATTTTGGGATTGTAGTTCGAGCTCGTAGGCTTCGGCGAGCTCTTTTGGCTCTGGGAGGTCGTCACATCGGGTTATAATAGTGCCACTCATAATTAGGCAGGTCACATTGATTGCATCATTGTCTCTATTGATTTGTGGGATGGTGTGTCAAGAGAGTGCAGATGAATTATCATGATTCATAAGCAGGACTATGGTCATCCGACCATTATCTATTCAGCGAATGGGATAGTTGTCGAATGATAGTCAGCATCACAGGCATCAAACAAAGTCGTGATGTCATGATATTATTTTGACTTTCCACGCGGCCCAAGGGGTTGGTATTAGATATGTCAACTTTAATAGAACAGGAAACAGGGATAAAACCTTGTTTCTGGACCCTGGCAGGTCCTATCATGAAAAACTACGGAGTATATACAAGTGAGTTTATCCCTGCACCTTGATGTAGATTTAGGACTTCAACTCCCCATAAGCTAATATTAGTCGACCAATTACTGTAGTGCGGTAGACACCACAATCCCATGATTATTGACACCCTTCGCGGCGCCGCTAAGCATCGTCCAACGTGACTTATATGCTGGAGTGAAAGTATATGGTCAATGGGTGAGGGAAAGAATAATGTGCGTAGTAGTAGTCTAATAAACCAGGTGTATGGCAGTATGACAATATTACGTTTTTAACTTTATAGATAGTGGCAGGATTTCTCACTCCAAGGTGCTCTGTAGACTACCAAGAGTATAGATTCCCACCTAGGGTTGTTTGGTCCTGTACCCTAGTGTTCAGGGTTCTTTTTAGTATGGTATGGCCTATCCTAGTTGGCTACACCTGCTATTCGAATAGTATGCAGCTCTGCTGATTCTGTGCTTTGTTTGGTGGGGTACAGGGGGATGTCCGTCGTGCTTTATAAAGCAACTTCAAACTTGTAATATTATCATCACTTAGTTTATTTAGCCCATCTTGCAATGCTATATAGTTGGTAAATAAAGTACTTGTTAGGAGGTGTCCTTTTAGCACAACAAAAGCACAATTTCCTTGTCTGTTCTTGGCTTCAAGTCTCATATAGTGACTGCAGTAAATTATTCCCCAACTCCCAAACAACAGGTCATCAAGATACCCCAATCTTCCTCATTACCGGCTGCACTGGCAGCGGCATCAGATCCGCCCTGGTGGAGAAATTCCACGCAAAGGGGCTGCACGTCTATGCAGCGGCGCTGTCCTGCCCCAAAATGAGCCACCTGGAGAAGCTACCCAATGTTACACTCCTCAAGCTGGACGTCGTTCCGGCAGAAGGCATCGTAGCCGCCGTCAAACCCCTCCGAGCTCAATCTGGGAGACTGAAAATCCTCGTCAACATCGGCCGTCAGTCTAGAATTTCCGGCACTGGAGGCAAGCCTCGGCGATGCGCGGCGTCTTTTAGATGTCAACTTCTTTGGTGTGATCGTTGTTGCGCACGCTTTTGCTCTGCTGCTTCTCACTACCAAGGGGGCAGTTGTGGATGTCTATTTGAGTTTGGGGTTTCTATATGCGCCGTGGATGAGCTGGTGATATATTTCTGTTTCAGTGTTGCGCAGCGTTAATGGAGACAGGTGTGTATAATGCCTCTAAGTCTGCTCTTATGTAGTGGAGTGAGATTCAATTGAGAATTATAGCCGTTTAGTGTCAGGTTCGTTTCCCTTATTACTGGGTCTGTCGCGACGAATGTCATGTACCATGCTGATCTGAGCATGTCAGAGGACTCGCTTTATCATAGGGCTATTGAGAGATCCAGAGGCGAGGAGTTGGCGAAGATGTGCAGACAAAGATTGCACCGGCTGATTTTGCAAAGGAGTTGGTCAGGGATGTCTTGGCCCTCTTGGGCGGTGCCTCTGATTCTGTGGCAGGGAGCATTGACTTTATTGGTCAAGTTCATGTACAGATTTTTACCTACAGCACGCTGGATGAGTCGAGAGCCGACGAAGTGTCTCCAGTCCCCAGGCCCGGGCTTTGCAGCTAAGGTACCTCATACCCTCACCTTGATATGCCGGATTTCATTGCTTGCGCGATCTTGAATACCAAGGCTGAGTTTGATAGAGCCCAACATAGTAGGGGTGTTAGTTGATTGCGGCCGACGTCATATGAGATTGACCTGCAGCTTAGATTCAAGGAGATCGACTGTGTGTTGATGAAGTGTCTAAGGATGTAGATATATTGTTCAGGGAATAGCCAATTCATTCAATTCCAATAAACAAGACTAGGTTACTCTCAAGGCATGTGGTGTCTTCTTACTTCAACTCGTCCAAGTGAGCGGATTGGAAAATCTCCTGACCAGACAAAAGATACTCCAATATAGCTCCTTCGCCTACATCCACGTCAGGTGAAAGGTCATTCCGACGGCAGCCTCGTGGCTCAATCCCGTTGAAGATATTTGTCATCCATCCCCAACCTGGAAGCATACCGAAAATCAAGGCAGTTGTATGGTCTAGCCCTGAGTACGGAAGAAACCTCACATTAGTGCCTGCCTCACAGTACTTGCGCACCAGAGCAGTTGTATCTTCGATTGTCGGTGCGATATCATCATTCGTGCCTTTGTAGATGTACAACGGAAACTTGGGGATTCCGTGTCTTCCCATCACGCCGATTTCATCGAGGATATCTTTGAACTCATATAGGAACTGGTGACCATTGTCGAAGAAGGATGAAATATTCATGTTATTGAGAGGAGGAGGGTCGTTTCCATCCCCGCTACGGGGGCTGCAGCGTTTCAGAGGACCGAGAAAGGCCTCGCGGTACTCGGGCAGAAGGTGGTCGAGCATATAGGCCTTGAGGTCAGGGAATGCATTCATGACCCCCAGCATGGCCCAGGCGTTTAACGCTGAGGCTGCTCCCCCGTTGACGGACAGATAGCTCTTCGTAATATTAGTGGGAGGACCACCGATCGCAGCCCCAGCGATTTCAAGTTCCGGTGAGTAGCTGTGATGGAATTCAGAAGCCCACTCTGTGGCGTAACCTCCTCCAGAGTAGCCGAACATGATCGTTTTGGCCTCAGGGCTGAGGCCGGTGAGGTGTTCCGAGTTCAGTGCCGCACGGATAGAATCCAGAGTCTGGTAGGCGCTTTGCGGGCCCACGGTAAACGCGGCATTGGAACCCTCGTAGTCTGGTATGTTCAGAACCGGACCCTGCTGCAAGTACGGAAGCACGTAGCTTAGCTGGTTCCGGTTCCAGGTAGCAGCGGCACCGTCCACACCAAACTGGATCCCGTACGAGGGAGAGCAATTGATATCAGGCGAGTCGTAGGCAATCTGGAAAGAGAGGAGCCGGTCGAACTTTGGTTTTTGAGGGACAACTATCGTTGTGACTGTGTGGGCGGGCTGCTCATGCACGTCCCGGGTGACATACAACAATTGGAATGCCTTGGCTTTACTTGGGAAGCCAGGGACCAGGGATGCGATTGTCACCTCGCGGGAATTCACAATGGTTCCCGGGGGCAATTCTGACCAAGAGTCATCATTCGGAGTGTAAAAAGGGTCCTCACTTGGCAGAAGAGGAACAGCCTCTGCAACAAGCACACAGAGGAGTCCGAGTAGAAGAACAAGGGGGAAGTACGGCGTATAGCCCATGATAATACCCAGTACAATTTTGGAGTTTGGACAAGAAGAAGAGAAATTGCGATTGAATAATTTAAGCCTTGAACAGGTGCTCGTATCAGACAGCAAGTTAACTGCAATTTATACTATTTAGAGAGGGGAGCCTTTGATTGCGTTGTCAGGAATCCTACTTTACGTAGGGGTAACTTCTGTTGGGCATGCTAAGAACCAGATCCCAAGTGGATCCCGCAAATGACAGGTTACATTCTCAGGCTCGGGGAAGAGTGATTTCAATCATGACAGGTGCGCTTAAAATCTCATTCCATATTGGTTCCATTTGAATTGATTTTCAAAGCCTACGTTGCGGGAACCAATCCTGAACCATTCAGACTATGGCTAGGTTCCTATCCAACCGCATTAATACTTCCTAGCCAGCAGTAGCGTGAGTTTACGTTTGGTAAGATTTTGAACTTCGAGAATTAGGGTCTGAGCATCAGAGTGAATGTATGGATTTTTCAGCCTGATCAGTTTAACGTTACTGAAGTTTTCTTTCATCAGTGTAATACTCTTAAATTCGTATAGGATGGATGATCAATGGACATTTAAGAGTGATAGCTAGACTAAAAAAAATAAATGAACTAATCTACAAATCAAGGGCATAGGAGTTATTTCCTAGGCGTTACTTATTCTTAGTATGCCTCCTGTAAGCATATATTTTTGCAACCCTTTTAATATGGAAATTAGACCATGTTAAAGACAAAATGGATATAACAAATTCCCATACAGTGGCAGTTGTGATGGTGATGATTCATACCTTAGCCCAGCGCCTCTGGCGATATGCAAGGCTAGTGATAATTCCAAATACTGTCCATGATTGCTTTTTAACAGTGCAGCACTGCGCCCCTATCTCCTCTGCTTTTGCCATAAAGATTTAGTTTTGCTTGCTGTATGCTTGATGCCTAAAATCCCATCCATCCGAATGAGCTGCAAGCAACTATAGTGGCGTGTGATGACAACTTCACTTCAATGCCACCACCATTACTATGGACCATCAGATACACTTACATCTCCCAGTAAAGTAATATTATACCGGCACACTTTCTATCCGTTCTGCATATCTGACTTTTCCTGTGGTCGGCCAAGCGCCCTTGTTGTCATGACATGCAATGCAGCAATGGCAGCAACTACTATTTGTTTACGATCATTAGTGTGACAGAGATGGGGTGATGCGATGCTGGGTAAGGCACGTATCATATCTCCAGCCAGCCACATATATGAGTGTTGAGACGGTCCAATCAAAATTCTCTAACCAACTTAATGCAGAATCCAAAAATGCACACCAGCAAAGTAAGTAGTGATGAACGGCCATGTTGAATGACAGGCCAAAAGCCTTCACCTAGATATTTATGTAACTTGATAAGTCCGCCATAAATGAAGACAGTTCATACTAGGATATAAATGTGTTATGAGCAGTTAACCCTATCTATATCAAATATCCCCGTAATTATACTTACATTCTTAGCATCCACTAGAATTTCTTCTACTTCTAAGACTCAGGATTAAAGCATCAATATTCAAGTTTGTTCATTCTTAGTAGATCGTTTAGACAGACTTTGAGGGTTACGTAAATTATGCATTATCATTTCGCAGGTTGGCTGCGCGTCTTCCAGCCTACCGAGTACACCCTCTGCCTCGAGACTAGAACCGCCTAGCCCTATCTCTGTTGGGGTAATGTTAACCCAGGGGGTTCAAAGCCTTGCCGACCATGTCTGGTATTAGACCTAGGCAATGCGGCTTGCGGACAAGGCATCCTGGATGTCTGGAAGGGTTGAAGTTGTGCTTCCCGGACCGCAAAGGCAGCCAGGTCATGCTGATATGACAATTATGGGTCCGCATTTGTTCAGCCCCACCACCCCGGGAGAGTGGGGACTAGCCGCATTGCGGGATCCAGTTATTTTTAGCCTTACCCGAAAGCTACCTAGGTAGAATGCTTGGCCTCAGCCTGTCAATCGGGTCCACTCCCGTCAGCCTACGGCTGTTGATCCTGACACTAAGGCACGGATCTAAGCTCAGATCAGGTGAATGACAAGCAACGTGCGTACGATGATCAACATAAATGAGTATTAATATAGCACCATGATGAGTGCCACAGACAGTAGCGGCATACAAGAAGAACGGTCTTTATATGACATTATATTGGAGAATCTAAAACCTGCTCATGGGAGACATGGTGACAGATTGAGAGCTCTTTCATGATTTTTTAGTCAAAGGTTTCTCCACCCATAAACAAAATGTAAGTAGATGGCCACAATGCGAGTCTCACCTGGCATATCCTTTCGCTCTCAAATGAACATGAACTGCTAAGAATTATAATGGAAACTATATATAGTGACAAATTATAAAATTAGAAGTTCCCTTCTAATACTCGCACTAAACATAGTTAACAGTTTATTGCAGTCATCAAGTTAGGAAGATTCAACAGCCAATCCAGCGAGTAAATGAAATGACAAACTAGTAAGTCAAAGAATCGCTGTAGATAGGTGAGCATCGTCTCCACTATAACACATGCGTACAAACTATGCTGTAACTCCAACTTAAACTAGTGAGCCATATTTCACACTCAAACAGGTACAGCTGGGTGAGGAGAAGTAGAGTCATTTATGAACACTATTATTGGCTAGCTGTTGGTACCACCTTAGGCCGTTGGTCGTCGACCCGCATTGGATCGTTAAATCATGCTCCATTCGGGTAAGAACTGGGGAACGGAGGCTCCTCCAACATTTTGTGGTGAGGAATAGCTGAGAACAGGCATATATCCTCATTATGAATGGCCCCCAGGCCTAGGCTTTGGAACTAAGGTAACTCACATTGCAAGATGCGGAGTGACTGTATCATTTCTCCTCCATCCGGCACCGCTGGGGCAACACAAACATCAAAGAGCTTCTAGGCAGACAGCGTGCAAGAACCAGAGGGTCGACTCGATTAGCAAGATGCGAGAAGGCACTCCAAACCTTCTTTTGCACTTATTCGTGGATTCTGGCTAAGGCTGTATTGCCTCGTCGACACTGGTACCCGGGCTCCTATCTCTGAGCTATATGATCATTATCTGTTGAATGACATAGTGTTGGGCAACTATCCGCTTTTGACGGGTTCAGGTGGAAGCGGCTCCAGGTAGGAGAATCATAAGTAGCTGCAAGGACCAGAGTGCCATTTCTCTCGATAATTATTTGAATCCTGGGTCACTATCTGCCTGGCACTACCTACACCCTATCTTCCTAGGTAAACTGCACCCCAGATCAATATACCAAAACCCCTTGACCGCAGTCGCCGGTGGGGTAAAGCTGGTAATCGCGCCCTCCTTAACCACCTGCTTCCCATCCGGCGCCGTCAGCCTCATCGCAACAGGCGCAGTAATGGGCCCCTTGCCCTGCGGGAGAACCCAAGAGCCATACCGCTCCTGCGGCCGACTACTGGTGTAGTTCGGATCGTGCTCGAGTGCAATCCATGGCCCGGAGCCACCAGCCTGTACCTCAACACTAGTTACAGAGCCGGGACCGTTGGTATTCACCGCGCTCAGCGCAAAATAATACGGTCCAGCCCCATCATGAAGCCAGATATAGATATTCCCCAGCTTGGGACAGGGCACGCGCCGGTAGCGATGGGAATCACGCCGTCGGTGAGACTGCCGTTGCCTTGGAGTCGGCCCATGGCGATATCGGAGAGGTCCATGTGATGGGATCCTTCCGGCAGGGGACAGCCGTACTTGAATTCGATCTCGCCGCAGTGATCTGCGCCGCTTCCGCCTGATTTTGTGAGCTTTCTGTGACAGAGTGAGGGAGGGTGTCCGCTTACAGCACCATTTTGAATTTGCATCGCAGGGACAGCTGTTTACTACCTCGAGGACGATGGGATCGGTATATCCGCTCTCACCGACGGCGTAATCCGTCCCGTCAGCTTTGGTACGGATGAGCTCGAAACACTCGCCGCAGGAGAGGTAGTTGTCGGGATTGCCAGATGCAGCCAGTGATGGCCAAAACTGTTTACTTAGCGGTTGTCGCTTGGAGAACTTGTGTGCTCTTACCTGAGTGTAGTAGTCTCCGTTCGGAGCGGCAAAGTTCCCGCGGAGTGTAACGTTGGCCGGGTCCTTGCAGAGCAGCGGATACGCGGTGCAGAATGTGACACAGCTGATGTCGTTATCCTTGAACTCATCTATAGGACTCTCCGCACACACAGGCTGCTAGCCCAAATTGGTGCGCAGCACTGTGCTAATCAACGAAAGCTAAAATGAATGAAATTTAGTAGCAGAATTTAGCCATCATGCATATATTTGCTCAGCTAGAAGCAACTATTGCTTAGCGAAGCGGCTTTTGCCTCTAATAAGTTTGCCATAGCGGAAAAAGAGAAACGGGAACGGGATCATGGCAACAGTGAGAAACGCCAACAATGATGACGCCCATTGGTATCCTAATCCTTCAAACATGTGCTCGCCGAAAAGCGGGAATACGGCTACGTTTTCAGGTTAGCTTTATGCTGCAAAATCAAAGTCATGGCATTTTACTGCCTTCATATACGTACCGGCAAAAATGCATCGGATGAAGCCATTTGCGGCCATGGCGCTTGCTGCGTACGTTGGATAAGCGTCAACCTAATGCAAGTTCTGTCAGTTGTGCCTTTCGAAAGACAAATTAAAGAAAAAATTGTAGTAGTCCAGATAACTTACAAGGAAACCGAAAATAGAGGTAAACAGCAACAATGCCCTAGTTTGACGTCACCATGTCAGCTTTTGAACCTTTTCCTCTTGCACTTCAATAGCTTGTACTTACCCAAATCCAAAGATGGTAGAGCCTATGATAGGAGCAATCCAATGCACCCAGGGGAATGTCGTCCATCCAAACATGAACATGCCAACAGGGACAATCAGAGAGCCTACCATAGCAGCCGGAAGCCGGAACTCGGGCTCGCTAGCACCTTGGATACCCATCTCTCGTTCTTTCTTGTGCACAAGACGGTTTCGCGCATTGTTCCAAACCGGATTCATGAAAACAGCCAGGATCATGCCAAGACCAATCCCTAGGAAAGATAGACCGACTTGCCACAAGTTGAAACCATGATTGTTGACAAAGACCAGCGGGAAAGCATCGAAAAATAAGTAAAGAATACCATGCAAGAGTGCTGCAAAAATGCAGAGGCAGAAACACATGGGTTCAAGAATGAGAAGCTGGAATGGTCGGAGTAAGGATTGCCACATTGCGTGGGCAACGGACCGGTGCGCTCTTTCTATAGGAGCAAACCATTCGTTGTTTGACTCTTTTCGAAGCTTCCTCGCCTTGTTTCGTAATAGGACCGGATCTAGCTCATGTTAGTTTGGAACAGGGCTTGAAGAATTACGGTCATCAACTTACGAAATGTCTCAGGAACAAGGAAGATGATTGCCAGCCACAAAACAAAAGACCAAATGATTAAAACGTAGTACGTCCATCGCCAATCGAGATAAGAACAGATCAAACCGCCAATCAGGGGACCCAGACTGGGTCCGATAAATGGCGACACTGAGAAGACAGAAATCGGGTGCTGTAGTTGCGCCCTGTCGAAGAGATCGTGAATGGTGCCTCCAGCCACGGCGAGGAAAGCGCTGCCAGCGAAGCCGTCGAGGAAACGGAAAACGAGAATCACCCCAATTTTCTTAGCGACGGCCTGTGGTGCAATGAAAATAACATAGATCGTCCAGGAAATGACATAGATGGGTCGCCGACCGTAAAACTCGCTGAGGGGGCCAAGAACCATAGGACCGAAACTGATACCGAGAACGAAAAGGGAAAGACCAAGAATAGACACTATTCTGGAGTTGCCCAGCTCTGCTTCCATCTGTTGGTATGTCGCGGTATAGATGGAACTAGCGCATGTCCTGAATATGTTGCGTTAGCTTGGGCCAGTTGCTTTGATCGTGCGTTACTTACATGCACAGACTGACAAAACAAATAACAAGAACGATCCGCCATTTTTTCAAAGTGCTGTAGTTACGAGGGCATAGAGGATCCGCATCCTCCCAGTCGACCTCGTAACTGTCTTTTTCCGTGCTCGGTGGGCTCTGGGCTTTTCGGTCTGCCGGTGCAAGAACTGGAGTCGCGGTCTTGCTGTTGTCGTCCAGCGACTGCATTTCACTGTCTTTGCTTTGCTCTACCATTATTTCGCGAGATCAGTTTGCTCGATCGATTTTGGCTTGTATGGAAGTAGCCACCACAGCGCTGGGAAGATGCCACGACGAGAACCGAACAGCGCCGGATAAATCGTTTAATTTATTTTTGACTTAAACAAGGCCTCGCTAGTGTGGTCTTTTTTTTTTTTTTTTTTTTTTTTGCATTACTTAACAGAATAAATTGAGCGAAGTCAGCCGACGCGCTCCTAGTTTCATGCATTCGGAGGGTTGACAAAGGCTGGAATCGGGCTGGCTGGCGGACTAGACCTGGAGCGGAATTCGCGATGATCGGCGTCTGGAACCCTTTCCTAACTGGCGTGGGATCGCAATTAACTCAAAGACCGTAAAAAGGATCCAGGTCCGAACAGCCCAGTCCGGAGTATTCTCCACTGTATAGATTCTAGACCAGCTCTGGCCCCACCAAACCCTCCGACAGCAAGTGGCCAGCCGGCTTGACACAGATCGCCCATGCTCAAAAGCAATTATACGACACTACGTCGCCGCCATGTAGCCATACTTTGAAGGTGGTTTCGCCCAAGTTCTGCAAGAATAGACAAACAGCAAACAGCATTCATTTATTCATTATCTTTCGGTGAAAGTCAACCCACCATGACTACTACGGAACGCGGCTATCACAACACATCATCGTCATACGTCCTCCCCAATGAGTGCGACCTTTCTAAGACCCAGGCTGAATTGAGCCCTTCACTAATATATGCTATGTAGCGCCATTGAGCAGGATCGACTCGATGCGCAAGCCGATGCCATTGTGGCCATGATTGGCGGTGCTCCGTTTTTGGCGTACAACCGTCATCTCACAAACGTCTCCAAGGCAGTGGATATTGGCTGCGGAACCGGTGTTGCAACCATTCAACTGGCTGCTCTGCTCCCCAGCGCAAACGTGGTCGGTATTGACATTACTCCTGTTCCCGCACCTGCACTTGCTGCTGCCTCGCCCAAACTGCAATGGGAGACTGGGAATATTCTAGATGTGGACATGGAGAAGCAGACGGAGAGCCTCAGCCGCGGCGCATTGGCACCAAACACTACTAGCTACTTCTTTGGACGCATGTTGTTCATGGGTATCAGCGACTGGCGCAAGTACTTCCAGGTTGCTGGCCTCATGCTTCATGACCAAGGCATCATAGAGCACCAGGACCTGGATTGGAAGTTCTATCGTGTCGGCACAGACGAATGTCTCAGCGATAGCTGGAAATGGTACGCCCGGCTCATGGAAGCCGTCAAGAAGGCCGGTCTGTCTGAATTTTCTGGAACCAATGCGGCCTCTCTCATGGAGACGGCTGGTCTGAAAGTTATTGAAACTCGGAAGTTTGAGTTTTCGTTTGTCCCGTCGGCCAAGACTCCTAACAGTCAAGCAATGGGTCGATACGTGCAAGCAAAGCTGATGGCGAACCATCCAGAGCTGATGCGAAAACTACTGGGGTCGCTGAACATTGCCAATAACGAAGTGGAACAGCTCATCCGCGATGCTTTGAGAGACCTGTCATCTGAGGAAGGAATTCATCAGAAATACACTGTCACTATTGCAAAGAAAGCATGAGCCAAGTTCAAATGTTTTGTTTAATCTGGACTAGCAAAGTAGTAGTGCATGCTGGGCTTTCTTCTGGACAGAAAGCACAGCCAGTCAACGCGAATGTTTATCATGATTTATGTGTATTTTCTCATACAGTCTCTATAAGGACGTACATTGAACATTCCGATGTTTGGAATTTACCAATGCAAAGTTAGAACCACCCCAGTCAAATACTCCCAGAGCAATAGAGAAAGGCAATACTATTTAGATGAAATATAGAACTGTTATTTTCCTGCTCACCAGCCTATACTGTCACGGGACAAGATGAGATCAACTCAAGAGATACTCTTGCTATATTGCGATAATACTAAGAGGAATAGGAAATAGAGACATGCAGGCGCGTGGCGTAGACGTGTTAAGTGCTACTACCCTCCGGCCTCCTACCCTGCTACTCCGGTCAGTCCCGTCAACTAAACTTTTTTGTGATGCCGATAGGTACTTTTCGGGCTGGCTGATAGATGGCACAGCATACAAATAAATGACCAGCCTACATGTTACACCACTTAGTACCAGCATTGGTCCTGATACCAGTAGTATTCTATGCATATTTTATTTGCTAGTTCTCATCATTCTAAATCTGCTTGATATATTGCTTGTATGTTGTGGGCCACACGCCATTCTTGCCAGGGGAGAGGATACCCTTCGGATCAAGTGCATCCTTAATCTTCTCGCTCAGCTTCATGTGCGCACTATCGTTGAAGTTATAAGTGCCCGCGACCTGATCCATCAGCGCCAGATGGGCACGATACTCTCCCCATCCACGATCCGCCGCTTCCTGAATCAAAAGCTTGATGAGTTCGTGTGCGCGAGTGCGCATCTCGGGGTCCTCTCGATCGAAGAGGATGCAAACAATGTGATGGATCTCGCGCACACCAACAAGGAATGCGCCGAGGAAATCAAAACCAAACTCCTCGCTGCGACGGCGCGTCAGCTCGTACTGAGCCTCGGCATCGTCTCCTGTGAGCTTGGCGATGGGTGCAAAGAAGAGATGCCCACCATTTGGCAGCCACGATACCCAGTCCAATTCAGTGATAGACGGGATTCCCACAAATGTATTCTTTCTCGTTTGCAGCGCCTTGTCGTGAGGCCGGTCCTCGGGGAAGTAGAACTTGGCACCCGGGATCTGGCTGAAGGCGCCTTTAATGACCTTCCAGAGAACTTCGCGCACCTCTGGCGGTCCGTATATGCAACCGTAAAAGTTCCAGCGGCCAAGGCCTAGCTTCTCAGCAATGGCATCAAGATCAGCATCCGTTAGAAGCTCCTTGGACTCGGTATAAGAGCTGCGAGTCCCCTGGGTTTTTTTTAGTTATATTTGGTCCGTACGCTTAGGCGTAAAATGTGCTACATACCTCCATAGCCGCGCTGACAAGGATATTGTCCAGCTTTGGCACGTTCTGGATAACCATTGAAACTCGCAAGGGCCGCATGATCTCGACAATGCGATTTAGATCATCATCTCGGGGAAAGGTGATCATGTACGTCTGCGAGCCACCCGGGTTGGGCATGAGCCAAACGCCCATCTTTGTTACAATGCCCATGTTGGATTGAGAAAAGATTCCATCGTGATGCGGGCCAACACCGTAGTTAAACAGTTGCCAGCACTCATTCGGCTCTTGCTCGTGGGGCGGCGCGTTCTTGTCTGCTTTTGGGTTCGGCAAAGCACCCATGCCTGTTCTTACCAATGATCCGTCGGGAAGAACAACTTCCAACCCGCAATGCATCATCCTGAAAAAGTCAGCTACTTCTTCCCGAAGGCCCAAGACCGCCCGAAACAGTTAGGGAGGCAAACATTCTTACCAGTAATCTCCGTAAGGAGTATAACCAATGCCTCTCTCCATAGTGTTGCCAATGACAGAGCCGCCGCCCAAGTCAGGACAATCGGCCCAGACCTTGTCTCGCAGGTCATGGTCAACAAGGTATTGGTGCAAGTCAAAGAAAGAAACGCCGGGCTCAACAAGAGCATAAGCACTGTCTGCGTCTACTTTGAGCACTTTGTTCATGTTTTTGCCCATGTCAAGACCGATGCTGCCGGGTACACGAGGAGCAGCACCTCCATACCCAACGTGCAGGAACCCGCAAAATCCACCGTGATGTCGAAAACTGCTTCTTCATGATACGTACTAGTAGCGGATGCAACGGTTCATTTTCACACGCAGTACAGAAACAAAACTTACTTTGTCGGAGTTTCTATTCTGCATAAGGCTTCGGTTACATCCGCATGAGACATGCACATATTTGCCTCAAAGTTTTACAACAATGGTCCTCATTTAATTTGCAGTATAAATACAGACTGCGTAAGCTGGACAATGAGAAGCCTATTCTGGCACTATTAGTTCCCCACTGGATAAAGTATGACGCCAGAAAAGCATACTGGTGTAGCCATGACACCTGTCGCAATTATCACTGGTGCCTGCCCCGGAATTGGGCTTGCCATGTCCAAGGAGCTCATCCATCGAGGCTACAAGGTGTTCATGGGCGACATCAACCCCAAAGGTGGCGAGGTAGTTGATGCCTTGGCACTCCCTTCCGATGCCCCTGCACCTACATTCGTCTGCGGAAATGTTGCTTCCTTCGAAGACCAAGCCAGGCTCTTTGAAGCTGCCTATTCCTTCGCGCAGCACATTGACGTCTTCCTGGCCAATGCAGGCGTGGATGACAGGGAAGATCTTCTCGCCGAGCCTGCCGATCCCACTTTCAACTCCAAGCCAACACCGTACAATGCAGCCACTGCCGATATCAACCTAGGCGCTGTTTTTCAGGGCTTCAAGCTCATGGTGCACTATAGTCGCCGTGCCCAATACGATGCAAAGGCCGCAGGCTCCGCCCCTCCCCCACTTGGCCGCATGGTTGTCACTTCATCGACATTCGGGCTGTACCCATTTCCCACGAATCCAGTCTATGCCGCCACCAAACACGCCACAAAAGGATTTGTCCAGAGCCTTGGCCGCCGCGCTGAGCAGGAAGCAAACTTCACGCTGAACGCCATCCTGCCGGCTTTTGTGCCAACGGGTTTAGCCCCCGAGGGGCTGGTGGCACAGATCCGAGACAGAGGCTACATAACGTCCATGGAGACTGTTGTGAAGGCGCTGGATTTGTTCCTGGGCGAGACCGCGGAGCTGCCGGATCACGTTCAGAGAATCGAGCTTCCTGGTGCTGCAGCGGGCGATGGGCCTCTTACCGGAGAATGTGCGGAAGTAAGCATGACTGAAATTTACTTGCGCGGTTCTGTTCCATTTGCGAATGACAGCCAACGATGGTTTTCGGAGGATCCAGATGGCCTTTGGTGGGACGGGTATCGACAGAAGAGAGCGAGTGGCAGATAGAAAGTGAAAACTACTAGAAACACAGCTTCCTAACTAGCTCGCAATGTATACCTGCTCGACGTCATTATGTAATTGCTGGGGGCGTTCACTGTTCGTGTTTGACGTGGCTTGATATGAGCAAGAGCTGAATCTCACTCGAAAGCCTTTTCCTCTTCCCGCAGTCCATAGTGGTAATAGTGTACAGGATACGTTCGAGGCTCTGCCTGAAACGGCCCTCGCCGTAGAAACACCGCAAAATATGCCGAGCATAGCCCATCTATAATAATTGGTCCGAAGGTGCCTGTGAAAATAACGGGCACGGGGGTGGAGACGTTCGCCGCAGACGACGCTTGCTATTGTTAGCCATATATAATCTCCAAAATTTTCTCGGTGGGATTTGCCGTTTCTGGGCCAATACTTATCATCTGCTTTCAACAAGAAAATCATTAACTTTTAACAAAGACAATGATAGAGACGAACTTCTCCTTCGTTTTGCCGGCAGCGGCTCTCTTGTGTTTCCTTCTGCGGGAAGTCTGGAAACAGCATATACACTTGCAGTCCCTCAGAAGTAGCGTTAGAGAGACCTGTTTCCGGGCCCAGCTCGATTCACTAAGGTCTCTAAGAGGTCAAAATGAAGCTGTCGATGTTCTGCTGAACCTTATCGAGCAAGATGGTGCCGGTCAGTGGCCCCGCTTGTTGTATACGACGATTGGCCGTCAGCTCTCCAGCCATATAAAGACATATACCATGAGGTGGTGCCACAACTTTCTTCTTCTACTCCGCTTCTTGATGATGATACTCTCATGGCCCGTCGTGAGTCCTTTCGGTCTCGCATGCGTGAGCTTTTGAAAGAGCGGATAGATTTGCTCGAGGTGGGACGGCTGTTGAACGAGGCCGAAGCCGGCAACTGGACTAGCCTCCGCCGTGAGCAGCTGAATGGTGTTTATTGTGCCATTTCTGTTTTAAGACATGCGTACAGGTAAGTTGCAATCACTTGTTCCAGGGGCAAGATGGCTTGAAAGGCTCTTTTCCTAAAGCGGTTGGTGATAGATGGGCAACCATCCCCGTCGTAAAAGTCGCACAAGCCGAAACCGTGATAGACTTTCCCGTCGAACTTGATAGTGCTTGGGCCCCGCTTCAACGACATTTTGGCTGCACCGCAGAAAGCGGAAACAATACGGCAAATGTATTGTATAATTTCACCCCTGATGGCAACCGGATGTTTAAGATCAACATTGGCCAGTCAGATGAAATTGTATCGTCCGAAGAGGCATTCTTCCGCATGTTCTATGACATTGAAGCCTTGGTATGGAATTATGACCTGGTACTACATGGTATTGTCTTGGTTACTTATTATGAAAGTAGGCGCGTGTTGTCTATATTGACATGGTTGAGGCAATTGTCGCATTTGAGGAGAACCGAAAAGCAGACTCTCTGCGACGCCTCCAACAACTCAAACCCAAGTTGGACAAAATCTACCAAGTATTCTATGACGGCCTGGTTGATGCCAAGGTATCCCGGAAAGTTTGGCTGAGCTACTGCCAAGGCTTTCAGGGTTGGGGTGTTGGCCGGGTTATCGATGGCCGCCATGTCAAGTACGACGGTCTATCGGGAAACCATGTTCTCATCTTTCAAGCAATCGATGCTTTCTTTGGCATGGAACGCTACCTTATCGACGAGAACATGATCCGCTACATCCCTGTCCGCCAGCGCGAGTTTACGAGCGTCTTGAGACGGCACTCTATCCGCGCCCAGATTGAAAAAGGGGAAGATGAAGAGATTCGGGCGGAGATAGGCAAGCTTGTGCAGGCCATGAAAGTAAGTTCATTATCATACACCATTTTATTCTCATGGTCTGTTCCGCTGACACTGTGTCCAAAGCTCTTCCGCGCGGCACACAGGACGCGAGTAATCCCGTACCTGAAGCAGCCAGCACCAGAGAGACGAATCATGACGGCGGGCAAATCCGTTTTGGAGAACGAGCACACAAACGGACTCGAAGACGCCTTGGCCCCGCTGAACAAGATGATGACGACTAGACTGCAGGAGACTGTCTAGGTGTTGTCTGAGATGAACTGCCAGAAACATAGACGACGATACAGAAGTGGCAAGCTGTAAACAGAAACTAGACTTAAAAGATTGGAATAAAAACCCACGTTTTGATTTCTTTTCCGCGGATGGTCAAGCATGTTCGCACAGAGTTTGCACTACACAACCCACCTAGCTCAGCAGGCCGTTATTAATTTTAGTTGTACGCCGCTGCACTACAAGATCATGATTAATTCATTTACGGCAGAAATGTCTAGACGTATGCGTGCTCTCAGTAGGACGGAAACAGGAGCAAGGCCGAGGTCTTCTTGCCTCAAAGGATGGCTCTCATCATCTTGTTTTCTGGGCGGCGCTCTCATTTATGTACTGGAAAATACCATCTTCTCGTCGGCGCAACTCCCGCTGGGCCATTTCTGTTAGAATCTCAATGGTGTCGCCGCGGCCCGTCTCTCCAGCACGGCTCCCGGTCCGGTTCGATGCCGGACTTTCGTCGACGATGTCCAGGTCCATGGAGCAGCGGTGGGCTGCCGTGTGCATTACGAACTGCCGAAGCGACTCGCGGAGATTCTGGGCCGTCTGGGAGACGAGCTGCAGGTGGATTTCTGCGGCCGACTTTCTCGATACCTGCAGCCGGATGCCTCCAATGTTGATTTGCGGGGCTTCTTCGGGGGACGCAGCTCGCTGCTGTCGCTGCAGCAGCATCGCGGTGGGAGAGCTCGTGTCTCGCAGCTCGTGTCGCAGCTTCTCCATGGCAAATTCATAGGCCTCAAGAAGATAGCTGTAACACCCCAGTATGAGCAGAGAGGTCATGCCGTGGCACTTAGCAATCGGTATTGGCGGGTAGCACAGTCCATTCTCCTTGAAGCGCTGAAGTATCTCGGTCATCTCGGCGCTAAGCCTGTAGATGACCTCCATGTCGTCGGTCATGCTGAAGGACACGGCGAGCGACTCGGAGAAGGCGATGAGCTCGGTCTGTGTGACGACAAGCTGGCTGTGCAGGCTCTCGCTCTTGAGCGAAGCGGCGGCAGAAGGCGCCTCGCTGCTGGAACGGGTGTCAATGTGTGCGCTGCTGGTGGAGCGGTGGGCGCTGCCGCCCCCAAGGGCGAGAACAAGTCGGCGGCAGCATTTGAGCTTGCAGATGATGCCGTACTCGGGCCACTGGGTATCGCCTCAGTGATGGGCAAATGAGGCTGCTCGTAGTCGTCTAGCCAGGGCGGGTGGTCCCACAAGTAGGCGGCAGTGTTCTCGTCGGAGGGGAGGTCGCTGAAGAGGTCTAGGCTGATGAATGGTTCGTCTACTGTGTCATATCTGTCAGCTTTCCATGCCAAGTACATGTGATGCAAGGGCAAGAAAAAAGAGCATTGAAGGTTCGCGACTTACTGCTCATGGCTGAGGTTGGGTGTTGGCTGGACGGGCTTGACGGGCCGGTCCCGCGACCGAGCGGACGGCCCGCCTTGCCACGTGGACTGTAGTTGCAGACTGTGCCTGACCGTAAGCACTTGTGGCACTGGTTGGACGACGCATCCTTCGTGCACCGAGTTTTGGCGGCGTAGCAACGATCGCAGGTGGATCGGATAAGGCTCATGCTAGCGTTTTTGGTGGTCTCCCTTCAACGCTGGTAGAAGAGCTAGTCGACCTTGAAAAGCGGGCGTCTTCCCGGTTGCGAATTTGCCTCCCCTCTGATTGCGACGCAAGGCTGTGCAAGTAGTAAGTACGAGGAGAATACAAAACGGAACAAACTACCTTACCTGGTCTGACTCGAAGGACCGATCAGTATTGGCGCCTGTCGATGAGAAAGAAGGGAACAAGAGAAAATATATGTCAAAGTAGGAGCAGCGAGCAAAACATTCCTTCTCTAGGCTGGTGACGAGAATCGGACAGCGGCCTACAGCAGGAGCCAAAATGGTAGCCTGAATTGTAGCGTACGTAAGGAGTGACTACGGTGCTACATTAGTGCAGAATTTTAGAAAATTATTTGAGGCGATTTTTGATTTTGAGGCTAAAAAATCGCCGAAAAGAACTTTTTGTAAAAATTTACACGAATAGAGAGAGCGTGACTCTTGCATCTCAGCTGGGGCCAGCAGCCGCAGTGGAGAGACACTTGCCCGAGGACCAAAGAGAACCGAATGGTGCCAAGTCGCTAGCTGGTTATGGTGACATCTTGTGGGTGACGACGGCGATCCAGGCTAACGACCTTGGGGTCCAAAACTCGCAAGTCACAGTCGTGATCTTTCCGCATATCTACATCTCTGTCTGTACCTAGAATAAGGTAAATTAGCGAGAGTTATACTCGTGTGGGGATCTTGCGGCTAGCCATGGCTGTGTTACGCTCAGGTACGAGAGGAAGATAAACAACCAATATAGTCTCTGGATGCACATGATCTTAAGTGCCTCGGCCCGGATTTCCAGAAATCCCCGAATGTCCGGCCACCCCTAGTTAACCAGTCAAACAGCCACTAATAAGACCATCCATGTGGGACGGATCATGTCCTGAGACGAAATGGAACAGTGGAACGTATTGCTGGTATGAGTTTATTCGACGGCGGCGCCATTGTGCTGTTGCAGTTTGGTTCCATTTTGTGTGCTATCTGCCTGAGCGGACGCTGGATTAGTGTCAACCGATCCCCGATAATAGCGAATCTATGGGAATCGCTAGTAAGCGGGATGTTTCGGGATGAAAGAAGGTCTGATTTCTGGCAATCTAGATGTCTAACTATCTACTTATAATCAACGAAATGAAAACTCTGTAAAATCTCCTCAATCCAGCGAGTTGAATCCATGGTAGAATCCAGCAATCTGATTGGCCTAGCCAGAATTCAGTTAAATATCGATATCTGATAATTGGTAAGATATGGCTGACACACCCCCCAGGTAAGTAGGCATCACAAAGCTAAATCTAACATTTATAATCTAGTGCTGTAGATATTAAATGAACTTTTAATACTTCCCTATTAGGAAGGTAAGATAGATGGTTAGTATTGCAGGCATCTATCTTATTCATCTAATATTAATTTTAGATTAATTTAATTAATCTTAATCTAGATTAACAAGGCTGATCTGCCTTATAAATTCATAGTGCTTCTAGCATAGGACTCTAAGACTATATAATTAATGCATATCATATGATCTAGAATGTTTATCTAGTTTATCTACCTAACTAGGTTACCCAAAACCCAGCTAGGTTCTATATAAAAGCCCAGAACCTAACTTGGAATACCCCCCTTAAGCCCAAAACCCAGCCCAAGTTGGGTTTGACATATGTTTCAGTTGGGTTACCCAGAACACCTGCCTAGGTCTAAGCATGTGCTTGAGTGCTAAAGTAGTAGCTCGTAGAGGGAAAATACAGGTGGAAATGCGGCTGTTTATAGCCTCAGTAGCTGTCATTTTCGGCGTCGATTTCACAGGTCCCCATATTCTACGTGTAATTTCAGCTCTTGAGGGGCGGAGGATATGTGAGCGGAAAAAAGTCCACGGCGGTCACCTTGTCTCTCCAGGTCTTTCCACGCAAATGCAAGAGAGTATCGGTCCGAGGTATCATACGATTATCCACAGTATCGGCCGCGGGATAAGTATTCGGGCTTAGGCAAGACGGCACCGGTTACATTGATCAGGCAATAGTTGTATCTACGGAGTCGGACAGGAGAGTACGGCGAGGGTTATGACGGTTTCAACGATTGTAAATGCATAAGCTCTTCCAACAGATATATCAATCGTTCATGAGAGAACCAAGTCAAATACCAAAACCACAGGACAGGTCCATAACTCACCGAGACCAAGTCAACCAAGCAACCTAATGAATAATCAATCAGATCTCAAAGCATAAAATATCAACAAACATGGAAGCAGAACACATTCAAAATCACTGAAGTGTCTTCATTGCACTGTAATAAGCAGATCAGACCGAGCCACACAATATCAATCGCGCAATCTCACCTCGTAGCTTATCTGCATGAGGTGGGAGGTAATAATCCGCATATCCCGGAGGATATGCAGGCTCTTCTTCTCCTGGGCCAACCACGTCATGCATTCAAACGATCCATCACGCTTCATCTTGTAAAACTCGACCTTACGGCCGACGGCAATGGCACCATGGATTGTCATCCCGCGCCCCCGCGCAATCTGAGAGTGCGACGACTTCATCATCTCCTCCTTCAACTTGTTCTGCATCTCTGCTAGGTGCCACTCTTCCTTCGTCTCAGCCTGGCAGAAGACGTGAAGAAAATTCAAACGGTCGAACGGGCCGTATTCGCGGCCGACGGCGAGCGCGATGTGTGAGCTCTCGGATTCATGGTGATTGCCTAGAGCGTACTTCACCGCGGTCTCGTCAGGAAGATCGGGCAGGTTGGGGAGAGAACCATGGAGAGGGAAGGGGAAATACCTCTGTAAGATGTGCGTCCACAGGACATACAGCTCTTCACGTGAGGGAGACTCGGGGAGAAGTACGAGTTTCTCGCGCAGTTCAAGTGGCAGATGCTGGATACGAGTTAGCATTCTTTCTCGTAGAGGGGTGGGATATTGACGGACCATTTCGAATCTCGCGGCAGTTGGATAACAAGGGATTTACAGCGGTAGTTTGCAAGTGGGAGTTGGAAAAGAAGAGTTGTCGAGAAGAGGTGGATGATGATGATGATGATGATGAGAAGACGGACATCATGGTGTCGTTGAGATATTTATATTCCAGTCTGTCGGAGTCTCTTGAGACAGAAGCAGAATGTTTCAGACATTACAGAGGGTATCCCGAATATGTCTTGATTGCTAACAAAGAGGGCACGGCGATTGACTCATACAATTCGTGGTTATTGAAATACGTCTACAACACGGACGAGACAGCTAAACAAAGGCATTGTTCTCTGCAATGAACGACAATTCCATTTATTCCGCCATGTCTCAGACACGGGACAAAGAGTTACTGAGGAACCGACAGATTCTGATGCAGTTCCTTTCGCTGGACAGCGCCGAAACGAAGATTGCCGACGTCGAATATCTACCACCGTTAGCAAGATTCCTTCAAACAACGAACAGAACAAAGACGTACTGCGTATATTCCCTTGAGGAATGTGTCTCCAAGGATATCCATTGTCATGCTGCCTCTGCTTTGGATACCTCCGTAGACATAGCCCGGCTTGGCCTCAGCGAAGCCCAGATCCTCCTTTTGCACGACGAACTGTTTGTCCCCCACAGCAAACGAGACAACTGGAAGCTTGTCCTCAGTCGTGTTGGACGGGAAAATATACCCCTGACTTTCGTCGTCGTAATCCGCCCCGGGGATAGCATCATAAATTGCCTGACACGTCTCATCATCGACCAGCGCCAACGTCGTCCCCGTGTCAGCAATGGCTTTGTTTCCCGACCGCGCAATTGTCTTGCCATTCACGGTCGCCGAGGCAGAGTCAAACAGCCAAAAGCCCTCGCTGTTGTCGATGGGAGTGTAGTATATCTCCTCGCCCGATGCCGTCACGGTATCCTGATCGATAAATCCAAACGTGTAGAACGACTCGCCCTTGTCCGGCTCGTCCGCGTCTTTCCAGGATCCCAACTTCGCGGTGAACAGTTCGGCGGATTTCGGGATATCGTCTTGAGCGATCATATTCTCGACAGGAGTGCGGACAGCCTGCGGCTTGACCGTGTTGATGTTGCTAAACGCCAGTCCAAGCAAACCATCGCCCGTTCCCTGCTCGAACTGCGCGGAGAGGGTATCGGCCAGTTCGATTGCCTGGTTCTCCACATTCAAGCCGCCGAGCGAGACCGTATCTGTGCCGACCGTACCGGAGGCGAAAGAGCCATCGCCGTAGGAGATCTTCCATGACGAGCCAGGCTGTTCTTTGAAAGTACTCGACTTGCTTGGGTCGAAGATTGTGCCGGCTTTGCGCTGGGAGATGGTCGCCGAGGGGAGGTTGGTGGACCAGACCTATTCCTTAGTATTCTGCAAGTATCAACGAGATACGTAGCTTCGTACCCATAGGTCCGCAGATCCCGTGTCAAAATCCAGATTAACGGTCTGCGCTGGAGTGCCGATACTCACTGGCGCCAGGTACATGGTATCGTTCTGGACGTCGTCGGCGCCAACTTCGCCTGTCTCACCTGTATCCGCGATTCGCTTGCGCAGGACGTGCTGAATGCGAGCTTTGCCACCAACAGGCAGGTTTGTATACTGCCGGCCTGTCTGGTGAAGTGAACTGCTGTAAAAGAATCGCCCGCCCTTTGTTGGGGCGAAGCGGTACTTCCGCATAAGGTGGACATAGGACTTGGTCCCCGACTTGCGGTAGTGGGGGTTGGGGAGGAGCTTGATCTTGGTGGCCATTGCGATTGTTCTTTTTTGGATTGGAGGGTAATTGTAGATTGATGAGATGCCACGCTTTAAATGTCTTGCTGGTCTAGTCTACCCCTCATCAGCGGGACGTGATGCTGTGGCGGTTTTAGCGTGTTGGAGAATCTGCAGGATGACATGTCTAGCCCACCATTGTTCCATCCGGGAAGGTGTTATCGAGTGATCTGCATACGTGAGGTGCAATGCATGCGTGGCCAAGGAGAGCCAAGCTATTTCTTATCTTTGCTTGTTTATGGTGGCGCTTCGACATTGATGGTGTCATTCATATTCCATAGTCATCTCTTGGCCTGTTTATCCACGATCCTTCCCCTCTCCATCTCGACCTGCCATTGCTTTTTCTGGCCGTCTACAGCCTCCAGCGTCACCCTCCCCTCTCCTGCCAGACAACGGACTAGCTCCGTTACAAATGATGGCTCCTCCTCCTCCAGCATTCTCACATCCGGCCTCCACCTTCCCTCCTCGTACTCCTCCTTCCAAGCATTCATCCTACCCTTTTGCCACCGCTCAGAATATCTCGCCATCTTATACAGCCCATTCCACTGTTCCAAATTCGGCTGTGTTCTCGGTGTAAATCCATACCCGTATATTTCGGTAAAGTCCCACTCCCACGGCTGCTCGATATACTCCCCTGTGGCTGTTGAACTACCATCCAACTCGCACGCTCGCTTCCCTCCCGCATCCCTTAGGATGCGTATCACAGCGGGAAACCCCCGGTAGGCCTCCGCAGCTCGAGCAGGCGGACCTTGCGCTTCATCGTACACTATATTCTGCTCGAGAGCTTGGTTCCGACTAGCGCCGGGCTTGTGGTCCGCCAGTCGGCGCATGTGTGCGCGGCGGCTGATCTCTGCCCAGTGAAGAGCTTGATCTAGGACTGTCCATGGTAGGCGTTTACTGTCCTCGAGTTCGTTGATGCGAGTGGAGAGGCCCAGGGAGAGCAGAAGGGTCAGTGAGAGCGGTTTTCCCCGCTCTGCAGCGGCGAAAAGGGTGTGGTAGCTGTTGACATTGGGAAGATAATGCTTTGTATACACTTGCTGGATGTCAGGGTTCAGATGATGGAGGAATGTGCGGATCAGATCGTGCGAGGCCTGGTCGGTAAGTGCGGTGTTGTTGACGATCGAGAAGAAGATGTCCCTTCCCCGGTCGTTGAGGACAAGCGTGTCGGCTCCCTTGCCCAGGAGGAAGAGGCCTCGTCGTGCCGGGTCGAGATCTGTCTCGAGGGCGATGGTCAACGGAGTCGCGCCGCGGCGGGTGCTTGCATTGATATCTGCTGGAGGGGAGTGGGCGAGGAATATTTCGCATGCGGCTTCAAATTCCTCCTCGAGGTGGTAGATGGTGGCTAACGAATGCATTGGAGTATCCTTTTCAAACATGTTTGGGATGTCAATGTCCGGCATGGCGTTGACGATTTTCCTCATCGTCGACAGGTAGGAATCGGGATAAGCTAGACGTGGCCCAACTATTGATGCCCACGAATGTAGAACTGTATCTCCAGCCGACAGGACGGATTCACTTAAGTCTGCCCTTGCGTCTAACAGCGCACAGATTACTCCTCCGTCCCAGACTCCTGAATCGGCAGCCGCCGCGACGGGAGTCAGTGGTGGATATCCTTTGTCTTTGGCGTTGAGATCTGCCCCTGCGCCTACCAGTATCTTGACCAACTCTGTCATTTGGTTCAGATGTTGCTCCCAGTTACCGTGACGAATCCAGTAGTGCCAGTGGTGAGGGAGATAGCCATGTCGCTCGGGAAAGTACTTGGTGATTCCGTGCAGCGTGTTGCGCCCCATGGAGTCGACCAAGCTGCCATCGGCACCGTGGGATATCAGGTACCTGGCTAGAGAGGGTTCACCAAAGTACGCGGTCAAGAACAGAGGAGTGGTGGATGCATCTGAGGCATGGTAGCTTGCGTTTACATTGGCACCCAGAGAAATCAGGGCTTCTAACGCTGCCATGTTGCGGAAGAAGCAAGCCCAGTGCAGAGGTGTGCCGTGAGGAAGCTCAAATGGACTGTCGCTGTTAGGTCGCTCTCAAAGGGAAAGATTGAGAACATACTAGTGAAGAATTTGGATCTTTTCGGGGAATCCGCCACTATTCTCCTTGACAACAGGCTCAACGGTTGCGTTGATATTTGCGCCTCCCTCGATCATTCTTCTCGCGATTCCAGCAACGAAAGAGTCAGGAATCATAAACAGCCAGTGCATTGGATTCACCTTTTCCTGCTGAGTCGCAGTCGAAGCATTGGCGCCCTGGTCAAGCAATAGTTCAATGGTCTTCGCATGGCCAGCTTGGAATGCCTTGTACAGTGGCGTCTCTCCCTTCTCGTTCTCCACATTGACGGACAGATGTCCCTCATCCAGTAATCCCTGAACGGCATCAATAGCTCCCAATGCAGCTGCAGCGTGTAGGATCGTGTTTCCTTTCCGATCGACAATACTTCCATTCTTCATCTTCCACCTCAGGGCTCTGTTCCTGTCCCTCGCAGCCTCGACAACATCCTTCTTCGCCAGAAATGGATCCGAACAGAACCCCCCATTGGCCCTGAACCGTTCACGCGCTTCCTCGATCTTCCCATTCGAGTAACTGGGACTGGCAAAGAAATACCCCTCGGAAACAGCCTGCAACATCCATTCCTCCAACACATCCTCCGCAAACTCCGGCTTTTGACCATGCGCATCCATGATCTGCGCGTATACCCCTCTTGCAGGCGAGTATCCCGCCCTGGCTGCCTCGGTTAGATACGTCAGCAACCGGTCCAGATACGACGGCTTCTCGCCAGTGACCGTCTGTGCCAGCCCAAAGAACACATCGCCGGGGAACGGCGGTGCGTTTCCCTCTTTCATTAGGACGTATTGCTCTTGCAGCTCTGTCCGAACGGTTTCATCAAGTCGATACCAGAACAGGGGACCTTTGTTGTAGATTGGGTCAATGATGCCGACGTGCGTGTTTGTAGGTGTCAAATGGATGGAGGAGAGCCTAATCAGTGAGCTTTTCCATGTTAATACATAGAGCACGTAACCTACCAAGCTGCGTATATCGGGCTGTCGGTTTTGATCAAACTCGGACTGGGAAGTGGCCGTTTCCGTGGATCTTCAGAGAGGAGCTTCGCTATCGCTTTCCGCAACTCCGTGCGTATGTTCGACGGAATATCCTCCTGGCTATAGAGAAGCTCAAAGACCTGATCAGGAATATTCTCCGGATCCTCATCCAGAACAGGAGCCTCGCCGTTCCCCGTAAAGATAGACAGCAGCACCAACCCAAAGCTATACGCGTCAAACCTAAACATCAGCTCCGAGGCAAACCCCCAAACCTCCCCAGATCCTCATTCACCACCTCTGGCGCCAACCACGCCTGCGTGCCCCGGTAATCACTCAACGTGAACTTCGCATCCGGCGCCTCCAAATCCACACAGACCCCAAAATCACTCAACTTCGCCCGGAAGGGCACCCGCTCACTCGGGCCCGCAAACACAAGCACATTATCCGGCTTCACGTCCCCATGCACAATCCTCAGATTATGCAGCGCCTCCAGTCCATTCGCGACATCCAGCGACAGCTGATACCGCACCTCGACACTGCGCTTCTCCGCGCCCAGAAAATCGGATAAAGGCATCATCGCAGCCTCCATGAACAACACCGGCACCGCCATATCCGCAAAGGGGAAATCGAACCCCACGCCAGCAGACTGGTGATGTTGGGGTGTGCGCGCAGCACGGGATTACACAGGGAGAGAACCTCCAGCCCCAGCGTGCGCAGCTGCAGGCGGTAGTCCATGCTTGCTGCGAAGCGCTGCTCGGCTTTACTGGAGAGCGGGACATTGACGCGCTTGATGACCTGGTCTTCGTAGATGGGGTCGGTGAAGACGGTGAACTGAGCTCCGGCGCCAATTTTGGTCCCTCTTGTGGAGAGATTGAAGGCTTTTAGGATGCGGGGGCCGTGAATTCCTGTTTGGGCCAGGAGGGCGGTGAATTGCGAGAGAGTGCTGAGGACGGGCGAGGAGCCGTTGCAGGTGGCTGTTATGGCGGATTCTAAAGGGTCGATCCATGAGGATGAGTCTGAGCTAGAAGAGAGGTTGAGGCTGCTGAGGTCGAACTCGTCGATGTCTGTGTTATTGGACCATGCTTGAAGCGAGGGAGAGAGATCGCTGCTGTTGATGGCGTAGTAGCTGTCTTCCTCTAGGGAATTAAGGATTTCGTCGTAGGAAGATAGGTCAGTCATTTTCAAATAATTTACTGTGAGCTCCAATAAGTGTTAAGAAAACGAATACTTGCGCTTCTGCGGGGTCATGTTTATAGTTAAATACCGGAGTATCTGTCAGCATCATCCCACTTGGCGCCGTTAGTGCTGACGGCCAGCCTCACGAGTCACAACCCAACCCCTCTCGACTTCGTCTGGCATTCTCCTCTTCGTCGTCAGTCAAACAAGAAGCAAAATGGACTTCTACGGTACGGCAGTGACGGCCATCACCCAAGTCTACCAAGTAACTATCTTCATCAAAGGTGTCGTCTCCGACATCAAAGCCTTTGACGACGACCGCGCCGAGATCCAGCTGAAGCTCAATCTCCAACTCACGACCTTGCTCTTCTTCAAACGCATCTCCTTTCATCCCGAGCATGGCCTCCTACTCCCGGGAAAGCTAGACCCTTTCATCGCCGACACTGTCGAAGGGCTCCTGGTGCAGATGCGGAAGACCCTCGCCGAGTACGAGCTCGTAGCGGTAAAGTACGGTCTCATCGATGAGGAACTTGCCATCGAGCCCGATAAGCCCGCCAAGTCGCAGGAGTCGCTGCTGGAGCGCGCAAAGAGCAAGGCCCGATCGCTCAAACTCAAGGGATACGACTGGTCGCTCTTCGACAAGAAGAGGCTGAACCGCATCCTGGACGCGTATACAAAGTGGTCCGAGGACCTGCGCAATATCATGCTGCACATGTCGCAGGATACGTTGGCCCGGATGGCAGAGAGCGATCACCAGGGATTGCGGAGCAGTGGCCTGGAGCCCGTGATGAAGCGCCGGACGCTGGCCGCGGCCAAGGCACCGGCCGACTATCGGAGTTTAGCTGGGACGCTTGCAGAAGAAGGCAAGACGATGGGCGGCTTCCGACTGGGGAAGTGGTCGGCGTCGGAATCTGAGGCAATGACGGTGATTGTCGAGTACCACGAGTACGAGAGCAAGCTTAAACGCGACGACCTCGAACCGGACGAGATCGAAGAACTCAAAGACCCGATCCGCAATCTCGCCTGGCTCCTACAGAACACCACCTTCACCGGCACGTCATCCAACTCACTTGACCAACCAAAGATCTACGCCCTCGAATGTCTCGGCTTCATCGACCAACCCACCGAAGAGCGCACCGTCTTCCTTTACAAACTTCCCCCTGCGAACCTACCACAGACACGACACTCACAACCCTGCACGCCTTCATCAACGCCGTCGACAGCCAAACCAAACGCCCACTGAAGAAGCCCTCCCTCAACGACCGCTTCAGCATGGCGCACAGCCTCGCCCTGACTGTCTCCAACCTGCACGCCTCAGCCTGGCTCCACAAGAACATCTGGAGCAGAGGCATCCTCCTCTTCCTCGAGACACCCACCGGAACCAGCGCAGCAGGCCTCTACGCACACCGCCTTACCCCTTCCCCACAGGAGAACACCCGAATCGTCTCCTACCTAAGCGACTGGGGCTACGCGCGCTCCGTCCAGCAAGGCACAGAAATGCGCTCCGACTTCGAGGTCGAGCCGAACCTCTACCGGCATCCGGACCGGCAGGGGCGGCCGTCGCACCAGTTTAACCGCGAGCATGATATCTATGCGCTTGGGGTGGTACTGCTTGAGATCGGGCTGTGGGTGACGATGTCGCGGCTGATGGAGGGGAAGATCCGGGAGGCGAAGGACAGCGGGCGGCTGCCGAGGTCGAAGAAGGTGCTGGAGGATCTGGTTGCGCTGGCGCAGCAGGGGTTGCCGAAGGAGATGGGGGTAGGGTATACGAGGGCTGTGTTGGCTTGTCTGCGGGGGAGTTTCGGGGGAGGGAGGGGCCGGCGTTGGCGGTGGATTTTCAGGAAAAGGTGGTGGATGTTCTTGCGGGGGGGATCGAAATGTAGATACAGATACTGTATACAGTTATGCTATTATCTATTGAGATTGAGAAAGTCTAGTACAGGCGCCTGGCTTAGAAAGCAGGTGCGATAGCCAGTGCGAAGAAAACAGTGAAAAAGAACGAGGGCAAATTGGTCGCAGCAGCACCGGTGAACACGGCCGACGCACTAGCCGAGCTGGATGCAGCAGCAGCCGAGGAAGAAGAGGAAGCAGACGAAGAGGACGAGCTCACAACCCCACTGCTCGAGGTCTGCACAGAGGCCGGGTAAGTACTCGCCGCAGTGATCAATGCTCTAGAAGTCGTAGAGGTGGAGGTGGAGGTGGAGGCAGAGGACGAAGAAGCGGACACACTGACCGAGTTCGAGCTATGGATACCACTACCGCTGGTCGAGTTCGAGGCCACGATGCTGGTATACGAGCCCGTCTTGTCGCTGTAGTTGTACGACGCAGCAGGGTTATAGTTGATGATGTTGACCGACTTGACGTACATGGTGAATGGGACATCGTCGTAGTCGGTCTCGCCACCGGCCCACTCGATCGTTCCCTCGCTGTTAGACGAATCGCCTCCGGCCCAGATGCCCAGCTTCACGACCATGGGTGTTTGCGGGTAGTTCTTCCCGTCGACGGCATCGGCATACTCGAGTGTGCGCACGGCGGTCCCGTCAATGTACCAGGTGATGGCCGCAGCGGTCCAGACGACTTTGTACGTGTGGAATTCGTCCTGCGGGGTGCTGACGGTCTCCCAGATGGCGCGATCGTAGGTGGTCGTGTTGCCTTTGCCAAAGTAGTTGGTTTCGATCTGGGTGGTGTCCGTTCCAGTGCATTCCTATCGTCGTCAGTATCTTTCCGTGATATTATAGAGAACAGGACTCACCCAGTCGATCTCATCTAGGTCATCCGACTCCATGACAATCGAGCTGACGATGCCGGTACCATTGGCCGCTCTCATGACGACCTCCACCTCGCCGAAGAAAATGTAAAAGTTGGTCTCAAGCGTAGGCGCATCGTACCGCTTGTTGATGGTGAATTCGGCTCCGTTGCTGCCGTAGGTCACATTGCCTGAGATGGCTGTCCATTCATCGGAGCTGCCCTGGGTGAAATCGGTGGACAGGCTCCAGTTCTGCAGGCCTGTGTCAGGGTCACAAGTTGCTACTCTTGTTAGTCCAGTAAAAGTTTGCTATCATGATCAGCTTACTGTTGGTAGGATTGCAGCTGGTATAGGTCTGCGCGGCACCGAGGGAGACAAAGGCCGAAATGGCCAGCAATGGCAGCATCATGTCACTGTATGGGTATTAACAGCAAATTAAAGGTGGAACGAGTGTATCAGTTAAGAATGAGTGAAGCCAAGGAGCAAACTGGTTTATACTAAAAGATTGAGGGAGCAGCCGTTAATGTAGGGCAGCGACCAGCCACATGACGAATCCAGCGTTAACCCCGAGGTGGAACGGACCATCGTTCGTCTGGCATGACACGCACTCTGGTCGGACATAAATGCTCAATTCTACCGTATTCTTCTCAGTAGTGCTCTGTAGAATCACGGAGGACATCACTTTGAAAGGTTACTGGTTGGGACGCGTGGCATGGTGGAGAAGATTCCATGGACGGGGCAACGGGATCGAATAAGCTTCGCCGTGATTGAATCGGATTCGGGCCGCTTCCAGCCAGAAGCGTTCAACAATGGATTGACAATTATACTCAATTGAACTTGAACATCACCAAGAAGACACTGTCTGGTACTCTACAGTCTATACAGCGTTGGGTGCTTAGCACTTGTCCGACTGCCAGTCAAGCTCTTATATGTAAAGGGACCATTCACCCTCGCTGCAAGGCCTCTGAACTGCGTGAATATGAACCTTCCATAGGCCCAATAATTGACCGATAGAAATAAGTGCTCCATATCTGACTCAACATCTTCCAAGACGGTCGTCCAACTGTTAATTAGTCCGCGCTAATAGTACAAATCACAAGCAAGAATACAAGATATAACAAACCAGAGACAAATCTAAGATAGCATATTTTTCAATCAAAATTCAAGAGAGTTCTGCAATCCTTTACCAAATCGTTAACTGGCTGACACCAACTCTGTCGAGTAGAAGCTCATATATATATATGTATATATAGACCACTCCACAAGTCACAAAGCCAAGCTTTCGGCATAATTCTTGTCGGCTGTACGCAGCAAAGTGGCTGAAATATTTACTTATGACTCGTCCGCCTGGACCCACTCGCTCTTTTTAACCCACTGTTGAGCATTACTGTGGAGCTACGTAAATCCAGACTTCTGCGAATGATTGCGCGGCATCCGTCGTCTATCGTGTGGATGCGTAGTTGGCCGCGTCACTGCTTTGATTTCATTTCCAATCTCTAAATAGCATTCCCGAAACATTAAGAGACAACTCTCAATATTTGACACAGGGAAGGAAGAAAGAGAGGTATAACTAGGACTCCTTGATGACACTGTTGTTTTGGCTCCACGGAATGACCTCATACGTACCCCGTCTTATATTGGAAATGAAGATTATGAATAGGGTCCCAATAGAATATTTTTACTCCTTCAGTTTTTAACAATGTACCGTAGCTTTGCGAAGGGATCAGACGCACCAGCCATACTGACGCGGATGATGCATCAAAGACAGGCTCGGAATCCAAAATCAATCAGTCACTTGTGATTGCTCAAGACTACTTTTCATGAAAAGGCCTCAATAGATCTTCAGCAAGGTTGCAGCAGGCAATAAAAACAGACTGCCACAGGGAACTCCTGTCTTCAGAGGTTGAGGGGGTTGCAGACCTTGCCGATCACCCCTACGGTAAATGCTAGATAGCTTACTGTCCTGTATTAAGGAAATCTAATTAATTGAATTATGAACGGCTAAAACGGCAATATTATGGGAGTGGTATCTTTTCAATGAAATGTTGACCGTCCTTGTTGTACCCACAGACCACCAAGTCTATAGGGTGGTGAATGTCCAACAGCTGTAACTTTGGCGCATCTTCCGCGACTGCTGGTAAGGCAAAGTTTACTACTCGACCTTGGGCCCAATATTCCCGGATTTGTGTAATGATTCGCTTGACAAGGTGCGTCGGGTAGTGGGAGTGCTCATATCCTCTAGCCGAGGTCTCAAGCCGTGGCCACATAACATCCAAGATATAGTGGAAGATTGCGTCTGATCGGTATAGGAACACGAGTTGCAGCAGTGTTTCTGCCAGACTGAAGGTGTACACGTCTGAAGTATTTGACGTAGTGAAATCAAGTGTACCAATAATTTGGCACATACGGTGAGCCAAATTATCCATCAGAGTGGTCAAATCCTCACATCCGCCTGGAACTACCCTATCGGATTTGGGGAATCCGTGAGGCTCTTGGAAAATGATTTCGCAGATCATGCAATATAGGGCGTTCATAGCGTCTCGGTGGGTCGGAAACGGTTGACACATAGACGGGGTTGAAGCCGCTGGGCCTGTTGGTCTTTGCATACATGTTTTCGACAGGTAGTGGACAGGCAGCTGATCCTCTTTGAGTCTGGACTTCCACACCTTCAGTCTTTCCCTTTGAACGTCTAACAGCTTCAGGAGATGTGGGCCTCGCACAAACCCTTCCCGGGCTTCTGCGCTTTCGTCCAGGGTGTAGTGCCTCCCTAGCATTTTGCTCAAGACATCATGGGTGATGCTGCCAATCTCACTTGAAAGCTCGGATATGTGGCAGCGACTTGCAACACAACGAAACACTATTAACCTTGTCCGGATTTCTATGCTCTTGATAAGGATGTCGTAGATCAGATCGCCCACACTCATGCCCCGGATACAGCTGAGATAGATGTGATCCATGGCATCCGGAAAGCGATTGGGCCCGAAAGAACTAGCCCCTTCCCCTTCCAGGAGCAACGCAGGTGGCTTTGCGAGTCGATGCGACATACAGAGACGATACCACATTTGCAGCGAATCGGCTCCGTCTGTTGATCCCATTATCTTCTCCCTGTTTCTCAGAACGAAGCGGACGGAATCCCAAACGGCCCGCCGAAATTTTAGATGATTGGTCGATGCATGGTGGTAGTAGGCGAGAAGAATATGCGCAGCAAGGACTGCAGACGCTTGACACTCGACCTCGCCGGCCTCCGCCAGCCGACAATACCACAGCGCCTGGTCGTGATATTTCTGGGCTTGACTGTGATGCAAGTTATTCACAAGCGGGCTGAAGACAGATCTTTGATTATCACCAGCCATGATGCGGCTCTGAACTCTCGCATTTAGCATGGAGAGGTTAGATGCTGAGATGCAAAGCACAGCGAACCGCAAACAAGGAGACTGAAGGCATCTATCTGTAAATATTAAAGAAGCCGTAGGGAGCAGATGGCGCACATGTCTCTGGAAATGACCCCAGTAGCTAATTTCCAAACTGTCTCCGGAATCTACAGCGGCCGGCAGGTTTGGCTTGTAAAGTCGGCCCACAGAGTTGAGCTCATCAGAACTGTAACTTGCACTCCGCCAATTATCCAGTGTATGGGGGCTTGAACGTGTAGCTGATGGAGACGACGCCCTCTGAGCTGTGGCATGCTGCTGGAACAACGCTGCGTCAAGATTTCTAAAAGTGACATCGACACCATAACTGCATTCTAGGGACAGTCTCGCGCAAGCTCGACAGCAAGGTTTTGTCTCATCGCACTGATGAAATTAAGACACTCCCCACTAACGGTACCGGGAAAATGACTGACCTTTTTGCCTCTTCTGCGGCATGGCCGGCAACCGGAGTGCCTCCGCTGAATATTGGATTTGGCATGTTTCGTGGAAGGCGATCGCATGGGCATATTTCGGTTGGAAAAGATCGAGTAGCGTTGCAGCTAACATTGAGAAGCAGAGTGATGCTGTGTAGTAGATAGAATAAGAATCTAGAGGGGAGTTGACGCCGAAAATTGGCCGTTCAATATTGTATTGGTAATGTAATACTATCTTGCTCTAACCTGTTTTGGATAAATCTTACGCCAGGACTGATAAATTACGGTTTCGGTGTTAAACCTAAGGCTTGGCTCCGATCATTGCCTGGATGAAGTAGTAAGTATGGGCCCTCTTCAGAGGAGCAGATCGAAGTATTTAAACATCCTCCCTCCCGACTGTTTCCAAGCAAGAAACACCGTTCTTCTGCATCGATAACCAAATACGAAATGGCACGCGCTGTGTGGACGAAGCTACTTTCGGATGCCTCCATCAAAAGGTCATCGCAGGCCTTGTCCATTATTGCCAACAATGCATATATTTACGGCGGGGAGCTGCGGCCCCGAGAGCCGGTGGACTCGGCTGTGCACTGCGTACCTATAGCCGGTGGTAAGTTCCACATGGTCTGATGCGAGATAGGAGTGAAAACTAACCTGAACAGACGGAATGTCTTCGGATTTGATATCCGCGATTGCCAGCACGTCCGACACCCCACAACCAAGAGTTGGAGCTGCATCTACCGCAATCGACGGGAAGGTCTATGTGTTTTCAGGCCGTGGGGGCTTGCCATGGCTCCGATAGAAGAAGAAGGTGCATTCTGGGTTTTCGACCCGGTTGGTAGTGCCTGGTCCCAAGTCAAGCCCGCAGACTCTCGGCTTCCTTACCCAGTTGGACGCAGTTACCATACTCTCACAACCGACGGCAAAGACACCATCTTTCTGCACGCCGGGTGCCCTGAAAAAGGCCGACTGCGCGACCTATGGGCGTTCAACATCTTCAGTCGCCAGTGGCGAGAATTGCCCCAGCTCCCCAACCAGAAAGAGGCGGGACGTCCATTGCATACGCAGAGGGAAAGGTCTTCCGCATGAGCGGCTTTGATGGCCAAAAGGAACAAGGAGGGGCGTTGGACGTGTTCGACCTCGAGAATAATGAGTGGAGCACCATTACGTACCCAGCCGATGGAATCTCGGGGCCGAGTCCACGGAGTGTAAGCTGCCTCCTATCGCTCAAAATTTCCGACAAGCCCTGTCTAGTCACGATGTTCGGTGAGCATGATCCCAGTAACCTAGGCCACCAGGGAGCGGGTAAAATGCTTGCAGATGTGTGGCTCTTCGATCTGAAGTCTCAGAAATGGACGGAAATCCAGGTGGATGCTGAGAACGCTCCTCCAGCGCGCGGATGGTTCGATGCAGATGTGATCACAAACAATTTGCGTCCCCGTATTGTCGTCCATGGCGGACTTGCTGAGTCAAATGAACGCCTAGGTGATATATGGCGGCTCGATTTCTAAATAGTGTCGTTCCATTCGCCATCACACTCTTGCGTCAGGTCGACATAAGCAGCTGTAGTCCATAATGGTTAGCTTCGGTGCATGTAGAAGATTGAAGATAAGGAATGCTTGCATACCATCAATGTTGAATGTCTCACCCATTTTGCCGGTTGGAGCAGTCCCGCGATGACAATTGAAGCAATATCCGAGCGTGCTTATGTGTGTGAATGGTCAGGAAGAGTAAAGTTCTACAGAGGGGTCTTGTACAATTTATAGCTCGAGATCATGCACCCCTCACCCCACCATATCTCTTTCCACTGCCAAGGACCACGTCCGAAGAGGAGGAACTATTCAAAAGTGGATAACACTGCAATCCTTACTGGTAACAGCTGATTTGCAGATCGTTCCGCCAGCCACCTCAATGCCCCACTATGTAGTGTCAGTGATGATAACTATTTCGCCAGTCAGTAGCAGCCAAGCCGGGCCTGCAGCTCAGCTGGTGTCGGAAAAGAATCCCTAGCCCCGCATGTTTGAGTGCACGATGGTCAGCACCCCGGCTATTGGCTAGATCGCAAGGCACATATCGTAGATCGGGCTTCGTCGGCACACCTTGATAGAGAGGGGTGGGCGTTGTTTGACAGGTTTAAAATGCATAGATCATAAATACAGGGTCTTAATAGGATTGTGTATGAAGCTTATATAGACTACCTTAGCACAGAAATAGCATGGCTCGTATCGAATATGGTAGTGTCCCTAGCACCTAGGATAGCGCGCAGCTTGCAATGGGAAGGAAAAAGCAGTGTCTTGCACTCTGGCACTCTCTGCCAGGGCCATAAAGAAGTGCTTGTCTCGGAAGTTGTTGTTGGCAGACCAGAACTTCTGCCTGATAAGCATACTTGCTCAGCTTTCCTCCTGCTGCACATCACTCTACCCTTTCAGTGTCATGACAGACGAGGTTGTTCTTTTCCACGAGAGGGAAAAAGGCAGGCTTCAAACGAAACTTCCTCGATCATTGCCGTTCAAGATTACAGGAGCTTAGACGAAGAGTCACGTCACTGATATAACTGACGAACATCTCCTTTGCCTTGAGCCACTTAAACCTCGAGTGGCTTGATAGCGGTACGGGAATTGGTTATGAAGCTACAGAGAAACAAGGTCTCACCTTGGCGCAGGAGCGCCCAGCTAGATTGGCGAGCCTCAATACTCATCCACTTACAGGGTTCCGACAATTTTGATCTGTAGAGAAGACAGCCTAATACATGATAAATTCCGCTGTCTATACCTTGTGAGTGATGGTGTCTTTAAACCGAACGTGAAGGAAAACATGGCCTTGGTGAAACCACTCATTGTATTAATCCTGAGGAACTAAGCTGTTTCAAAGTAAACAATTAAAAACTTTTCACGCAATCTCCCCTCCTTTGCTATGATTTTCTTTTTTTTTTTGGGGGGGGAGGGGGGTGTTTCCAGTCTCATTTGGTTCTCCTTGACCGAAATCAACACAGTTACTGCGATTTCTGCCACCCTTGGGAGGACCATTGCTGACCATCTTCCTGGCCCGACTGCCAGCCTTTAGGGTTCCATTGTTGTTTAGGCGTATTTTCTTTCCAGCCACCAGAAGTCCATCCACCACTGGTGTCCTGCTGCTTGGACCCATCTGGCTTGGACCCATCTGGCTGCTTAGAGCCATCTGGCTTCCAGCCACCAGAAGTCCATCCACTGCTGGTGTCCTGCTGCTTAGAGCCATCAGGCTTGGAGCCATCAGGCTTCCAGCCACCAGAAGTCCATCCACCGCTGGTGTCCTGCTGCTTAGACCCATCTGGCTTAGACCCATCTGGCTGCTTAGAGCCATCTGGCTTCCAGCTACCAGAAGTCCATCCACCGCTGGTGTCCTGCTGCTTGGACCCATCTGGCTGCTTAGAGCCACCTGGCTTCCAGCCACCAGAAGTCCATCCACCGCTGGTGTCCTGCTGCTTGGACCCATCTGGCTGCTTAGAGCCATCTGGCTTCCAGCCACCAGAAGTCCATCCACCGCTGGTGTCCTGCTGCTTGGACCCATCTGGCTGCTTAGAGCCATCTGGCTTCCAGCCACCAGAAGTCCATCCACCGCTGGTGTCCTGCTGCTTGGACCCATCTGGCTTAGACCCATCTGGCTGCTTAGAGCCATCTGGCTTCCAGCTACCAGAAGTCCATCCACCGCTGGTGTCCTGCTGCTTGGACCCATCTGGCTGCTTAGAGCCACCTGGCTTCCAGCCACCAGAAGTCCATCCACCGCTGGTGTCCTGCTGCTTGGACCCATCTGGCTGCTTAGAGCCATCTGGCTTCCAGCCACCAGAAGTCCATCCACCGCTGGTGTCCTGCTGCTTGGACCCATCTAGCTGCTTAGAGCCATCTGGCTTAGACCCATCTGGCTGCTTAGAGCCATCTGGCTGCTTAGAGCCATCTGGCTTCCAGCCACCAGAAGTCCATCCACTGCTGGTGTCCTGCTGCTTAGAGCCATCAGGCTTGGAGCCATCAGGCTTCCAGCCACCAGAAGTCCATCCACCGCTGGTGTCCTGCTGCTTAGAGCCATCAGGCTTGGAGCCATCAGGCTTCCAGCCACCAGAAGTCCATCCACCGCTGGTGTCCTGCTGCTTAGACCCATCTGGCTTGGACCCATCAGGCTTCCAGCCACCAGAAGTCCATCCACTGCTGGTGTCCTGCTGCTTAGACCCATCTGGCTTGGACCCATCAGGCTTCCAGCCACCAGAAGTCCATCCACTGCTGGTGTCCTGCTGCTTAGAGCCATCAGGCTTGGAGCCATCAGGCTTCCAGCCACCAGAAGTCCATCCACCGCTGGTGTCCTGCTGCTTAGAGCCATCTGACTTAGAGCCACCAGGGGCCCATCCTGTATCTTCTTTCCTTCGCTGGGTTCCAGATCCCTCTGTTGAGCAGAACTGGAAGTCGATGCACTCACTGCCCGCTAAGGCACAGTGCTCCCCGTTGTAAACCTCGCCATGTTTACAACTGGGCTCCTGCTGTGACACACAATATTGACTAGATTTGTCAAACGTGCTTCCCCCAGGGCACTTGGGAGATTCATAGGCAACACAATGATGTCCCTCTAACTTGAAGCCAGTATCACATTGCGGTTCTGTGTTCGAGATGCAACGCTCTCCATCGAGATATGTACCTCTTATACAAGTTGGTGGTCCACTGGTGCAGGCCTTCCCGTTGAAGATTGTGTCTGCGTCGCATATCGGCGGAGTTCCAGATATACAGTCACCGTTCTTGGGTGTATATCCGTCTGGACAATGCTCCTTTCCTTTTCGGACACATTTACCTCCCTTGAACATGAACTGGTCAGGACACTTTGGCGGCTCGGTGGATTCGCATCGGCCATCGACCAGTTTCTGGGTACCAGGACACCGAACACTGCCACTGACGCATCTGCCATTTTGGAGACTGGTGCCATCAGGACAAACTGGAGGTTGCGGTACAATACACTGTCCTTCCTTGTTGGGAACAGCGCCGGCTGGGCACCTCGGCGCCTTGGGAGAGACGCATCGTGTGCCATCGAATACCGTGCCTCTGTGGCAGGTGGGCTGCGTTGTAGTAATGCAATCATCATCCTTGTGCACCCCTTCATTGCAAATAATGACTCCGGTAACTACGCAGTGTGTGCCATCCCATTGGGCACGTTCACCGCAGGATGGAGTGCCGTAGCCAATGCATTCATTCCCTTGAAGCCGTGTATTTTCAGGACATTTGGGGGGTTCAGGGAATACACACAAGTCCTCGAGCAGGATAGAGTCCTGGGGGCACTGTAGGACCTGTTTCGTCACGCATTTTCCATCTTCAACAATGGTTTCCTCAGGACACCGTGGCACTGTCTGTAGCACACACTGGTTGCGTTCCAGCTTATACCCTGAAGGACACACAGGGGGAGGATGTGTATGTTTCGTACAGCGGCCGTGTATGGCGGGCGTTCCGTCTGGGCACTTATCATCAACTGGCTGCAAGATACAGATTTCACCATCCCAATCGAAGCCCCTCGGGCAGCATCGGACTGTTCCATCACCTGGATTGGTCGATATCACAGTGTCTCTGACTTCGCATTGAGGGGTCTGGTCCAGAACACACTTTGTTCCAGAGATTCGGGCACCATCAGGACATTCTGCCGGCTGAACAGGGACATCACATGTTCGTGTCTTGTAGTTAAGGGAGCCGCTCTCACAGTATGGGCCCTTTGGAGAGATGCACTGCCCATTCTGGAGAGTACTGCCTGGGCGACAACTAGGGGGAAGCGTAGAAACACAGTGGCTATTTATCTCATTGTAGGTGGTCCCTGGCAGACATCGTGGAGGTTCCGTGTCAACGCATTTGCCGTCTTCAAGTTGAGAACCGCCAGGGCACTTCGGCGGGCTATCACTAGCGCAGGCCCAGCCGTTGAAATGTTCGCCCCTGCGGCAGCGTGGTGGTTTTAGGGATGCACAAACATTTCCCTGCAGGACATAGCCGTCTCCACACTTGGCATCGCCTTCAGTGATGCAGGAGCTACCCCTGAGGGAGGTACCAGGAGCACAGCTCGGGGCCGAATGGTAACGCAGGCTCCGTCCTTGAACTCATATCCGTCGTCGCAAATAGGTGGTTTGCGAGAAACGCATCTGTTGCCCTCGCGGGCGGTACCATCAGGGCACAAGGGGACTGCAAAGACGCAGGTCTGCCCGTCATATTCAGTCCCTTCAGGGCAGCATCGCACGCGACCGGACTTATGGTCAGTGGAGGGGAGAACGTGGTCTAACGTGAGCTTGGCTCGGTCGCGGCATGTTGAATTCAGACCGGCTTGGTCCGCTGCGCAGAGGGCTGCGTAAACGAGTAGAAGATTCGTCAGTACGCCTCGCATATTCAATAAAAACGCAAACTAGCTGGAGGAACTTGGAAGGAAATTCAAACAGGGAGATTCCGAATGACCTACCATGCGGGCTATATAGGCATTAGCTAGAGTGGCACTTGACTCCATGAGAAAGATGGCCAGCCGGTTGCGGTCAGGCATAACGTTGATCGGTAACAAACTCTGCTTGATTTGTCATATTTATGTGCGTCAGTACTTGAGATTCCATCACGGTCATGAAGAAGTCCAGAGATCTGATCGATCGAGGATTACCAGGGTTCCATGCTCTTCGGGGTGACACCTCTTTGGGCACACTGCAGTTGCATCAAGGACAGATGAAAGATTCACCATCACTATGATGGAAGTCGATCCAGCGTCGAGTAGTATCTGGGCCCAGACCTGGATGCTTCTATTGCGTACAGAACCTGGACTGAGAGCCACTTCTGATGTTGCGAAAATCCTCATACACTCATGCACCGCTTAATGCCATGTTACAACGCTGTGATATCATGACCTGGGCCTTGCTGCTTTCAGCGATGCCGCTCAGAAACTGTGCACGCTCTTGTTATCCAACTTGGAAGGCATGGGTAGGGCCCGTACAGTAGTGGGAATGCTACAATGAGCAAGAGGGTGATATGCCGGGTATGATTTTGCCCGAGGCTCTTGGCCGCTGCCGGTTGATCACCCCCTACATGCCCTTTACTCCATCAAGCATCCAATTTTCACTTCCACATGGTCAGGCTGGATTGCTGGAGTGACAAATTGCGATGGAAATCCATGGTCAAGGAAGTGAGAAGAAAGGTGGAACAGCTTCATACAGCGGTGCAAACGGAGAACCGCGAGTATGTGCGGCAATACTCATGTGTTCTTGCCAATGCATCTAGACCGAGACATAAAATTGGACCCGTCATGATGCTGTGGCACGGTACCTTTTGAATTCGAAAGGCCTGGGCTTCCTGTGTAACAACCTGCGAGTAGCGCAATGCTTTCGATATGGGAAGCTCTCTATTAGCCTTCATCTCCTCACGCAGGAACGTATTACACTTATATATTATCCACTAATATGCGGGAGTGCCATTTATGGTCTTAATTCACCCATATGTCAGATCAAGCCATACAAGAAAACCATTACTGTTGCCAACCCTACGATCTGTGCGGCCGACTATCTAGCATTTCAAAGCAGCTGAATTGGAATGGAGAGGTCTGGTAAATCTACAAAAGTTCTATCGTTCGTAAATTCCTTCCTTATTGGAGTTATTCCTTCTGTGCAACACATTATTTGTCATTCACATTCTGGTTCCGGCTGAGAAGGAATTTGGGTTTTCTCCTTCCAATCATGGCAGCCCAAGATTGGAGCCACCGGATGCTTGTCTCAGTGGGTTTGGGGCTTTAGGTCTTTTTTCTTGCAAATTAGTAAGTATGGCGAATCAGATATAGAATTGTCACCAATGGCATTCTTGCCATTTTGCTGGAAAAAGTAATTAAAATAAAATAAAATAAAATAAAAATAAAATATAATTAAGAACACCCACATTGGAGACTGAAGCCGGCTGCAGGCTGATCTAAGCCATATATTCTATCACCTGAAATGGCCCAAGCCTATTGGCTAGACTAATGAATAAGGCGAGACTCTCACAGGTTTTTCAGCAAGGTTATACTAGTCGCGATGCTACTTAAATCGAAGAGTCCATACCTCTAGTGGGGCATACAGCGTCTATACAGATTACGGTGGATTATACAAAGTAGAGTCGTGTGTGAGTGCAACTGCTGGAGTATCAATCCGATGGGGTTCTCTCCTCAGAGGACTTGACATACTTCGCAGAAAAAGGCACTATACGACTTTAGGCTGTGTACTTGAAAGACTGTTTCTTACATGATATTTTAACGAACAACCTCTGCATTTGCATTACGACATGGGAAAAACTACCCATAGGAAAAAAAAACCCATATCGAGGTCGTAGAACAACGCATCGGGTGACATCAAGATCTGCCTCAACTGATAACTCTTGCTCCTCAAACACATCTCTCCCTGGAACGTTATGTGTTCAAGTCCCTGCGTTCACGGACAAAGGATGGTAGGATATTGTTGATTTAGATGTTGATTCCAACCTAGTGATCGTTAGCTTCGTTCTTGTGGCTTCTTACAAAATCATAGTTGGGGTTCATGTACCCAGCCCAGAAGATGACTAGCCACATTGTCAACGCCACAGACACCAGTAAGGACATTGGACGCTCCAGTGAGAATGCCGCCTCTATCGTGCTTGCTAGCTGCAACATGTAGGCAGCTCCAGTAGTCGCAAGGAGCCCGGTCGCCTACTTCTCCCTCGTCAAAAGCTTTTAAAAGGTTCTGCAGGCAGCCTTCCCAGTCATTATACTCGGCCTGGGTTACTTTGTGGGCGCCCGAGGCGGCGTAGGCAGTTGCGGCCACAAGCATTGGGGTGATGATACTGCTGATTTTCATTGTAGCTGTATCGTAACCAAGTTAGACCCATACTCCAGTCGACAAGCTAAGGGCTTACCGATAAGGAGCTGCTTTTGTATAGGAAAACAAAATATACGATCAGGATTGTAGGAGAGATTGATGATCACTGTCTGTGATAGTACTTGATCAAAGCTCGAACGTATAGGACTGTTTAAGCCTTTTTAACCCAGTCTGCTTTGACCACGTCCACTTAACCTCTCAGTAGATTGGTAGACGTAATCGACGCCGTCATCCGCTGTGCAACAGCGGCTGTTTTCAGCCTCTCCGGTAGAGGCAGTCACTGCATCATCCATAGTGGTGAACAAATCAGTGGCGTTAAATCCATGAGGCAGTGGTGGCATCGAATACTACTTGATGCAACATGGAGGGCGAAAGTTTCGCGTTTATGGGATGATACCTTCGAACGAACATTTCTATCTCTTTTGATACGCCGGCACCCGCTTACGTTGGGAAATGCCGCTTACATCAATACAGAAAAAATCCCCTATGACTAGTGGATAAATGGAATCCCAAAGTGCTCAAGATGAATGCTATTCATTAAATTATAACCCATCCATTATATCATATGAGCCAGGATGGTGGTGTCCTAATGCAACTTCGATTCTAGATGTGCGCTGATCTGGCAAAGCTACCGTTGGGACCATGTCTGAAGAGTGATGCCTATCCTACCTGATGCATCTTCCATGTTACCTGTTCGTGACATGCCCAGTAGAGTCCGATCTACAGCGTGGGTGAATCACCACTATGGGTTGATGATGTGACGTGCAATGATATGGATGTTCCGACGTCATCTCTATTATGGCTCCCACCAATCTCCCCTGGCCAGTCAACTATCCGTGCCATACGCACCATAACCATAGATTTCACTGTAACTGTAGATTTCTCATCAAAATCGTCATTTTGAGGCTATACTAGGCATTATTGATATAAAAAAAATCACTATTTTCACCAGCTGCCTCTGCTAACCCATTTAATACCTCATTCTCTTACATAGGTGCTGGTGGTGGTGGTTTACCATGTTCTTTCTCCCACTACTTTTATAAACATCTCTCTTGCGCAGTAGTATCTCTAGCCTTCCTTAAAGTAATTAATTAATTTACATCATATAATTTAATATACCATTCTAGCTAAGTAGCTTAACCTGCTACTTAGTATGTTAATGCTGTAGAGGGGCCCGCGCAGCCCTAATTTAACTAATAATTTTATTTACTATAGCTAGGCGCTCATATACTAGCTATGCTGGAGTATCTTTAATTATATTTATACGCCCTACATCTTCAGCCTGGATATACTTAAATTCCGTCATCTTTTACTTTACAGTGCCTAATTTGAGGTGTTCTGGGAGTTATTTCTTAAAGCAATATATCTAAGTCTTACTATCTAGATATCCCTACGCATTAAAGTACCTGATTCATATACTCTTCTAGTAACTTAGGCATTAAAATCATATTCTATTCTTGCATATAGACTATCTACTATATTAAGGCTTTCTCCTGATACCCCTTAAGGGTCTTATTAACTGTTTCCTAAGCTCTATAAGGTTGACTGCCCTTTCTAACGTGGTCATATAGAGTTGTAGAAGGAATGCCATATTTGTGCGTAATCTTAGTAAAATTTGGTATTTTTGGGGCTTAAACAGCCTCGCAGACCCTAACCATGCAATATTCATTAAATTAAAAGATTTAGGCATATTAGGTGGTGGGAATAGCTTTAAATGAATAATTTTAATAAAATCTATAGTTAGCGCAATCTACAGATATGGTGTAGTGCACCCTCACCGCCTCCGCGGTGAGGGTCGCGTATGGCATGGATACATAGTTGGATTTGATTTTGAAATGGCAGATCTGACCGTTCGGGCCGTGCCGACTGACTTTTGGCACTAACAGACCAAACAGTTAACTTTCCGCCAACCAGCTGGCCACTAGCGGCCATTGCTAGGAATTATACCCGGAATTCCGGGTTGACAAGTCAAATCGCTCGATTCCACCATGGTGCCAGCACGCTGATTACAGTAATTTCTTACATACTTTTGTACTGTCCTTGCCGTATCCAAATACTAGGATAGATCGATATGTTACAGAAATCAGACCTTCATTCTTTGTGCATTCCGCGTATATGTGTTTACCATATCCGTAGCACTGTATGGCTGGTGCTTTGTTTGCAACAGATACAAGAATAGCCCAATAATCTTGAGATATGGTTGACTGGACACCCTAGATCTATGTTGAAGGGGATATGAAAGAGGCTTACAATCTGTGTTCTAGTCCGGATGTCTTTGGCGTCGTGCGCCACAACCCTCAGTTAACCTACCCAAGACGGGCATGCGAAACCTTTCCTTTTATCCATGATTAATATCTATAAGCTGATTGTTATCTGCTTAGTAGTTACTATGATTAAGGGGCATTCCAGCATAATAACAGAGATGGAATATAACTAATATGGACTTTTAAATAATTCTACAACTTTAATACTAATATTATGCATGTCTTAGGTGGTTTAAGGGAATATGAGGTGAGGGTCATAAATACTACATCATCAGCAAGGCGGAGGGTTGTCTATGTCCCATCTTCATCCCCCTGAGATATATCATGCTTATTATGAAGGCTCTGTTTCTGTTGATGTTAGGCCAGCGCCAGGATCAAATCTCCTATCATAGTTGAGCAACCAATCACCCTGATGTTTTTTGCAAAGCAGTCATGTTTTCACTCATCAAATCAGGGCACTTGGAATCATGATGAGATATAGACTCAGATATAGCAGTATCTATCATAATATTATTTATTAAAGTGTTATAGAATTCAGTGGAATTATGGTTGTTGTTCAGATCTAATATAGATAGTTCTGTTTAAGCACATGAGACTTGAGCTCAAGTAATACTCAACAGAAGGATGCACCATTAAGTATATATTTACTAGACTTAGCATCTACAGATGCTGTATATATTAATAAAATGAGTTGGCTTTAGGAGGCACAGCTCAAAGAATGGAGAGGCAGTTTTATACTTCACTAACTTCAGGTATGCCGGCGTGTATGCGATCCTCTAGAAAACATCTAATCCTTCAGAGTATGAATGCGGCTGGTCTATGATGAAACCAACTGCTGGCATTGGCACATCAACATCAGAGAACTTTGGGCCTGCGGGAGGGGCGGTTGTGATCTTTGCAAGCTCAACATCTGCTATACAGTACTTCTCAGGCGTGAATAGGAAAGGGGTGTAAGTCAAGCCTTGCGCAGCTTACGTGCTGCTTTGACCCATTTTTCAATAATCGCGAGAACATCAGGATCTTTGCTTTTTTTTCTTGGGCGTGTGACCCATGGTCATAGTGTCGTCTGGTGAGGGTGTTGGGGTGGTTCTCATGTGAAGCTTCTTAGATAGCCCAGGACTGTTCTCCCTGTAATATAACCACTTGGCCAGGTCCGCGCGAGTGAAAGGTGGTTGTTCAGAGGGAATAGGTGGTTGCTCAATGTCTGCGGACATTGCTGGAGGTGGCTGTTCAGGTTGCAAGTGTCCTGATGATTCTAACTGCCCTGACAGCGTGGACGGTGATTATGGTGCTGGGTTTTCCAGAAAGTGCAACAGAGATTCTATTATTCTACCAGCTGTAGTGGGATGTGTTTGGTTAGATAGATTATTCTAATAGTGGCCTGAGTTTAAGCAACAACCTTAGATGCATCAGTGTCCCAGGAGTGTTTTCTAGTAACTAAGGAGTATTCTTCAAAGGTGTAGATAATAAGGCTTAGCTTTACAGGAAGAGAGAGTGCATTCACTATTTGACTTTAAACTGCTCACTTGACTGCTATTCACTATCCTTATTATTGCTGAGCAATAATAGGTGAGGTTGCTTATATCTTCTTTCTCTAGCAGCACTTCACCAGATGAGATTATTGAGTTGCTAATGAATATATCTCTAACATGTACCTTCTTAGAACCATAACTGTATCACTCCATCTTTCTGTAAAACTAAGCCTCATTATCTATACCTTTGAAGAATACTTCTAAGTTACCAGAAAACACTCCTAGGACGCTGACATCTAAGGTTGTTGCTTAAACTCAGGCCACTGTCAGACTTTCTGGACTATCAGTTCCGCTGGACCCCGCATGCCAACTAATTAGCTTAGTATTATAATAATATCAATCCCTTCTTGGAATAACTCACGTAGTCCAAAAAAACCAGCACATCTTGTCGAAGCATATCTCCCAAACACAAAAGTCTCTGTGAACTTGCGTAAATTCTTGGTATGCCAGGCACAGTAAGGGCGCCTAAGAGAATAAAGTCCGAGACACTGCAGGCAAGAAAGTCCAAATGTAATGGTGTCATAGACCCTCTTTCGTATGACTGAAGTACCAGACAGAGCAATTGGGTTGCCAAAGCAATCATGGCCAGGATCTGGCTGATATGCAACTGCTCCTGCTCTATTCAAGCAAAATTCCCATTCTAAGGTCGTCGAATATCCGTTTGAGAGCTTTCACTGTCTGTGATAGGATGTCTTGTTGACTGTTCAGCTCGTAGGAATAGCTTGTGCCTAGAAGCCACCGGCCGAAAGCCTCAGGCATAATTGTAGCAGGAGCCGGAAACCTGAGACAGTTGGTAAATAATATTCATTAACAATATTGACCCCCTGGGCCGAATTTGGTTAAGCTTTCAGCTCTGAAGAGCTTACCGTAATGTGCTCTCAGTCAATCTGTAGGCTGTGATGAGATCCTTGATAGTGTTTAACTTGATTGCAGCCATCACAATATACTTGCCCTCCGCCAAGCTGCCATCCAATGCCGGATTTAGGCGCAGGTATGGAATATTGATATGACCACCTTCTTTGATATGTGACTGGAGACTCTTCAGGGCTCGCTCACAGTATTCTTGTGATCTTAAAAGAAAATTGACTGTGGCGCATTTCATGCGCCGTTGTCTGAGATGGTGACATGGTGGCGATACTGAGATATAAATTCTTCTTTCCTTTTTGCATTGTTGGACGGCGTGGGTGTTGATTGATCTTCATTCTCATTGCTTGCAGCCTCCAGGATATGAGGGAACATACCTGCCAATCCTAATGCATAGTCCAAGTGTTTGATATTCTCAATCCTACTGCTGACTGGCTCCGAGCCATCTACAAGCTGGTTCACAGTACTGGCCCTACTGGGGTCATAAATCCAAGGGTAATCGACGACATAGTTTGTGAGAAGGGAAGTGAGGGTATTGATTTCCTTATCCTCCACATACTCGTCTGTCAGCTCCGACTCTGCCAACTGCAAAAGCCAGTCTTCTTTCTCATCCTCCGGGCAATCCAGGCGCTTTTCAAGTTCCCGGCGTATGCCCTGGAAGATATTGTCCCGCCGCGTTTTGTAGTCATGGTTGTCGAACTTAGATTTTGGACCTCGAGAACCGACTGAATGAAGATATTGATGTCTAGCGTTTCTGCGTCATCCATCCTGTGTAGAGGACAGGAGACTTTCCAAACGCTCCCGGCAAAGCCCGAGGGACAGAAAAGCTCGTGAGAGTGTGAACGGCCAATGGAATCTGCTTTTTGTGAAATTCCCTTGCATCCAGTCAAACTAGTCGAGATCCCCTGATTCACTAAGGGAGGCTGGTCTGTCTTTTAAAGCCTTGGACTCAGCCTGGTTCTGTGATCGCAGCCTTGTCTGGTTTGTGATGTGCTGGCGAATCGCTTAATATTACAAGGCGCAGATAGCCTCCATTCTGAATTGCCTCTTGACAAGTCATGTCGCCAGGGCTAGGACTATTGATTAGTTGACCATTCATTTCTATGTATCAGCGATACTGCTACAGTCCAACGCAGACATCCACACAACGTTTTAGTCACCTCCTGATATCCCAAGTCCACTCGCCTTTCATTGACTTCCATCTGCTGCGTCGGTGTTGTAGGAATTTGCTTACATTTATTGTGACCCCTGCCTTTTCTTCATATTTCTTAAGCAGTTTTTAGGCATCTCGCCGGGGCTGATGTGCAAGACCCTCGCCTGAGCTAGATAGTATCAGGCCGACTCAGCAACCTCTGAATCTAATCCAATCGAGCAGCTCTCGCCCATCGACTAATGGGAGCATCCAGCACAAAGACATCAGATTTATGCCGACCCGGGAACACACGCAACTGAGTTGACACCCCATCGCTGTACAAATGGTCTCAAAATCGGAGAAGGCTTTCCGAGAGATAGGGTAAAGGAGATAGCAGTATTTTGTCAGTGAATACGCAAAAGATGTTTACGTAGAATCTCCGTGGTACAATGTATGTAGAGGCTACCCTCGTAAGCTGTGTTGGCCACATTTCTTCTGCTCGTTACAAATTCTTCGTCAATTCATCATCTGAGAAATATGTCCGACATGTTCACGATAATGAGACATTGAAAGATTACTATAGATTTAGTACGCGATGCGAGTCTCCGGTGCTAGGGCAAGCCCTCTGTCCGGATAATAATAATCTGTCATACTCATACAGATTAGGAAGATTCCATCTCCTCTAGAGTTAGAGCAAATAGAACTACTAGTCATGTATCTAGCCCTAGTTCTGGCTAGTATACAAGACGGTAGATTGATAGACGGTCCAGTTCCATCGCCTTGTCTCGCCGCTCACCGTGACTCATAGCCTATCGGGACAATCTATTTTAAAACAGATGATGCCCCTTTTGTGCTTTCGAGGTTTCCATAACCCCAGAAATCTGATTCTTAATGGATCATCTCAAACAGATCTTTGCCCAATGCCTACACGAAGGCCGTCCAGCGCTGGTCACGTACGTGACGGCCCACGGCGAAAACAAAACCCGGACATCATGCTGGGCATGCAGGCCGGAGGAGCAGGTGAGTTATTTGAGTCACAGTGTTGAACTGACCCTGATATAACTGCATAGATATCATTGAACTGGGTCTCACCTTTACCGATCCTATCGCAGACGGTCCGACCATCCAAAAGTCGAATTTGAAGGCCCTCCAAAATGGCGTCACAGTCACCTCGATGTTGGAGATGGTTAGGACTGCGCGGAGAAAAGGGTTAAAGGCTCCAGTGCTGTTTATGGGTTACTATAATCCTATTCTGCAGTATGGAGAGTCGAAACTTTGGCGGATTGCGTCGACGCCGGGGTCAATGGTTTCATTATTGTTGACCTGCGTCCGGAAGAAGCGGTTCGATTTCGCAATGGCTGCATGAAGACGGGGTATGATCACAAACCTTTTAGTCAGACTCAATTGACAAATGAACAGACTCTCATACGTCCCTTTGATCGCACCTTCCACCACCGAAGACCGCATGAAGGTCCTCTGCAACATGGCCGATTCCTTTATTTATCTTATCTCCCGCATGGGCGTCACCGGCGCCACTGGGACCCTCAACGCAGACCTTCCCGCCCTCATCCGGCGCGTTCAAGGAGCTCTCCGGCAATATCCCCGTGGCCGTTGGGTTTGGAATCAGCACTCGCGAGCATTTCCTGAGCGTGACCTCCATCGCCGACGGCGCCGTCATCGGCAGCCAGGTGATTACGATCCTCGATAACGCCCCTGCCGGACAGGCCGCCCGGGCAGTCGAGGACTATTGCTCGCAGATTACACAAAGGAAGGTTACCAGTGTGCCTCCTGCGGGGATGGGGACGAATGCGGTCGTCCCGCCTTCTGTAGACGGAGAAACGGCTGTGACCGACGGCTCAGGGTGGTTCGGTGTCTTCGGTGGTCAATACGCCCCAGAGGCCTTGACCACCTGTCTGGCCGAACTCGAGGCCGGTTTCGAGGCCGCTCGTAACGATCCCACATTCTGGGAGGAATACCGATCGTACTATCCATACATGGGCCGTCCGTCCAGCCTGCACCTGGCTCCGCGACTGTCCGAACACGCCGACGGCGCGAATATTTGGCTGAAGCGGGAGGACCTCAACCACACGGGATCTCACAAGATCAATAATCCCCTGGGCCAGATCCTGGTTGCGCGTCGACTGGGTAAGACGGAGATCATCGCCGAGACGGGTGCGGGTCAGCACGGGGTCGCAACTGCGACTGTCTGCGCTAAATTCGGCATGAAATGCACCATCTACATGGGTGCGGAGGATGTCCGTCGACAGGCTCTGAATGTGTTCCGCATTCGCCTGCTAGGGGCCACAGTTGTCCCAGTTGAATCGGGGTCGCGCACGCTCCGGGATGCGGTGAATGAAGCCTTCCGTGCGTGGATTGCGCGCCTAGATACCACGCATTACATTATTGGGTCTGCGATCGGGCCTCATCCCTTCCCGACCATGGTACGCACGTTCCAGAGCGTGATTGGTGAGGAGACCAAGGCGCAGATGCGAGACCTAGGCAAGAGCCCGGATGCGGTGGTTGCCTGTGTTGGGGGCGGCTCCAACGCAGCCGGCATGTTCTATCCATTCTCCGAGGACGCCTCCGTCCAGATGGTTGGCGTGGAAGCCGCAGGTGATGGTTTGGACACAGAACGACATTCAGCTACCTTGAGTCGAGGCTCCGTCGGGGTTCTTCATGGCTTTCGGACCTATGTCCTGCAGAACCGGCATGGACAAATATCCGACACTCACTCAGTCTCAGCGGGACTGGACTACCCGGGCGTTGGACCGGAACTAGCTCACTGGAAGGAGAGCAAGCAGGCGACATTCCTTTCAGCTACCGATGCCCAGGCCCTGCAGGGCTTCCGACTGCTGAGCCAGTTGGAAGGTATCATTCCCGCGTTAGAGACCTCCCACGCGCTCTGGGGGGCAGTCGAGGTAGCCAAGCAGCTGGGACCGGGCAAGGATCTCGTGTTATGCTTGAGTGGCCGTGGGGACAAAGACGTGCAGACCGTGATCGATGAGTTGCCCACGGTAGGGCCTCAGATTGGATGGGACTTGCGGTTTTGAAGGTTAGAAGTATGTTGCGTATGCTTTTGAGATAGTGGGATGGATCATTTGACAGAGTAAAAAGGTATGCAAGAGCAATGAGAAACAGCGTCCATGAGAGTAGACCAGCCAGAACTGTGTGTATCATACAAGTGTGTGGCCAAACGAACAGCTAAAGGAGAAGGGGACTGGAATAACTCTTTCGTAGACAAACTGTCAAATTGCGGCCTCAGGCAACAATAAGGAAAGCGCTGGAGGCTGGAGCTCACCCAGCCGCTAGTCCGTATCTGGTGATCACGTGATTCACTCCCTCCATGTCGTATGTGGCATGCCAGGCAGCCAGGCATCGGTGGGCAGCAACCTGAAGGAGTATCTATCAACGGAATGATCGAGAACTAGAAGAACTCAAGCCAAATGGTGGTTCTGGAAGAGTCATCAAGCAAGATAGCAAATAATGTTGTACAACAAGAGTGAGATCTGGTGGATCTGGCATGGCACTGTTTGCAATGTTATTATGCAATATTGCCCTTCTGGGACTAGCGGCATCCCCGGTCTCGACCCATCAGACGGACCGAGTGAGGTAATAATGATTGAAGATGACCATGAAGATATCCAACCAACCTGCAATGACTGGTCAATGCCTTGTATTCTAGTTGAGCAATGTGATGTGTCGACTCGTCTCCTCATTGACCAATTCTATGGCGTCAGCGAGCAACCTTCAGCAAGCTCAATGGATGAACGAGGTATGGTTCGGATGTTGTCATAGTGAGGTTTACATTTCTGAAACATGCAATCTCTGGTCAAGCAACAAGGCAATCGGCACTAATACGTACCCCAGAGTCTACTGCCTTTCTTGTTCCGGCTCTGTGGGCCCAGGCCCGCGGATCTTTCATCAGTCATCATCAGATACCTCAGAGGCTTGAGGTAAATGCAAGGAAGCTGAATTCTAACAGGTTAAGCATCTCAGCAATTCACTGCCATCTCAATAATACCTCCTTAATGGCTGCTATCGGACATCCCAACACAACGGGCCCCACTGATGATGTCGACTGACCTCATCTCCAGAATCCTGAGAGAAGTCACTCGAAGTGCATCAGAGTGGATACAACGGTTCGATCAACGTCTCCCGACGGGAAATACCGACTGCATCAGCGACAGACCACCGCTACATCATCATGTAGTCAGCTCGCTCTCTCAAGCATAAATACCTGCCTTTCCCTCGCCCTGATCCATCCAAATCATCAGATCAAATCACCAGACCAATCAAGCATCTACTGAACTATTTCTGAAATCAACTCACTACTTCAAATCACTTCAACTACCATCAAAATGTCCTCCAACCAGAACCCCGGAAACTTCGCCAACCGCCCCACGAGGAGGTCGAGAACATTGCTCGCAAGGGAGGCCAGTCCAGCCACCAAGGTGGTTTCGCCAGCATGGACCCCCAGAAGCAGGTACGTCTTTGCAGCACTCTCTGCACTTAGAGAATAATCCCAACTGACTGACGTCTTACAGAGAGACATCGCTTCCAAGGGTGGCCAGGCCTCCAGCGGCAGCTTCCAGCCCGGTGAGGAGCGTGCCCGTGAGGCTGGTCGCAAGGGTGGCCGCGCCACCGGTGGTACCGATCAGCCCGAGGATTAAATCAGTCGATATGAGTGACGACCTTGAGTGATGATAATGATGGACTCGCTGGCAGTGCCACATGTACTATACTTTTAAATGAACAATGAACCTTCACTGATATACTCAAACACTTTAGTATTTCAGGATGTATTCAGGATGTAGATGAATCGCATAACCAATACGACGTAGACATTTTGTAGTATGAATTCGAGACATTCGAGTGATCTCTTGTTACTATACTGAGGACCTACTTTGGCCCGTAATTCAGTAGCAGTGGGATGATGGTTCGTCAAACGAGGTTAGACTGCAGGTAATGCAAAACAAATGTGCTGGTCATAGTTCGACAATAAGTTCGACAATAGAACGCTGTATGTACCTTGTTGACAAACGCACCCATCAAGCCATCCCAGGCTCTTAGGCACTCAGCTGCCGCAGACAGCCAGACGGCTTTTGTCCTTATATGGGTTTGCAGAATTAGAATCAATGGAACTCTGTTCAAGACTTTTAGAGCACTCTACCCAGTACACTATATACTCACCACAAGGATACCTTTTCTTACCTTCAACTCCAGATCTTGGCGAGTTCGAAAACAAAGCACAGGTCACGGCCTTTTCCCGTAGATCCCACGAGATTCCTTGTCAGAAGACACCTGCAGCAAATTCACTGCCCTAGAAGCGTGGCAGAAGTGATTTGATTCATCATGGTGCTTGATTACACGCATTGTGAACTACAGTTGCCCAGAACCTGGGTAATCTCGTTTACAGTCATGACTCCCCATGTGTTTGCTAGCGATGAGCAATGACCAATGACTATAGGATATTCAAGTCTGTTAGAGACTCAGGACAAGGCTCTAATCACATTCAATCTACTGTCACAACTCTTACTGAAGGACTCTTATGTTGTGGAAGAGTGCGGAGGACTCGGATGAGGATCAGCAAATCGAGAATGGGATGCTTGTAAGTTTGTTTGTATTGAGTATATGACGCTGGACTAGCTTTCAAGATCAAGTCGAGGTTGCTATGAGAATGTTGTCTTGAATGTCCACAAAGCATGCTCTGTTTCACATTCATTTTACCCTCAGGTTGCACACGCATGCCACAAAGACCGGCTGATGTTCGACACCTGACCAGTGCGCTATCACAGCTGACGACCATCTTGAATAGGCAGTTCAATTAGCTGGATGGGGATGGTTAACATCAGGGCGTTATCTAAGCCAGGGTATCAGGGTCGTTTTGGGGGTGAGATTAAAGAGGTAAGTGGGAAAGGGAAAGGAACCCGAGATCAGTTCGGTTCAACACTGTATCTTCCCGGTATCCTCAAGATATTGTTGGCGAGAACTGCTCCATCACGTAGTACCCACCAGTGATCTTTCTGGCCTCTGTCATTCATTCTTTCGAACTACCTTATCGGCCTTCCGAATTCTGAAGCTTGTCCACGTGGATCAATATCACAGGTTCCCTTCTGACTTGAGGAGAAGTCAATATGGATATTCAAGAGTTGGAGTACGTAGGTGAAGTGATCACCATAGGATGGACGATACTGATGACAACCTGCCCGATATACCCAAATGCCGACCCCAACTCCCGGCTAGAGCGTTAACTGGCTCGATAACAGTTACTCCAACTGCTATCTAACCCTGAATCCTTGGAGATAAGTTAACAAGCGTTCTGTGGCTATCAATCTCTTATCACCTACTGGTATACTCCAAAAGATAAGCATGTGGGGTCATGTATATCACTTCTCGATGCCACCTTACATTCTGTATAACAACAGCAGAGACGCCTCGTTTCTCTGAGAGGGTGAGACACAACATGGCCCAATCCAACGTCCTACAGGTCCTCCCCCCAGCGCCGGCTATGGCATCGTCATCGGCATCGGGGGCATCTTCGCCCTCTTCATGCTGGGCCTCACCTGGCTCCAAAACCGCTACACAACCTTCTCCACCCAGCAAGCCGAAGAATTCAACACGGCTTCCCGATCAGTCAAGCCCGGACTGATCTCCGCCGGCATTGTTTCGTCGTGGACCTGGTCCGCCACGCTCCTGACAAGCTCCACCTTCGCATACAGCTACGGCGTCTGCGGGCCCATGTGGTACGCCGCCATGGGCACACTGCAAATCCTTCTCTTCGGCCTCATCGCCATCAAGATCAAGGCGCATGCACCAGGCGCACACACCATGCCGGAGATCGTGCGCGCCCGGCACGGGACAGTCGCGCACCTGACGTACCTGTACAACGGGCTCGCGACGAATATGCTCGTCGGCGCGTGTCTGGTTCTCGGCGGGGCGCAGGTCGTCGCCGCGCTGACGGGGATGAATGTCTACGCGGCGACGTTTCTGATTCCGGCGGTGGTCGCGGCGTATGTGATTGCTGGCGGGCTGCGGTCGACTTTCATTGCGGATTATACGCATACGGTTATACTGTTTGTGGCGATTCTGGTGTTTGGGTTTCTGGTTGCGGCGAGGAGTGAGTTGATAGGTAGTCCGGGGAGGTTGTATGACTTGCTGCAGGAGGCGTCGAGGGAGATGCCGATCGAGCGGAATACGAACGGGTCGTACCTGGCTTTTCGGTCGGTTGGCGGGTTGGTCTTTGCGATTGATCTTTTTGTCTCAGGGTTTACCACTGTGTGGTTGGATCAGGCGTATTGGCAGCGGGCGATCGCCTCGCGGCCGGAGACTTCTGTCAAGGCGTATCTCCTGGGTGGGATCGCGTGGTATGGTAGGTATCCCTTCTCGTTTGTGATGCTGTTCGTGTCTAATATATGCAGGCATACCATTTGGCTTTGCAACAGCCATGGGTCTCGGGTGCGCAGCCCTGACCAACAACCCGGCCTTCCCTACATATCCCCATCCACTATCGTCCGACCAGGTTGCAGCCGGACTCTCTGCCCCAGCTACGGCTATAACGCTCCTCGGCAAGGGAGGCGCAGTCCTCATACTCATTCTCCTCTTCATGGCCGTCACGAGTTCCACCTCCGCTGAACTCATCGCCGTCTCCTCGCTTCTAACCTTTGACGTCTACAAAACGTATTTCCGCCCGCATACCGACTCGGTCACGCTAGTCCGGGTTAGTCACTGGGCCATCGCGCTGTACGCGCTGATTCTGTCTTCCTTCTGCAGCATCCTCAACGCAGTTGGCCTGAGTCTCACCTGGGTCCTTACCGTGCTGGGTGTCATCGTCGGTGGGGCTGCAGTCCCCGTCGGGCTGATTCTGCTCTGGGGACGCATGTCGACAGTTGCCGCGGCCGTCGCACCGTGGCTCGGTTTTGCATGTGGCATTGTGGTTTGGTTCGTGACCGCGATGAAACGGTCTGGGGCGATTAACGTCGAGACAACCGGGGACGGAACCAATGCCGTTGCAGGGAATCTTGCTTCCTTTGGGGTTGGTATCGTCTCTGCTGTGGTTCTGAGCTATATCTTTCCGAAGAGATATCCGTGTATGGATGCTCAGGTTGCGCCAGGAATTGAGGGTGTGGCTCCGACTCCTCAAGTGGCCACAGTGCAGCCATCGAAATCTGTCGACGGGTATGGAAAAGAGACGCCAGCGCTAGGAAAGAATGACATTGTCGAGTTCATCCAAGACAAGCAGATCGAGCCTATGGATCCAATTCTCGTCCGCAAGGCAGAACGGCTAGCGCAGGGAGCGAATATCGTCTTTATCCTCATCGCCGTGATCCTCGTGCCTTTCACTCTCTTCGGAACCAGCTACGTGTACAGCAAGCCGTTCTTCACCGGGTGGGTAGTCGTATCCCTGATCTGGATCTGGGCCAGTGTCATCATCTGCGTGGTATACCCCGTCGTCGAGAGTGCCGGTGCGCTGAAAGACATATCTAGAGGACTATGGATGGACATGAAGGCGTTGACGGGAGTGAAAAAGAAGAGTTTGCAGACCAACGCCGTCTAATTATATCTAGTTAGTTTAAAATCAGCACTTTTATTCTCCAGCCAAAAAGCAAACCACAGCCAATGCAAACGCCCCTGAATCATCCTGACTCCCATCGTAATCATATCCCACCTGCTCCAAGAACAACCCCAGCTTCGAGTCCGTCCAGCCCAGCAACGGCGCAAACTCAAGACACATACTCTGCATCCCGCACGCGTCCAGCTCGTAGTGTCCTTGCACGGAAAGTACTCGGCCGGGGTAATAGATTCCCTGGATCGGACAGATAGGCGTGCCCCCGATATTCACCCACGGCGCGGGCAGCGATACCGCCGCTGTCTCTGGCAAGACGCCCTCGTTCCCCCTTTGACCATTACCCGATCGCCGTGGAACATCTGAATCTTCAATTGTCCGTTTGGCAAACCGCCCAGCGCAAGCGGAAACGCGTCGACGAAGTCCCTATTCAGCTGGACAGTGTGGATCCCCACTTCCCTCCCCAGGGGACATTTCTCCACATATACATCCCCCGCCCCGGAGTCGACCAACGCATGTCCGATCAACTGGTGGCCGAAGCACGTCCCCATGATCCTCACGGCGGGATACTCCCGAAACACAGTCTGCAGGAACTTGGCCAGTTTCTGCATCCAGGGCCTCTTATCGATCTCGTAGACGCCCGGCGCGCCTCCCGTAATCAAGATCGCATCAATACTGTGTTCGGATAACGGTGTTTGCGTCTTGCGCAGGTGTCTGAAGTCAGGATAGTGTCCGCCGCGGATATCGTATGGTGTCACTGCGATGCTGATGTCGCTTCCTGGCGAGAGGGCGTTGAGGCGGGTGGCTGCATCTTGGAGGGCATTGCGGAAGTGCGCGCTGCAGAGGCCGTGGGTTTCATAGAGGGTGCGAGGGGGGATGTCGACGTCGAGGACGGCGATGTGGATTGTTCGGGTCATTTTGCTTGTCTTGCTTGCAGTGGTGGCAATCGTAAAGACGATGCGATCCATCTTCATATAGTGTGACCCCTCGTACAACAGCTGAAAACTCTTACATAAAATCTATTGGGTAATGAGACTACATTCTTGGAGTAGAATATCCACTCATCTCCAACAAGGTCCTAAACAGATCAGATCAGCAGGACAATGGATGTATAATCCGATAGCTAAAAGTGAGCTTATTCCTTCTTCTCCAAGCGGATGAGTGATCTACGCTCTTCCCCGTGGGGCAGGCGGCCTTATTTTTACGTACAAAAAGTGTTAGGGTTAATTCTATTAGCAATAATATTATCAAATGGATTGGATTTTCTTTCCTGATTCCGGGATGTTCCGATGTTTGCTTAGAGGATCTTCTTCTTTTTTCTTCTTCTTATAAACAGAAGTTGCTTCTTGTGGTTGGTTATGTTGAGTTGTTGGAGACACTACGGCAGACTTTGAGCGAGCGTTGGAGTATCGCATCATTCTGCCAAATTTCGCTATCACGAGGTCGTCTAGCCGGAAGGATCCGAACAGAGTCGTCTGTCTGGTTTGCTAAGAACGTTCTGGACGCGTCATTGTCGATACAAGGATCGCGAATATATCAACCTAGACCGTAGTTCCTCCAGAGGGACTGACGCATAACCCGAGTATATCCAGTTTTACTCCGCAATGGCATAATGAGGACGGATAGTCCTCTTGATTGACATGTATTGAATCAAGGTAGACAGAGGTTCGCAACTCGTACAGTGTTAGCCACAAATTCTTCGTAGGGCAACTGTACCTTGATATCACTCTGCGACGTGACAGTTTAAATATCCAATGTCCTCTCTGTACACTAGACGATCCTGTACTCAGTGGCTCTGAAACATCGGCCGACAGCCACATTGACAGTAGTGCATCGTTGCTAAGGGCATTCGATGGCAGGGAAGTCCAACCATCTTATGCTGCCTTTAAGGAGCACCGACTTTTAATACCTGATCATTTGAGGCATCTCTCACTCACTTTTGACCCGCCATGTGGAGCGGTCCTGGACCAGCTCCGTCCGCATTATCTGGGGAAAACTCCACTCTCAGAAACAACGGTCGAGGACCACTTGATCATGGTGACATCTCGATAGGATCTGTTGTTCCATAAATCGTCATTAATCGTACTGCATAGCAAACATACTATGAGTATTAGTGATATGCGGAGAGTTCTTCATGTTTACACTGGCTGTCAACTGATATAGAAAGAAGTAGATCGAGGCTGACAGGGTCTTCTCATTCCGGAATCTGTCAGACACGTACCTCTGCTTTCAGGATTCAGACGACGCACCGACGACACAGCTCTCGAACTCCACAGGGTGTCTGGAGCACAGACGCGATTTCGATCTGAGGGCAAGGGACCAACACCCTGCTGCCCGTCAAGCGGTGCAACGTCTACGAGCCAGGTACGTAATTCTTTTCGTTCCGATAGCAGTAGCTTGATCATTGTTAGCTATTGCTTCACTCCGTATACTGGTTTGGGATAACCCCGCGAACCAAGTGTCTAGACCCTCGTCGAGTAGGGGACAGCCATCGGCTGTATATACCCAAAGTAAGAAATAAAAGCTGACCCCTGAGTCCATGCTTGAATCTACACTCAAGACGATTCTTATCACATGCGGTGCATCTGCTTGATACTCTACCCTGGCAGTGAGAGATTTTCTGTCCGTATATAGTGGAGCAGGCTGATGTGTCGCTTCCTCCGATTGGTGATAAACACGATTAGAGTGGATTCGCGAAGGTTCTCCCGTTGGACGGTGCAGCTTGTGGCTGCAGGTCATATTTCAATTCTGCCAGCTAATTGGCTGGAACCGCATTAAGTTTAACTTTGTAACAAGCTCACCGGAGGAGAGTCGGAGACCCTGGAACATGCAGCCAATCATCTCACTGCCCTCGTTGCGATTTGGCGCTAGATGGGACGGCTATAATTAACCAAGGCCTGTTAGGCTGGAGCCACGGTTACATCTCGCCGTTTGAGGCTGATTGGGCGGATCCGACCGAGTTGTTGGTGTCGTGTTGGGTTCTGGGATGGGCAATAATGAGGGGACAGACTTTGCCGAGACAGATTTTGGGTCTTTGGCAGGTGATAGACAGTGGACTTGGCTGGATGAGGTGATGGTCGTGGAAGCTGCTCCTATCGGCCTGTGCCCTTTTATCATGACCCAATTATACAATCTCATTTTTAAGCCGATAAGCTGAAGTGGATCCAGAATCAGTCAGGCCCCGAGATCGGATCAATGGGCTCAAAAGCCGCGTCCTATTGTATGCGTGTCAGATTGCCTGTCTGCTTACTGTCCAGGCTTTTTGGCAATTGACCACGCGATCAGACAGTGGAAACCTGCTCGTGCATCGATCCAAGGACAGCAAAGTCAAACCAGCCGGAGAGGAGGCCGTCGATCACCGCCTGTGGTCGAATAAATAATGAGGGCCATGGCCCAAGGCTAGCTAGAGTTAAAAGCTTCTGGAATTGTTCGCCCGGTCAAACGAGCCTCGAATGACACGGCGATATTAACGAAGACAATAAGCGAAGGTCTTATCTTCCCCTCGGTAGCTCCAACTTTGTCGCATGAACCCTGCTAGTGCAAAGCCTCTTTGCTATTGTCTGCCCTGATCCATAAAACGATGAAAACACGGCCCTTTCCATAATACCACCAGGGTAGGAAGGTTCCGTTTGCCTTATATCCCAGCCATTCTTAATATCTTTCTTTCCCTGTCGTTCATGTACCAACAGCACCCTCCTCCACAGCTGGCGGAACCATGACCCAATGGCCATCATCCGCAGCACCAATAATGATCCTAACCTAGCCGAAGACTTCGCCATCGCCTGCTTCATCGCCGTCTCCTGGTACAATGCCATCGAACTCATCGTCCTGTGCTTCATCACCTTCAAGAAACGCGGCGGCTTCTACTTCTGGGTCCTCCTCATCTCCTCGATCGGTATCATCCCCTTCGGTCTCGGCTACATCCTCCTCATCTTCGACATCTATCCCGGCTACTTCTCCGTCTCGCTCGCAGACGTAGGATGGTGCGCCATGGTAACGGGCCAGTCCCTGGTCCTCTGGTCCCGACTCCATCTTGTCGTCTACTCCCGCATGATCCTGCGCGCCTCGCTCGCCATGATCATCATCGACGGAGTCATCCTGCACACCATCGGCTGGGTCTTCGAGATGGGCGCCCAGTCCCCGCGGTCCGGATGGTTCACGCCAGCGTTTAGTATCTTCGAGCGCGTCCAGCTCATCGGCTTCTCCATCCAGGAAATCATCCTCTCAGTCATCTACACCAGGGCCGCGCTGCAACTCCTCAGACTGCGTCCCAGACGCCAATACCGTTCGACCCTGGTCCAGCTGGTCATCGTCAACATCCTCTTCATCCTCATGGACGCCGCCATCGTCAGCTTCCAGTACGCGGGGCTCTTCCACGTGCATGTATCCTTCAAGGCGATGGTGTACAGCGTCAAGCTCAAGCTCGAGTACGCGATCCTGGGGAAACTGGTGCACATGTCGAAAATGTCGCAATCGAATTCCGCGCCGACGGATCGGTCCGAGGCGGTGGAGATGTCGTCGCGGAGGACGAATAATCGGTCGCATCTGGAGCAGACGAGGGAGCATCGCGAGAGTCAGACGAGTATTATTCGTGATGGAGCGGAGTTTGATGGTGAGGATCTGGCGGATTGTTCGCGGACGGGCTCGTTGAAGGGGTCGTTTCCGTCTAGCAAAGAGCCGGATGCTGCGTGTGTTGAGGTGGGTCATAGGTTGTAGCAGCCATTAAGGGTTGATGAATGATGTATATATGGAAGGGAAGACTCGGCCTGACGTGGTCATATTTCTTTTGTATATAAGCTGGGAGTAATAATATTTAAGTACGACAGGTCATTGGCAGGTTCATTGGGAGGTGCGTATATATATATATGCATTATATGTGCACTGAGATAAATATAAATTAATGCTCAAATTTAATCATTTCTTGTACCTGCCACGATCTTTATGGCAACATTCAATAGCAGAGAATAAGCTCCTCTGATGCAACAAGGAATGTCTCCGGGCTCTTCATACATAGAAGTGATTACTCAAGTTCGCAAGCTTCCAGGAGAGACCGATTTCCAGAAGTGAGAAGTAGGGATCCTGTCCTATGGTATACTGGAGGGAAATGTGTTGAAATATATAATTCCGCTGTCTTCTGAATATAAGACCCTAGACTGACGGGGGTACCGTCTAGACGCGTTTTAGCCAAGTGGTATTATCTTTCCATAGAATGCTAATGCCATATCTCGTTCTGACAGGTAATATCTAGCGTACTGACCTAAGGAGAGGAAGAAATAAGGTGTCTATAAATCATGTTGTATGTCTGCTACTGCACTATCATCCCTTAGAGGGGGTGCTAATGTGCTCCTTGTTTGCTCTATAAGTCAAAGAGGTCACATAGGAGAAAACTAGAGCAACAAGGGTTTGCTACTCGCCCCGCGGCGGATCCTGCGCGCCGACAATGAGTCATGATAAAACTGCCAACATCGCTCATCCTATAATTCTTCCGATCCCCAGTCCAAGTTGCTCATTGTTTGCAGCTTCTGAAGATTTTCCAAATCAGACACGAGCTGGCGGGCCGATACCGTGACTGACGGGTCCACTAAAAGCACATGTTGTAGCAAGTATTCGCAAAAACGACGGACCCTACGGCGGAAGCTCGGGCTCACTGAGCAGCATGTTCGCCCAGCGGCAAGCTTCCGGGACAATTCCAATAGTTGGTAGTGCCCAGAGGATGTTTTTGAAAAGAATGGAGCATCCGCTCCTCCCCTAGCCTCACGGAACTCTTGAAAGACGTGTCGCTCGGAAGTCGAATCACAACTCAAATAAGGAATTCAAAATATATGCATCCCATGTTGACCCCTTGGGGCTATCCCTGTTTTACTGACCAATAAAATAATGACCCAATTATAGCCTGTGCTGTGTCGTGCAGTGATAGGTCGAATAGAGACCCTGACTGCCGAACGACAAGGCTGGAGGGTGTGCAGGGGTCATGCTGGTATTTCAGGTTTCTTCTTTGGTCCAAAGACATACAGATCTGTTCTTGCTTGACCACTGTGCAGATGCAATTTAGATATTGATAACTGTTTGGCTAAAGTATGATTGCGATGGAGAGTTGAAAATGGACGAATAATTCTGGCAGGAACAATGTCTCGTCGGTCCTCACAATTGAGAAGTCACGTGATGCCATCGATATCTTGTATACTTCCAGGCTTGAGTGATCATTTTATGGACAGATAGCACTATGATTGCCGTCTTCAAAGTAGATTATAATGACTCTGCTTGGTTGATACGGGAATACACGCTGCTACCTCAAAACTTAAACTCAAACGCATACGCCGTGGTGGCATCCGTCTGATAGATCGGGAACGTCACCGAGTCCCCGAGTACGCATGTCCATACCAACCGAGATCCTTCGGCCCATCAACCTGACCATAATGCACATTCGAAGCAACAGGAAATCCCCAGGTATGCACGTTCAGCGTCCCACTAGTCGGCAGCCCCAACGCAGACAGCTTATTCAACTGCAACTGCCACGTCCCCTTGGCGATGCGCACACCAACCAGCACCCGCGCAACCCGATCATCCCCGACAGTCGCATACGCGTCCAGCTTGAGGTCCGACGAGGGCAGCGTACCCACCCGGTGGCCGGTCATGTTGAGATTATAGTACTTGTACACCTGGTAGTCACCGTTGGGGAAGTACCCCGTGCCCTTGGGATCGTAGTTGCTGTTATCCGCATTGGGCTTGCTCAGCAGACTCGCGAGCAAATCATGCAGCTTCCATCCGCTCAGCCAGTTGCCGCGCAAGCCGACCGCGTTGACCCGCTCCAGCTGGCCGATCCACCATGCCGTACCGGCGGGGACCTGCTCGTCGAGCACGGCGTACTCGTTGATGTTGATGGGGCGCCCGGGCAGCCCGTACGTCTTCTGCCAGTAGACTAGCCCCGCCTGCGCGGACAGCAGATCGCCGCCGCCGCCTTCCATGTGCCAGGCGTATTGGTCGGGGATGCTCTTGTTGGTGGCCGCGAAGGAGGCCCAGTTCTTCCACCAGTTGTTGCTGGGGAGGGGCTCGCCTGCGGACGCGGGGCCGGAGAGCTCTACGCCAGCGAGCTCGGAACTACTAGCGGTTTAGTTTTCGTTTCTTGGGACTTGTGGATGTAAACCATACCGGAGTCTGTGGAACGTGCGCCCCCACATCTGCAGGTACTGCGTTTGGTCCCGATTCCAGAAGTAAGTAAGGTCGGGCTCGTTCCAGATATCGATGATCAGGCCGTCGGTCATGCCGTTGGCCTTGATGTCGCTGAGGAGATGGGTTAGGTAGTTGTCCCAGCTGGTCCAGTCGCCGTTGTCACCAGGGTAGGATGCAGAGGAATTCTGCGTTCCGTCGGCCCCCAGAGATCGTGGATCAAAAAGATGAATTTTGCGCCGTGCTGGCGGGAGGTTTTGTAATTGGAGAGCGCGGACGCAAAACGGTTCTGTGTCGTTGTCAGGAAAGGTCCTTCTTTTTTTTTTCTGGGGGAGGGGTGAGGGCAGTGTAGTACCTTATACTCATTCAGTCCCCAGATCCAGCCCCTGCCAGGCGCCGGAACCTGGGCTCCACCAGCGCGATTGTAGTTGAACCCCATGTCGGTGTAGAATTTGGTCTGTGCCTTGTCAGTAGCGTTTCGTGGTGAGAGGGATGAAGACATACAGGAATCTGATTCGGGGTATCAGGAAGACCATACAGTATTCCCGAAGCGAGATGCTGTGGTTTGCCCGTGTTATTGGCAAAGTTGACCTGGGCCGTGACGGAATCTCTTTTCTGCTGGGCGGGACTGCCAAGGGCCGTCCCGGCCAACAGCAGGGAGGCGAAAGTGGTCGTCTTCATGGTAGCTGCTCTTGCCTTGATGATTGCAAACCTGTGTTGTGCATTGAGCAGAAGAGGAATCTTGCAAGGCTTTATATACCTCAGCGGTGCCACAGGGCAGCCGGGTGGAGTGGGGTAGGTTTCATTCCGGCGGCATAGGAGTGTGAAGAAATACCCCAGGAACCTAATCTGAGCGAATCCCCGAGCGGAGCAAGCTTATTTTTCCTGCAATTGTGGCGCCGTACGGGAGCCGTTGAAATGAGAACATGATCGTCCCGGCGGTGGGGTTCCAACCGAAAAAGAGAGAATTGTTCCTGAGGGCCGGCGGGGGAAATGTGGAGATGCGGAGAATCCGGGGTTCATCCATCTGGATGCACTGGGCCGTGCTCAATATGTACTCCGTATCGAATATGGTGTCTCGCTTACCAGTTCGTCTTATGGCATTGCCTGCAAGACAATCTGATTGGTTATGTCATGACCTGTACTCCAGCAATGGTCCAAGCTCGTTTGTCGGATTCGACACGAACTTGTCCCATCCTGCTGGGATTAGGGTCGTGCTTGTCTTCTGTTTGCTCTGGAGAATCTACAAGATACAGTCTTATTCGTGGATTCCACACAAGGCCAGCTTTGTAATGATTTCTTCGACTAGTTATGTATCCGCACTTATGACAGTTGAGCCTGTACATTCATTGAAATCCCGTGAATACAATGGTTCTAGCAAGCTCGAAGGTAGCCTCGTCCTTGCGGATATGTACCTTCATCAATTCATCTCTCAACTTGAGGGCTTCCTTTAGATCCATCTGCGATCCATCGATCCAACTCGGTTGTTGTGGGGGAACATTTCGTGTCGAGCAAATGCGGTACGTGGGATCAACAAGACTAAGAGTAAGGAAAAGACAGTGTCCCGGCCTAGTCTTGTCCCGAAGCTCTAACGGGCCCAGTCGGTACTGAAAGGCATTGGGAAAAGAAATCAAGCGACCTAGAGGCACTCTCACTTTCCCTAGCTCCTGCCAGGCCGGCGCATTCTGAATTGTTTCAAATCCACAAAGCCTTCCTATATACTTAACATCCCAGCACGCATACTTCTCTTCTGGATCTGGCTCAAATATCAAGGCGTCCTCAGGGTCACTATACTCCACGTCCTCGAAATCACTCTCGTCGTCATCGGGGTCGTCACCGGCACCTATTTTATCGTAGACATATCTATCGCCAGCGTGGGAGAGCCGCTGCCGGAAGGAGATCTGCGGTTGGGAGATATTATCAGAGTCAAACGCGTAGATAGCGTTGGTAACTATATGCTCGTTTGCATTTCCTTCAGTATGCCAGTCCTCGCCAGAAAAGGATGGCATATCCGGCTCTAGCTCAATACTGTGCACCTTGACCACAACCTGAAGGCCCTCTTCTCGAAACTCATCCTGTAGGGCAACCGTGTAAAACTGATGATCATCATCCTTTGGACCTTTTGGCTCATAGGCCCATCGGTAGGGCTCCAGCCACGGGTTAGAGAGAAGGAATTGTTCTGTTTCAAATACTGGACCCCAATTCCCCTGGTCCACGGGACCAATAATTGCTTCGCTGGTCCTGCCTGCTTTCCAGTCCTCATATGAATACGTAGTGCCGGGATCAGAGTGCTCAAAGAAGAACATGTGTGCATATTTTGTTAAGGCTGTACGACGCAACCCCCATCGTGTTTTCCAATCCTCCGGAATCCTTTGCGTATGAACCTGAAACCAGTGTACCTTATCCTTGGATTCAGGTTCCTGAAGGTATGCCTCCACTTGAGCGCACATCCTTTTATATTCCTCAGCAGGTAGTTGATCCTCCTTGGAGTATTCAGGCAGTTTTTTAGCCCACTCAGGAAATCGCGCTTTCCAGTCCACCCCGTAAGTCCGTATTCGAATCGGCTCGCGAGGGCAGGGTTCGCCATGACTGATCCTGTATTCAGATGGTTTATTCCACTTCTGTTGAATGAGTATCTTATTCCACTGCTTGATACTGCTGGCAAGAACTGTCTCGATTGCCGAATACATGTTCCGGTTTGTGGGGTGGAGATTGTTAATGTAAGAAGTAATTTGAACCTCAGTGGACCCAGGAGGTCCGGTGAACTCTACTTCGAGTGGCAACCACTGAAACTTGGTCGACCAAATGCAGTCATGACTGAGCCAATGCAGACGTGAGTTCTCTTGTGGAAACTGTGGTTGTTCTGGAGCAGTTTGGCCCTCTTGGATGCACGACAACCAGGAAGCTTGGTCGATCCCACAAGACTGCCCTCCGGTCAATACCTTTGTTCTCCCATAGACAAGAGGAAACAGAGACGGATCAACGAGATTAACGACCGGTGACTTTTGCATGTTTAGGGATCGAGTCTCTCTGTCCATATCCTGAATCAAAGAAACTGTGGCGTCTCGCAGCTCTGACTGTATATCAGAAGAGATCGCTGTATCAGATTTACAAACACCACTGCCAGTGTTGAATACTAGCACGTGCCCTTGCTTTTCAAAGTCTCTTGCCTTGTCTTGCAACTCTTTCAAGCACCAGCTCCATGTCTTGTTGTTAATTAGCGACGACGCTGACAGCGCATCTTCTCGCCAGCGAGCGATTTCTTCCTGTTGGAAAATCCGCACGTGCCAGTCTGGTCTCTCGGTGAGAGTATTGATCAACTCTAACATTGCTAATTCCTTTGCAGTGAGAATTGAGCCACGCCAGTCTTGAATCCCTGCTGCGAACTGATCCTGTGGAAGCTCCACATTGACGGGAATATCATGGAAGCCGGGAACTTTCAGCGGAGAGGTTCTATTATTGAGAATAAGTCCAGGCATTTTAGGCCATCACTCTGTTGATTTAGAACAATAACAGCAAGAAAGTGTAAACGCAGTGGGAAGAATCAATCCTGGGTTAATACTTAAAATAATGAGAGTCTTCCACTCCTCGCAATGCGATGGGTAGTAATGACTCATCGTGTACAACAATATAAGATAGGGGGCTATGATGTTAGTGATATCAGGAACGGTGCCAAGGACGTTCGCTCCGCCGGGGTCTGGATGGCCTCGATATTATCATTGGCTATGAAACCAAAGTGGTAGCTGGAGGATTAGTAATGCCAAGTCCCTAAGGCCTCTACGGTTAATCTATACGCCAAGTCTCTTCCGGCAGCAGTCTGACGATAGTTATACTGTATCGAATTGACGGCTACCACAACTAGTCCAAAGCAAAACACCTCTCCACCGAATCCGGATTATTCCCCCACCAATGCGGCATGGAGATCTGCCTCCCCGACCCAAAGAACAAGAAAATCAGCAGCATGTTCAGGTTAAACCCGGCGTCAAACGCCGCCGCAATCATATAACTGTACCGCTTCCACACCTCGAATCGCTTCCGATACGCCCAGTACATCACCACGTAACCCCCGATAATAGCAGACGTGTACCCCGTACTCACATTCCCATAAAACACCGCCAGCCCGGAGAAGAAGATACTCACGTTCCAGAGATCGATGCGCCAGCGCGGCAGGAGTCGATGCAGGCCATACAGCACCGGTGGGAGCAGCGCACCGAGAAGAAACGACCAGGGGAGCGGCCTCATCTCGCTTTCCTTGAAAAGCTCGGCGGGCCCGATGACGGCGTACTGCACGCCAAGGGTATTCGAGGAGATCAGTGACTGGCCGGTCCACTGGTGCAGCGGGTCGGGCTTGGCGCCGGTGAGGACGTCGCGCTTGGTGGACAGGACCCAGCGCATGACGGCGTAGTTCATGGGGATGCCGAGGACGGTGCCGAAGACCTGGGAGAAAAAGACGGCGCGCGGGGGGATGTGCATGTAGTGGCCGATTTTCTGGTCCTGGAGCATGTATTGCGCGCGGTACCAGGCGTCGCCGGCGATGGAGCCGTAGGTGGAGGGCCCGCAGGGGTGTCGGTGGCTTTCGCCGGCCTTGGTGTGCACCATGTAGCCGTAGATGAGCTCGTTGAAGGAGCCGACGGCGAGCTGGTAGTTGGAGATGGCGTAGAGGAAGGAGAAGGGGAGGACGAGGGCAGCGGCGCTGCCGAGGGCGACGAAGAGGGTCCAGATGGGGATCCAGAGGTGGCCGCAGGCGATGGAGATGAGGAGAATGATGAAGCCGGCCATGAAGAGCGCCATGTACCACCAGATCGGGACTTCCTTGTAGGATCGCTGGAGGACGTTGAGGCGGTCGTGGTACTGGTGGTTGATGCCTTCCCCTTTGGTCTGGGATGATTTATCCCGGGACCTGAGCATCTTGAGGAGGTTTCGTTTGACTTGGGAGTAGCCAAACGTGGCGATCCATGCTACCGATGCCGTGACCTTGGCATAGTCGAAGAATGTCGCCCAGACATTCTGAAGCCCCATGTACATGGGACCGATTTCTTCGTAGGCCGTTTGGTTCAGACGAAAGTCAGATGTCAGCAGATCCAGGATGGGATATTTGGTGCCATTAGCTGTGAGGAGAGAATTGGACATTAGTCCGTGCTTGTATGAGCCCAGGTTACCCCATTTTGCCGCTGGGATAAGCACCCAGCAGTTGAACGCAAATGCCGAGAACAACACCACCTGCGTCCACCAGGGAGTAAGAAGAATCGATGAGCCGTTCCAGTTGATGTTAGACCAGTCCAATGAGAGGTTCAAGAAGCCCATGCCGCCCAAGCCGGATCCAATAAAGTTGGCGACGGGGTTACGGGGCGCCACCCAGCAGAGAAAGGCAAGCGACGAGGTGAGCGGGAAGACATACTCTGGGAGGAACTGCCAGAGGGTCATTCCCAGGAGGGAAAAGAAAAATATCTTCATCTGACGTTTGGCTAATCGGGAAGAGGTATCTTGCTTCCGGAATGTCTCGAACAGGGTGGTTTGCATCAGTGCCTGAGGCCAGATGAAAGCAGGATCGTACAGTAAGATCTGCCGTGCAATTGCAGCAAAGGCATATCCAATCCAGACAATCGCAAACATGAAGAAGATCGCCACTGCCGGGTTCACTCTTTCTCCATAGAACAATTCAGCCAGAGAGATGGGAGTGTAGCCCAGATTGTAGGAAGCTCCGGACGCGGCTGTCAAGGTGACGAGCACATGCTCCTTGATACTCCACGGTGCAGGATTGAGACTGAATGCCCATTTCGTCAGTGGGATGCGGATTGTCCAGGCAGGGAGCCACCGGGCGAGAAAGTGGCCCACATAGTGACAGGCAATCTGCACAAAGAAGACGGAATATGGAGCTTGCGTGGTACGGTAATGGCTCATCTGCGACAAGAAAGCTCCCGGGACCACAAAGAGGACGGAGAGGAGGAAATAGCGAAAGGTGATGGTGGGCAGAGTAGGATCGTCTGTGAGGCCGACCAGTTGGCGGACCTCGAGAGGAAGCGCTGCGACCTCTGGATCTTGTTCTGTTTCTTGCTCAATGGCAACTGTTTCGCCACCCGGTTGGATTTTCTCCGCATCATTCACGGGCGTTGCCGTTGCAGGGACTGTTTTGGGTTCATTACTGCTGGCCGGGGGATACTGGACGCGTCGTCAGTGCCATGGCTGGTTTTTCGTTTTCGATTGAAAACCGCCAAACGGCCCATTTTGACCGGTTATCCACCTGAGTAGAGGTAATTTTGACAGGAAAAGAAGTGACGCGAGACATGCTGGAGTTGAAGTATTTAAGGGCCCCTTGCGTCTTGGGTTTAGCCAGTAAGGCGTGATCGAGTGGCTATCTACCGCAAGCAGCGCTATTAGTCACAGCACCGGGGATTCGCACCTACTACGGAGTAACTAAGCTTGTTCTTGTGTGAGTACGGATATGCTCCGGAGTAGGCAAATCTCTAGCTATCAAGAGTTATGCTTGTATTCCCCAGTACGGATGCTGATTGGGCAATTCGGGAGCTTAGCGTTTGGCTCATGTGGAGTAACAACGTGCACTTCTTCACTCTAGCGGATGGCGTTATCGGCAGATGCTTATTCGTGATGATCTAAAAGACTGGAATCCTGGCCAATCAAATCCTCCTCGTCTCGGAAGGTTTCCGTGTGGTTATCATCCCAGCCGCTTTTAGCAGTAGGAGTCAACCAACCACACAGTCCCGGACAGGAACACTGATTAGAGCCGTTCTTTCCGTCATAAGTATTTCTGTTGATTCAGAACCTTGACATGAGTTAAAATTATGCTATGTATTCAGTAGCCGTAGCATATGGCTGTTGGCCATCGTACATATCCAGGCTGAGAACATATATATAGTTTGTATATAGTCAACTCATATTCCGTTACAAGAACCCCGCGTTAGGCTGCTTCGTGCCCAGAAGGATTCTTCAAGGGACTCGCGCCCGCCATCCAAACCATCACCCTCGTAAACTTGCCATCCCCATCGACATCAAAGAAGTTGCAATTCCGCATGTCATTCTGTGTACCATTCATCAACTCTCCAACATAAGTCTGCTGGGTGGAAACCCTGCGATTGACATCGTCGACAACGATGTTGGTGACCTCATGACGCATCGTTCGGGATGACTGGATAAAGGCGGAAAACATGGTGCGGATCTCGTCGACACCAGTGACTGTGACATGGTCGGTTTGTACGGTGAAAGTGGCATGTGGCGCGAAGTGGGAGACTATAGCGTCGACATCTCGGTCGTCGACGGCTTTGAAGAAGCTGGCGGGTAGGGACGCCAGATGGTCGCGAGTCAGTGCCATGGTAGTAGCTGGCAAAGAGCTTGTTAACTATCCACAGTCCGAGATGAAAATGGGAGTTGTGGATTACGTGGCAGATCGCCAGGATAAGTGGCTGATCAAGTATCCTCCCACGCTTAGGGCTTGTCCCCATCCTTGGCAAGTTCAACCCCGCTATGAGGGGGAAATCCCAGTATATGTTGTTATGACAGACACTAATGTGAAATATTCCCAGCTCTGGATTCCCCATCGAACCGCTCTTAGAATGTTCATTAACGTGATTGGATCACGATTGCTCAAGCTCTTGAAGGATGAAGTGAATCCAGTATTGTTTCCAGTATGACTTCCAACAGTGGATAATCCCTTGATTAAGAGGCTGATATTGGCTGGTAGAGTTCGCAGGAAGCCATATAATAAGAGTATTCTGTAGTGGATAGCTACTAGATTGAATCTCTGTTACAGCAGCTTGATGAGTAGAGAAGTTATCTATCAGAAGGATAACATTCCGTCCACTCATCTGCTTATCAAACTAACAAAGAAAATCTGTAAAGATTAATGGTGTAATCCAGGCTTTCTGGTTACTCTGCTAGATAAGATTTAGATTCTGTATATTGACACCAGTGGCTTGGAAAGCTCGTGGATTCTTTGCTGTACTAATAAACCATAGTAATAGCTTCTCAGAGCTCATCTGCGTTGCAATAAAAGAGGGCTGTTATTTATGCTTTATCTTTCTTTCGCCCTAGAAGTTGATGTGTTAAAAGACTCTATGCAGAAGCTGCTTCTAAAAGAGGCCAGTCTCATCATAATTAAACTAGTCCTAAAGGCTGTACGCACTTAAACTTATTTAATCTTAAGCATCTCTTACTAAGGTTGGGATGAAAATTGGTGCGGAGATATATATTTCTAACCACGACTGTCATGGGCTACCCCCATGACATGCACTGCACTGGGTATGCAGCTGTGATTACATGGTGTGATTACTATATCAGTTAGTATAATTACTATGTGACCTAGAGCTTATGTCTAAGATGGACATAACCTCAGCCTATACCTGGTTTCCTTTCTTCTTTAGTAATTCTACTCTATACTTTTATAGCCTATTAGGATGGCTAGAGTAAAGCCTTAGACTAAGATATTCTCGCCTATGATAGTTAGAATTACTCACCTGCCTGCTAGTAGTAATAATAGTTGATAAATCTATTATAGATTCTTAGAGAGATTTTTCACCATAGCAAACTCTTTGAACAGCAGACATGTCTTTCTCTATTTAAGGATACCGTCCGTAACTTCCAGTGCTTTTCTAGGTCTTGCAAAAAGGATGCTTGATTATCATATGTACGGTCCCAACATCATTCAGGAGGATAGACAGCCCTTACAGTTAACACATCACCAGGATCATGCAATCGGGATCGTCGAGTTTGTCATTGGTAAAAACCAAAGACAGTTCTAAATACATGCAGCACTAGCTGGTTCTTTCCCAAAGGAGATATTTCAGCCTCCCCTGAATGGGCAAGCCGATGAGGTCATCTTTGATCGCTGCTGTGAGTTCATATATTCTGGTGACTATTCCGTTCCGTTGCCGACTGCCAATCCGTGTGGAAGATGATGACAACCAACCCAGCGACAGCAATTCGCATAGAAGGGAAAACAGCTATATATAGTGAGGCGAAAGGCTGGCACGCCAGCGGTCGCTGCGTTGAGGGGACTGCGCTGCGGGACTAGTATGGAACACGATTCTCTAACGACCCAGTACTCGCGTTCTGCGATAAAACATTTTAACACCAAATGCCTGGGGCAAATGCCTGGGGCACAGTCTAATTCTTTGAAATGAGCGCCTACAAACATATGTGGTAAATTAGATGACGTATCTTGCAACGGGTTCGTTGCAATGGAAGGGCGATCAATAGCCACAAAACAAATAGCGCCCTGTCTCTAGGGCGAATTTCCCAAGTATGTGCCGCCTAAGCCTAAATTCTATAACCGCTGTCTGCCGTGCTTGTATTGACAGAAATATCAGACGATTTCACGACAGTGGCATTTCCAGCATCTTAAAATATATCGGTTTGGGCCCCTTTGGGACAGCAAGCTTGTCAGTAACGTATATGAATCTCTGCTTGTTTGGCTGTGCATACCATGTGTGAAACCCATGTCTGTGGAGTAAGTTGGGGGTCTGTTTCCCGGCAAGGCCGCAACGTTGTTGCCCTCAGCTTGGAAAAAAGCAATGAGCTGCTTAGGGCCTTGAACCCCAGGACCTGGGGGAAGAGAAGGAACCTTCGGTTTCTGGCCACCACTGGGGTTGATAATCTTGCACTTATGTGGTGTCTGATACATGTTTCCCTGTCCGTAACCGAGGGGGACCCATCTAGATGAGTAATGGTGAGCCAATGACTGTCAATCTAACCAAACCACCTGGTAAGGTTGCAGCTTCGAGTTGATACGTACCCAGTCGCGCAGAGGCATTCAGCGCAAGGAGCAAGGTCCGGAATAGAATAGTTTGCCAAAAGCTCAAATGGTGTATTTGCAGCAATAGAAACAACCACAAAGTCTTCCATGGTAACTTCCCAAATAGAACTCTTATAGGCGACTGCAAGAGCCGTACCAGCAGCAGTGGACTTGTTGGCACAGTGTAGATTCGGCTTGGCTAGTCCATGAGATGAAGTTACGAGGCCGGCCGCAATCACAGCGGGATTCGTCACCGAGTAAGGCGTCGGGTAAGCATCTTCTAGTACACAGCTGCCGTAGAAGCCAGTACAATTCTGTCTGGTTGTCCAGCCAGCGGAGACAACAGAGTTCGCAGTGATTTCCCAAATGCCAGTCGGTTCAGCGAGCCAGCAGTTTTTCCCTTTGGATAGGAACCTGTGAGAACAAGACATAAGTAATCGGTATGATAAATCATCTGTACCTATCATATTTACCAGTCGTCGCCTGACAGTTGATAGAGAGGATCAAATATGTGAAGATTCGGATCGGTGGCGTTTGTGAGGGCTCCCTGATAGGAGCCCTTACAGATAGTTAGTCAGTTTTGGGAAATTTTGTATCCTGACAATTACCTCTGGACAATACATTCCCTCGGTAAATGCAGCAAGATGCGCAGAAGTTAAAGGAATGGACAGAAGAACAAAAGTCAATGGCTTGCAGCCCATTTTGAAGAGACTTGGCAGAATCGAGCAAATTTGATAAAGGGTGTCTGATGGTAAACTGGGAAGGCCGCCAGTCACAAAAGGAAAACACGAAGGGTGACAATTGGAAAACGTGGGTTCTGTTTGAAAAGCGGGAAATAGGCGATATACGAATGCAATTGGAGGAGGGCCAAAGTTGAGGTTTGTCAAACCTGTATCCTTGATATTTGATTTGAAACGACGACCGACCTGAGATATGATTGCCCAAAATGTGAGTTATGCAAAGATCATTAAATTTACGTTTCACTCTATTCCGGAGCTTCGGGGGTATGTTACTTGTAAACATGTTACAGCATGGGGTCCAAAATCATCTAGATTCACATGGCTCCGAATGCGTTCGAGAAACTAGTGGGTTTTAACTTGCTCCGGTGATTTTCGGTTTAAGTTCGACGGCCTGGTCCCGGTGTTTCACAATCATAACTCATCGATAGATATTCGTAAACACTGAACAATGCCAGGTCTTTTAGGCCGTTTAGAGAGGGAGCGGATGTTTGCCATTAGTTTTAGAAGTACAAGGACAGCTAGTATGCTTGAAACTCGCCATGACCAGCGGCATAGCTATAACTGGCCATACGGTAAACAGAGTCAGCCAAAACGAAAAGAGCGACTTGAAGCTTGGCATTTAGGGAGTTCTTGCATAGAAGACGCCCGTTGAAAGTGACATTTTTATAGTTAAAGTCCTTCTTATCCAGGTCGAACGTAGGTGCTGCGTCCGTAAGCGGGAGAGACAAGGGACTGGCAAAATTTGAACTGTAGTCCATTTGCATCTCATCTGCAATTAAGATTGCGGTAACTAAGTTCTGGGTCTGGCTACCCCTGGTGCGTAACCTAATTCCGTACAATTGGCCGTTCCATGGCGCCATGAAGACCTTACAAAATTGTTCCCACATGAAGTTTATATTGAGAGTGGTCTGGAACGTTGAGCAGATATAGTGGATGGATTGGAAAGCATAGACTGACTTTTATTGGAAGACATTCCCGCTCCTTGACTGATTTTAGCTCCATGCGTGGTGGTATCGTGTCCGTCGTTACACTTAATTTCCCCGCTTTATAGGCTTAATCTTACGGACAGAGCGAAGGATCGGACAGACTACTACGTATGTGTTGCAAATTGGTTATGGCAAGCACACTCCAGCTTCCGCTACCACGCCGCAATGTCCAGTTCGCGCACTATAAAATTGCAGGGTATCAACGCTACCGGACGCCACGCTCATTGAACACAGGATCGAATCCTACTGTCCTCAACGGATGACTTGTACAATCGTGTTCGTCTCAAACTGATGAAATCCAACTCTATACGCCAATTGATGGGATATGGTTGATCGTGCTGCGAACCATCCGTGTTGAGTTTTCAGAATATTCCTATATCGGGCAATTGCCAACCCCTCTGAGAAACGGGACTATGAAACCGTGCGTTGTGACTACCAGATGACTGAATGAGGCGTTGCTTTGTACCACACTGGGGACCCGGCCCATGAATGGGTATGTCTCCGTGCTCATCATCCATGATCCTTTACCTGAAAATTTGGCCGCCAACATGCCCTATAACAGCTTCCTGTGACTCTCGTATGCGATCAATATGGAGACATGCATCACTTGAGTGGTCTTTATTCATTTTTTGCCCCATTAGTGAGAAAATGCATCTCAAGTCTTCACCTTTACGTGTTTATCGGGCATGGCCTGAAAACTTTATGCAGCGGCTGCCGGAGAAAGGGACCACCAATAAACGTGTCTGATTTTATCGAGCAATTATGAGCTTATGCGAGCCCTAGGCTTCGAATATAGTATTCGAAGCGTGCGAATGTCGATATTGATTTTCTTCGTTTCTTTCTTCATGCTTAGGATCTCTATAGTTAGGTCTCGATACAAGACCACGTTGACGTTCATTGGTGTTCCAGCAACCGAGGAATGGCAAGGTTGCAGGCTACTTGTTCTGTGGCCTGGTGTTAGAACCGCCTGTCAGGTCATGGTTCTGGCAGAGATCACAATCGGACGTACAATAGGGTGCATAATATTGCCTGGGTGCGTTCCATTTCGGTTGCGTCCCCGTGTTATTATCACAATTTACACGCAATCATTCACTGTGGTGGGAAAGCTAGCCTTCGTGATCTATTTCAAAGCATTTCCGGAATTATTCAGTCACTCAGCTCTGCAAAAACCTTGAAATACAGGGTTATTTCAGAATCGGAATCTGAGTACCAAGAGGTCTATGGACTACAAACGCTCTGGTTACAATGCTTCAACGCCACACCACAGTTAACGCCCAAACGTTCTTCCCTTGAATGTGGGGATTCAGGACTCCTCGAATTGGACCGGCAGAGACAGGTGAAATAGTATGGTTTTCTGCTCTCTCAAGGCACAGATAGAAAATTTCTCCACTGTATTACCAGATTAGGAAATTGGTGTCCAAGGGAGGTTTCGCGAACAGCAATACTGGAGCGAAGCCACAGTTGACAAGACGGATCTCCAATTCACCATGAAACAGATGAGACAAACTAGTTATCCTTTAGAATTATATTCTATGATCCACTAATTCAAGTAGCTCAATACCGAGCATGAATTGCCGGGCGGAGGTTGCTGCCAATGATCAACTTTAAGCTACCAACCAATGGAAGTAAAGCTTCTAAGTAGTAGTGGCTTAGAAAAGTAAGAGCCACCCGAACTTTTTAGCGCTTGCGCTAAGCATATTTATCAATTTACTTCTCCTCCATATGCTTGCGCACAGAGATTCAGTCCTTCCTTGCCCTAGTCTAATAAAACGATGTAACAGCATGAATGGGCCTTAGTTGATCTTGAATTTTACTGATTCGCCGTCACGATTCAAGCTTGCGCATGATAGGTACGAGGAGATGGAACGCAGAGATGTTACTTTTCCTCAGCCTACCCGATGGGTAGCAATGTCGTGTTCCAGTCACCATCTGGAGAGTCCATGAGCTTTTTGACTTCTATATAAACAGCTGCCAGTGTTGTCGGTCTCTTTGAGGGGTCCTACCTCTAGTGTATTCCTCATAAGGAGAAGTTATCTTGACTCCTATCATTATTCCTCTGAGATTCTCTATATACTATCCTTAGCCCACATATTATATACCATCTGCTTCTGTCTTATAACTCGACCATTCCCTACAAATGTTCAGCCGCTATGCTTCCCTCCTGCCCGCTCTGGCTTCTCTGGCCTTAGCCTGGGCTCCTCCCTCATACTCAGGGTACACGCTGCAGTGGAGTGACAGCTTTGCCGGCTCAACAGCAACGCTCCCTAACTCTAACAACTGGAACGTCATCACAGGGAACCTAGGGGTGAATGGCGAGCTAGAGACATATACTAGGTCAACCGCGAATGTCCAGCTGAGTGGCGGCAGCACGCTGCAGCTGGTGCCTTTGAAGGACAGCTCTGTATCGGGTGGGTGGACTTCAGGCCGTGTTGAGAGCAAGTACATCTTCACGCCGAGCGCGGGAAAGGTAACACTTGCTGAGGCCAATATCCGGTTCGGCAGCAACCCTACCTCAAACAAACAGGGGATCTGGCCCGCATTCTGGATCCTGGGGAACTCCATCCGATCAGGGACTGGGTGGCCCCAGTGTGGAGAGCTTGACATCCTTGAGGCCATCGATGGCAAGCTGACGGGCTACGGCACCGCCCACTGTGACGTTAACCCAGGCGGCATCTGCAATGAGCCTAACGGCCTGGGGGGAAGCATCACCATTCCAGATCAGTCATGGCACACGTGGCGCATGGCTTGGGACCGCACCCCATCTAACTGGCAATCCGAGACAATCACCTGGTATATGGACGGCCAGAAGTTCCACCAGATCACCGGGTCCCAGATCGGCAACTCAGATGTATGGGCCACGCTGTGCCACGACCCGCTGTACTTCATTCTCAACGTCGCTGTCGGTGGCTATTGGGTAAGTCCAGAGACTCTTTTGATTTTCCACCTTTCCGAATATTTCCATCCCAAATGTTCATAAGATGAGAGTGCTGATGTGACATGTTTTTTGACATTGAAGCCCGGGAATCCTAACTCGAACACCCTCGACGGCTACGGCAGCATGATGGAGATCGGTTATGTCGCCGTCTACGTGTCTTAAAGCTCTGTCTGTGGTACCAGTATACTGGTTGTTAATATTGCTTTCGGACCAGCCCGTACATACTCGCTTTTGTATAGCCACTCAGTCGTTTCATCATATTTTCACTCTTTCTATCATCATATTAGACTTTGGGGCGTAAAAGATAATGAGTAAGTGCTGAGCTGGCGATGGGCGCAGGCATCACCGCATGGCTGGTAGTGCTCGGATCATGGTGTATCCTTTTCTGTAGTTTTGGCTGAATTAATAGTACGCCCACGCCCCCCGGCCCTACAGCAGATCCTAACAGTAATGGCAGGCATCGGTACATTCCAGAGTTACTACGAAACCACCCCTTCTACTAGAGTACTCCCCCATCACGATATCCTGGATTCCCTCGCTGCAGGTCTTCATGTTTGGCATGGTATGCCCCGCAGCCCATATATACTACAGTGCACTGATACGAGTGAAAGGGTCCCATCGTCGGAAAGCTATATGATCTCTTCGGTCCCCCGGCATATCATCCTCATAGGCGCATTGCTCCACGTCTTTAGCCTGATGATGGCCTCTCTGGACACAAAATACTACCAGCTTCTCCTTTCGCAAGGCGTCTGCAGCGCCATCGGGCGTGGCTGCTATCTTCCAGCCCGCGATGGGGTTGTATCCCCGGCTGGTTCAGCCGTCGGCGTGGCGCCGCGTACGGGATTGTCTCGACGGGGTCAAGAGTATCGGGGGTGTGGGTGCTCCCGATTATGGTGAGTCGGTTGATGGGGAGTGTCGGGTATGCGTGGACGGATGCGCATCGGGGCGTTTGTGATCCTGGGGCTGCTGGGTATTGCGAATTTGACAGTGCGCGCACGCGGGACGAGGACGGGTAAGAAAATGAGTCGGGAGAGTTTGGTGAGGCCCTTTCGCGAGGTGAAGATGGTGCTTCTGGTGTTGGGGGTTTATGTGTTTGACGTTTGGGGTGTTTATTCCCATCAATTACATTGTTGTGCAGGCGGTGGATGCGGGGATGACTGCTGCGCTGGCGCAGCAACTCGTTGCGATACTTAACGCGGGGAGTCTGCTGGGGCGCTTGTCGGCGGGGGTGTGCTCCGATCGGGTCGGGACGTATAACATCTTCGTCTGTGTGGTCTTTCTGGCTGGGGTGGTGGTCCTGGGCCTGTGGATTCCGGCCGCGGGGAATGCGGCGATCATCGTCTTTGCGGTTGTGTTTGGGTTTACGAACACCGGCGCGTATGTCAGTCTTGCACCGGCGCTGGTGGTCGGTATTTTCCCCGCTGGAGGAGATTGGGTACCGCACGGGGTTGATGTTTCTGTTCGCGTCTGTTGGTGGGCTGACGACGAGTCCGATTGGGGGGATGCCATTCTGCAGCGTGATGGGGCTCGTATACCGGGATGAAGGTCTTCTCGGGTGTGATGTTGCTGGTTGGGACGGAGTTTGTGATGGCGGCGAGGGTGGTCAGAACGGGGTGGGTGCTGAAAGCCAAACTTTAGCTCATCTAGATTCTTTCTCTCGTGGCTTTGGAAGTGTAGATATCGTCGTGCATTAAACAGTCCACTCCCCAAACCCGAACAACTCCAGGTCCCAATTCCCCCAGTCCAAGGCATTCTCTGGTCCGTTCTCTTGGACATCGACCTGGTTATTCGTCAATCCCTCCCTAACTCTCAACGCCTTGGTCCTCAATTGAGACATAACCGCCCATTTGGGCCCCGGGTCAGGCCACGCAGGATCCGTTTCCACCGCCTCAAAGATCGCTTTGATGTTTCGCCACGCCCGCTCAACATGCACGCTGGCCGGATACACACACAGATGCCACAGAGCATAACACAGAAGGTGATACTGTGTGTATGTAGTGGTGAGCCAGCGGAAACCACGGAGTAGGTCGTTCGTCTGCATTTCCATTGCGCATTCGAGGCCATGGCAAGCCATCGCCAGCGTCTCTTGCGCTGTTGGACTTTCATGCTGTGCGCACTGGCTCTGGCCCTGGTTCTGGGCCTGTAGTGCTTTCTGCCTCGCATAGACTGCGACTTTCATGGTGAGGACCTCGGCTAGAAGCAGGCCGTGCTGGTGGATGGGGATATTGGCGTCCCCATGTTGCACGTAATTACGCTGGATGTAGTCCTTGAGTTCCCTAACCAGCGGATCTGGCGAGACACCCTGCGATGTCTTTCGTGAGATCTCATGCAACTTGCGGCTGATTTGGATCGTGATCAGTGGGAAAGTCATCTCCGTCCAGCGCGGTTGAGGTGCCGGTGGAACTGTCGCCGTTGCGGAGAGATCCTGGTCGTCGAGGTTGGACGGCAGCTTCGTGTCGCAGGGTTCGTTGTGCGCGATAATAGAGAGGCCGTGATCCTCCGCGGCACGTTGGTCGCATGTCACAATGTGCCACCACAGTCGGCGGCGGAGTTCACATTCCAGCGGCGAGAGATTGAAGTGCCGTCCGTCGCGGTGGAGGCCGATGGATTGGGCGGCACGGGTGGTGAGGCCGTGAAGTGTCCAGTTGGAGCGGCCGCTGTTGTGATAGCGGAGACACGTCTACTCATAAGTTATAGCCTTCAGAGAAGAACTTAGGATGCATACCTGGTAGATGGCCATTGCTTGCAGCGATATCAGAGTCGGTGCGTCCAGGAACGAAGAGCGATAGAGGGCAAGCTCGAACCCCTGCTGATACCGGCGAATATCCGAGCGGACGTCCTCCCGCAATGGGTCATCCGAGTGTAAAGCGGTTGTGGCCGCAAAGCAAATGGCGAACAGTAGCGCCTGGGTATCCGCAGACGCATCCCCAGGCTGGTTGATGGCGGCAAAGACCCGTGGCTGCGTCGACGGAATATGAAGAATCTTCACCACTGGATCGACACGACCAAGAAAGGTCTGCCAGAGCTGGATGGCTTGCCATCTACTAGGCTGTAGCACCTGAAGATCTATGTGCTCGCGCAGTGAGTTGGCAATGAGGCCCTCGACCCTCAGAGGAGACTGTCGTCCAGGGCTCTTGCCAGCAGACCGGGGCGTGCCAATAGCAGTTTGTAGTTCTTTATCCTTCTCCAGGAACCCAGATAGGAGATGCTCGTCGATATACCGACCATCTCGCGCCAAAAGGCCCTGACGAGGCTGACGCTCCGGGGCAGTGGTTCGTGTCACATTTGTCTCATCGTCGTGTATTGGACTGGCGGTAGACGGACGCCGGGTCAGTTCAGTCACTGCCCTCTCCAATTGGTCTATACGAGAGACTACATCAGCCGAAGTGGCTTTTGGCGGACGGCGTTGGACTCGATTAAGGCCTGGATACTGGCAGGGAACTTTCATCCGGACACAGGCGGCACAGGGGGAACCCTTGTCGCAGCGGACCTTGCGTTGATGGCAGCGGAGACAAGATCGCTCGACGTTGTACCGGCGGACATGGTCCATTGTATCATTTCGAGAATTGAGATGTCTAACAGTTACATGCTCCGGAGATCGTCAGACAAACGTTGTGCCACTTCTTGGCTCTCGGCGTCGGTCATTCACAACTCCGAAACTTAAGCTTATTGCTTCTCTTGGCCAATCAGAGGAGAGGCCACAAATCACTCAACATCTCATGAACATGATCATTACTCCTTTGGGAATCTCTTCAGAAGATTCGATCTTAGGCCAGGTATCCACTTGCCAGGAAGGCAGACTTGAGCTCAGCTTGATATATCGGGGGGAGACTACACCGCCACCTAGTGTACGCTAATAGAAGGTGAGGCTGACAGGCAGCAATCTAAGCCACATTCCCTGCGGAATATATCTGTTCTATATCCCATATCAAACCATCTCAAATCAACGCCAAACAAGGACCATACAAAATGGCCCTCTCAAACATCCCCCATATCAACCTCCTCTGCATGGAAGAGCGCTTCATCCACGCGTTCCAACATGCTCTAACCCAACACTGGCCCGAAACCAGCACCACTCCCAAACCTACCATCACCATCCTCAACACCTCCCTCCGTCAAGTCCCATCCAGCACAAAGTTCGACCTCGTCGTCTCACCAGCAAACTCCTACGGCCGACTCGACGGCGCCTTCGACGACGCCATATCCCGCGCCTTCTGCCAGCCCCCAAAGCACGAATACGACACTCTGACTGAAGCAGTGCAGAAGATCCTCTACGAGCGGTGGAGGGGTTTCGCACCTCCAGGAACCTGCACACTCGTCCCTTTCCCCGATGAGCTAATCGGGGAAAATGAATGGGGCTGTCGCTGGGTGGCGATTTGTCCGACGATGCGGTGGCCTGTTCGGGTCAGCTGGGACCGGGAGATTGTGTATGAGTGTGTGTGGAGTCTGTTGTGTCAGGTTGAGGGGTGGAATCGAGGCAGCAAAAGAGAGGAGCGGATTGAGTCCATTCTGATCACCCCGATGGCGACGGGGATTGGAAGGGTGAGTGCGGCAAAGTGGGCGGCGCAGTTTGTGCTGGCGATGAGGCATTTTGTAGATGCACTGCAGAGGCCGGAGAGATGGGCTGCTTTGAGCTGGGGAGATGTGACGGAGGAGGTTGAGGAGGTGAAGGCGACGTGGGAATTGTAGGATTCACTGGATCACTTGGTGTTTGTGCGAAAGCCTACTCTGACTGCATCGACGATGTGGGTTATCCCTAACCCATCCCTATTGCAACAGGAACCATACAGTCATATATAGGTACTCTCAATGTGTACAGCTCCAACCTGACCCTGATCGAATGTGACCGGGCGTATCTGTTGGAACATACAGCCTTGCAGCTTCAGCCTCGCTTAGTCATTATATTATCAGTTCATATAACCAAGGCGTCCAGGGCTCCAGGCATCCATCGCTGGCACCCTGTGCAATGAAACTCCGTCCATTCCATTCCATCCCATCTCACTCTTTCTTTGGTTGCTTATGCAAATGGCCCTAGAGATGTATTCAAATCTCCATCCAAAATTTCTCATCCTGCTAGTCGCTGCGCTGGTCACCGCCACATGCATCTCCATCAAGCGCTTCCTCATCCGGCGCCAGTTCGCACGCAAGCACGGTTGCCAGCCAGTAGCAAGATCCTTTAGCAAAGACCCCTTCCTAGGCCTCGATACTATCCCGGAGACCATCCGCGCACTGAGACAGCACAAGATTCTCGAACGGAGTGTCCAGCTCTTCCGCCTCTACGGCAACACATTCACAGTAAAAGAGCTACAGAAACGCGCCATTCTCACCATAGAGCCAGAAAACATCAAAACGATCCTCTCACTGAAATTCAACGATTACGGCCTCAGCCACCGGCTTGAACCCTTCAAACCACTACTTGGCGAGGGCATCTTCGACACCGATGGCGCGCACTGGGCCTCGTCGCGTGCCCTAATCCGACCTAGCTTTACTCGCGATCAAGTAGCTGACTTGACAGCGTTGGAGGACTTGATGCAGGATCTCTTCGCGCTGCTACCAAGAGATGGGGAGACAGTCGTTGACCTGCAGGAGTTGTTTTTTCGGTACACGATCGACTCCGCGACTGAGTTCCTGTTCGGAGAATCCGTGGGGACTTTGAAGAAGACTCAGTCTGAGCTTGGATTTGCGCATGCCTTCCACTATGCCCAGAAGGCTATCATCACGCGAGGCATGCTGGGTCCACTGGCCGTATTCTACCGCGATCAGAAGGCAGATGAGTGCAATCGCGTCTGCAGGGAGTTCGTCCAGCGATTCGTTGACGAGGCATTTCACGCAGTCGAGAACAAAGGAGAAAAGAACAGGTGGAGACGAAGCGCCAGAAGCGTATTTTCTCACATGAACTGGCGGCGCGGACATCCTATAAGCGCCGCGTTCTGGATGAGCTGATGAATGTGTTGTTAGCCGGCCGTGACACGACTGCTAGTCTACTGAGCAATCTGTTCTTCATGCTGGCGAAGAAGCCAGATATTTGGGATAAGTTGCGTGCAGAAGTAGCTTGTCTACAGGGCCGCACACCAACTTATGACGAGCTCCGCGGCCTGAGATATGTCCAGTGCTGTATAAATGAATGTAAGCAAAAGCCTTTTTCTTGCATCTTGTCCTCTTGCTAACCGTTCTAGCACTACGTTTACACCCCGTTGTCCCACGCAATGAACGCCAGGCGGTGCGGGATACCGTCCTCCCCCTTGGAGGAGGCGACGATGGTCTCTCACCCGTCTTCGTGCCCAAGGGGACCATCGTATCCTACAACATCTACGCAATGCATCGGCGGCCAGACTTCTACGGGCCAGACGCAGAGGAATTCCGGCCGGAGCGCTGGGAAGACGGAAAACTGCAGCCGCGCTGGGGTTATCTGCCGTTTAATGGCGGCCCGCGCATCTGCATCGGGCAGCGGTATGCATTGACGGAAGTTAGCTACGTTCTTGTCCGGATGGTGCAGGAGTTCCGGGTCCTGGAGAGTCGGGATCCGGGACCGTGGGAGGAATCGCTGGCTTTGACGCTGTGTTCGCGGAATGGAACGAGGGTGAGTCTTATTCCTGGTTGAAGTCAAGGACATAGATGTCCATACAGTACCATAGCCCAATTCAAAGAGTAGAGTGATTTCGTTCATCTATATAAGAGTAGAGAGAAGCATAATATACAACGTGTCATCAACCCAAAGCCTTATCCAAAGCCTGACCCTTGCACATCTCGTAATAGCTGCCTCTTTTCTCCAGCAACTCGGGGTGACTGCCCGCCTCCACAATCCTCCCAGCCCGAAAGACAAAGATGCAGTCCGCGTCCTTGATCGTACTCAGTCGATGCGCAACTGCAATCGTACTCCTCTTCCCATCTTTAGCAGCCTCGCTCAGCGCCGCCTGCACAACCTTCTCGCTCTCGGTATCCAGCGCACTGGTCGCTTCATCCAGCAGCAGAATCTTCGGATCGCGGATTAGCGCGCGCGCAATAGCGACACGCTGGCGCTGTCCACCAGACAGCTTCGAACCGCGAGGGCCAACCTCGCTGTTTAGGCCGTCAGGCAACGAGACGACGAAATCAAAGATGTTGGCGTCTCTGCAGGCTTGTTCGATTTGTGCTTCGGTGGCTTCCTTGCATTCGACGAGTCCCATGGCGACGTTCTCGCGGATGCTACCTTGATACAGGACAGGCTCTTGCTGGACGAGTGCCAAGCGGCGGCGGTGATCTTGCGGGCTGATGTCGTGAATTGGCTGGTCGTTGACGGTGATGTAGCCGGATGTCGGGTCGTAGAAGCGGGCGAGCAGATTGATCATCGTCGACTTGCCGCAGCCGGATGGGCCGACGAAGGCGACGAAATTGCCCGGTGGGATGCTGACATCGATGCCGGAGATGACGTTCGAGCGTGGGCGAGAAGGGTAGGCAAAGTCGAGAGCCTGGCAATCGACGGTAACAGGTTTAGGGTCGTCTTGTGGTCCGTCTGAAGGAGGCTCGTCGGAAAAGCTATTGTCGATAGCGGGGACTCGCTGGCGCAGCCAGAAGATGTAGTTCGTTGAGCCTGTCGCTTTTGTGATGCTGGTCGTGTACTGGAAGATAGCAGCTGCGTTCTCGCCTCCGACCACGACCGCAGTGAAGACAACAAAGAACTGCTCGTTGGTGTACTCGCCCGTCGAGATGAGTTTTCCCCCGTACCAGAAGCCGAGAGCCATGGCTAAGAAATTGATGGACTGCGTCAGGGCGTACCAAAACATGGTAAAAGTCAGCGCCTTCACGGATTGCTCTGCGACAATCGTTAGCCTTTCCCGGTAGATCTGAAGCATCTTGTTCTCTAGCGTAAGAGACGCCACCGTGCGGATGGCCGAGATTGCTTCTGCCGCAATTGCAGCACTGCTGGCGAAGCGCGCCGAGGTGTCGTCTTCCAACTTGTACTCCAGTCGGATGCGGAAGTAGCCACTGAGCAGCAACGGAGGGAGAGCTCCAAAGACACAAACGAGGCCGAGTTTCCAGCCGTAGGCAATGCCCAATACAGAGACGGAGACGACGGTGACGATGTTGATCAGGATTAAACCGGAGTTGATCCCCAGTAGCTCGTTCAGGTTCGAGGCGTGGATCAACAGCCGAGAGGAAATCGCCCCGGTAGCGTTGTGTTCCAAGTCGAAGAATGCAATCTCTTGTTTCATGGTGTTCCTGAAGAGTTCGCGGCGGTACCTCCGGCTGACTTTCTGGGGCAATGGTCAGGTTGGACATAACACGCTGAGAAAGGGATTGTACTCACCTGAATGATGACGTTGGCCATCCATCCCAGGAAGAAGTAGATGAAGAGGTTGGCGAGGGCGACAACGAAGAACATCAGCGCCCAGAAGTCTCCTCGACGAACTGCCTCACTGCCGCGTAGTTGAAAGACTTGGAATGTCCGCGCCAGAATGACGGCTTGTGCTGGGAATGCGCCACCTGCCCATGGGTTAGAAAAGGGCCTGGGAGAGCTGTTGAGCAAACTGACCTCCAAGAATACACGCAATTGCGATAAGCGTGTATCGTCCCCACAGCTGCCGCTGTTCCTTTATCAAAAGCCATAGACACCAAATGAGACTGTATCCCATAGTCTCCTTGGCTGCTGCTTTTGCCTTCTCGTCGGCAGAGAGAGACTCTGCACCTACACTCTTTGTGTGATGCAACGACAGCTTCGCGGCAGACTTTGCATCGTCCTTCTCAGTAGTTTCCTCGTCCGAGTCAACCTGCTCTTGAGCCTCGCCATTTCCCTTCTCCAGATCCTGTGCCCTTACAAGCCTCGCATAAGCGCCGTCTCTGGCAATCAGTTCCTGGTGCGTCCCCTGCTCGATGATTCTCCCGGCGGACATGACAGCGATGTTATCCGCCTTCTGCACAGTAGACAGTTTGTGCGCAATGGTGATGGTCGTCCGCCCGACAGAGATATTATCCAGTGCGCTCTGGACAATCTCCTCAGCCTTGGGATCTAGAGCAGACGTGGCTTCATCCAGCAGCAGAACCTTCGGCCGAGAAATGATACTCCGAGCAATGGCAATCCGTTGCTTCTGCCCTCCCGACAGCATGCGCGCACGTTCTCCAATCTGGGTATCATACTGTCTGGGCAGGTTCTCAATGAACTCATGCGCATAAGCATCCCGACAAGCTTCTTTGACAAGCGCAAGCTTCTGCTCGTACGGGGCCTCTGCGTACGGCGTCCCTTCCAAGCCGAAAGCGACGTTGTCGAAGATCGTCCCGCTAAAGAGAACCGGTTCCTGCTGCACGAGGCGGATCTGCGTGCGTAGCCAGGCAATGTTGAGTTTCTGGATTTCGACGCCGTCGAGTAGAATCGCTCCAGCCGCTGGGTCGTACCAGCGCTCGAGAAGCCCGACTATGGTGCTCTTCCCCGAACCACTGGCGCCGACCAGGGCGGTTGTCTTGCCGGCAGGAACGCTCAAGTTCAGGCCGTTGAGGACTTGCGTATCTGGACGAGAGGGGTAGGCGAACTCGAGGGCTTTTATTTCAATCTCGCCAACGCATTTCTCAGGCGTCAATCCCGCGGTTGAGAGGGAGTCTATGGCAGACTGCTTGTCGATGACGCGGAAGAGCTCGTCCGCAGCAGCGGCTGCTTTAGTGATGGTGATGATTTGAGGCGCGACTTGAGTCAGAGCTGTGGCGGCAACAACTACAGCGAAGATAACACTGCCAAAGAATCAGTAAGGACATCCATCCATCCAGGCTGGCAGCAGACGCACGTCACGATATCCCCCGGCTCGTGGACCTCTCCACGAGCGTACATCCGGATGCCCTGCCAAAAGGCAAGACCGTAACCCGCGTAGACGCAAAAGAACTCGGTCGAGAATAACACCCCATAATTCGGTGATTTCTTCATGCCGACACGCTCCAATTCGGCCAGGTAATCCTCGTAGCGCTTCGCCATCACCGGTTGCAGCCAGAAAGCGTGAACCGTCGAGATACTCGAGAAGACCTCTTCGGCGACCAGGCTAGCGCGCGAATAGATGCCCATCAGCTCGTCCTCATTCTTCACATCGATGCCCATGCAGACTCCGGTGACGATGACGATGGTCGGGACGATGCAGACGGTAATGAGCGTGAGCTTCCACTGCACGGCAAAGGCGACTACAAACGCCGCTATGAAAGTCGCGCAGCTCTGCACAAAGACAGACAGCTTTTCCGAAATGCCGTTGGTGACTAGATTGCCGTTCGTGGTGACTTTGACCGACGGTGACCCGGAGTCTTTCGAATCAAAGTAACTCATGTCCTGGCGCAAGAGACATTGCAGAAAGTTCAGTCGCAGTGCTTTTGTAGCTCGAATGGCCGCGATCGATGCGGTAACGGTATGGATGTAGACGAGGGCGAATTTGGCAATAAACAGATATACCAAGTAAAGGCTGGACATGTTAGCCAGTATCCACGCTTGGATGGGCATATGACTGACGCATATTTCGACACCTCCCTCATGTAATCGTCCGGACCGACAGCGCCCAGGGCAAAGTTGTTAAAGGTCGTCACAAACTTGCCAAAGATCAGATCCATCAACGGAAGGGCCGTGCCTGCTGCGACGGCTGCGGCGATGGCGGCAGAGTACAGAATCCAGCTAGTTCTGTCGGCATAACTGAATATGCGCATGTAGCTCTTGAAGCCAGAGGGCTTTGGTACATCTTCAGCCCCATCTGACTTCAGCTCTTGATTTTTCCCTATGGCCGACATGGTGGGCACAGAAATCTGAAAATTGCTGCGAGGAAGTCGTGTTATTGATATCCTCCACTGAGATCGGAGTCCGCGGGCCCCGAGTGCTTACACCCAATACCATGCTGAGACATCTGCCTGTTGCCCTGATGGATCATCCAATAGAAATGCACATCTTTACGAGTCCGTGGCGACTGCTCTTTTGCCTAGTGCCATGGTCATCGGTCGTTCCAGGCTCCAAGGGTGGGTTAGTTGGCGGTGATATTGTCGGCACTAATAAACGTGGAGTCCGAGGGAGCCGGTAGAACATTCCCACCTACAAACGGTCCAAATGACCAATTATAGGCTAGTTTATATCACCCACATATTGTACATGCAGATGCTGAACAAATTTTACCGAGTACTGGTCCCTATCTGATTAGGGCTTATGGAATCACAGCCGGGTAAGCTCTTCCAGAGACCAGGAGATCCAGTTATGATGGCCAATCACTGGTAATCATATTCATACCCTAACAGAAATCCATATAAACACTTGCAGCTTCTAGCTTTATATGATTGCCCAATAACAACAGCTCCATTGTAACTCTGACTGCAAGGACTGCTATGGTCAAAGCCTAATCAATTCATCCAAACCAACGCCTTGACCTTCTTCGCAGTATCACTCTGCATATTCGCGATAGCGAGCCTGTGGTACTCTTCATCCGTGAAAAGCGATTGCACGTATTTCCCCTTCATATTCCAGGTTCTCAGTTTGACGAACGCCACAAGACAAGGACAAGACTCACATGTTCCTCCTTTGTTGTCATTGCAGCAGTAACATAGAACCTTGCCCCGTAGTCCGCTGACTTTCCTAGGCTGCCTAGATACCAGGGAACCAGGAGCTGCATCAGTTTCGAATGCTCGACGATGGACCGGGCAATGCTGGTGTATACGCGGCCAGGGCAGACGCTGTTTACGATGACTTGCACACTGCAGATCAGTCCGATTAGCACGTTACAAAGTGGAGGTAAAGGAAGGAAAGTGTATACGTTCCGTCTGCTCCCGCTGCTTGCTTGCATATCTGCTCAACCACGTACATCAGCGTCGGCTTGCTGACGGCATAATTGGGCTGCGTCTCCCGCGATCGCCAATTCTCCCTTGCTGCTGAAATGATGCAAGAGCCCTTCCTTCGCTGCCCAGTCCGGCCACGCTGTGATATCCGGATCGAGGTGGTCTCTGGAGGCGATGAACACGAGGTGGCGGTACCGTTCCTCTATTATTGTGTCGAGTCTGTTTCATCCATGACAGTAGGATGATGCCCAGGAGGGTGGTGCTCAGCGTGTCGACTTGGATGGTTTGTTCCCTGTATCACACAATCTCAATCACTCACTAAGGCCTAGTTGTAGTAGGGGAAAGGTGAAAGAACATATTTTTACCAACCATCCTTCCGGGCTCTCCACAAACTCAGCATTGATGATACCCGCACTTCAGCACGGCATAGTCAATTCTCTGCTCACTCTGCTTCAGCTCGTTGACCGAACGAGACACACGACGCGTACCGACTCATATCCAGCCCGCGGATCTGGACCTTTCCCTGACCGGTGATTCCGGCTGCTTGTTCGACGTGTTGCCTTGCGACCTCGCCTTGCGCAGCGTTGCGACAGGTCATGATTACTCTGGCGGTTATAGGACTTGGCGGAATGTACTGCGCCAATAATCTTGACTAAACTTATTAAATGCAGTTCGCCGAGGCCAGCTCTACTTGATATCAACAATGTGAAACAGCGGCATGACTCAGTTTTTAATTGACAGTCTGTCCAAATTCACTGAATGCGTAGTTCAGCTGTCAAGATGTGGAGAGGGGAAACGGCATGTCAGTCGTTGGGACTACATATGCACTGTCTGAACAATAAGTACAGCAATATATGCAGTCAAATGGATCCGCGTGCCATCAACCTAATTGAGAACCTTGTCAGATGCGGGGTGTGGTGGAATACATGTCTACCAGAGCGTGACCCAAACGAAGACGAAGTGACATGGTGAAAAGCAGCAGATTTGGGGGGAGGCGTTAGACAGCAGTATGGCCAAGCTACTAGTGCATATAACATTGAGACTGTCAGCGAATCAGCCTTCAGAGCAAGAGTGAGATTGTGAATGCAAAGAGGGATCAACCGTAGATAATCCATAGATTAGCCCTGGGAGAGATGATAATGATCAAGTGCGAATTTAGAATGTAATACGTACAATTCAATATATCTGCTTATTACGCCTAATGAGTGATGGCATAACTAAACTATCTGGCCTGACTTTCCTCCCCATGCACGTAAAAAATGACTATACAGTTGATACATAGAACAGTAACAGATCGCTCGACAACAAGGAGCCTGAATCAATCTAGCTCACCATCTAGCTGGGAGGAGCGCCGCCAGGACCGCCAGGACCACCAGAGCCGGAGCCACCGGGACCACCGGCGCCGCCACCAGAGCTCTCGTTCTCGACACCACCATCCTCAGTATTGTAAGCGGCAGGGGTCACAGAGCTGCTCTGGGAGGAGTCCATGGCAAGGGAGATCCAAGCAAAGATACCATCGGAGACAGAGTCGCCCAGAAAGACATATTCGACAAAGGGATCGATGGTGTCGGCCTCCTCGGCGAGGATGCTATCCTCGTCATTGGTGGTGAGCTCCTGGGTATTGGTCGAGTAAGGGGAGGTCTCTTCGACGGTGGAAATGAGGTCCTGGTCGAAGAAGATCTGGCCGACATGAGCGGAGTGCGCCGTGTAGAGGGCTGCGAGGGTGTTGTTGGCGTTGACGGTGGTTTCATTGAGAGAGTGAGTGAGGACTAGACATGAATAGGTTAACCTAGCTTCCTAATGTCAGAGATGAATGGGCATACCGTGAATATGGGTGGCGCGTCCGGTGTAGTGGCCGGGAAAGATGGTCTGGAACTGGGCGACACCCTCGTCGTCAGTCTTCTGGAGACCACGGAGGAAGGTAGCGTCGAGGTTGCTGTCGTCGTTGGAGTTGCCGTTTCCACTGGCAACGACACCGGAGTAGACACCCTGGTTTGTTAGTGGTATTCGTTTGAGCCTGTTTCAAGAGACTTACAGTAGCATTGCAGTGCCAGAAGTCCAGGTAGACGCCAGTGACAGGCTCACAGGTGGAGCTGTCGACCATCTGGACGTCCACATAGAGAGGAACACCCGCCTGGTCCTCGGTGATGTCCTTGCGGATCAATTCGCCGCTTACATCTGCGTGTCGTCAGTGCTAGCCAATGATCTATAATAGAACAATAACCATACAGTAAGGTCCCTGAGTAACATCAGATGCCAGGACACAAGTTGCGTCGGAGGAGAACAGGACCGAGGGGTCGGTGGACAGATCGACATCCAAAGAAGATTCGTGGGAAGTGTTGAGAGCAGTAAGGTCGCGAGCCTTGAGGAAAGGAGCACCTAGGAAATACTCAGTCAATGCCAACCTCACGCAGAAAGGTTAAGAAGATTACATACGAGTCTCCAAGCCTTTGCTGCGGCGAAGCATCTTGACTGCATGCTCACGACGAGCGATGCTGCGACTCTCAAGGCCGCGGGCCTTGAGCTTCGCGGCGCATGCTCCCCATCCGCGAGCGATATTGGAACGCTTCAGGAAAGCCGCACGCTCAGCAGCCTCGGCTTTGACATTGTGGCCAGGATGCGCCAAGGAAACGCTGGCGAGGCCGGCCACGGCAGCGACAAGGGTAGAAGCGAGTTGGACCATGGTAGAAGCAGTGAAGCGATGCAAAGACAAGCAGAGCGATGGTGATGATAGAAGCACATTGTCAACCAGCGCAGGTGCCAGCTTTATACATTTTCATTCCTGAAAGTGTGTACGCAAACACTCAACCGTCAACAGTCTTTCTGACCGTCAACATGAGGAGTTCACCCTGTATGCAAGTTGAATTGCATCGATATTGATGCTGACGCAACCCCATGTAACGGAGTTGATCAACTCCGTCGAATCAGATAAGGCGCATTGATCAGCGACAGGGCGGAAGAGGGACCTATGGACCCTCTACGGGGGTGGCTTCCCGCACCATTCCCAATTATGCATACTGCCTCCTGCAGACTCCCTGGGCATTACAAAGTTCCTTACCCTATCCGGAACGGATGATCCGAAATCCAGAGCCAGAAGCAGAGATCATCGCTGGCTGACGACGTTGCCCCGCTTCCGCAGGTCCAAGACTTCAGAAGTACGGAGACGCAAGTCAATCTAACATCTGCAGCTGAAGCAAATAAAAGTCTTGGCCAGCACGCCAAGCACGGCGCGAATTGCACAAGCCGGAAAGTTCCAGACACTCAGCTCTCCAGAGGTGACTGTATCCAGGCTTGGAGATGTCTGTGGATCCGGTAAACCCACTAACCTCAGTATCAAGGAGGCGGTGTATTTTGTGAATCTACCATCTCGGCAACGTTGAGTTTCAAGCAATCAGGCATCTCCCATTTGATTCACATACCTCCGTCGCTTGGCTTTCTGGTGAGTACGACTAAACGCAGATCATTGCCTTATTCTCCACCAAAGTACAAGCTTGTTGGAGATAGACACGCATCCTTTTCTTGGCAAGCTAGCAGGCAGATCACATCCGAGGTCTGAAGTCTCAAGTTTCTTGAGGGACGCGAGATCACGGCTGTTGACACGAGTGAAATCGCCGGTTCGGTAGGATGACGAGTCAACCGAGACTTCGCCATAGGACCAAGGCACGTGTTTCTAATCGCTGAAACGCCAAGCTGATGATTACCATCAATAACTGTCCTTGGCAACAATCGCCATTTCATACTTTGTATTCCCGTATGGTTTCAGATCCTTGATGATGGATTGACAGATGGAAAGGCTAAAACTGATGGTGGAAAGGGAGAATCATGGACGTGGAAGGTCACGGGATTTTTCGCTTGCTGCCCAATTAATCATAGCACCATATCTACGGAGAGGTTCACCATCTGACAGCCTTCAGATCATGAGGTCAGGATCTGCATGCAGAGCAGTTCTCAGTTGCAGACTCCATCTGTCTGTTGGACGTGCAGTTACCATAGCGAGTGCTGGGCAGTTGTAGCACGCATCTTGTAGAAAAAGGTTCAATCTAAGGGCAGCATATATCCTGCTGATTATGATGGCAAGTGGAAAAGATTATGTGGACGTCATTACGGGCTTCTGATGATTTCTAACCATGAAAATAGAAGCACAGACACAAACGCTGGAATCGAAATTGATTCAATGGTTTCCCATTTCGGTTTCCTTTTTCTTTTTTTTTTTCAATATTTGCCTAAGACACCACCATTAAAACAGATATTAGAGTCTCATTCCTCTGTAGACATTGAGTATTATTGTAACATGAAGCGTAACCATGGGTATACGTGACGTTGGTAAGTAAGAAGAAAATCACAAGAAGTCTCAGAAGCCCTCAGAGACGGAGAGTTGGCACCGCCAAGATCGTTTAAACCTCCTGGTGAACAACCTCGCCGCCAGTCTTCTCGGCCATATCCTTCTCAGTGAGACCCATCTCAGCGGCGAAGGTGCCGTGGGGCTTCCACTTGGCAGAGGTACGGGGAGTGGACTCCTCCATCATCTTGTCGACCTGCTCGAGGGTGAGACCCTTGGTCTCGGGGACGAGGAAGTAGGTGTAGACAAAGGCACAGGCGCAGAGAGATCCCCAGATGAAGAAGACCTTGGCCTTGAGGTTACCCTTGTCGGTGTCGACCATGTAGGGGGTGATGACAGCGATGATCTATACGAAGGGAGTCAGCACGCTATTCTTTGTGCATCCGTGTTCAAGTAGAAACTTACGCAGTTCCAGAGCCAGTTGGAGGCGGTGGACAGAGCAACACCACGGGAACGGATGGGCAGAGGGAAGATCTCGCCGATGACGACCCAGGCACCAGGACCCCAGGTGCTGGCGAAGAAGAAGATGTAAATGCAGATGAAGGAGATTTCCGCGCTGACGGCACTCTTGTTGCCCTCGTCAGCAGTTCCGACAATGGCGACGATGAACTGGCAGATAACCATGCCCAGAGCACCCCAGAGGAGCAGAGTACGACGACCGAGCTTTTCCATGGTGTAGAAGGAGATGGGAGTGGAGCAGACATTGACGATGGTTGTAATCATGCTGATCAGGAAAGGGTCGCTGATGGTTCCCAAGCTCTTGAAGAAGGTGGTACCGAAGTAGAAGACGAAGTTGACACCAGTCCACCTGTCGCGGTCGTTAGCATCGCCAGTCAGTCAGCAAGGAAAGCAAGCAAGGGAAACGTACTGTTGCATCATCTGCAGAGAAGTACCCAGGATGGTACGACGGAGGTTGCTGTTGGGGTTCCAGAGACTTCCACGGAAGCAGTTGAACCAGCTGCCAAAGTAGCCGCTCTGGGGAATGGCCTGCATCTCGTACTCGTGGTTGGCGACAATCTCAGCCAATTCGGAGCGGATGAGCTCAGAATCGTGGGGCTGGCCACGGACACGGCCAAGAGCGTCGGCGGCCTTGGTCAGATCGCCCTTCTTGACGAAGTAACGAGGAGACTCGGGCAGCAGAAGGAGACCGGTACCCAGGATGAGAGCCCAGGCGATCTGGATACCGATGGGGATGCGGTAGGAGCCAGAATCGGCGCGGTTCTGGGTGGCATAGTCGACGCAGGAAGCCAGCATCAGACCAATGGTGATGCAGAACTGGTAACCAGAGACGATGGCACCGCGGACCTTGCGGGGCGCAATCTCGGACATGTACAGGATAATGATGGCGGAAACGAAACCGACACCAAAACCGGCAATCAGACGACCGACCACGAGCAGAGCAGTGCTGGCGGAAGCAGTCTGAAGGACGACACCGACAATGAAGATACCGCAACCAGCGACAATGGTAGTCCGACGACCAAACCAATCGGACAAGTCACCAGCGATCAGAGCACCGAAGAAAGTACCAGCAGACAGAATGGAAGTGATCAAAGACTTCTTCCAGGAAGGAATGACGAAAAGATCGGTCGGAGTGGTGGCCTTGTCCTGCAGAGTGGGAGGTTCAACTGTTAGTAACGAAGGCCTTTGCTATAACTTTGCCGAGCGGGGGTTTACTAACGAGACCCTCGAATTCCGTGATGAAGAAATCCATGGCCATAACACCGGAAATGTAACCAGAGTCATAACCGAAGAAGATACCACCGAAGGCCGCAAAGGCACACATCAGGTAGGTCTTCCATGTCACAGGCGCCTCGACGCGCGAGGTATCGACGACAACGTCCGCCATGGCGATCGATGGCAGTGATCAACCCCGAAAGTAGAGAAGTGGAAGGTTAGATATGAGAGTGGATAGGGATGTTGATCACCACGAGGCTCAAAAGGAGAAGGATGAAGGGAAGAAGAGAAAAGAGAGAAGATCTACGTGACAAGAAGGTCGGACAACCTGGAGGGGGGGGAAGAACGGCAGATTTTATAGACCTGGACCTGGAAGAGGAGAAACCTGGAGATGCCGCACTCGCTCTTTCTCCCACTTTTCTCTTTCCCTCAATCAGTCGGCCCCATGCCGGTCCGGGGAATTGGCCACGGGGGATGCAGGTTGCCATCGGCTCTAGCGCGGTTTATTTTTTTCTTTCGCGCTTTTTTTTTTGTCATGCGGTTCTAGTTGCCATCACACTCTGAATCGCTTAGTCTTGTCTCATCTGGGGAATTGGGGACAAAGCTGGAGACATGGAGAAAAACAAAAAATACCGCCATACTGCATTGGGACGCACTAAGAGTAAGCGAAACGTGAGTCAGAAAAGATGATGGACCAATCATTGCAGATGGCAGTCTGTCTGAGATCGCAGGATCTGGTAACCTGAGTGAAATGGGGGAACCTCGGACTGCGACGCTGTACAACTCTGGGATGGGAAACCACAGAGTGGTAGAGTGGCGCATGGGCATGGTACCGTACAGACATTCACAGGCACAACCCCGGATCGAATGCTCGAGCTGACCACCAAAATCCGGCCTGTGCTCGCAGAAACTAAACCATCCTGGGCCAAGTATCTTGCTTAGACCTCTACTCCGGGAATTCTCATTGGTAATGGATTTGTGGCGCGACCAACCCCGGACGTTCTGGCCAAACAGATGCTCGGGTCTCGGCCGGCCGTGTTGTCGGGCTGACTAGTTCTGGCACAGTCTCGAAGATGTAGCCAGTCAGGGAACTAGCTACGCGCTTCCAGAGACACTAACCCGGCGACGGTTCCTTCTCAGGCCTAATTTCCGTGTCATACACTCTCATTGGCTGTTCTGGCAGGGGCCGGAAAAACCAGCCTACCACGTGCAGGAAAGTGGGGTGACCGCTCCACATGGTCCGAGGGAACCAGAGTCTGTCAAAGTTTGCTAGTCAATACTTACCATACAGTATCATCCCGGTTATGTGCCTACTACCAGGTTACTCTGTACTAAGGATTCCATCAATGTTCGCGACGGCTTCGATGGATGTATAAGGAGTAGGAATGTTTAATACTGTTGCGACCGGTCAATTTATATCAAGATCGAATTACAGTCTAGAAAGGTAGTTTGTTTGAAAGACAGGAGACCATGTCATCCGCCAATTGTCGAGGTCATTCCTGGATCGGTAAAGCCTAACTCCTCACAATGTAACCCTGGAAGCCGGCTCTCCTTAATCTTATTAGCCACGATAAATTGCTTGACAAGTTACAGCACACAGGACACGGACATGTCGAGCGCCACCTTAACTGTAAATTACCGTTGTGCGCGTATGGTTGGACATCAGTATGTGAATGGAAGAGCGGGCCGCGCTGAAATTGGTTGTGTGTTTTCCTCTCTCATAATTATGATTTTATTCTGCAAGTGTCTCACTGGATGGAGCGAGCCGAGGATGAAATTATCTTTCGGATCTGGCCGAGTCTGCGAGTCTATGATCACTTGATGCCGACCCGTGATTTGCGGCCGAGAACCAATCTCGCTAGATTTATTTTTGATTCAGAGCATTGCCACTGACTATGGACTTAACAGTCGATGCGAGGAAGCTGGCCTGTCTGAGAGTGAGCAACAAGAATGGAAGTGGCTGCTGATTGCTGTAGTGCAGGTTGACAGGCTGGCATGCCAAGACTGTTGGTGGGCCATGGGCCAGTAACGTTGTAACAATGTTTCATCGTCTGAAACCTAATAAACAACGAATTACATAGGTAGGGAAATACTTGCCTTACACCTAAGTCCGAGTTCGAGTCAGCAATCAACAGCAGATGCGGGGATGCAGGGCATAGACTAATAGGGCAAATGATAGACACCTCATCAGAAGGAAACTTACAACTGACCGGAGATAAAGGTGGAATGAATGGATAACGGCAGCGGTAAGGAAACAGAGTTTGTTACCACGTGCAAACCACGGTATGACCGACAGGAACAAACGAAGCTTTTCCACTCGTCTGTTGCTGTCTCAACCAATGCGCCAATTTCCTCTGTCCAAGGAAGCTTGGTTACGTCTCTTGGTCTTCGGTTCTCGCTTCCAGTCGATTCATCATCATTTTCTGCCAAGTTCCACTTCCCACTTTTTCTCGCGTCCGAGTCCAAGTCCGTGACTCCATAGATAGTAGGTAGTCCACTGTTCATGGTCTCTCCATGCGGGGATCCCCAGACAGCCTCCCCAGGTTCACCTGCTCCCGGTGAGAATTTCAAGTTAGCAACTGCATACATCCCGGCACTCGGATTTCTCATCGAACAGGTTCGCTAACGAGTCAGTACGGGGAATAATAAGTGGGACTCCCACAAATGTACGTGGGGAACAGAACTATGGACGCAGGTTTGCAGCGGTCTTGCCGAAGATTAAGCGACCTCCCCTTGGACTACGGTTCTAGATGCCCTTTTGTCACTAGAGTCGGACATATTTTACGGAGTATTACGAAAGCATTACCTACAAAAAGGTCAAGGGAACTGCGTCGGCAGATGTTCTCCAACCTTCCAATCATACGACCAAGGCCCCTAGCTGCTTGGCTAATAATCAATGGTTAAACTCTGCCTGTTGACTTGTCCCCGCCATCTCCGCTATTCGCATAATCCTTCGCCCGCTCCAAGCCTGCAGGTGAATAGTCCAATGTCTCGGGTCGGCCTGTTTGCGGTCGACTTGCCCGTTAAATCACCGTTAGCTTGCCGACCCTGGCTTGTCAATCAATAGTGAGAAAGAACGACGACCCCGATCAGTGCCAATGGCCTGTCCTCTGATAGATAGATGTTGGTGAACCCAAGCGAGGGGGTTAATATAGCTCCAAACACCCCTGTTGTAATGACTCTAGTCCACAAAGCCAATTGTCCGTCAAGCTCGAGACGGACAAGACGAGTATGACGCCTGCCATCGGCTTCCCTGTGGGCTGAGGTTTCGAATTTGACCCCTGTGTGCCGAGCACGGCAGCTTTCTCAGCCGATACCAAGAAGCCAAGCAGGTGCCTGATCCGGTTCGTAACGCCCACGGTAAGGGTGATTGGCCAGACAGATTTCCTTTGGACGCCATGTCCCACCTTTTCGAATGCTCGAATCAGTCAAGGTTTTCAGGAGTCAAGGACTGCGTTTTTTGGCATCGAGGCACGTGATTCCCTCATGATGCTGGGTTGAAGAGCGGGATCATCGAATCTCACGGAATATCATTGACGAGGGGCCGAAAGCAGCTCGAAGCCTTTGGTTGCACCAGCAGGTGATGGGCCAATGCCGACTGGACAACCCAGGACACAGGCTCGTGCTGCCACATCATCCGATCTGACAGATCAAATTGACCCTGCCTCCTGGTGGCTGGACATTTCAGGTATCTATCAGACATTCAAGCTACTGGTCCGTCAACATAACAGTCTCTGATCCCATTACGTGCTATGTCCATTCGCATTCACAATGTCCAATCCATTCTTCAAGGATGCTATCGCCGGCATAGTATCGACTTGATCCGACCGCCATCAATACAAGAAACTCAAACGACCTTCAGTTGACCATCAAAGTTGACAATCTTTTCAGAAAGGTTCAGCTCCTGACGATTTGCCGACCCACCGTCTTTATTCATCTCGGCACACATTATGGCCCCACGCTCGGTCTGTTCTAGGGAGACCTGTCCCGCAGAGTGTGTGAAGTTCTGTCCTCCCCACACCAGCCGTCCTGGTATCAGCTGTTAGGACCTAACTCTCAGATTGAACCATGCCCACGGGGGAAGAGGGAATACCATCTTTTTCACCAATATGGTCATCAAGTCGGATCTTATTGGGGATCCGCCGTCCGGAGCTATTACGGGCGTCGGCCACGAGATCAGTGGCGCCAATCTTCCGAATAATCTGAAGTTGTTCGCAGGTTTTGTGGAGTGACATTTCGCCTGTTGTGACTGGGGGTATCTCTCGAAAACTGCTAACAAGCGGAGGCCAGGTTATATACCCGCTCCAGCTGTCCTGAGGCGTTGCTGTCTCTATTCATTGAAAGATGACCTAGTGTTGAACACATTGTAACGCAATATTTCTACTACCCTGGAATGGTCGCCCGGTCTCTGTACAGGGCTCCGGACACGTTTTTGTCGAGGGTTCCATGGTTGGCACCGCAATGGATCGTGCGGCTGCAGTTGTTGGCGGCTGATTCGAGAACTATCACTACTCGTCAATAAATCTACTCGAGTTCATACTCATACTGTCGCTGTGGGATGTAACCAGCGAAAGTGTTCCACCGGGACTGCAGTATCACTACATGAGATCTCAGGATTGCTGAAGATGAGACTGTTATCTACGCAAATGCTTACTGCGAGGAATTCTTCTGCGCCGATCTCATTCCATTGACACTATCAATCCATTTCCGCATCCCCATGTCAATCAAGGACCCTACCTCCAACATGAGTACGGACCCCGCTCCTAACTGAATCCATGCAAGAGGAACAAAACTCACCAAAAACTTCAAATGCCCATCATTATTAGCAATCTTCTCCGAAAGCATAATCCCCTGCAGCCCCCTCGACCACCCACCATCCCTCATCTGAAGCTCAGCGCACAGTTTAGGCCCATACGCGGTATGCTCTAGGGAGATATTCCTCGCCGTCCGGGTGAAGTTGGTGCCGCCCCAGATGAACCATCCTATACTATTAGCATCTTCACATTAAACATGAACACAAACACAACTATGGAAAAGGGGGGTATATATATATACCATCAGTATTGCCAATATGATCATCAAGTCGGATCTTCCGCTCGATCAGCTGGCCGCGGCTATCACGGACTTTGGCCAGGAGGAGGGTGTACCCGTCCTCCTGGCGGATGTGGATGTCTTCGCAGGATTGGTGGAAGGACATTTTCTCTTAACAATCTTCGAAAACAGAAACTTGTTGACGAGCAGTTGAGGATGAGAACCGGCGGAACTTGAGGTTATATACGCAGGCCTCGCTGTCGGTGAGGCATTGCTGCCCTACAGTGTCTAGTCTACGGTCCACATCCTAGCTTGAAGTCGACTAGCATGCAAGATGACATAAAAGGTGGATCGTGGCCATAGTTAGTTATTGGGAGGTGAGTCTGTTACAAGGTGGGGCGCAGAGCTAGCGGTGAGGGTTTATTTATCCTGCAGGCTGCAAGCTGCAGTTACTGGCTGCGATACTGTCTTCTGCATATGTTGCGGGGCTGGATGAATGAGTTTCGTCAGTCACCCATAATGGCGAGTACATATTCGTACTGAGGATAAGAATGTAGACTGTAGGCTGGTGTTGCACAGGGCTGTAGTACCACTAGTGTGGCGGTGTTGAAAGACCGGATGTCGAGAATCAGTGGGTCTGTAGCTATTCCTGGTAGTCTGTTTTGAGGCTTTGCAGTATCACCGCCACTTCTAGCACTCAGACCGATCGCTTCAAGGAGAGACAGAGTCCCCAGGTAGGAGCTGCATATGCCACTGTGGCTACTTCTTCATTACACTGCTGGCTCATGATCTCGCGACTACAGTCTTAGAGCTTAGGTAAGGTCTTCATGATTCGACCCACAGAAGGTTTTTTGAGTTAATGCATGTGTTGTCTACGTACGGAGTAGCTTCGTCTTAGGTCGTCTTTCAGTCGGTATAACACGCGAAGCAGAAAGATACGTATGTATTGAATACGGATTTTGCAGCATGAGTTTCACGAGGCGATTAGTAGAATCAACGATCTTCAGCTCTAGTTCTAATACACATCTCTAAGATTTTATCTACATGCACAACGACCATCCAACAATAAACACTAGGGTATGTCTATGGTACTTAAGTCTATGAGTCCCCACATCAAAGTCTATGTCTAATCCAATCCACCATACATCACCATTAATTCCCCTCATCAGCCTTAACAAAGTGCAGCACACCCGGCTGCGACGCATGTCCCTTAGCCGAAACATAGATGCACTTCCGGAAGGTCGTAACCAAGGAACCAAGGAAACTCTGCTCCTTCTCCTCGTGGTACTGCGCTCCCAGCAGGGGCTGGATGGCCCAGGTGGCCTGCTCGGCCTTGTAGAAGGGGATCCGGCTGAAGAGGTGGTGCACGACGTGGTAGTCGATGATCTCGTGGAAGAAATGGCGGCCGATGAAGCCCATCGTGCGGTCAACGGTGGCGAGGGCGCCCTTGGTGTAGGTCCAGGCTTCGGGGTGTAGTGCGGGACGGAGGGGTGGGTGTGTTGGAGGTATGTGATGGCGACTATTTTACGTTAGATACATATTCATGTCGGACCCGAGAAAAAAGGGGAACATACTCAGCCAGTGGTGAACCCACAGGTAAGGGACAAAGTATAGCAGGACGACGTTCCACGCCCCGATCTGGGTACTGGCGTAGTACAGCACAGCGCCCATGATCAGCAGACCCAGATCGGAGATGGCGATGGAGAGACGCTGCGAGGGGCTCCACAGCGCGCCGACGGGGTTGAAGTGGCTCGCCGGGCCGGTCTTGGGCTTGCCCTCGGGCCAGCTCTGCACGCCGGCCGTGGCGTTGGTCAACAGGTACAGCTGCCACCCGCCGAGCTGGTGGCCGATGAGCTGCAGGAATGAGACGATGGGGGTCTCCTCAGTGAGATGCTTGAGCTGCTCGATGCGCACGTTCTTCTTCTGCGCGAGCTGCTCGTCCGTCCACGGCACGAAGACGGTGTCCTTCTCCATGTGGCCGGTGTACCGGTGGTGACGGGCGTGGGTGATCTTCCAGGAGAAGTAAGGGACGAGCAGGAAGGAGTGGGTGGCCCAGCCAATGAAGTCGTTGATTCCCTGGTAGGGAGAGAACGCCCCGTGGCCGCATTCGTGGGCCAGAATCCACATCCCTGTTCCCACGCAGCCCTGGAAGAAGCCGTATGTGGCCCAGGCGAGGGCGCGGAGCGGTAACGAGGGGAGGACATGGATATGGAAGGCGCCGTAGGTCAGGATGGCGCAGTAAAGAATATCACGGGCGAGGTAGAGGAGGGAGATGACGAGCGAGGACTCGAAGCATTCTTTGGGAATGGCATCTTTGAGCGATTTCAGACTCGGAGTGCTGTCTTGGACAACCTAGGAGTATGTGAGCATGCGTTTCTGGTTCATATTGCACAAAACGTACCTCTGTCTCAGTCTGTACAGCTCTTTTGCGAACCTCCGCCATTTTCCCAGCTGTCCTTAATCGAAACCGAGCAATTGGCAAAAGTGAAGGTGGAAGAACAAAAAAAAAAAGGAGGGAAAAAAAAAAAAAAAAAATAGCTCCCCAGAAAAGGCCAGCAAGCCATTCGCCATCGTACAATAGCTAAGCAGCTGGCACCCGACACCGCAGGCAAATCCATTGGCCAATCTCCTTGCCACCAAGTGTTTCCAGAAAAGCGGTTCCTGAATCTGTCAAACGGGCTCAAGTGGATCATTTTGACGCCTCTGGCCAGTCGGACAGCAGCATTGTCCGTGTGCCTGAGGTCCGTTTCTTTAGCGGAGCGTTAGATTGTGATCCATTGATGCCCAGCCGTTGAGAACCTCAACATAAGGAGACGGCTATGCTCTGTTAGGAAATTGGAGCCAAGGGTTGAGATAGGAGCAGGAGACCTCCTGCATTTCGGAGAGCTTTATGATACTGAGTACACGGAGCAGTCAGTATGGAATTGATATCTGATGACATAGTCTGCTTCAATTCCGTTGCATTACTCTACAATTGATATGCTTGTGGCTTTCTACAATGAATGGCTGGAGTCGCCTCTCTGACTGTTGATTTTCACATGGAAAAATTCGAAATTTTATTACTGGATCAGGAATAGCGGATTTGGGTTCTGCACGCCTAAAATTAGGCACAAACACAATTGGCCTCGGATTTTTGGATTTTTCCGTGACATGTGATCTGTACTCCGTACCTCAGCCCCTTTTCCAAACCTCCAATCAAATATCAAATTGGACGGGTACCTTATTCTTGGCTCAGGAGGCTGATCCCATGTCGTGCCGTAAAGCCACGTTGAACTTCAGTATCCATGATCTGCGAAGTACCGAGATCGGGTAGAGGCCAATCCGAACTAAAACCCAGGGGTTGAAGTGTCCCTCATAGCCAGTAGCGATTGAATGCGATTGATTCTGTTTGTTCACCAAGATACTAAAGCCTGACTCTGCGGAGCATTCTGAAGTAGGTGAGTTGTTTGGCACCATTCCAGGAGGGCGTCTGAGTGACAGTAAAGGTCGAAAACTCTGGGATACGATGTCCTGAGATGCTGGCAGGACGAGCCTTCGAAGGTTTTAAGATGGATCATCACGTGCAATTTTGGCATTGGGCTAGGGTATTTACAAACATGCTATGTACTTTCCAGCCAGTGCACATATCTAACCCGCCGCGTATGGACTGCGCTTGCGCAGAATCTCTCCATATTTCCAGAGGAATATAGGCGCCGGTATCCCCAATCCAATAGACACAAAGGCCAATAAACTGTTGCCCCATCCATAGTGCAGCGCGTTGTACATGTATGGCGCAAATAGCGGAAAGGCGAATCCACATATGCAACGTAAGAAAGCCACCGCGGCTAGGGCGCTGGCAGCGAATCTCGTGTATGTATCCACCATGTAGGTCTGGATGCACTGAAAGGCGATAATGTTTCCAGCACCGAAGAGGCAGGCACCAATGTTAGGAGCGATCCAGTGGCGGCGAAACTGAGCGGTCCAGCCGTAGATAAAGAGGCCCACTGGGGTGAGGAAAGCGCCCACAACCAGGAGAGGTACTCGAAATTCGGGCCTGCCGACATTGTTGTTACGGGCTTTGAGCCGGCGATAAATGCGGTCATTCAGCGGAGCGCATATCTGAGAGCCCAACCAGAATCCCAAGCCAAGGGAGATGTAGTTCAGACCACCAATGCCTGTGGATTCGTTGTAGACACCAGTCCACAGAGAGCTGAATGTCGAAAGGACAAGGTACATCGTGCCATAAATAAAAGCCATGTACAAGGCCAAGACTTGAACGATGGGTTGCGTGGACAAGAGGCGGAACGGCCGCACGAGCGCAGTCCGCATCGTTTGCGAAAGGGTTTTGTTCTGTCGCTCGGTTTCAGTCTGGTACACCAAATCACCCGTCTCTTTTCGGATCCGCTCTGCTCTCCGTTTCAGAATCTTGGGTGCGTATGTTTCACGGAGGAGGAATAGCCCCCGAATTGGATGACTCCATCGGCGATGGAGGTGGCATAAAAGACCCATCGCCAGGTGGTGTCTTGAGAAATGAAGCCACCGACTATAGGACCGACAGCTGGACCAAGAAGCGGAGCAAGGCTGTAGATTGCAACACTTTTTCCGCGCTCTTCTGGTTTAAAACAGTCCGAAAGCACACCTCCACCAACCTAAAGGGCTGTTAGTCACTTTACTTGAAGATCCTTGTCGGCAAAGGAGGACTCACAGCTAACGGAGCACTGCCTCCAAGGCCAGAGAGAAACCGAAAAGCAATCATCTGCCCCTTAGTTTGGGAGACACCGCATGCGATGTTGAACACGAGATAGAACAAGTTGGCCAATTGCAAAACAATAACTCTTCCGTAGATCTCAGAAAGCGGCCCCAGGAAGAGAGGTCCGACGGCATAGGCCAACACGAAAATGGACAGAGTAAGCTGGGAAGAGACCTGGTCCTCGATATGAAAATCGCTTGCAATCGACGGCAACGCAGGGGCAACCATGGACGAAGATACTGGGGAAATAAAAGTGAAAAGGGAGACCGTGATAATAGCAGCCCATTTCTTCTTGTTTGGCCAATTCTTGGGGTTCTCGGGATCGTCGGGACCATCCCATGTTACCTGTCGCCGCGTTATTATTGCCCTTAGACAAATATCCCTCGGGATGACGGCTTGAGCTTACCAGTTTAGGATCCCGCGGCGATCTATCAGATTTAGCCGTTCGTGACTTTTCCAGCGCACTCTGATCGCGAGCAGCCGCTTCCAAATCAGTGTCGCGTTCGTTCAAGACTCCTCCTCTAACATCAAGCACGGGGGTTCCCTGCTTCTCATCATCATCCTTCGCAGATGGATCTACTGCATTGGCTTCAGGAGCGTCGTCGTCGCTATGGTAGACCGACTGATCATCCAAGTGCCTGCCAGAGTACACTCTGTCGAGATTCCCTCTCCTAGGTCTAGATTCCGACCTTGTCCTCGTTATAGATAGGAGTCTCAAACTCCGAGAACGTTCTGATTCCGTTGATTTCGTCCGTGACAGGTGCTGACCGTCACTTGTGCTATTTAGCGACGTTGATCTCGATCTAGTATGTCCAGTCTCCTTTCCTCCATCTTGAGCCATGGCAATCACTTCGTAAATGACCACGCGACTCTCGTAAATAGAGAGTACTTCTTTGATACCAAAATTCCGCTAGAAGTAGACAAGAATAACGATAAACCAGACACAATTGTGTCAACACGACCACCACAAAAGCCCCCAGAGGACCGCAAGCAGGGCCAGAGCAGGTTTTGTATGGCGATCCCACCTGCAAGAACACCACTGCGGCGATAAAAGCTGCTTAATGCCGACAAGTGGAGAGTGGCCATGGCGGGTTTTCACCAGATAGCCCATCGTCATTGGAGAAGAAAAGCTTGATATACATGGTGGTGCGGGTTTTGGATCTCCACCGTCGACGGAGAGCCAACGGAGGCTTTCCATGAGCGGTCTGAGCCGTCATCTCCTCCATTGTGACCAGTCAAGGGTCGTTGACCATGACGAAAACGTGAAGAAAAGAGGAGAAATCGGCTTTTCGGCACTTTCGCCACGTGCTGGTGACTAATATTCCCCTTTGCCCGCTCACGTGATACCTTTTGCTAAGAATATCTCAGGGACATTCTTATTTGGTCTGTCAATAGGAAATCACTTGCTTTGGAGAAATGAATCATCACTCGATATATATGCGACGCTATCATACATGACTTAGCTTTAGACAGTCCTAACGCACCTCTCTAAGTACTCCTCTACACGCTTCACATCCTCCAACGCTGCCACCATGCCAACATATCCATCAGGTCGAACGACAGCCAAAGCGCCCCTTGTCTCGTCTACGCCGTAGATCTTGTACACATTGTCTAACTCGTAACCGCTGTAGAATCGCATCTCCGAGTGTTTCTTGAGCTCGCTCGGCACATCCTGCCACGTGAACGTCTTACCCAAGCGAGGATGGATAACCACCTGCTCAATAATGTTGGGCGGGAAGCGTGAGAGGACAGATGATCCGAGAGTTGTCAATACCTGGGCGGAAACACCCTCGGGGTCCAGGAGGTCGGAAGACGTGAGACACAGAATGCGGAAGCGACCTGTCGACAGAAAGTCTGGGTATTGTCAGTGGTGGGCTGCAGAGGACGGTGTGACGTGAGAATTAACGTACCATCATGCAAGTGCCGTCTGTTCCCGTCTGCATGGCGCTTGCATCGAACGTCGAGTAATCTTCTGCCTGGACGAAGGACGCCGGACAGGTAATCTGTCCCGGTAACTGGGTTTTCTGCACCGTCATCCGAAGCCTTGTCCACCATTAGGCTACCAGGATACTCAATACCACAACCACTGGTGAATCCATTGCCTGTGCTAAAAACTTCGAGGAACTGTTCGTGCGTGAGACCCTCGACTCCGTCCTCTGACGCCCCAATCTTGCCAGAGAACATGGATGAAAAGGCACGATCAAACTCGATAAGTTCTTGGGCGATTGTATGGCGCTCAGAGTGGTATGTATCAACGATAGCATCGGGTTGACCTGGAGCCGCCGAAGCAGGTGTGAGGCCATGGAGGGAGTACACAAGTTTCCAGGCTAGGTTGTACGAATCCATCATTGACACATTCATTCCTTGGCCAGCCTTGACCGCCTCATCAGCAGAGTATCCTGAAGGGCTTGGAATTACCACGTACCTTTGGACTATGTGTATGGCAAGCTTGAGCAGACCGGGTAATCAGCAAGTTTCATCGAAACTGTCCAATGATCACATACCATCTCCCACAATAAACACCCTATTGATCCCCTTCGAGTCTTTGACGGTGAAATTGTCCGTGACTCGCTGACCGATCTGGTACGCAGCCCACCAGTCGACTGCGCCCTCTTCCTTAGGTCGAATATAGTACGGCTTGAATGCTTGCGCCGCATGCCGGAAAATCGACTCTTGGGTCACCTGGCTTCTACGCGCGCGTGCATCTCCCTTGGACTGAGAAGTAGTCCCATTAACAGGCTTCTGGTCATCTTCAGGAGGTGCCTCTTCCGGTACTTGAACATAGAGACGAGTCAGGTAATCGCCCGTCGCGATGCGCTCCCGCGGAATGACCATGACAGACCCGGCCGGTGAATGGATGGCGCAGCGTCTTCGAATATCGGGGAAATCAGTGTCGATTACCAGATCAACCACGCCCCAGATATGGTCCATCGACTCGCCGACCAGCTTGAGTCCCATGCAGCGCCGGACTACCGAGTGTGCACCATCCGCGCCTACCAAGTGTTTCGAGCGTATTGTGCGGCGGATGCCGTCCGTCTCGACCTCGGCGATGACTGGGAATTCCACATCGCCTGCCTCGTCGACCTTGACGTCCACAAGCTTGGTGTTCCGCTGTACGCCTCGTTTCGAATACCGGAGCAGATCTGTTTCGAGGATCCGCTCAATGCGACCCTGGTGGATTGTGACTTCATGTTGAAACCGGGCCGGCACAGCCACGTCAGGAACGATCGACGTCCTCTCAATCACCTTCTCCTTGTCAGGCGACGGATTCCAGAACGCAACCTCTTCCATGTGACAGCCGTCGGTGAGGATCTCATCCGCGAGCCCGAGAGATTTGAGGACTTCGAGCGTGCGGGGCTGCAGGCCGTCCGCCTGGCCCGATTTGAGCGTGCCTGGTTTCGCATCTATACAGAGCAGAGAGTCATCGTTGAGGCCGTATCGTGCCAGAAGCAGGTTCAGCATGAGCCCCGCTGGTCCAGCACCGACAATGACGACTTCATATTTCTCGGCTCCCTCAGGACGCATAAATCGTGGGGAAAGGCGGGGAAGTGGAGGGGTAAAGGAAGGCAGAACGCGCAGTTCACGCGACGAGGCGGCGTATTCGGTGAATACAGGCATAGGGAAGATATTGCAATTGAATAGTGCATCCAATGTAAAATTGTGATATCGAAAATCGAGAAGATACTTGTAGCCAGGAACTGTACGGTGACTGCGGCCCGGACTATAAGCGCAAACAATCAGGTAAGTAATAAATTTCCTTGCGAAACTGGAGACCCAACTGTGAAGTCACAAACAAATCCAATCTCGCAGTGATCCTTCACGATAATGCTGCACCAGATGCCATCATTGTTTTTGATAAGTATGTTCGGAAATACGGCAAATGCTTGGAGGGGGGTGGACAAGGACAGCTTGGACGAATAGCCATGCCACACTGGGGAAGCAGCTGCTGACAAGATGATTACACAAAGCTCACCAATTGCCCTGATCGACCTCCGATCGGCTTCTGTCTTTCTGATCCAGACTGTTGCGATCCCACTATCATTTACAGTGGATCCTCAGTGCGGGGCATTCTTCAATGCTAAACTTACTAGCAGTATGCCTCCGGAGTATGTTTCACAAGAATGACAACTTCCAAGACCAACCCCCTCATAGGAAACTTTGAATCCACTACGGAGTAACACATCCAGAACCATCTAAAGCATACTAGGAATAACACTCGCCTCCTCCCGCGCCATCGCACGCTCAACCTGCTCCCTCGAAGCCAAGATCCAAGTCTCGTCGACACCATACCGTGCCCCCGGCTCTCCTCCTCCCCCCAGAAAGCCTTGTATTCATCTTCCCAGAAAAACAACACATTCCCCTCATGGAACCCACTCAATATCACAGCAAACGGCTGGCCATCGCAGCACGCACACCCCTCGTCTAGACTAGGAGGGAGATGCACAGTCCCATCTTCCAACCCCTTGTCGAGCTGCTCTTGGCTCGATGCATACAGTGCTTCGATCATGGAATCGAGGGATGCGTGCAGGAGACGGGTTTTGAAGGATGCGCGTTCGCGGGTACATCGATCCGCGGCGCGGAGGTAGAGTATGCCCAGATCGTCGAGCTTTCCTGTTCCTTCGTAGGTAGGGTGTGTCACGAGGCGTTCGCCTGTTGGGGTGATGGAGGTGGTTAGTTCGGGGAGGAGGTGTGCCAAGCTTTGGATGGTGTCGTGGAGGGTAGGGAGGAGAGTTCGTCAATGTGGATTTGTAAGGAGGATTGCCCTGAGCTGGTTCCCTCTGAGATCGAAGTCGAATGCATGGCTGCTGTTGAGATGATTAAATGAGCAGGCTCTTATGAAGTCGATGTTAGGCTTTAATCGCGGCTGTCGTTACTGAAAATGACGGAGATTTACGTATCTATTTTTCTGCGTGCTACGTTGGATTCTTCACTTCAACTTGTTGTAGCCTGATGGACTTATGTAAGGCGACACGTCACGCATCACGTGTGGACGTTGTAAACAAGCAGATGTACTCCCATTCTACTGACTCCATGCGTTTTGACGAGATGGATTTAACATTCGAATACCATCATCAGCTGTTGGTCGGTATAAGCATCTACCGCTATTGGGAGCAGTGGGAGCAGGAAGTCCGGGTCTATAAAGGGAAACTAATTGAAGGACTGCTTGCTGATTATTGTAAGAACTGCGCCTCCTAAAGACGTTACCTTAGATTGCAACCCATGGATGACTATAGCAGAGAATATCGATATCGCTGATCGACAATTCAGATGATCCATTACTCCAGGGTGTCCAGAACATGCTGTATCCAGCTCTTATCCCACCATCAGCAACCTCAACACCAACAAACAGCCTGAACCAGGAACCTCAATCGCTACCCCTTCAACAACAGTTGGCTACTATTCTTGAGTCGAAACCCCGCATTTTACTTATATCCAGTTGTGGGGCAAAGTTTGTGCCAGGGGAATCCCGGTCGTATTGAAGCCACCAATGATTCGTATGGACGGAATAACGGATATCCATTTGTCTTGAGGTACAGGCTAGGGCAGGGTAAAGGACCATTCTACTCCTGGAAAATGCTTTCTCCGTTGAATGCATGCCTCATCCCCTCCTCAAACTTAATCTCGGGGTTTCTCCGCCGTGGAAAAATGTCCGTGCGTTGGCAGGTGGCTTGTCCAGTCTTTGGGCGCTCAGATTCCGCCGTCGTATGATATGTCAGTTGTACACAGGGGTGTATCTACGCGGGGTTTTTCGGTTGGCTTCCGGCATAGCCATGACCCAGGGCAAGGCACGTCAGGCAGCATTATCAACACGTCCATCTGGTCGAAGTTGCAAGTCATGCGCAGCAGTTGGAAATCACAGATGAGGCCCAGGATAAAGTCCTTCCGGCTATGGACAGCATCAATTTGTCCAACTCACTAACATTGGCAGGTTATAGAGTGGGGCTCGGCCACTCAACGGTTGGTTTCCGTCAAATCAGCTCACTGAAACAGACACGCTATACCCAGTCTTTCGGTTATGTCTGGAAGCTTGCTTTCTGCATATGGTCCCAAATATTAGCACCACGAATCCATTCCGTAAAGCTTCTTACCCCGCAAATTGAGTCCAGGGTCAACCACCAGGGACTTGGGAGACGGGAGAAGGGGGAATCCCGAGACTGGAGCACGTATCCCCCTCCACAAACCGGAGGTAGATGGCAAGCGATGAAATCATGCTAGCTTTGTCTGTTGAGCCAGTCGAAGGACGGAAACGGTAACGGACGTAGGAGGCTCATGGGCCAACGCGAATACCTAATCCTCCCCGATCCTGGGTTCGCTTGAGCGGCTGTTGGCGTCCCAGCGGGGAGGAATACGAAGTTGCGTAGCTCTGTGGTCCATGGAGGAGAGTCTAGAATAGCAGTTGGGAAAAGTGAGCAGGGGGTAAGCGGTTTGGAAAGGCAGGTCTCGCCGATCTTTGGTCTGGTTCGAGTTTTCTCATATTGGTCGTGTATCCTGGTTTGTTTGTTATATAGTCTGCATGGTTATAGCTCTACCCTGGACGCCAAGCAGGCTATTCGGGTAACGTGCTCTCAACATAGTGCATCTTGACTTCGTTGTTCCCCTATGAATGCCTTTCTGGATAAATTATCTCTGTTCTTCCTTCCCAATTTCACATATACAATCAATATGAAACGTTTCTTCTTTGGTAGCGGTTCTAAGAGCCAAGAGGCACGACCTGTCGAGGATAAGTGGATGGTGGAAGAGCGTTCCATCGACGAAGCCCGTCCCCTGAGAGTCGTTATCATTGGATCGGGCATTTCTGGAATCATCGCCTCCATTCGCTTCAGACAACGGATCCCCAACGTGGATCTCTGCGTCTATGAGAAGAATGAAGATATCGGGGGCACCTGGCTCGAGAACAGATATCCCGGTTGTGCATGTGGTGAGGCTCGTCATCTTCCTGCGCGAGTTGTCTCGCGTCAATGACGACCGACGCTTACGATGTTCGCAGACATCCCAGCCCATACGTATCAAGCTACGTTTGAGCCAAACAAAGAATGGTCGACGTTCTATGCTGCCGCTCCGGAGATCCACGCGTACTGGAAACGTGTGGCTGAAAAGTATGGCTGCATGAAGTACGTCAAGCTGAAGCAGGGAGTCGTTGAAGCTGTCTGGGATGACTCGAAGAGCAAGTGGCAATTGAAGGTCAGTCCTTCGTACCTGGCCCATTGACAGTCTGTATTGACACGAACGCAGGTTCAAGACGTTCAGACAGACACGGTATACTCGGACGAATGTAATATATTGATCTCCGCAACTGGTGCATTGAACTCGTGGAAGTGGCCAGATATTCCAGGCTTGCACGACTTCAAGGGCAAGCTGCAGCATAGTGCCCGTTGGGATGAGAGCTATGATTATACCGTGAGTCGGCCTGAAATATTTAGAGAAACGGAAGCTGAACCTCTGGCTAGGGCAAAAGAGCCGCGGTGATAGGAAATGGATCGAGCGGCATCCAGATCGTTCCCGGCATGCTACCAAAGGTAGCTCACATCGACCACTACATTAGGGGGCGAACATGGCTTTCCCCCACATTTGCCCGCGAACATGTGGATAAACGAGGGGGAGCTGAACTGGAGAACTGTTTGTCAACCCGTGCAGTCATGCAGTAAAAAAAGAGTATTGACCTCGTTGGAATAGTCTCGTTTACTCCAGAAGAGATTGAAACCTTCAAGAAGGACCACAGCGCCTACCAGAGGTTCCGCAAAGGTGTGTGCTTCTCATTAAAGGTACCGTGAGCATCGGTTCTAATTCTAGGGCAGAAATCGAACTCCAGTTGCAATCAGTCCACGGTGTGACGCTACTTGGCACACCTGAACAAATCGGCGCGAGGGAGGTCTTCTTACAGAATATGAAGCGCCGACTCTCGAGGAAACCTGAACTGTGCGAAAATTTGATACCCTCATTTCCTCCTGTGTGCCGACGGCTCACTCCGGGCCCGGGATATCTCGAGGCTTTGACGGACGACAAAGTGGACGTCATTACAAGCAAGATCGTCGAAGTCGATGCAGAGGGGATCATCACAGCAGACGGACAACATCATCTCACGGATGTCCTTGTCTGCGCAACTGGGTTCGACACCACATTCACTCCAAGATTCCCAATCATCGGACGCAACGGTGCCACTCTAGCCAATCGCTGGCAGAAGACGCCAGAGACCTATCTCTCCTTGGCTGTCGATGGATTCCCAAACTACTTCGTCTGCTTGGGACCAAACGCGGCACTAGGCGAAGGTAACCTGTTGCTTCTGATTGAGAAGGAGATCGATTACTTTACGCTCTGCGTGCAGAAGATGCAGCGTGATAACATCCGAGCGATGAGTGTGAAAAAAGAAGCGGTAGAAATGTTTACTCGCTACTGTGACCAGTACTTCTCAAGAACGGTGTTTAGCGAGAGATGCCGTAGCTGGTACAAGGGAGGGACCGAGGATGGCAGAGTCACTGCATTATGGCCCGGTACGCTCTCTTGATATGAACAAGTGCCGTATTTCCGGTATCACTAACAAGCCATAGGTTCCTCGCTTCATTCAATGAAAGCTCTTGCGTATCCTCGTTGGGAGGATTACACGTACGACTATCTCAATGACAATCCAAACGGCTGGCTTGGAGACGGCTGGACGGAGAACGAAAAGTTGAAGAAGATCAACGTGGATTATCTGAACGATGACGAAGTTGATTTTCCAACAAATGTCATCGCGGTATCGGATCAGTGAGCATGGTCATCCTGGCAGTCCACTTCTCAACTTAATACTGTCTTGAGAGATTATATGCGAGAATGCATATTTCCCCACCCAGTGTCGGTAGTAGTCTGTGTGTGCTAATATTGAAATATAACACCACTGGGCCAGAAAGGCTCCCGAACAATGTACTCGTAGTCTAGGAATTCATACATAGGTGCCTTAGAATCGTGGTGTATTGTATTCCCACAAGCAATGGGGCCACTCTAATAGAGTTTGGACCAAGCTCAAAAAAGGCAACCGGTGTACCAGAAAGTGAGGGAACCTGCCGGGGAAAGACAATTGCCGCTTTCCGAAGGAGCGACTCGGTTCCTTTTGAGATGACCTCACGGGCGATTACCTATCTCGGTCTTCTGTATTCTGTACGGTCATGATATTACGCACGGTTAGACCCGGGTTAAGATTCCTTGGTTCATACGGAGCAGTAAGGTAAGTAGGTAAGTTCACCGGTTACTTGATGTATCGACGTAGTTATTCGGTTGGCGACAAAAGTTTCTTTGAGAGGAATTGGAGACTGGGAATTGAGCATCTTTGTCAGTAGGAGTGATGAATGTCCCTACTGCTGCAGATAATTCTCATCTTTGTTAATTATTCTGACTACCATTTTCCTATCTTAGTCCAGTGCAGGAATGAGCGCATCATACATAGCTCTGTATCTACTCTGCGGTTGATCTCCTGTAACTCCGCCTCCTTCGTCCCCCACTAATTTCCCTCCCTCTCCCTTTACCCCAGACTTCCTCCCCATCCCTGGAGCTTCTCCCCGATGCGCGTCAACGCTTCTTCTCCATTATGAAGCCTGATTCCGACAAACATTTTCGTTGCACCATCTGTCAGCGAGGTTTTACGCGCATTGATCATCTGAAAAGGCATCATCTTCGCCGTATGTGGTTTTGCCTCCCATCCAGCTCTCCCTTGCCGCTCCGATCGTAGGAATCTCGCTATGACACTTACAGTTTGAAATCAGATTGACTGACCTCGCTGGAACAACTTCTTAGATACCGGAATCAAACCTTACTCTTGTATCTTCTGCAATGACTCCTTCGCTCGTTGGTATGCTGTGCTTTTCGTGATTCTCTCACAAAATGAAATGTGCCAATTGCGCTCGTCTCTTGGGCACATCTCTTTTGCTGTTCTGCTCACCGCGCCTCCATGCTAACATCTGCCCTTGACTATGTTGCAGCGACAACCTTCGTGACCACTACTCAGATTGTCCGAAAAGGGGGGATCGGCAGATCCCTGATACGGGACAGCGAGGGAGAAGACGACATGCTTGCCAATCGGTAATTCGACATTGCTGCTAATTGCATGGAATGGCCGCTAATCATCCCTCGCCTTAGTGCACGTCAATGAAACTGCGGTGCGATGGGTCAAATCCCTGCAGCTCTTGTCAGAAACGAGGGATCGAATGCAACAACGAGCGAAAAAGGCAAGTCTCGAACCAGGGGACTGATTCAGGTATGGTCTGGCTCTGCATTCGGACATCGCAGTAGTTGACCTTGCAACTGGGCAGACGCCTTAACAGAGAAGCGCGAAGACTACGAACAATCGTCGGATCGTGGGTCGATCAAATTCCTTCTCAATGGCGGTACCGATAGTTTCACGCAGCAATTCCTCCTTCCTCCGCGCAGCGATCGAACACGCAGCCTCGAATATCACAACAAGAAAAGTCTCGAAGACGCGGGGAGTTCCATTCTCGGATATGAGTTGAAAGATGGCCGCACAGATTACGCGCCCACATTCATCGAGACCGACGCTGCTACCCTGTCCTTTTTCCAAGACACTTTCATTGACTTCTTCAACGGCCCCTTTGGCGACCCTCACAAGCTACTGGACGACCCATACGTCGGGCAGGTTGCTTACCATGCTGTCGTTCCGCCCGGACAGGATCCCAACCTGACACTAACAGGGCAACAGCTTAGTTACGAACCTGAACGGCCCTTCGCCACCGGAATGATACAATCTATTCTCGCCAGGGCCTGGTCTGTGCCCCTTGACGCGAAGGCTCAACAGGAGTTGTCGACAAATCTTAATTTCCTTCTGACGACAAGCCGTATTCGCAAGTTTGTGGCCATGTACTTTAAGTACTGGCAACCGAGCTGTGCGATGCTCCATCGCGCGTCGTTCGCTCCGGAAGTTGTGTCATTACCGCTACTTACGGCCGTCACATTCATGGGCGCCATGTACACCAATGACGAGAGGGAAGCATATGTCGCGAAGCGAGTGCTGGATTTCGCCGAGCTCTTTATTTTCTCCAGCGAGGTTTATGCGTCGGAGACCGAGATCAGCTCGATGTTCTGTGGGAATCGATGTCTGGACGACGAGTCCAACGACTGGGTCCAGTTCCAGAATTTCCAAGCCGGCTTCATCATTGTGGTTGTGCAATACTGGGCTGGAAGTCGTGTATCACGCAATAGAGTAATGGAGAACAGATTCAGCGAAGTCATCAAGGTGGGTTGATGGTCTGGATTCCACAATTTCTGGGTACTAACTTGAGTGAGCAGGTCGCTCGTCGAATCGGGCTCATGAAATGCCGCCATATGCCCCATGATCCGATGGACGAGTACTCGTGGATCCAGAAGGAATGCCGCATTCGGTATGTCCATGGCCATTCCTATTTTGTGATTAAGGCTAACAGAGTGCCTGTAGAACCGTGAACATAATATCACTCCTTGACTGTGCTTTCTCATTTTATTCAAACTACCCCTGCCGTATATCCCACACAGAAATGGAATGGGATTTTCCGTGCCAAGAGGCAGTCTTCGACTCGCAGCATCCCTTTGTGGAGCCGAATTTCCGATTCTCACGGGATATTCCCATCTCCAAAGCCTTTGACAGTTTGTTTGAAAACCCGGCCAGCGAGGATGGTTTACAGGTCCATACCCCAGATCATATTGCCGATATGACCGTCCTCGATATGTTTATTCTCATTCACTGTATGTTCATCCCATCCCTTACTCATTGACGATGGACTGACCCGTCTCCAGTACTGTATGCCTTCATAAATACACACATGACCCTCCTGGCTCCCTTGATACACAAAACTCCATTGCCTAATTCAAAAATACCACATGGGCCTTCAACGCCCACAACAACCCCTCGAAGTGCCATTCCGGAAGACTCCACATTAGCCGGTATCCGAACAGCGCTGTCACGATGGCGCGATCATTGGTTGGCGCTGCGAAATACGGTCTCCAGCCACGAGTGGGCGTCCATGGGCTTCTACAAGAACGGCTACAACTTCTGGCTTGTGTCACAGCTCCTCATCACCAAGAAGAAGAGTGTCGATGTGGTGATGCAGATGGAGGTGAAGTGCGAGGATAAACTGGAGAAGCTCAAGGTGCTGCTCCAGGATGAGAGCGATTGACTTCTTGACGGGCTGGATAAAATGGAAAGGGGATAAATGGGAATAACGACATATGTACGGTGTTTATTTGGTATCCGGCGTTGATAACGGGATGGTTTTACGATAATGAATTGATGTATAATAGGGTCAGCGGGCGTCAGGTCCGCCCATTGGGAATCGACCTACAGGTCTAGCAAATAGCTACAACCTCTTCTTCACGACTCCATCATCGTTCTCCGCATAAATCTACTACGCATACCCCAGCTTCCAAAACATCTCGATATTCGTCCCTGTATCTTCATCAACATACGCCGGCGGCTCCGCAAACGTCACCTCCTCCCCATGCAATTCCAGCACTTTCCCCGTCAACGAAGCGTCCCCAACCAGCTGCGCAACCGCCCTCGTAGCAGTCGACATGGGCGTAAGAATCATGGACCTGAACAGCGCAGAATCCGGCGCAATATTCGTCTCTGCTCGATCAGCCACACCCCTCCGAATCTCTGAAGAATCAAGCAAACTAACCAATAACAGCCGGCGCCAGCGCATTAATCTGGATCTGCTCTTGCTCCAGCGGTCGTGCAAGCGAGCGCACCAGCCCGATCACACCGCTCTTGGTGGCTGCGTACAGCGGCGCAATCGCGAACGGGTAGATCCCTGCGTTTGACGCAGTGCAGATGATACTTCCCTTGGAGAGGCCAGTCACTGATTCTCTTGGCGGGTTCTTCACCATGTAGTGCGCCGCTAGCTTAACCGCTATACACCTCATTAGCACCTTTGAAAACTGAACCGGGGGCGGAATGAGGAGGGAGGGGTGTACTATATATCACCCCGACAAGGTTAACATCCAACGTCCTCAGCTCCGGCTTTGAAGGCTTAGCATCGTGGATATTAGCCAGCAGGTTTCCCTTCTGCGTGATACCGGCATTCGCGAAGACGATGTCGATGTGCCCCTGCGCGGCGAGTACATTCTCAAAGGCGGCAGCTTGGCTTTCCCACGAGGAGACGTCGCATTGCGAGAAGGACAGGCTGGCGGAGGGGTGCTCGGTGCGTAGCTGGTTGAGGATCGCGGTGCCGTCGGTTATGTCGAGGATGGTGATGTGGGTGTTTGGTTGGGGGCGAAGTGACGGGTGATGCCCAGGCCAATGCCTGAGGCGCCGCCTGTTTAGTCTTTGGTGTTAGATCTGGGATTCTTGGAAAGAGGTTGTGGGTGGAATGGATGGAGTCGGACCGGTTACGATGATGCTTGTGCTTCTTTGCGAGGCCATGGTAGAGGTGTTGTTTCCGAGGCGCAGTCTTGTTCTTGCGAGCGGCGTGGTTGATATACTAATGCCAATACCCCTGTACACCGTACAAGCTCTGTAATCTCTCTTCGAGGTCATTGTACAGGCTACAGGCTACAGCGGAATTGTGCCGTACCCCGCATATACTACCGGTGCTCCACCCTAAGCGTGGGGATGGGGTTTTCCCGATTGCTTATTGCTAATAGCTGACTGAGCTCTTACTTTCGGCATATGATGGAGTCATGTTTCCGATGGAAGGGGTGAAGCAACCTCTTTGCGTCATGTAGATTGGCAATAACCAACAGTCCTATTATCAGACACTATCTCGGTTTAAAGAGATAAGTACATTATTCCGTCCCAGCGTCCCAGCGGAGCATCTATGCGCAGTTGACATCCAGAAGGCTCTTGTCAACCTAGTAAATGCGGTTAGCTTGTCCCGTACCCTGGCTACATGCAGGGACTTACATTGGTGCACACGAATTCGTCCGTTCCCTTGGGACTCTTCACGTTGATGTTCTCAGCGTAGATGTCGGAGCAAACCTAAAACCATTAGAACCGCTGCGTTCAACGTAGTGTCGAACTTACATTCGGGCTGGAGCAAACGATTGTGCCGACGTCGGGGTCGCGCTTGCCGGATGTTGTTCCGCGGAAGTTCTTGAAGTGGACGTCTGAGATTGTGAGGTTGCTCTGTAGATTTGGTCAGTAATGATCATTATGAATTAGAAAGAAGGGACGTACAGGGTACTGATTGCACAGAGTCAGGTTCTTCTGTCCGTAGCACTGGGTCACCTCGATAGCCCAGTCGACGTTCTCAATATACATCTGGTTGTAGGTGATGTTCTTCACCGATCCCAGGCCACCGCCGCCCTGCAGGTCCTCAGACATGGCGGACGAGACACCGGGCCAGACCTTGATACGAGCACCATCCTAAATAAACATTAGCTATTAGTAATTCTGGAAGGTGTGGGATTCCTACCGATGCATTGTACATGGAGATGTTGTAGACGAGGACATTCTGCACAATGTCAACCTCGCCCTTGTACTGACCAAGAGAGCCGACGGAGATGCCGTGAGAGCCATTGCAGTGTAGGTTCTGGACGAGGATGTTGGTACTGTTGGGCTTGAAGGACACACAGTCTGCATTCTGTCAGTCAGTTTGTTTCCTTGAAGCTGGGTGTAAGCAGGTATACCGTCGCCGTTGTTGATGACAGAGTTTTGGATGACAATGTTATCCGAGCGGTAGGTATCCCTGTGGCGATGGTCAGAACAGAGATGATTTGTCCGGAGCAATCGAGTCTCACCATCCGTCAGTGTTCTTAGCCTCGTGCTCGCTGCTGCTGTATCCGGAGATATCGATGCCGTCGAAGATCACATCTGAAGAGTTGGCGACAAGCTGGTACCACTGAGGCGAGTAACGGAGCTTCAGAGGCCCGATTGTTCCTCCCTTCAGGCCGATGATTCCGAACAGGATAGGGCGCAGGATGAGCGCATCTTCTGCGTAGAGATCGTACCAGACCTGTCCGTTGCCGTCAAAGGTACCGCCACCATAGACGTTCACGTCCTCACCACCCAGCTGGAAGAAGGTCGTGGCATTCTGGAAACCGTGCTTGAAGGAGTGGGCTTGCCAGTAGTCGGTATCATCGGTAAATTGAATCTTCCCCAGAACCTCTGTTTTATTCAACGTAAGCAATGCTCAATTCGAAACGATAGTACGGATCCTTACCCAGATCAATGTGCTTAAGGAATGTCATGTCCAAGGCAGTACCAATGGTGTATACCTTGTCGGCATCGAAGACAACCTTGCCGCCATTGTTGCATTTATGCAATGCTTTCATGATGTTCTTGGAGTCGTCCTTACCATGGCCGTTGCTGGCAACATGGCATGTCTTTGTCCGGGGCTGACTGGGAGGAAGAGGCCGGAATGGGTGATTGGGCTTGCACGCATCGTTTCTCGACCGTGTAAAGCCTTCAGCGGAAGAGCTCAAGGAAAGCAACAAGCTCACTGCCTGGACAAAACTGTACGAGAACTTCATGGCGATTGACAAGTATGTAACCTCAAGAAAGGTCGGCGCTTGCTTGAGAAGACCGCTAAAGGAGATCCAACTGCGGTCACAGGGATGACATTTATATATGAGTTGGATTCATGCTCTATCTAAATTAATCCAAGCTGCGTATCCCCAGCATGCACTAGTATTGACGTTTTGTGGAGTGAGGGGTGGAAATTGCCATTACCCGGGGAAGCACCCCGGCGGAGCAATTGTGGGGATGAGGAAGCTCAAAGATGATGCTTCTACGGGTGCTCCAGGTCGATAACCCCAGAAAAATAGTTGAAATGCAAAACACTAATCATCTTAGCCCACTTGGCTTTCGATATTTATACTCAACATTGGTTAGGACACACGTCTAGAAGTTTCTGATAGGAGGGATAACTTTGGGGTGAAGAGGAATTCCTCCGATTGGAAGGAAAAACTATGTGCTCCGTAGTAACTTGGAGCTCTCAAATGTCCGCGACCCCCGGCTATATTATTCGTTGCTAGTTGATAGTTGATAGTTGATATGGATTGCAATTGACTGCGAACTTGTCTATGCTTAAGCGAGCTGATTAGTTCCTTGTTCTCATTCATCATGCTCTCTGCAAGACATCATCTCAGAAGTAGACAAGCGCATTTCGTCAAGCCAGTCGAAAACAGGATCAGACGATTTGACCTTCGTGCTCACTGCAATTAGATTGACAAAATTCAAATCTAGTGATGGCTCTCAAAGGATTGAGGCTAACGAAATCCTTTCGCAGTCGCGTAGGCACCAGGGGCAACGGAATCAAATAACTGCCCCAGCGCCCATCCTGCAACTAATTCACACATGCTAGGACCATTGTCGCTCGAAGTCACTGATAACATTAGGAAGATTTCCTTCTAAGTACATATGGCCTTCATGCTGCCGTCATCATCAGGCTGTCAAACCAAGCCTATTAGATCTATAGCTAAGAGAACAAGCAATGCTAGGCCTCTTGGTAGGGTAGGGCTAAGCCTGCCGCTGTACACTTGCACATTGGTTAACGATTAACCAGTTGGCTGAACAGAAGAAACTCCCACTCAGACTTCAATAAGCGTCAACTGTTTGTTGAGCATATCTGGATATCTTTCAGTTGCTAGACAAATACTAATCATAATTCGAGTAGACTATCAATTGGATAGTGATCATCGAAACTCTCCTTATCCTCATTGCACCGGTCCATCTTAATCTTCACGAGCTCGTTCATCTCATGCTGCTGTTCGAGGTCCAAAGGCTGTATACGGTCCCCAAGAGAAGTAAATGTTCCATAATACCGGTGGTCGATGTATGTCCAATAGATTTCATCGAACATGAAGCTGTATCTTGCTGCTAAAAACATACCCAAAATAACCCGGTCTCCTTAGAGCCTTCCATCCGTGGAGAGAGGCGCTGTGATTCGGAGAGGAAGTCTTGTCTGATAAACTCTTCTTCATAGTCACTTAGGACTTCCAAAAACGTACGATGTCAGAGAATATAACGAGTCAGAAGCTCGTTTAGATCTCCCTCCCAATCCTCCGGGCTTTGCAGCAAGAGCCACCAGGGAGCTACATATGTAAACTCGGCAGGCGCAGCATATGTGAACTCCCAGTCAACGACTCCCGAGACACGGGAGGCATCGAGATCTATAAGGACATTTGAAGGACGAAACTCGTCACAGTATAGCCGAAACGACTCTTGAGGATGCTGTGCGCAGAGTTCCTTCGTAATATGAAGAAATAAACAACGAGCAGTGAATTTCCTCCGACAATCCTCCTCGCTGCTAACAGCATCTCGTTGCTGTATTCGAGATGCGTGAGATGCTGTGTAGCAAGCCTTGTAAAGTAGTCCGTGGTGAAGGTGTGCGAAGGGAAAACTTCTTCAGGCAAATTTGCAGACACCATTAACTCATTCATGTTGAAGGTGAGAGGTCGCCTGGCAATTGAAAACCCCCCTCATCCTCCGCAGGCGCCCCAATAGCATCAAATTCATGCCTGGATAACTCGAGGACAAGCGCGGCCATTTTGCGATAAGCCCACTTCAAGCTCCGATCGCTTATTTGCGGGTTCAGGACTGGCCTTCCTTCTATAGAGGGATCTTTGAGGAGTTGTGATAATGGCACTCCTTCGAGAAACGACATCCCAATATAAGGGCCCACCCAGCAGATACCGGAGCCAAACACTTCAGGAACCGGTATTGAAGTCGTCTGGCGTATGTATTTCATCGTTGCGACTTCATTTTGGACCTTTTCCCTGCGTAGAATAGCCCTTCCAAGAGCAGCGAAACGAACAATGACATCTGCTCCATCATTACATCTGACCCGGTAGCATATATTGCATGCACCTGTCTTCCATCGGCATGCAGATACTGTTTCTCCAGGCCGATGCTTCTCAGCAAGCTGTATAGACAAGATTTCTGGGCTCCGGCTCCTCAAAAAGTTCCAACCAAGCAGTGGCCCTCTGTTCCTTTTTCTTTTCAGCGAGATGATCAAAGTCCATGGCTACCTGAGGTGTGACACTTTGTTCGACTCAGTCGCTGCTATCTCTCATGTGAGAAATGTCCACGTATTAATAGTTTTGCATGAACAAGCATGATTCAAAGATGCAAGGCCTAGGCCATATTTTCAATGGGCATTGCTAGGATTAAAAGCCTGACAAACCAATGGACGGAAAACTTCGTACAGATTCAGGCGTTTCAGTTAAAACTTGTCTGCGTGATCCAATGACAATGACGGTGCAGGGTCAGCAGAAGTGTTCGGAGGTTCAACAAATATATAGATAGCATCCCCGACGCAGCTATACACAATACCACAGAACAGAAAAGAAAATAAATAAAAAAAGTAAAGAGATTCCCCAACCAGACTTAGACGACGAAATTCCAAGAAACAGTGAAAATAAATTGAGATGACGCAAGAGGCAGACCCGCGAAAAAAAGGATCTCCTATTGAAAAAAGAAATGCACAAGAGGGGAATTGAACCCCCGATCTTCGCATAGCGATCTTAACCCGAACAGGTAGATACAAGTGCGACGCCTTAGCCACTTGGCCACTCGTGCTGTTTCTTGGTAGAAGTGCGATCAGCAGGATCTAAATAGAAAAAAGGCAAAGTGCACGACGCCACCCATTTGTATCTTATAGTCCCCTTTATGAAATCAAGCTAAATCTTGATAAGAGGTCAAAAATCATACAGGCGAGGCTGATCTGGGTTGATTATGAATAACAGAATAACAATCAACTGACATCGAGCTTTTCAGTCCAAATGTTCCGCTGATAAGCCTCTGAGCCTGACTCCAAAGATATCGAAGACTCACGGCCTGAATACGGTGTTGACTGTCAGTCTTGGTAAACGTATTGAACATGACATGCAATGACCCAAGATTCCTAGTTTCTATCAAGCCTACGCAACTGATTCTTAAATGCGCAGGATAAGGCGCATCTTCTATTAAAGGCGCATCTTTTATTAACCAATTTATCTCATATTCAACGGTGAGTATATACAGTAGTGTGCGACTTTTGCTTGTAGTAAAAAGGGATATCTCTCGTAGTCGTCCTTGTAGTCTGTAATTGCATGCGAGCATCCCCATATTTAACCTGAAGTCCATTACGTAGACTTCTTGACAGCCGCCTCAGCCTTACCAACGGCGGACTTCGCCGAGTCAACCACCTCGTGCTCAATATCCTTCAAGGCCTCCTTCGTCGATCCTCCTTCCAAGCTGCGGCGGTACATGAAGATCCGGGTAACCTGGACGACACCGACACATCCGAGGAAGAAGTTAACAGCAGCAAGCCTGATTGACAGTTAGTACGTTCAAGTCCACGGATATTTGTAACAATCAACAGAACATACAGAATGTTGCGGGGCTTGATGATAAAGCACCAGCGAGTCCAGATAGCACCAGTGGCCATCAGGGCAGCGTTCTGAGTAAGGGAGAGCTTTTCAGCGGGACGACCAAAATCGGAGATACCCGCAATGACCAAAGCCCACTGTTTTCGACGAAAATGGTATTAGCAATGTCTCAATCCAGTGTTCGGCAATGCCTAAGTACTAGACATTTCAATGCGTAGGAGGGGTGATGATGGCTGTGGAAAGACATAGTGTTCGTGGATCTATACCTTCATGACAGGCGCCCTACAATTGAATCATCTCATGTCAGCATGTCGATCAACCAAAAGTAAACATCACCAATCGATTGCTCCACCATATGTCCAAACTTACCAGAAGTGAACGGTCTTGATGCCGACAGGGCTGTTCCATAGACGCTGGAATGTGCTCTGTTGTTGGGCGGATGCCGCACCGGCATCAGAGGTCTGGAAACGGCGTCCCTGGGCACCAGGCCGACGGAAGGGACCATAGGCATTGCGGAAAGCAGCCCGGGTGTTCTGGAAGAAGCGCAGACCGATACGCGAAGAAGACATTTTAATGCGTTGTCACGGCGGAATTGATGACTAGGTTTGAAGGGTCTTGATCGAGGGAAGGACCGGTGGTTGGAATTGAGTGGAGAGTGATGGGGTCTTTGCACAAATTGAAGCGCAAAGTACTATCAAGAACCCCACCGAAGTACGAGTGGGAATAGTTTAAAGAAGAATAAGAAACGAAGCACGCGAGGTGTTCCCGTAGATGATATGAGTATCAGATATCTCAATATGGCATTGCCCGACCTCGGCGGCCCTGTTGGGAATGCGGCTCGTTCTCCGGCTGAGGTAAGCGATGACATTACGCTTGACCATATTGGTCTCTATGCGAACTCCGACGGAATCATCATCAAACTGCTCTGCAACACCCCTCGTCGGTTCTCTCACGCTCAATATCCCCAATTGATACCCATTGCTCTCGCTTACGGGGGGATAGACGGGATAGACTCTTTTCGACCGTATACACTTTTGTCCATCCGATTGTTCGCTCTTTTACATAATGTCGTCCAAATACGCCTTCTCTAAAGGACTGAAGGAGCTCCGCTTCCTTTTCTGCCAGACTTCGGAGCAGAGCGCTGCTACACGGTAAACTCTGGCAATCGCGGTGCGGATTCAGAAGGCGATTACTGACTCTTATGGCTCCCTGAATCGCAGGTCCTTCCTGCAGCGCGCGTACCCGACTATGAAGAAGCACAACCCCCAGACTCCCATTCTGATCCGGGAGGCAGCAGGCACTTTGCCCCGAGTATATGCTCGATACGGTACGGCAAATATTCACAGTCGAAGAAACGGCAGAAAGACCAGTTGGAGCTAATACAGCTATTACGCTTAGGATTTGGAAAGGAGAAGCAGGAATCGCTGTCCGGTACGTCTTGATAATATCCTATTCACAGGTGCTTTGACTGACATCTGTGGATGCATTCAGGCCTTTCGGATCAGCAAATTGAAGAGAAAGTCTCTCAGCTGGTCAAGGAGTCTTCGTAGTGCAATTACCACGCCGTTTTATATGTTCATGCACCGTTTTCCTCCAGCTGTCCAATACTGTATCTATAGATGAATCCAAAATACGTCGACCACGTTCAAGAGGGCGCAAGATGCGACGGGAATTTCTATTCATTTTCACTGTGCTTATTACAGCGAGCTATTATCGCCTACATCACCGAATCTATACTGCGCCCAGCTCATACTTCCCTCCTTCAGCGTCCAGAGTCTCTTTCCAAGGTCATCTCCCGCAGCGCCAGCACCGATATGAATGGGCAGCAGATGGTCAAAGGACGGGTGTGCTTGACGGGCATCGGGTCGCTTCAGGAGGTCACTCATGGCCTGCTCTCTTTCCGCAGGCGGCTTCGTGACAGCGTCCTTCAGAGCCTCGTCAAAGCTAGTAGTGTACGGCATTGGCTTGGGGTTGCCCCAGGTGAACTGCAGATCGCGCAGGTTGTGGACTGCCATACCCGATACAATGATCAGGATATTCTCACCGCGGAGCTTGGATACCGCTTGTCCGAGTCGGTAGTGCTGGGCAGGATCCTCGGTGTTGAACAATGACACTTGCACTATCGGGACATTCAGGGGGTTGGAGTCTGGGTCAAACGCTGCATTCCATGCATTATTATCGGCGCCGATTCGCGCAACGGACATCTCAGCCACTTACCACACTTGAAGCTGGCCCAGACACCATGATCTAAACCTCTCTTGACTCCCTCAGCTTTGATGCCCGCCTCCTTCAACGCGTCAAGCACCTTGTTCGCAACTTCCTTGCTACCGACATTAGGAAATTTCTCCTTGTAATAGTGGCTCGGGAACCCGTAGAAACTAAACAGCCCACTCAGCATTCATAACCAAGCACAGTGTCGTGATCTCACATACTCGTATATAAGATCCGTCATCTCAGCCGTATTCACCTGGATAGTGTCGCGACCAGCCTGCCAATGCGCAGAGAAGACCACAACAGCCCGCGGCTTGACTTTGGTGGTGATCTCGCGCCCGATCTCACCTAATTTACGATACGCCGGGTGGTCTCTCTCATACATGATATTCGGCTGTAGCACCCAGTCAATCGCACCATTCCTCGATCTACGCTGAACAAAGGAAAAAGACTCACACCCCCATGACTCAAGAAGTAAACCGGAGTCCGCATCGTGCTGCTAGACTTGGGAATACCAGAGCTCGTCGAGATGTCTCTTTTCACCGCAGCAACAGCAGCCGACTGCGTTCGAAAGAGTCGTCTAAGCCCGAACAGCTTGGCGGTGGTATTGGTGTTGGTATTTTCGGCGCTGAGCCCGTAGCCGAACGCAGCGAGGAATATCGCTACTAACAGAGAGGCAAGTGAAAGAATCACGAGTTTTCTACTAGTGTGTTGGTCACTCGTGCTGGGTGGTAGAGTATCGGCAGATGAAGACATATATCCGTATCCGTATCTCTATCGGATAAAGCGTACGGGGGGCGGGTCCGCCTGAGTTGCGTAGACAAGGAAATATACGGAGCACACAAAGCTCAGGATGAGGCGTTAGCAAGTCAGAGGGTCATCAACGTGAGGATATCTAAGCATGGATTTTTCATGAAAAGATTGCGTCTTCGACGCCTATTTCGAAGCAATTGTAATCAATACTAAGCAAGTAGTCCCATCCGTTCCGCTGTCAGGAAAAGTGCGGAATCAGCCCGCTCTGCGCTTTTCCTGTCGGACCATGACAATGTCGATCCTACCATGGTGTGTCCATGTCTATAGAAATTATACACTGTCAGATGGATATCTGGATGCTGAATGTCTCAGCTGTCAGTGGAGGACATACTTCGAATCTGCTAGCTTTCCCTACAGTAACCCAGTCACTGCCGGATAAATGGATCTGGCGGGTGTATCGGACCGGTCCAGTACATCATGGCATAATGATCAGTTGTACGCGACTTATCAGATTGTCGCAGTTCTTGATTCTTTCTCATTTACGGGCATCAAGAGGACAGAGCAGAACGTGAGGTGAGGTTGGAACATGACCATCATTCCTTTGGTAAATCACGACTAAAAGAAACGGAGACAGCAGGGCAAATGTACAAGAGCGGAGCATTCGTCTCCAAAATGGCACCTTTTCAACATTATACATTGCGTCAATATGCGAAGTTGGTAATGTCATTAGGGGTATATGCGTCAAATGCTGGCAAAACATGTAATCTAGCCGAAGAAGGAGAGGAACGCCATATGAATAACAACAAGAAAAAGCCTAGGAGCACGAGAAAACCAACTTCGTGAATTACGTGACGCATGAATCCGAGTTCACATGAGGACGCAATCGCCCTCGTTCTGTTGCCGATTGACAGCGGAGCGAGACAGACGGGTCTTTTGCATGCGAGCCCCGCCTTTCTTGATTTCCTCGAGACGCTCCCGAGCCTTGGGAAAACCTTGAGCTGGTTGGTTGAAGCAAATATATTAGCTTGATACGTAGAGACCGCAGGTAGTAGATGGGAAAGAACTTACCAGCTGCTCGCCAATACCATCTTTTGGCATCATCCAGATTGGCGGCGACTCCGATGCCAACTTCGGTGAAATAACCCATCGCATATTCTGCCTTGGCAAGACCCGCGGTGGCTGCCTTGCGCGCCCAAAGGTAGGCCTCAGTGTCGCTTTGCTGAAGTATGCCTTCAGAACCTGTCAGATACCACCCGCTCAGAGCAAGCTCACTCTGGTGCTCCGCTTGTGCTGCAGCGTGCGTGTACCAGAAGATACTCTGTCGGGGATCCACCGGACAACCCATCAGGCCGTATTCATAGGCAGCACCAAGTCGGAATTGGGAGAACTTGTAACCCAGCTCCGCAGCCTGATGGAACAGTTGGGAGGCATACGCTTCGTCACGAAGAACGACGTCGTTGTCAGTTGCGTTTGCGTACATGAGCGCAAGCTCATGGAGAGCATGTGGGTTTTCTTGGTCAGCACGCTCGGCCGCGCGTTTGAGCCATGAAACACCCTCGCGAGGATTTTTGGCTTGGCCTAGGAGGCCCTTGACGAGAATCATTCCCATCTTGTACATAGCAGGAGTATCTCCCAAGGAAGCAGCGCGTTTGTACCATTGCACTGCCTTGAACGGATCTCGCTTCGTTCCACCGCCTTCTTCTTGGCCGATCTCGCAGCACACGGCAACCCGATAAGCGGATTGCGCGTGCCCTTGCTTTGCTGCGGAATGATAGAGGCTGAAAGCTTCCTTCGGGTCTACCGGCAAGCCCAATGAACCCTGGCCGTAACAATCCGCGAGGTAGAACTGAGCATCTGCATAACCACTGGATACCAACTTTTTGACAATCTTGTGCGCATCCATGATGTATTTTTCTCTAGCCCTAGCTTTGGTTTTTGGATCCATCCTGCTATTTTCGACAAGGACCGTCGAGGCCTCAACCAGCTTCTGTGCCAATAGAAGTTGAGTTTTTTGGTCAGCAGCTTTGCTCCGTACCACTTGCTGCAAGCGCTCAAGCTCTTGGTGAGTGACAGGCGCAGGCGCGGCGTCCGGCTGAGCGATATGCTGGGTCTGCGGGACCGTGGAGGTTGGAGATACCGTTGTGTTACTATTGTCGTACTGCCGCACAGGAGGCGGCTTGCTCCCCTGGTCGTGCCCTGGACGGAAAGGCGCAGGGTGATGAGGCAGGGCGTCCGGGTTCTGTTGCGAATCGAACTCATTCATCTCATTGACCATCTGTGGTTGCTCGTTGGCAAATCCAGGCTGATTCACTCTGTATGGTTGTGGAGGTCCATTTCTATAGGCTGGAACAGCAGGCCCTCCACTTCCCCGTTGTTGCATATATTGATTATTCATCGGATCCTCGTAAGAATCCGGCTGTCCATTGTAACCCTGGTCCATACTGCCTTGAGTTCGGACAGGGGAAGCTGATAGTGGGTTACCGGGTAGGTCGAATTGGAACCCTGCACTATCAAACTGGTTCGGTGTACCGACCCCAGCAATATTGTGCTGCGACTGATGGTACTGATCGTTACTACCGGAGTGCGGGTTGAATGCTGCATACTGGCCTTGGGAGGAAGCGGCAGGGTCAGCAGGTGCTCTCGCTTTCGGCTTCGGCTGTTCTAGCCCTGGCAGATTCTCGTCGATGACCTTGCCACCGTCAGGGATAGCATCGAAATTAGGCATGTCGGACTCATCGGCATGAGCGGTTCTGTAATAGCTCAGTAGTTCATCGGTATCACTGTAATCATTCGATGAGTTAGGGTCCTGATAGGTGGCCTGCCCAGGATATGTGGGTTGGGCAACAGGGGACATGGGTGATGCCGAATGAGCGGGCATCGTAGCACTTCTGTTAATGTAAGGCACCGGTGGCGGGCCACTGGCGGAAGTGTAGGACCGCTCATAGGCATCCGAAGGTCGCCGTCCGGAGCGTCCTGCACTGGCCGACCTCATAGGACCACCAGGATAGCCCCCCTCCCTCGACCAGGCGATGTAGAAGCGGCTTGCTGAGGGACATCGCGTCTTCCGTGCGAAGTGTGCGGGCGATCAGGGGGGTTCCCGGGTGGCATCTGGCCATTGAGCTTCATTGCCGCCATACCGTTCTCAATACCTCTGGTGCCGGGGGCGCCGCGCGCCTCTTGCGCTGGAAACGCGGGGAACGGGTTATCCCATGCCATTCTCTCCTGCTCCGGTGCGGGCGGACGTCCAGCTAAGCCTTTCGATCAACAGTTGCTCAGGGAAGTCGGTTGTGCATGTATCGCTTTCACTTACACGGTCTCGTCCGGTCCTGCCTTGGAGGTGGCCTCCTGTCTCCGTAGCCGCGACGACTGTCGGGGCCGGGTGGTGGTCGTCCATTATAGGCATAGCTTCGATCATGAGGCTGCTCTGCAGGAGAACCATAACCTCCACGAGGGGTTCGCGGAGGGCCGCGCGGGGCTCCATGAGATCTCGGAACAGCTCGATCGTCAGGGTAACCGTACCCGGCGTTGTCGTAACCTCGGTCACCACGAGACCCATAGTTGAAGTCACTGTATCCTTGGTCATAAGACCCGTCTTGCATCTGACTTGGCGCCGGGGGTCCTCGTGGTGTAGGGCGAGGGCCATAGTTTCTGACCGGAGGAGGCCTCTGCGATTGAGGCGGGGGGTATGCCATTATCGGTGAGAGCTCTTATCGATTAAGGGATGGTTCGGTAGTCGTCGTGAATTGATGGGTCGGCGCCAGGTTTGATGTTTCGTGGTCCCAAGGAAGTAAACGATGACAGATTCACGGCGACCCCGCAAGAACGCTTTTTGGTGAAGACTTTATACCGTCCATAACACCTGTCAGTCCAGCGCGAACCAAGAGCCAAACGGAGATTAGGAGGAGGGGTGTGGTGCGGACCTGAGAATGACCGAAAGCGGCCTTGAACGGCGGGCAGAAAAGATGCGGAGATACCGAGTTACAAGCACACAAGGTTTCAGCAAGGGGGGATGAAAGGAATGTAATCCACCCGATCATGCAGGTAGTGGAGGGCGCGCAAATCCTGCATTAGGAAAAGATACATTATTGTCAGCGGATAGACACCTTTTGGCGATCTGTCGCAAGAGGACTACTACTGAGATCCTGAGTTGCGATCGGACTGAGGATGCGAGGACTGACCGGTCGACTATCCACGCGCAGCAATGCTGATTCTGCGGATTGGAATGAAGCTGAAAATCAACGACGAATTTAATCGCAAACGAGAACGAGCGTCCAAGGTGAAAACCACCACCTTCTGTGAAAAGAGCGTGTGACCAAGGACAAACACCCTCGGTTTTGAGAGATTGACAAGAGGGAGGGGAGCAATTTATTTTGACAATCGCGGCTCACTAGTTTCTTAGTGGTGGAGTTTGGAGCAATCAAGGATGAAAAAGAAGGAGATACGTGGGTAGGCCCGGATCTCTTTGATTCATAACATAATTTGATGATTGTTAGACCAGGAACAGAGAATCCAAGGAACCATTGTTCTACCAAAGAGCTAAGTAGTAAAAATCTACAGTGGGCTATCCAGTATTATTATTATAGACACAACTCGCCAGGCTCCCTTGAAAGAAGAAACGTAACTGCAGATTATATGCAAGATTTGATTAAGGAGAATATTCACTTCCTAAACACCCTTGGCTGCGCTTGCATGGCATATCGAAATGCATACCAGCGAGATACCACCAAATGCACATCCTTGAGTCATTAGACTTTCGTCGGCTGTATTAAACTGTGTGTGAAACAGTGATGACAATTCTAATCCATCCTTGTCCCTTGACCCACTTGCTTTATTCTGCTTTTCTGTGGACCAAAGGCCGCTTTCTGATGCCCTGTGGACTGAATCTAACAGATATTATTGACAATCTTGTTACTACTACGTCCGTACCTTAGTATCGTCTCATTGCCAGGGTCAGAATCCATATCTACTGCCAATACATGGACGATGCTGTCATAGGCTGAAGGTCGACGACTAGTGAGACAAGTCTCATGTCCTCCGTACTCCGTATGATGGCACTGATGAAATATCGAATATCACTGGTAGTTGGTCATCCTTGTGCTGATCTTCAGGGGTTGATTCCTGAGGTGTCCCGTTGCATCAGGCAAGATACTTCCGCGCAGGACATTATGAGATCGTGCCTAATGACTGTTATCGAGATCTGCTTATTGATACTTCCCTTGCATAGTATAGAGTACTGTAATTTAGCAGAAGTGATCATCTGCACCAATGCGAGGGGATTTCTGTAACAGGTTCAGATGTGACCATCGGAAGCTGATTCACAAATGATTGCTGAAAAGGTACGGTTCTACGTGCATTTCTGGTAATATCAACTAAAGATGGATGAATGCTCCGAATGTAAGAGTGGAAAGTGAGTACCCACTCCATACAGTTCAACACTGTTACTTGCTAGCGAATCGGCGCTGCGGGAGGTGTGGGCTGCGGAGAAAGGGATTCAAAATTTGAACACCCTGCCTTTGGAAGATGGAAAACGAATACGACCGTGACAATTCGGAGGGAGACCGTCAACTGCGCCACATGTGCTCATCAAACACAGCCTCAGCAGCTAAGCCACAGATTGGTCGTGATCGCCGATAATGTTCCCACCTGCACCGAGCTACTGATACTATGCGATAGAAGCGAAGGTCATAACCGCTCCACAGATCGCTCTCCTCTAAACCAGCTGCAAACTTGAAGTCGGCTCCGACATATCCGAGGGTGTCGCGGAACCGCATTGACTAAAGCACCTCTCTAGACATCGGCATCTTCTGTCACGGCCTGCCCTTTTCCCGTACATTCATATTCCTAGCAGAGTGTCGTCATAGCTGTTGCTGAAAATAGCCCATTATGTCTCGGACAGGAACTTGGTTAAAGATGCTGGTGGCGTAAGGACTCACTTTCAGCATGGTTAAGCGATTTCTTATTATGCGCGTCTGACAATTTCTATCTCTTTCTCTCGACAGTGGCACCGTGATCTGCGTCGGCGGCCCAGCATTCGTCCAATCCATCCGACCTACCGACGAGGAATTATTCAAGCGATACAACCCCGATCTTCAGAAGCGGAGCTTGGAGGAAGGCGATCGCCGCGCTCGAGAGTTTGATGAATATGTTACACGGTTGAAGCAATGGTCCAAGTCCGATAAGTCGAGTGCGTCCTTAACTACGCCGGTTGGCATCTAGGAGGTGATTTCCTAATATTTCTGCATTATAGTTTGGTTCGCTGCGCAAGAACAGCAAGAACAGAAGCGCGCGGAGATCGAGAGTCAACGGAGTCAGGTGAAGGAGGAAGCCAGGTTACAACGGGAAGAGATGCGGAAGGAGTTGCTGGGGGAGAAATGAGCCGTTGAATATGACGCGTTTGCATTGAAACAGATTGCCATGAACGGCCTGATTAAGATCTGCTTAGCAGAGCATTGCCCCTATCGCCTTCACTTTGCTTGTATTCATATCCATTACTGATGTCCCTGGTGCTACCAAAAGCTTATGCATATTATGATGTGAACATTTTCAGGAGCCGTCCGGCTAGGCCGGTACCAACCCTTTCTTTCTGAATCGCAAGAACATGCGTTGCGTGCCTTAAGTGGCCTCAGACTATACCCTCCGATCGAGGTTCCGACACATCGGAACGATTGGTCTGTATCACTGCAAGTTAGCGATGAGAGTACCAGTGTGTGATTGAGCTTGGGTGTATCCGATTGAGCGGGTATGATGGCAGACTGGAAGCACTTTGGGCAATCGCCACAGAAGTACGCAGAGAAAAGATCGATAACCGTCTAATCATAACCAAGCATCGAGTGGCCCTGTCCTGTAGCCGAGGAGACAGCGAACGACGTAGGTGACTCTCGGCTACGACGTGCACAGTACACCTCAATTCGCCCACTATGACAATGGCGGTAAATCAGAGTCCTAACCAGCTGCCGAGAACTTTCAAGCGTCTTTTTGCGAGTATGTTTTCTGAGTTGGAATCGCTGCAGAAAGTCATCAGTGGATGAGGGCTATTTTTGTTCCCCATGACACCGGGTCCAGCGGACAACACTGTTCATGGTCTCTAAGTTATCATGATGATCATTTTCACGGAAGATCTGTTGGTAATATGTATACACAGGACCAATGTAATGACATACGAGACGATCCTTGACGCATGTCGAGCACAGTACTGAGAAGACAAGTAGGTATGGAGTAAATCGATAGGTCTTGGCGATTCGCGGAGAGGTGGGTTGTCTCCTTGGCTCCGGCTCCGCCGCCGCAGCTTTTAGGAGTTTACACTTCAACATACTCTCGAGATGACATGGAGGGAAGGAGCCTACTTAACTTCGAAACTGATGATATCTGATGTGACTGCATTGCAAATCCTAGAAAATCATTTCTCAGTCCGAGATCAGACGAACTTAACTTTCTTGGTTGTGGTGGGTTGTCAAAAAAACAGACGTCTGCTAAGTTGTAATGTTGCACAGCCTCTTGCAGATATGGTACTCCATGCTCTGTAGATACTCCATAGCCTATTACGATATCGAGAGGCACGTGTGTGCAGAGTTCACCATCATCCTCTTGAAGGGCTTCTTCATTTCAGCCAAGTGACGGTGTTACGAGATATTACATGCTAGAAAAATGCCAGAAACGTTGCAGAGTTTATGCATCATGTAGATTAGTCAAATATACTAATTCCAGCAGCGTCGACTTCTTCTGGCACTGTTGTATGAAGTTCTCTTCCCTTCTTTGTAGGTTCCACGATAAAAATAGCTGCCTAAGAAGTGTCTGGGCAACGATGAGTGGCTAGCCTGTCACGTGCCAGGACCGATTGAACCAAACCCGCTTTCAATCTCCAGAAGGCGGGCGGCGATTTATCACACCCTGTCAGCTTCACTCCACCATCGCTCTAACTATTGACCTCTCACCACGCCTACAAGGCACTCCTGTCCACTATCATTTACCACGTTCGCCCCTGGTTTCTGTCTTACGACGTTTACGACATCTTATTCTGCGAAACAAGACACCAAAACAGGTCTTCGCAAGCCTCCAAGCAGAGTCGGTGATCCACAAGCTCTCACCACTCGAACTCAGGGTATAACGAATTTCATCCTCGAAAGCCATCATGTCTGAGCAGCCTTACGATCCTTATATCCCTTCTGGCTCTAATGGGCCTTCCGCCAGCGCCGGCAGCGCAGCGCAGAATGGCGACCCTCGGACAAGGGAAATCGACAAAGTAAGTGAATTGACCTGTCTCTGGGCATTGAAAGAATAATCTCTACGGCCCGGGGTTGCAATTTTGGGGCTATATGACAAGTTTCAAGACTTGTCATGTCGCATGAGCGCTATCCTTTTTTGGCGGTCGAGGCCTGATGTTTTTCAATGCCTATTCTGAGCCATTTGGCTGACTTTGTCCCCCTTACCCAATAGAAAATTCAAGAGACCGTCGATACAATGCGCTCGAATATTTTCAAGGTATCGGAGCGTGGCGAACGCCTGGACTCTTTGCAGGACAAGACGGACAACCTGGCCGTATCTGCCCAGGGCTTCCGTCGGGGCGCTAACCGCGTGAGGAAGCAAATGTGGTGGAAGGACATGAAGATGCGCGTGTGCCTGGTCATCTGCATTATCTGCTTACTCATTGTCATCATTGTTCCTGCCGGTATGTTTCCTTCCCTGCTCACTCTCCGCACAATCAGGGCGACTGAATGCGCTGGCTAACTTGCGGATTTTAGTCGTCACGAGCACCAAACATTAAGTTACGAACGCAGCGAAAGTCATGTCTGATTTTGGGAATGGATGTTATTTTCCAGCAGGTCTATTTGCGTTGAGGTTGTGTAGTTTCGTTTTCAGCCACTAATACCTTTCTGCTTCTTTTCTGGGCGTCAACAACTTCTGTGCTTATGAATCAAGCCTCGTATCTCGGTAAGCCTTTGACGAGATACTCGTCTGATACTCGGGATGGGCTGTACCTTATGATCCGTGGCTGGTGAAGATGTAAATGATACTCCGGGCTCCCGCACTTCCCCGTGTTTCAATACGTTATTGCCTTATGATCTTTGTGTCGACTTTGTCCGCCATCACTTATAATGAAATGAATCCCTTTATGCCGATTCTGATGAACCCGCTATCTCTGCTCTCAATTAGAAGGTATGGCGACTTGATGAGTGAGAACGCGCCTAAAAGATATAGCTATCTCCACCATCAAGTATCTAGCCACAAGTACAGAACGCAACGTTAGGAGATTCTCCATCTCTCAGGTACGAGAAGTGGAGCTTCATATATGGAGTACGCTAGCCAGGCTAGCCTATGAAGGGGTCAGGACGAACCACCAAAAGATCAGATAACAAAGGTGCAGAAAAGGCATGAGCGAGTTCGAAATCTCGGCTGTTGTAACATTTCTGCAAGGTGCTGACTCTGCTTGAAGGCCCAGAAGGTTGGCTACGTTCAGTCAAACCTCCAGCGCAGAATATTATGCCGAAATGGATAGTAAGAAAATTACTACAGTGGGTTAATTCGATTATTAGACGAGTGATTATTGCTGCATGGTGGCATGTAGAATGGGAATTGAATTTCTTGAAATGATCAATCACAGCAACCGATTGCGGGTATACTGGGACTATTACAAAGTTAGGAAAGGAAATGGAGATCATATCTCGCGACCAAGATTGTTCCTTTCCCACAGCCCCATAGTCTGATAGAGAGGTACTTGAGTTTGACTATTGAGTCACGATAGCCGGCTCCGATGGTCGCAGCCAAGCTCGGGCTCACATTGGTCGATCAGGCTTTATGACTCTCTAATGTCTCTCCGGTCTTCTCCCACTCCTTCTTCTCTTTACTATTTCCGGGATCCTTTCTCAAGATTCTAGTGGCGCTAAACACCCATTTTCGGTGTTGAGTTATTTTTCCTGCCCGAGTCTGGGTTCTCTAAAAAAGCAGGCGAGAAAAACCGCGCAGGGTTGCGGCTGTGAGTACCTCCCGCCTTAATTATTGGGAAAAAACCCACTCCGACGTGCGGCCGATTTCCTGGGCGCCTTTGGAGATCAAACTCTTTGGAGTGTGGGAAAATCCATTGCGCACCCACACAACCCCTTCTGTAGACCTCTGACTTGGTTCTACTTTTCGTCTTTGCTATCTCTTACTCACACTGAGTTTCATCTAGACATCGTGTTCGTTCCAAGACGATTGAAAGCTGCCGCATGCTGGTTGACAAGATGTTCTCCCTTCGTACTGCTGTGCGGAGAGCTTCCACCAGCAAGCCCCTCCGCGCTCTCTCCGCACCGCACGCCGTTTCCTCTGCGAGACTCTGCTCTCCTCGTCATGCTCTGAAAGCTTCCGCTGTCCCCTTACTGCAGAGCCGTCCCTATTCCCGCGCCGCCGATCCTCACCTCTCATCGACTCGGTCTACCGTTGTCCAGCTGCTGAGCAACATTGGTTCGAAGCGTGAGGTGCAGCAGTATCTCTCTCACTTCACATCGGTCTCCTCTCAGCAATTCGCCGTGATTAAGGTTGGCGGTGCTATCATTACCGAGCACCTTCAGACCCTGTCCTCGGCGCTTGCCTTCCTCAACCACGTCGGTCTCTACCCCATTGTCGTCCATGGAGCCGGACCTCAGCTCAATCGCATGCTGGAGGCTGCTGGCGTGGAGCCACAATTTGAAGATGGTATCAGAGTGACGGACGGCAAGACTTTGGCCCTTGCCAGGAAGCTGTTTTTGGAGGAGAATCTGAAGCTGATCGAGGAGCTGGAGCGTATGGGTGTGAGGGCCCGTCCAATCAACGCAGGCGTGTTTTACGCCGACTACCTCGACAAGGAGAAGTACAACCTGGTTGGTAAGATCAACGGCGTCAACAAGAAGCCTATCGAATCTGCCATCGAAGCTGGCTGTCTGCCCATCCTCACCTCTATGGCTGAAACCCCGGACGGCCAGGTTCTGAACGTGAACGCGGACGTCGCTGCCGGTGAACTGGCCCGTGCCCTGCAGCCTCTGAAGATTGTCTACCTTGCTGAGAAGGGCGGATTGTTCAACGGTGACACTGGCGAGAAGATCTCCGTGATCAACCTCGATGAAGAGTACGACCACTTGATGACGCAATGGTGGGTGCGCCACGGTACTCGCTTGAAGATCAAGGAGATGAAGGACCTGCTCAACGACCTTCCCCGTACCTCGAGCGTTGCCATCATCCACCCCGCTGATCTTCAGAAGGAACTGTTCACCGACTCTGGAGCTGGAACTCTGATCCGCCGGGGTAACAAGGTGCACACGAAGACTTCTCTTTCTGAGTTTGAGGACTTGGAGAAGCTGAAGGATGTGCTTGTCCGCGACCGCGAGGGCCTGGATGCAAGGGCTACCGTCGACCGCTACGTCGAAGGCTTGAAGGAGCGCGACTTCAAGGTTTACTATGATGAACCTATGGAAGCTCTTGCCGTCGTCTTGCCCCCAAGCAAAGATAACTCTTCTTCCTTCCCCCACCTGGCTACGTTTACGATCACCAAGTCCGGATGGTTGTCCAACGTCGCCGACAACGTTTTCGCCGCCATCAAGAAGGACTTCCCTCAATTGGTCTGGACAGTCAAGGAGAACGACGAGAACCTTACTTGGTTCTTTGACAAGGCTGATGGTAGCCTGAGCCGCGACGGTGAGGTTCTCTTCTGGTATGGTATCGAGAGCGGCGAAGAGGTCAAGCAGCTGGTGCAGGAATTCAACCAGCATGGCCGCCAGATGTTTGGTGACATCAACCTTGAGGCCAGACTCCAGCGCGCTGCTCAGGCGGCCACTAACATTGGCAAGGGCTTCGGTGCCAGCGGTGCCTCTGTTGAGCAGAAGCGCGCATTCTCCTCCACCGCTAATGCTTTGCGGGCCGCTCGCTTCGGACGTCCCGCTGTCTCTCCCAGCGCGGTGAGATCCTACTCCACCACGAATCCCAACCCTCCTCTGGGAGAGAAGAACATGTCCAACAACCGGCCCTCCAAGGTTGCTCTCATTGGAGCCCGTGGCTACACTGGCCAAGCCCTGATCAACCTGATCAATGCTCACCCCTACATGGATCTCCGCCATGTGTCTTCTCGCGAGCTGGCTGGCAAGAAGTTGCAGGGTTATGACAAGCGTGAGATCGTTTACGAGAATCTGAGCCCCGAAGACGTGAAGCGCATGTCTGCGAACGGTGATGTCGATTGCTGGGTCATGGCTCTACCTAACGGTGTTTGCAAGCCGTTCGTGGATGCTGTCGACCAGGGCTCTGAGACGGGCAACGTCATTGTCGACCTGAGCGCCGATTACCGCTTCGATGACAAGTGGACTTACGGTCTTCCTGAGCTGGTCAACCGTGGTAAGATCGCGCAGGCCACTCGTATCTCCAACCCCGGTTGCTATGCTACTGCTGCCCAAATCGGCATTGCTCCTCTCGTTCCCTATCTCGGTGGACAGCCCACCGTCTTTGGTGTCTCCGGATACTCGGGCGCTGGCACCAAGCCTAGCCCTAAGAACGATGTGCAGAACCTCACGAACAACATCATTCCTTACAGCTTGACTGACCACATCCACGAGAGAGAGATCAGCACACAGCTCGGAACTAGCATTGCGTTTATCCCCCACGTTGCTGTCTGGTTCCAAGGCATTCACGTATGTACTTCGCTGACATTTATCTATTGGCCCTTCTTCTATATACTTGTTTCAGGCACTGATTGTTCGTACAGCACACCATCAGCATTCCTCTCAACCAGGAGATGACTTCTCGCGACATCCGCAACATCTACCAGGAGCGTTATGCCGGCGAGAAGCTTGTGAAGATCATCGGTGAGGCACCTCTTGTCAAGAACATTGCCGGCCGTCATGGTATCGAGGTCGGAGGGTTTGCCGTTCACTCCAGCGGCAAGCGCGTCGTTGTTTGCGCTACGATCGACAACCTTCTGAAGGGTGCGGCCACTCAGTGCCTCCGTAAGTACTCCCGTCCAATGCGATTTCGAAAGGACAGATTACTCATGCGCCTGTCACAGAGAACATGAACCTCGCTCTCGGCTATGGCGAGTACGAAGGCATCCCTCTCGAGTAGAATTTCTATGAATGGTAGATATCGGTTATATATGTTTGATATAGTTCGGGAAGGTATGTCATGTATATCAAACATGGATGTGTTTGATAATATAAGGAGATCTCATTTGGCGTCGAATTTCTACATTGGGTTTCCTCATGGTCATCTTTCCTTTCGCATGTCTCATACCCGCATGCAGCTCAATTGGAGCTATGGGTTCGAGATTCCCGTAAAGACCCCTACCTCTCGTTCCGTTTTATACAGTCCACCCATTCTTTCTCCCGTTTTCCTAAACTTCTAGAGTTCCATCTGATAGACTTCCGGTTCTTTATCTATCTTTTCCCCATACTGCCGTTATCGTTTCTGTCTAAAATTCGCGGGAAAAGTGTATTCTGTCTGGCGATGCATTGGTGCTGACGGGTTAAAGATGAGATATCGGGCATTCATACTTCACCGACTTTCTTTATGAGCCCTCATCCATCTGCTCGTCCTTGCTTTTCACGGTTGGGCAGAGTCCTACGGTCTGGGAGTCCTGGGCCTCGGAAGATTGATTGCTGGTGTAGACTTACAGTTGGAAAGTAGAGGTAGACAATAGAAGAGTCTATTCGGCCAATCCGAAAATCAGTAACTGGTGGTTCAGCTTTCAGCAGAGTAGGGGCGTCCACGCGAAGTGAGCTCGGTTTCGAACTTGCAAAAGGACTCTGGCATCAAGTGCTGAAGCACTCACATCTACCCTCTTCTCGATCCTCGAGCGAAGAACTTTCCGGTTTCCAGGCCCTCCAGCACCTGTCTCTCATCTCTCCATCCCCTCTCTTCATCATAATCGTGCCAACAGTCATCTTCTTTCTCAGAGCATGAGCATTATTCGAACTTCACTGATACACTTTGAGAAAGCAAACCCCCATCTGCTTTCGAGGTGTGATAGGAAGTTTCCAGAGTTCTACAACTGCTTCTCATCCAATATCCTAGAACTTCTGCGGCTACCTTCGGGTTAGAAAGCTGGCAATCTCGGAGTCCTACCGTTTAGACCATTACTTTGAATCTTCATTGCAATATAGGATCTATCCCAGAAAGCTCAGACACCAACAGACACGCCCAACGCGCAAAGGGAACAGCTCGCGTCGCGACAACAGTGGTCCAACTTAATCACATCTGAAAAAACAAGGCCACGAAAAGTCGTCATCATGTTCTACAGTCACGAAAGTAAGTCCTGTCTTTCTGTTGACTCTTTTCTGGAGGCTCTCTGTACTCTTTTCTAGCCCTTTTCCAGCTTTCACGCCGCTGACTCCTGCATTTACTCTAGTACTCACATCTCCCGAGCACGGGGTTGCTACGATATGGTGTGAATCCTTTCTCAACTTGGCATCTATGTTACCACTGATATGTTTCTCTTGCAGGCTGGTGGCAACGCTAGGTTCGAGATCCATCACAAGAAGATTGAACAAGAAGGCGATACTGGACGTGGATGTTCCGAAGGCTTGTGAGGTCATCATGGATCCTGCGGCACCTATGGCGTTGAGACTCCAGGGGAACCTACTGTGAGAGCTTCAGCATCTGGATCAAACCAGGAGGTCGGGTTATTGACAGCAGACTACGCAGATACGGAGTCGCCAGAGTTTACAATCAACAGTGTTGCTATACACTCACAGATGTTCAGGCAATGCATGACAGATTGAGATCAATGTTGGGAGCTCTTCCCGGCACAGCGTTGGATCCGACAGCTGGCAAAGCTAGGTTCGTGGTCTCCTATTTCTCGACTCGTTATATGGTTGGGCTTCTGCGTTTTTGAAAGCATACTAATGCAATCGGTTTCTCAGGCCTGATCAGCTCATCCTGCCGTATGACCCGTCATTCCTTCCTGAGAACAATCTACCAGGGTTGGGTTTGGATTTCTTTGGGCTGAATCCGTCCAAGAATGATCGAGCAAGCCAGCAATCCAGCTTCCAATTACCAATGACCCCTGACCTAAGTCTGACCGCTACCTCGCGTAACTCCAGTTTGCAGCTTAACTTTGGGTCGCAAGATCTAATCCTGAGAGATATACATGGGTTCGGTTCTGAGAGCGAAATGACGAACTCTGTTCAGAGAAGTGTTCAACTTGGGCGGATTGCCTCTACGGCTCTCAATGATGAAGAGGGCATTCTTCTGCATCCTGACTTTGACTTTGATGAAGACGGAAATCTCATTGAGCTCGGGGGGCTAAACGCTGCTGCTGAGGTTGGAAAGCGCAGCTCTGGCTGGCTTGACGCTGAGGCACCTGTCACTGGTGAGGTGAAAGAGGGTGAATTGAATGACATCTCCTGGGACTATCAGGTACGATTTGCACAGGACGGGTTGTTCTTGTTCTTACTGACAATATCTCCCCAGCCAATGCTAGCCGAGGAGGGCATGCAAGCAATTACTGAACACGGGCAGCCGAACCCCGTTTTCAACGGAGACACGTCTATGCCTCGAGCTCCAGAAGGGCAACACCCGGAAGACGTAGAGAACGCTTCAGAGACTCAGGAGGCACCAATGCGTGGAACTCGAAGAATCCCGAAAGCCGTTGCAACAGATACTCAAACCGCGCTGCGAAACACTGAACTAGCTCAATACAACAATGAATACGTGCAAAACATGGCCGCTGCTCTAAAGCAGAAACTGAAGAATAGAGCGCCTACCCAAGCTAGGAAGAATGCAGAGTTCTGGGTCTTGGGCCAGGGAATTGGTTCAGTTGGTGTTGGGTTGGGGACTTCTCATGTCCAGCATCCTTTGCACTTCTTTTCGGGAGAGACTTTGTACGCATCACTGACAAGCGTCGAAAGATCAAAGAAACGCAAGGGCTCTCCTTCGGCAACTGAAGACAGTGATGCTGATTCCGAGACTCGACGCGTTCGACGCAGGGAAGAGTCCGAGGAACAACTCGGCCGAGGTGGACTTTTTCAAGACGATAACAACTTACAGGATGTTCGTGGGATACATCTCTTTTGGCGCTGTTTGATTTTTGTTCTATGAACCATGCAATACTGACAGTCATCTAGGATATAGAGATTGGTCGTCATGCCTCATCAGTCCTTCGAGATGACTCCTCCCAAATGCCCTGGAATATCACAGCGTCCGTCCGAAGCTCCCGACTTGGCCTGTCTGCAACAAGCATCTTCCGTGGATTTGGCAGCATCAGTGACTTTTCTGCTCGGGGCATCCACGATTCTGCAGTATCCGTGCCTCCACTTGCAGCACCAGGCAGAGCTCGCAGTCGCCTAACAAGTGCAAGTCCTCTGGCTGGACGCGGCTTTCAGTACGACTTGGAGGGCCTTGCAATCCCGGGAACCCAAGAAAATGATGTGAATTTCCTCGAAGACATCGATCTAGCTGGCTACCTCCAGAGCGAGCTTGACGTTGGAACCAACGCTGAACCCAAGGACGAGACTGACAGGCAGCGAACAAGCTTCCGTGACCGGCTGTCGAAATCTAGTATGGACCAGGAGAGCCTGAACTTTCTCGAGTTCCTCAACCTCCAACTTGAGGAACCCGCTCAAGTTTCTGCAGAGCAGGATACTGCTGCTGGCTTTCTTCGTCTTGATGCTTCTGAAGGTAAAGAAGTAGCATTTTCGACGCTCCTGCCTCCTGAAACTACTTCTCGTACAGTCGCCACGCATGGCCTGATGCACATACTTACCCTGGCAACAAAAGGCTTTCTTTCAGTTCATCAGGAGCCATACGAGGATGAAAGTACCGAGGAGTACGGTGTTCGCTACAAATTCGGAGAGATATACCTGCGCTTATCCGACAAGTAGTAATATCCTACGATGGATATTGATCGCAAGGACAACGTGTAAGACTGACAGCACAATCTTCTCATATTTCATTTTTCAATCTTCGGCTGATATGATGGCTCATATTAAATTATCTGCGATGCAATGACTCTATCTATTTGTTTCACATTTCTCGTGCAAAATGCATTTTTAAGTTCTTTGCCTACTATTCCTGTTTTCTTTCCCTTTCTTCCTGTCTCCTTTTTTTTATCTGTCCTTGATTTTACCATAATCAATGCTAGAGTCTCTTGTACCTACACGAATATCTCTTCGAAAAGCATATTTTCACTTGAACACAGTCTCAGCTCTTCCTGAAGGGCGCTTCAATTCGGTTGTGAACTTAGAGATATAGTAGTAAAGCCAGCAGTGTAAGTATTCGGAATAATACCAGAGTTATCGTCCTTACTGCTCTGTATTGATCGCTGATGGATGCAACTAAGTCGCTGGACATTATGAACACAATAAAATGGTGTTGATTGATATTATTCACGCTTAGATATGGTGTGTAGAGTACACTTCCATTAAATATTACAATTCTGATCAATGCGTCTCTACATAGGATTTACTGCCGAATTTCCTATCGCACTTACTGGCCGGCTGGCCTAATGGTAAGGCGTTGCTCTCCTAAAGCAAAGATTGCAGGTTCGATCCCTGCGTCGGTCGAAGTTTTTGCCCCTTTTTTTTTTCCCTGACCTGAGAATATCTCATATTCATCATTTGATCACTGAATACCGCTCTAGTCGATTTCGTCTGAAATAATTCGCCATATGGAAGGAGGATCCCTACCATCTACTACAGTGTTTGATTAGATCGCGTATATGCGGCAGTATATATATCTTGATGAGGACCGGTACGGAGATGTAGCGACAGGTATTTTTAGGCTGTAAAAACAACTGGCATGTTTCAAGCCTGCATACCAACTACGTATTGGATGTGTTCAGTAATGGCAATACATCATCAACAGATCGCCAGGACGCGCATCAGCTTCGTTCAATCTTCATGCATTCAATGTTCACTGAAGAACTTTGTGACTTGAGACTCTACAAGGCGTAGTAGTAGCATTGTGCTCTTAAGGCTCTCGACCCCTCCTACTCCGAGGCAATACGCGAGTGGGATGGTGGTTGTGGCACGGCTTCAGTGGAGGATTGGTCGAAATATCGCTTCAAAATTTGGCTCAATGTATATCAACTTTATCTACTTTCGTTCCAGATGGCCGTATGATTAACTAGAGTCGTGATACACGCGGAATTTGTATGCAACGGCCATGATTGTTGCATGGAAGAGATCCGCGTTACGGGTACACGAGATTCTAGCTACATCCTGATACGCAGTATTATGGCAGTACAGAGATCCATACTGGTACCATTTGTTACTTGACTTGTCCAGAATACTACTAGAGCAGCAATATGGAATATGAAATCGTATTTGATAATCGTTCTGGTTATTACAATCAGAGAAGTCATACTAAAATGGCCGGAAAGCGACAAAGGAAAATAGGGTTGCCCTTCCACTACCTCAGTTTTATGGCTTATCATTCGACCGCGTGACAGTTTTAGACTTTCAGCTGTGAATGCTCCCAATGTGCCAGGACGTCCATCAGGCAACGATACAAGCAACAAAAAAATCGAAGAGAATGGGCTACCATGAGGGTCAAATAATAAGCGTAGGGAAGTGTCAGACGAATTATTAGGAGTATTTACGAGTGTAAGATGACCGACCATTGTTGAGTAATGATTGGCAGTCACTTCTGGGCCAGTATAAAAATTACGCTTAAGGTAAGGTTCTGTCCTGACGAGCTCGCGTAAGTTAACCGCCACCGTCCTGTCTTGTCCCCGTCTCGTCTCGTCTCGTGTTCTGCCCGTCAAACCGAAACTCTTTCCTTCTCTCCCTCGCTCACCCCGAGTCTGCTCCCTCTCAGCTCCGACGGCTTCCTCCCCTTACCATCAGCTGAGACCTATTCTTCATCTCTGGTCATCTCTTGTTGTCTCTGTAATTCTGGTTTTTATCAACTTTCCTCCTTTATTTCACCTTGAACATGGGTCGTACCGTCGATCAGGAAGTTCACGCGGCGTTCGTCGAGTTCCGCGCCAAGGAAGACGATAAGGTGCGTGACTTGTATTTCCCGTAATATTTCAACCACCCGCTTCACTGTCGTCACTAACAAAACACCTTGTTTGCTTGGTTGTTCTACAGTGTCTTTCAGTCCAGTGTATCTATTGCCAGCAAATTCGCGCAAAGAATACATCGCGCCAGAAGCAGCACCTGCTCGAGTGTCCCGGACTTCGCGGTCAGAATCAGACAGCACAATCTGCGCCCAACGGCATCAGTGCTGCAAATGGATACCCTGCAACTCCGAATGGTGCAGCTGCCACGGCACCTGGCGCTGGCCCAGGGCCTGGCACAGGTGCACTTCCGACTCCCAACGGACCGATGATGACGAACGGCGTCAACCCACATGCTACCTCGATGCAGACTCCGCTGCAGAACATGCAAGGGCGCGCCGCATTGCCGACTCCCGGCCCTCCCACCGGACCTGCCTCTGCTACTAGCTCCCAGCAACCGACTCGCGCTACTCCTAAGTCGAAGCCCAAGGCCTCCACCTCGAATCTCCCGGCTCCTCCTCTAGATGACGTCCATGCTGCATTTGTCGAGTTCCGTGCGAAGGAGGAGGACAAGGTAAGAGAATATCTGATCCGATTGAAACAAAAATGGATGGTATGCTAATTAAGAAAGTGTCTGTCCGTACAATGCATCTACTGCCAGCAGGTTCGCGCGAAGAACACCAGCAGGCAGCGCCAGCATCTCCTGGAATGCCCCACCTACCTTAGTGTCATGAAAGACTCTATCCCTGCCAATAACCTCTTGCACACATTCCCTGAAGGTGATATCGCTCGGTCTCTGCAGATCCCTGCGCCTACTCTGGAACTGGACTTCCGTATGAGCATCAAGATGAACCCTAAAGTTGCTGTCGGTCCGAGTATTTGGGGTCAGAGAGATTGGGTAACATTTATTGGTGGTCAATGGGCAGGCCGATGGGGTAAAGGCATTGTTTTGGTGAGTACTCCTTTTTCGTTGTTGCAAAGCAGTACTAATGCTCTTGTAGCCCGGAGGACAGGACTCGCAGGTTGTGACCAAGGAATCTATTACCAACATGCGGTCGAACTATGTGCTCCAGACCGCAGATGATCCGCCAGCCTTCATCATTGTCAAGACTGAAGGATGGCTGACAGGCGCCAAGGATGTCCTGGACAAGGTTAACGACCCTAACATTGCGGACACAATCAATCCCAACACCTATAAGTATCGCGTCAATCTTTCTATGGAAACTGGAGATGAGCGTTACGCTTTCTTGAACACTCTCATGTGGATTGCCAGTGGTTGCCGCAGGGGCCATGAAGGTCAGTTGTGACACTTTTGTCATTTACGGAGTCATGCTAACGACCTATAGTCATCTTCGATGCATTCCGCGTCAACTAGATCCGAACTCGAGCAAATCTGTTCCGTCTGTCTATTGAGCGTAGTTTTTCTTTCTTTGGTGATCGGAAAATATCGGTCTTGTTCATCTTCTTTTCCTTTGTAATGCTATAGGCCAGTCCACTATCCTCATCCGACGTGATCTTGTTCCGCCTCACGTTGATGGATTCCCTGCTGGATTCTTTTGGCATGGGCACTGCATTGCCGCGTCTCGACCGCACTACTGTCTGGTGTATCTTCTTGTGTTCGTTGATTTCCTTCCACATGTACGCTAGTCTCTATTCTTCATCTGTCGCAGATTGCCAGACCGTTACCAGTCGATTTCGTCTGTTGTCTCCTTCGCCTCTACTTGAGAAACGAGGATTTTCTGTATCTTTACATCTAAATCTGGATATTGCACGATTGTTCTTTCGGGACGTAGGGAGACTTCAATTCCGGAGTCTAAACGAAGCCCGAGGCGACACAATCCGAAATCCTGACTGCATATGAGAACAGGGAACAATGTCGAAATTAAGACAAAAATCTCTGTACGGGTGGTTCAAAAGCACAAATACTGTTGCTTTATGTATAAGTCACTATACCCATACATCAATGGTGCTGAACGTATTATCCTGTCAGTAAGGTACCCAGTAAATTACTAGGTTGTTTACCTGGGATGTTGACAACTTGGCAGGTATCATTTCTTTCACTTTACCCCAGTTCTAGACCTTTGTACGGAAGTACACTAATGGAACTAATTGAAACCATCATGGTCTCCCAGATACTCGGTACCTGACCCATCAACTCCTACGTAGTAAAACAGGCTAGCCGGTTTTGTTTTTTGAGCTTAATTCAGCCTTGAGGTTTGTTTCTATTTGTCAATAGGAATGGTGCCTGAGGCAGAGATTGGTTCTGTATTCGTACCTTACTTTACGATGATAGATCAAAACCAACCTTGAAAGGGTTCGTGGTATCCTGTAAAATTTCGGTGATGGTAATTATCGTTGAAATTGAGGCTACTCTCTAGATAACTCTAGTGAACTATGGGAATTTTTATCTCTACAGCTGTCAAGCAAGTCGCTTAACATTGTTGTTATCCGTTCATTATGGGGTATATGTTTAGAAGCCTGTAATTTGGACTGTTAGCATTGATTGCCAGGAAACCGAAGAGAACAGATAGCTTACCCTTCTCGGTGTTTCCCTCTCCCATGCTCTTGCTGCTGCTGCTGCCGCTTTGGATGGCGCCCAGGATGCCGTCCATGTACGGCGCACCGCTCCATTTCTGGTGGGTGAGGACCTCGACGCCGAGTTCCTTCTCGCGGGACTGGATCAGTCGCACGTAAGCGAGCATGCCCTCATCCTTGAAGGCGCGTGACAGTTCGGTCGTGATTGTGGCATTGCTGTGCAGACCGGCAAGGGAGATGAGTTGCAGGACAAAGCTATTACAATTGTCAGTTTCTGCCACGCATTAAGAAATTATGGCTCTTCAACTCACCCGTGCTTGGCGAGATCCCAGACAAAAGACTTGAGGGATGCCTCGTCAAAGCCCTGGCCCATCCAGTTGAATGACGGGCTAAGGTTGTAGACCAACTTCTTTCCGGGGTATGCGGCGCGAACTTCGCTTGCTAGTTTTCCAGCCTTCTTGACATTGGGGTCGCCGGTTTCAACCCACAACAGGTCTGCATAAGGGGCGAATTCCTTGGCCCGCTTTGTGGCTGCCGGAAAGCCGGCACGGTAGTGGTAGAATCCCTCCCTGGTTCTGGGGCTGTCACAGGACCAGACGACGGGCTTCTTTGTGTAGTCGCTCGCCAGAGCTCGGCGACGCGAGATAGATAGGTCAGGGTTCTCTCGAACCTTCCTCTTGTACGCATCACGCGCAGACTGGGGCGCTCCTTCGGCTTCGAGATGTGCGTCGACAGCTGGCCCATTGTTAGCTTCTACTGTTGCGTAATTGAGATATTGAGAATCGATATACCTTCATCAAAAGTGACAAGCTTGTGCTTCTTCACCCACTCCAGCTCAAATGCATCGACCTCTGCAGGCGCAGCACCTTCGCGCTCCATTGCTTGTAGGGTCTCGGCCAAAGGCTCGACTTCCTCCGCAACACCGAGGATGAACTCGTGATCACGCACATCGATGGCGCTGCTAATCAACTTCCCACTCTCAGAATCTGTTCGAGCAATCACCAGATTCTCGACCCCCATCATGTCCCATTGGAAACGAGCGGCGACCAGTCTGTTGATGTGTTCTCCAATAGGCACAAGGACTTTCCCAGCCAGATGACCGCACTTCTTGCCGCCATGCAGCTGATCTTCAAAGTGAACAGCTGCAGCACCGTTCTCCGCGAAAAGCTTGGCCAATTTGAGGACCGCGGAAAGACCGCCATGTCTGTAGAATGAAGGTTGTCAGTTCGCGGATCATCAAATGCAGCATGGTCATGAAGCGCACCCAGTATCGCCATCCGCAACGATCGGTCTCATGTAGTCGACATATGGGGTCGACTTTCGCTGTTCCGGGGTCATTTTTCGCCTGGCATCCCATTGTTTGCGATCATGCATTTGTTGCGCCTTGAACAATCTCTGTACCTGATTGGGGACGGTATTGTACGGGTAGTCGCCAAAGTCCGGAGAAACCTCATTCGTTGTAGTCAAGAGGGAGGAGCACGCCCATCCTGAGATATACAGCACCTCCTGGTTTGGAGCTTGCTGTGTCATTTGTACGGGATCGATTGCACCCACTTCGCAAGTATTAGTCTAGGACCAATAATCCCGATAAAGGTCCTACATACTGGTATGAACGGGCTTTCCCTCTGCTGCTCTCTCATTTAGCAGATTAAAGAGCTTACGAGCCATTAGAGAGCTCGGATATGTCTGCTGCAAAGTGCCGCGTTTGCTGACAACGTCCGCGACCGAGTACGGTCTCTTGATACCCTCGAACCGCGGAGATTTCCACCATGCCTCTACATCTTTAATTTGTTGCTCATAAAGCGCATCCTCCGTAGCCCCGGCCTTCTCAGCTGTTGACAGCAACTGAAATGAGTCTGATGGCAAGGTCGTCGAAACGGGAGGCTCGACGGTCGGCAGCGGAGATGGGGACATCCGCGGATAACCGCATGTGAATGAACGCAGGGCGAGACGAGAGGGACTGCCGGCAGTCGAAGAGAGAGTAGGAAGGCGTCGAGGAATCCGACGAGGAACTGACCGAAACATCTTCACAGTCCAAATTAAATTTCCGGTGTGAACATGAGGAGAAACAAGAGAAAAGTAGAAACGATGGATAGACGGAGGTCGAGTTATGGGGAAGATCCTGGGGAGCTTAAGCCTTTTGGGAGGGATTGCCAGTGTCCCCGCTATTGGACCGATCAGCCAACCTCGGTCTGGGGGCCCGCTTGGCCCTACAGCGGATTCCCTGCGGGCCGATGTCGCCTATTTGTCTTCCTTTTTCCGCATTTCGCAGGTTATTCTTAATAATGAGGAGACGTCCAAAGCAACAGGTCCTTGAATTTAGGTTGATAGGTCTCAAGCAAGGCTAAAGAATTTATATTGAGTACACAAAAGCTTCTCAAGTGGATAGCGATCAAGAAGCCTACCCTTCACGGAGAAGCCTTGATCTAGGTTATCTCTGCACCTTGACCACCAGCACTAAGTTTGTATACGAAATGTCCTGGCACGCCCTTCCCCCATTAGGGAGCGATGTGATCTGATGCTTTATTAAGGATTGTGCTTCACCATCATTCAGATGTCAGGCTCATTGGCTGCGCAGGGAAACATCAGGAAGTTCCTGAACCGCTGCCGATCCAACATCCACATCTCTTGAAAGTGTCTGTCCCGGATGACGTTGCAGTACTTGTCATGTCCCCTCTTCTGATCGTCTATCTGGCAAGCCTATGATATAGTCAATGTTACGCAAGTCCTCACGGGGCGGTTGCATCGGTCATCACCTCACTGCAGTACGATATAATGCCGCGCCGTTGACACTCCAGTGATGCCTTTTCGCCAGAACTGAGACAGCTCTTGTGTTTTGCGAAGCTCCTTGGCCATATTTGGACCTGATCATTGAGACGGAGCAAGTCGTGCAGGGATAAAGATATGAGCTGGGTTCCTTTCTCAACATTGTCGCAGGGAGAAAATCGCCTGGAAGGAATTCCGGCATAGGCTGTTCTTACCTTGATCGAGTAATGGTCCGTCACAATAACATCGATTGACTTCCAGCGTGAGATATTCTTTCGAGCATACATGATGGCAAACCGTACGTTCGAGCTTCAGGTCAGGTGTCACAAACGAGTCTCCTAAGTCGGGAGTATGAAAGACGATATGAAAGGGCTCCTCGTTATAGAGACTGCGAGCCGTGAGTTTGAATGGAAAGCCTTTATTGATCTTAATAATCTCCGCGAGTAGACACCAATGCCTCCGTGGTTCGATCACCTGGTCACTGACATGTTTATAGTGCTCTGGGTCATAGATCTGGTAATCCGGCAGGTCAAGGACTCCAGGGAACGAGACTTTATCGCGCAGGTTTGCGTATTTGGCCATATTGCTGACTGTTTACCACTGGTGTGGAAGAAGCCATATTTTTAAGGAACGATAGTATATATATAGTTCGCCGAGTGCTTGATACTTCAGTCACTGTTATTTGCTTTGAGTTTGAGTGAATGATAGATGATGGATCATTTTTGAAGCCGTTCATACTTGTCAGTCTCCACTCCCAAATCATTCAATTCAGCGGAACTGTGATTGAAGAAAAGAGATAGGAGAGTGTTATATCTAAGATACTCAAATATTGGGCTTTATTCATACTCATCGAATCTTAAGCGATAGATGTTTCGATGATCTGCTGCTCAGTAATTCCTGTATCCAGCCTTCTCAAATATGGCGTATAAGGAGCTAGAGTTTGAATATAGAGGGAATACATCTCTTCAACTCAAATAGATAATCTCTATCCGAGCAGCTCGTCTATGACACCAGCCCTGTGACAAGTGCGGAGTCGTGCCTTAGAACCTAAGCATGTCATGAGGGGTAAAAGTGTAATAACCCCATCAACAACTGGCGAAGGGAAGGAAGCATCGAATAAGAGGCCGGGGATTACCTCACACAAGCCACTCTCGAACAGGCAAGGCCAAGAAAGTTAGATCATCTCCAACTCTTCGGTCTTAGACTTGCTGTCATACCTCAACCTTCTTCTCCCTCTGAGTGGCGGCCTCCTTTGTACTATCTCTTTCACGATGATTGGGCCTTGTGATAAACGCGGCAAGTATTCCACACTTCCGTCTAGGCAGTGACGGGCCCTGTTGAGCTGGCCCAATGATGCAGAGGGGACTTGATTTGCTTCTTTCTGAGATTCACAATGAGCAACAAACTGAATGGAGCTACTTCAACAGCTCCAACTCTACCGTAGAGCTTCTCCTGTCTTTCTAACGAAAGGTTACCGGTTGTTGCCTGCATCCAGTTAAACAGTGGCTTATCGAGTCTGATCGCCGAATCAGCGTCCTCAACCTCACTCCATCAGTTGCCCCCGCAATCTGCACGTTTAGTGCAATCCTTATCATCCGGATGCGTTTCTCCTCACGGCTCGGGTCTCTCTCGAGGCCGTAGTTTATCTGTTGGTTCTCAAGTGACAGCAAGCTATTCTCCGGTCCTCCTTTCGATTTGACAGATACGGATGTTATGGCTTATCTATTGCTTTTGTCGCCTACTCTGGAATCATAATCCATCGTTATTCCTCCCTCTCTCATTCCTGTCCTGCTTTCTTATTTGGATTTCTGTCTCCCCCAGTGGATGTGAGTCTCCATATCGTCCAAGTGCTTCTTGTCATTACCCCGAGCGGTATGGACCACATCAAAATCCCATCGCCTTCGACAATTCTAGACACTACTCCCACCATTCCTTCGTCTGCCGGGACCTTTGATTCGGCCTCTTCTATAAAAAGAAGTGCACCATCGACTCGAGCTACAAGAGAAGTCATCACTAACAAGCCCAAGCAATCTAAAAGTCGAAACGGTAAAGTTCATTCCTATTAACTGTTAAGGAAATAAAGTCTCAATGTCGGATCGGTGTAAACCGCTCACATACATCCAGCGAAAAGAATTACGCAGAGCGCTGACTCCATTTTCTTGTCACCATACATTAGGCTGCATTACCTGCAAGGCAAAGAGACTAAAATGTGATGAGTCGAAGCCGACCTGTCTCCAATGCAAGAAGCGCAACGTGGAGTGTGGAGGTTACAAAAAGGACTTTAAATGGCGTCCATTCGAAGAAACCAACGTGGTCAGCAGGATTTCTTCTATTCAAGCCAGGAAGAGTAAGTGTGCAGGTTTGCAAGGTCTGCATTTTCTAGCCACCACTAAGATCTCTCAGGTGATCCGGCCACATCAGGCAAAGAAAGGAAGACCAGTCGTTCAGTGCAGGCGGGAAAGGATCGTCAACCTCCGCTGGTTAGCGCTCGATCGTCCACACCGACAGCATCCTCTTTGGGATCGAATGATGCTGCACCCATTCATACACTCCAGTCAGGCAATTCGCCTTCCATTGACTCACCACTTGCATTGACCCAGGAAAACCTCACATCTTGGAACAGTGGCATAGCTCGTTTTCTGGACTTCAGTAATGCAGAAGATGAGCTCTTCACACCATTTCTCACAAATAGTTCACCACTGGAACAGTCTCCGCGGCTCTCCGATATTGTACCCTCCGGTCTGGAGATCCATACGAGCCCAGTACGAAGGCCACTGGGGCTGGCTTCGCAGAACACGAATCTTAGACCGGGCAACTTGACTTTTGCAGCACTTCTTGCAGGGGACAATGGTAAAATAGAAGAAATAGCCCCACATTCCGATGAGTATATCGATCCGTGGCTGGTAGGACTTTCCGATGGCAGGGTGCCGTCAGAGACCTCGAATACCCCCGCTATGCTGACCAAGGAGCCAAATTTTGATATTGCCAGTCCCGAAATGTTGGTACTGCAATTTGACAGGTTCACTTGCGGGATTTTGTCTGTCAAGGATGGGTTAAATGAAAACCCCTGGAGGACTCTGATATGGCCTCTGGCCGGAGAGACTCCAGCCTTGTATCATGCGATATTTTCTATGACGGCTTTCCATTCAAGCAAGGACCATCCAGGTCTAAGAATGCACGGCGTTGATCATATGAGAAGAAGCATTACTTACATGGTTCAAGATATAGAGAACATGCGGGCAGATGCTGCCTTAGCTACGAGCTTAGCGCTGGCATTCGCGGACACATGGGACCAACACACCCGTAACTGTATCCAGCATGTACGCGGGGCCAAGGCACTCGTATTGCAAGTCCTAGGCTCCAAGGTTAGGGATGCAAACGACATCGAGAGAATCCGGTTTCTATATAACACCTGGTTGTATATGGACGCAATCGCACGCTTAACCTCTCGGGACGACGAGGGAGATCAGGATATGAACTTCTCTATCTTCCAGCTGCCCCGGGACGCAGTTCATGAGATTGACCCCTTGATGGGCTGCGCCACTACACTCTTTCCACTCATCAACCAGGTCGCCAGACTGATCCAACGGGTTCGGAAGACGGAATCAAATTCAATTTCTCTCGTCTCTCAGGCTATCGAGCTAAAAAGACTTATTGAGCAATGGGAACCACCGGAGTGGTTCGTGCCGCCGGAGGATCCAACATCCGAAGTACAGCACAGTATCCAGACGGCACATGCCTATCGTTGGGCGACTTTATTGTATCTTCATCAAGCAGTGCCGGAAATGCCGTCAGAAACAGCTAGTGACCTGGCCAAGCGTGTATTGATATTCCTGGCTACTGTACCTTCGAGTTCCCGAACGACAATCGTTCAGATGTTTCCTCTGATCGCAGCTGGATGCGAGGCTGAACCAGGAGAGGATCGTCAGTGGGTTTTGAGTCGATGGAGAGCGATCCAGTCTCGTCTCATGATAGGGTCCATCGATCGATGTATTGAAGTAGTCCAGGAAGTTTGGTCTCGCCGTGACACCATCGAGGCAGAAAAGCAGCGACGCCACGAGCGCGCTCTCAGCAGCTCAAATTCTCAGAGCAAAGGCGGGCCGGGTTTAACATCCCAGGAAACAAAGGAACGATTCATCAGCAATTTCGCCATCCCTTCCGACCTAACAGTATCGTCTAGACCCCCATTCGTAGGTACTCGAAGAAGCTCGGCTGTGTCGCCACTGGAAAACATCGAATTCGAGAAGACAGTTAGAGGTAAATTACATTGGGTTAGTGTCATGCAAGAATGGGGATGGGAAGGTGAGTCTTTATCTTGTTCCGCTTGACGGTTTGCATGGTACTTCATTCTTCGGTACCCGAGCTGAATTGACTCCGTATTTTGCAGTGTTTCTAGGATAAAAAAAAAAATAACGGGATCGAAAGGTTGAGGGGCGTGATTTTCTACCGAGGATGGGACATATTCTTGTTTGCAGCTGAGCCCTTGACTCGGACTCGTTCATATGGCCTGCATTCTCGTGGCTTTTGGGACTGTTGCAATGTCGCAGGCGGTTGGCCTAATTTTGAGTGGCCTTCATTTTCTTTGTTCTCAAGTCGAGATGCCGCGAAGTCATCGCTGGCTAGATACGATCGGAGTGAAGCCAGATATGACTCGAGGTCGCTCGTGATCTTGACGGTTGACATTCCGACGGAAGAGGCAGGCATATACTTGTTGGAAACTTCAATGATTGCTTCGGTCACGGTATGATCCAGGATGCACTTGGAATTGATGGTTGATGTCAAGTTGCGGTTGGGTTACGGACTTTCCTTCTACTTGATTAGCATGGCGTTCAGAGGTGGTTGCAGCAACGGCTTGCTTGCGGTTCATGTACTGAATGCTGTACAGACTTGGTCTTGTTTTGGTGCTTTGATTGCGTTGGGGCAACCACAAGAAGGTCCAAGTTGGGATCGGCTTTTCGAAGATGTCGCTTAGGGAACAAGGTCTTTTGAACAGCTGCTCCGGATTTGCTTATGCAATGGGTTGGCGCATGGGCTAAACGAGCATGAGACAAGTTGCTCACGGAGTTTCTTTCCTACCGGGACACGAATTGTAAAGGAAGAAGACTCGGCTCTGATTCATAAGCAGGATTGGATTTGATTTCTCTAAACGAAGATGGCTTAGCTCTGATAGTGATTCAAGAATCGTTCATTCCTCAAACCTGTTGATATATATAACATCTGACCTCCACCTGGTCACTGAAGCTGACTATAGAAGCGCCGAGATCGCTGCGAGAGATATCCCTTCGACTGTCTCTTCTTGTCGCAGACACTCGAGACCGGAGATTGCAATTATGCTCTGTCGAGGGACTCCGGAACTCTGGCATAGGGCGGTCGTTCGTCTTCCACTAATCGGTATTAGTCAGTCGGACAGACAGAAGTATGAGAATATAAAAGAACCCCCAAGAGGAAATGGGGGAAGTTCCTTCTTTTCAATGGTCGTCCAACCCACTAAGCAAATCCCAACTAGTCTCAAGTAGGTAGTGATATATGGTGTCATTTCCCGGGTATGCCATTAGTCGATGATTGATGACAGGCTGCTCTGACTAAGACAGTCCAGGACTAAGGGAGAAGTGATTTGCATGGTTGCATGCAGGAGGGTCGGTTCAGTTTGGGTCCTTGAATCCCAGGGCATCTTTGTCGGCGGGGTAGATAGGCTCCAGACAGCAAGCGGAGCATCCCCAGGTTCTGATTCTAAGGCCGATGGACGGATAAGGCAGGATGCAGTCCCTGGACTTTGTAGTAGGTTTGAGAGGATTAGGTGACATGAACTTTGAGATGACTGCATATTGCCATGTTCACTCGCTGATTGCTGGATGAGGGATATACTCCATGGACGATGGTATTGTGGGAATGCTCCGCAGATACCTAGGCATTGGGAGGAAAGTCTAACCAATCCAGGCAAAATTGTCCAGGAATATGGAGTATGGTCCGTAGGTACTTTCTGGTACGGTAATTCGTAGGTTGTGACTTTTATTTTACCTCCCTTGAAAGGTACCTTGGTAGACCTCAGGCTGACCCATTACCATACGTTTGACACTTGACTGTACGGTTACTGATAAGTACTGAGGACGACTAAGGTAAGATACTGTGGTAGATAAGGAATACCCCTCATCCTTTGACCCCTCACGATTCTTGCGTATCTCCGCTGGAGTACTCTGTACCTCGAGATGAATAACTAACTGGAGGAATCATATCCGATCGCACTTCAGTAGATCTGGGGTTGGGTTCGTGAAGAGTTACTGCTGGCCTCCCAGTGTGGTAACTGGATCCGATTGTTCGCATTGCTATGCTATTCTATCCGTAGAGGAAGGACGAATCTTGGAGGACATTGGCTTGGGAATATACATAGATCCTATATATATATTGCGATATCAGAACTGGAAATCAGAAATTTGGATATCTCAGCATGCGCAGTATAGAGTAGAGGCATCTTTCATCTATACATTACTCCCGTCCATACAAAATGGCCGTCCCGTTCAGATACCACGCCAAAGCCCAATCCACCTTTAAGCCACCCCTGATCGCAAACGAGAATGCCTTCCTAGGCGATGTATACTCGAGGTATTTGAACCTACCAATTCTCACCACTGAAACTAACATGATCTCCTCCGCAAGCGAGAAAGAGAACCCCGACAAGCCCATCTCGGCTGGCTTCTATCGTCTGGAAAAAGGCACCCCGCTGGTATACGAATACACCTACGACGAGATGAAAATCATCCTTGAGGGACAGTTTGAGATTGCGGATGAGACGGGGCAGAAGGTGACGGCTTTGCCGGGGATGTTTTTTATTTCCCCAAGGGGGCGAAGATTACATTTACGACGGAGACGTATGGGTTGGCGTTCTATGTGAGTTTCTTTTTGGTTGGGTTGCTGTTGCCTTTAGATACTAACTGCTGTCTTTGTAGACTGGACAGCGGAAGCAGGGAGGTGCCTAGATTGGTCCTAGGATGGATGGATGGATGAGTTTTATTTGATCGGGCGAAATTACCTGGATAGCGTGGACTACCAGTATATCACGTCATCGACCCCCTTGAATAACCGACCGACTCTAAAGATCCCAATTAGAGAGGTAGTCTCAAGGGTCTCGAGCCTCTGGGCGACAGGATGCTTCCATGTTTTCCTGGGGCCAGTGGTACATGTAATATCCCGCTGTACGACTAGTCCAGTTTCTACCTTAGTGAGTGTAACCATGGAACTGTCCTGCTCAAAAGAGTAATTTGCTTATGCTATGTACCTCATGTAAACAAGGACAAGTGTCGCACGGGCTGATTTTTTGTGCAAGACCTGTTGGAATGCCATTCATTCTTGGATGCGCATAAGCCTAACGGCAACTGAGATCTCACTGGCATCGGAATGCGATTGTCTCGGCAATTATGATAATAATGAATAGGCGAGCGAAAATAAACAAAGCCATTGAGACATCACAAGCTTCCGGATGAAACTACAAGTCCGATCAGATCTTATCCAGACTTCGTCCATCGTCGATCCAGCCCAATTTGTCTAACGATCAGAGAATGACTTGCAGGACGTCCCGTATTGTCAATGTCGGTCAGATCCTGGCGCTTAGTAGCACGCAGATAAGCCGTCAGGTTTAAAACTCCGAGACTGGAGACGCCATATCCATTCTGATCCCAAATCCTCCAGCACTCCAATCACAAGCATGAGCGACTCCGATAAACTCGTGCCCCTTGATTCAAGGCAGGGGTTAATCGCTAAATCTTGCTCATCGTATCCGTATCTAAAATGGATCGTAGCCTTATGCCTTGGACAAGGGAGTTACCGGGGCAACTGCTATGCTAGAACTGGAAGAGGGGACGGATCGAGCTGATCTTGTCAACCCCGAAGCTTCTCGTTGGCTAGAAAAATCCAGGTGGATGAGTGGCTGGCTGTTAATCATTCATGTTCCTGGGGAGGATGACGAAGGAGGAGGATGCGATGAGATCTGTTTCGGTTCAGCTGAAGCATCATCAGCAGTCCAGAGCTGAATCAGGTGCAGCAGACATTCACGATCCTTCGAAAACGGGGGCGAAGGACGAATCACGTTTTCTTGTCTGACTCTTGTTGTCGCTCCCCTTTCCTCCCTCCTTCTTTTCCTCATCCTTCTTGACTCCCCACTAAATAAAAAAAGGAACAAAGCCATTATTCCCTCCACTTGACTCCCGACCGAAGCCCTCCCCGGAAGTGGCTCATTTCTTGCCTTTGACACACTCTCTTCCTTCCTGTTCCTGTCTAACATCACTTTGCTTCTTCCTTTACGCTATACTTCCAGAAACATTTGCAGCTTCTCTCTCTTCTGTTCCTTTGACTCCTCCTAACTAGATTCCTCCCAAACTACTGCCCGACTACCTTAGCTTCCTTCTTCCCCACCAACCAAGACTGATAGCTGCCATACTGCGCTTCAGTCTACCCCGTTGGCGGAGGAGTCTCGCCTCGCCCTTATCGCCTTAGCCACGTCCAGAGATCAATTGGGCACATTTCCCTCTGATACTGGTTGACTTTTCTCCCTCCTCTCTCTCTTTCCTTTTCTTTTTTTCTCCGGCCTCCATACCCGCTTGGCGACACTTGCGGCCATGATGACCCTCGATACCCCTCGTGAATCGCCAGAGCGTCACGGTCTGCGTCTTCCAAATCCTCCTCCTCTGTTGCATACCCGATCGGGCAATGAACCTTTCGATCGCCCCTCGACTCCCGCAGACAATGGCTTCACCAGTCCTGCCCAAACCCCGCAGGGCAGTCCGAGCAAGAACAGAATGCCTCCTGGCGCCATTGACCTACCGAATGTCTTTGAAAAAGCGATGAAGCTCACTCCCTCCTCTCCCACCAAGAACACCTTCAACCATTACAACCATCCCATGTTTGCTCCCCCGAAGGGAGCAATGGACGACTTCAGCGAGAGTGTCATCCGCCAGTCACCAGGAAGTCCCACGCGCAAATCGAACAAAGAAAACACCCCCCGAGTCCTCTCAAAATAGCCAAGGATCTAGGCCCCAATCCCACCGCCGCCGCAATTTCTCGTCATGAGCCATATCAGCAGAGAGATCTGGACACTCTCCAGAGGCGCCAGGTTCAGATGCGTGGCTTGACGCCAGAGGAGATGGAGAAGCTGCAGAGTCCCAGAGTCAAGCGATTGGTCAATGTGACTCAACTATGTAAGTGCATTTCCAGTGTGACGACTGCGCATACATGTCCGATTGGTCTCAAGTGCTAATATGTTTGTTGCTTTGCATAGACTTCCTCGACCATTACTTTGATCTGCTCAGTTACGTTCACAACCGCCAGACCCGCTATTCCCAATTTCGCGCCGCCTACCCCGATCCTCCTGCGACCCCTCTTGACGATTACGAGCCTGCCCTCCTCAAGTATCTGGGTCGCGAGCGTGCCCATCTTCGCAAGCGTCGCACCCGTCTGCGTCAGCACGACTTTCAGATTCTAACCCAAGTCGGCCAGGGCGGATATGGACAGGTCTATCTGGCACAAAAGAAGGATACTCGAGAGGTGTGCGCGTTGAAAGTCATGAGCAAGAAGCTCCTGTTTAAGCTGGATGAAATCCGTCACATTCTGACCGAGCGAGACATCTTAACGGCGGCCAAGAGTGAATGGCTGGTCAAATTGCTCTACGCTTTCCAGGATGATGAGCAGATCTACCTCGCAATGGAGTACGTGCCAGGCGGCGACTTCCGTACGCTGCTCAACAATACTGGCGTCTTGCATAATCGCCATGCCCGATTCTACATTGCGGAGATGTTCAGCTGCATCGACGCACTCCATGCGCTGGGATACATTCACCGAGACCTTAAGCCAGAGAACTTCCTGATTGACTCAACGGGCCATGTGAAGCTAACGGACTTTGGCTTGGCGGCGGGGATGCTGAATCCAGGAAAGATCGAGTCCATGCGTGTGAAGCTGGAGGAAGTCGGCAATACCCCGGTTCCGTTTGGTCGTCCGATGGAGCAGCGAACTGCAGCCGAGCGTCGTCAGGGATACCGTTCGCTCCGAGAGCGTCAGGTCAACTATGCCAAATCGATTGTTGGTTCGCCTGATTACATGGCCCCCGAGGTATTAAAGGGTGAGGAATACGATTTTACAGTTGACTACTGGAGCTTGGGGTGTATGCTGTTCGAAGCCTTGGCTGGATACCCGCCCTTTGCGGGGGCCACGGTCGATGAAACGTGGCAGAACCTGAAGAATTGGCAGAAGGTCCTCCGGAAGCCCGTGTACGAGGATCCCAACTATTTCCTGTCGCGGCGGACCTGGGGTCTCATCACCAAGCTCGTGGCGGCCAAGGAGAACAGAGCCAAGAGCATCCAGGAAATCCATGCGCATGACTATTTCAGCGAGGTTGACTTTAGTCGCCTGCGCGAGCAGAAGGCGCCATTCGTACCAGAGCTGGATTCAGAAACCGACGCCGGCTACTTTGACGATTTCAGCAACGAAGCAGACATGGCCAAATACAAGGAGGTCCACGAGAAACAGCGTGCGCTCGAGGAGATGGCCGAAAGAGAAGAGAAGATGAGCAAGGGCTTGTTTGTTGGGTTTACCTTCCGGTATGTTCACCCTATTCTGCGGGAAAACATATATTTCTGACAATCATGACAGTCATCGCAAACCCGCTGTGGATTCCACTGGCCGAAGCTCGCCGCGGAAGCCAATTGCAACCGACGGGTCGTTCGGAACCATGTTCTAGACGAGATGAGCCCCTGCGAAATTCCCTTTTCTTCGCGTATGAACGTATCCTGGCATCGAGCTGGATCTCGAATTGACCACGATCAAACCGCTCTTGCGGCGTCTCTTAAATGATTTTCTGTATGCATACTCATCGGTCACCAAATGCGCCTGGGATACATGGGACTGGAGTTGCGCGTGTATTGATTATTGCGTGTATGATACATAGAAGTCGGTATGCGTATGCTTAGGAGTCAGGTTGAAAACATAGTCTATTATTTTTCCATCTTTTTTTCTTGTCAGACTTCCCGAAAATGCCGCCCGAGCTTAATCCACGTCCAGCTGATGCACCATCTTGAGGATCTCCGATTCATTATCCCCAACAACCGCCTTTCCGTGTGTCCAGTCAACAGTCTACGTAGCGTAGTCGATTGTTAGCCATCCCACCACACCCTTGGAAAACAACAGAGAAAAAAGGGAAAAGGAAAAAAAGAACATACCACCGGCCTCACAAACTTCCCCTCATCCTTCTTAAACAACTCCAACGCCTCCTTCGCATTCTTCGCCCCCTGCACCAGGTCCGACGGCTTCACGCCCCCGCCCACATAGTCGAGGATATTTCGCAGCTGGTCCGGCGTCGGCGGCGCGGTGGTCACCTCCAGCTGGAACTCGCCGCGCTGGCGCTTCGAATGCTCGAGGTGGTCGCTTGCTTGGTCCTCGGTTGCGGTTTCGGAGGCGACGGCCGCGGCTTGGCGGAGGATATTGTGGGCGCGTTTGGAGGAGGCGAGGGCGGGCTGTGGAAGAGGGTTATGGGGTCGAGGGATTTGGGCTGGTGGTTGTTTGTTAGTCAATGTGCTTGGGGTTGGGGTTTGTTTCTGAGATGGGTTGGCGGGGAGGGGAGACGTACGAAGCGGAAGACCATTTTGAAACTGGTTCTGGTTGGATGATTGATGAGGTGTTCAGTGTGTGTTTTGTATTGTGTATTGTGGTGTTTGATGGATGGTAGAGGTAGGGTGAGGTGAGTGCTGGGTTTGGAGGTGGAGGTGGAGGTGATGTGATTACGTCATGGGTGGGTGGTCATAGCTTTTGCTCTATCTACCAACACAGGCACAGGTACCTCTCAAGGTACCTACAGGACATGTACAGCTGTAATTACTAAGATGAGTTCATTGAATACAACATATACAGCATATATATTTACGGCTTCATCAATCGTGAATATAACATGAATAAGAAGGCTACCAGCCGAATGTCTCGACGTGGAGGTAGATCCCCTGGGCGCCGGTCCCCTTGTGGACCGCCCGTTCGTCGCTGAGATACACCACGCTGCGGCGGACGTCGTCTGAGAGACCCTCTGGTCCGCATACGACGACGGCGCTCTCGCCTTCTGCTTTTTCGAGGACCTTGCGGATGATGGTGCGTGGCTGCGGTCGGCCGGATAGGAGGTTGAGGTGGTGGGATTGCGTGGGTTCTGGTTGCGCTGATGCTTCGGGTTGACGTTTTTCGTCGGCGTCGACTGCAGCCGTTGGGGTTGGCTTTGGGGTTGTGCTGCCGGAGCGTGTCCGGAACAGGTACATTTGTGTTCGGTGATTTCGTCCTCGTCTTCTACCGCAGCTGTGCAGCAGCAGCCTCCGCCGGGGAGGCAGCCGCTTGTGCTCGCGGGATCTTTTCCACTTGAGCTTGATGCGGAGACGGATTGGATGGAGATGCGGTTGTTCTTTTCGGAGAATTCCTCTTTGCGGGGTTCAATGGCCTTCGGGGCTTCGGTCGGCGGAGATGGTGGCGGTAGGCAGGCGGTCTTCGGTGGCCGCTGCTCCAGCTTCTCATCGCACGTGATGTAGATACTCACTTCAATTTCTCTGATCATATCAGGCTGGGCCCGTCGGCATTCGCCGACATCGGATAATACCGACTGGATCTGAGCCTCGAACCAGCTGAGTTGAGCGCGCGACCTGATGACCCACACGAATCGAATTCGCTTTGTAGCGGCAAGACGACGCGTAGAACTTCCTACACATTCTGCCTTCCACCCTGCGACGATGTCTCGCAGTAGGGGAATGGTAAAAGTGGCCCCCATGCCGCCTGCGAGGAGAACGACGCTGTCAAATTGCCTCAGCGGCCGGATTGTGCCGTATGGACCGTCGATAAACACCGTACGAGGTCGCTGGGCAGGTGAAGCTTCTCCAGACCCGAGGGCGTGATGGTGTTTCGAGGCGTAACGGAAGAACCGCCTTGTACCACCCTTTTCGGCTCGCACTAAGAATTCCATCTTCCCGTCGTCCGGAATCGAAGTGATGGTGAACGGGTGGCTCTGTAGAGGCACGATGGAGTGGCAGGTGAGAAACACATGCTGTCCGGGCTTCCACCGAACACCTGGATTCTCGACTGTAATTCGAGTGACGTTGCCCGGTAATGGAGTGAAAGTTGCGACGTTGGCCCAGAGAGGATGCTGATTTGAATTCGACGCATGGAAGATTGACAGGTTGGCATAAGTTGCCCATGCATACCGAGCTACCCGATCAAACACCAGAAATCCAATGGAGACCCACACCCAAGCCTTGACCTCTGCCGGTGCATGAAGCCAGACTGCAGCAAGGAACCCAGTGAATGTTACCAGATGCTGCAAGACGAACAGTTCGTAGCTCAGTCTTCGAATTGGCGCCGCCGCTGAGATGACGATGAATGTCAGAATGCACCATGCAGCAAATCCTCGTTGTGTCAGCACGTCGTTCTGCAGCTGATAAATGATATAGTCATATCGGGCCCAGTTTCGGAACCAAAATCCCATGTGAATGGTCGCAGTCAACCATAGAGTCCTAGAAATCCAACGGTGGAACCAGTTCAGGCGCTCATAGCTCAAGCCCACAAACAATCCAATGATGTTTTGTCTTCCCGCCAGCAGAAAGATCAAAGGCAGCTGAGCAATGGCGACAAAGCCGGTTCGGTAGCCGACGTCTTCCCATTTCCATTTATTCGTTGTATCCAATTTGTAGAAGCAAAAAACGAGGACCACTGCGAGGTTGGCCAGGATGATGGCGATCGGTCCCAGAGGAGCAAAGTGAAACGATCGACCGCGAATCCTTATCGGAGGCAAGGTCGCGTAGCTCGCTTCACGAACCACAGCTGTTAATGTGGCATATGAGCTGAAAAAGAGTGATTTCGGCTTGGATGGAGTGAGCGTGGAATCGCGTAATCTGTGTCAAGCTGAGTAACCGGGTTTCTCAAAGGTCCTGAATGGTATCAGCGACCCACCTTTGGTATGCTAAGAAGCCATTAAGCATGTTGGCAACAGTTCCAGCAGCAATAGCACTACCGACAACGGCCCAGTACATCCGCTGAAGGTAGAACACGTCCGGCACCCCCTCGCCCATGGACATATGGCCCATGCCACTCATGGACATGCCATCCATGTCTGCGGTGTCGAAGAGCGCAGATAGTTTACGGAAGCAAGGGAGTCGATATGCGCTGTGCGACGAAAGATTCCCTATCCTCAATCAAAACGGCTGGCTGTTCGCTTCTCATTGCAACTCTAAAACGCGGCGGTGGTTGTATTCGGTATGACAGCGAACATGGACGGGTTGTGCGGCTTTAAGCTTTCCTTAGTCGTCATACAGATTAATCTCATCTGCTCCCGAGACTCTCAAAGCTCGATTATCAGATTTTGATTATCAGGTTTCCGAGACCAAGCATGACAGCGACAGAAAGCATTCAAGGTGAGAATGTAAAGAATGCGTGGCGGCGTAGCATTCTTACTACAAATAGAGCCAAGAGATAAACACGGAAAAATGTCTGGCAATAATCATAGACAATCAATTAGAAGCAGCTGCCCACTAATAATCTGCTCATCTTGGGCAATCTAGATCTGAAGACGTTGCGGAACAGCCAAAATACTCAATGCTGATTGGGTGCAGACCTCGAAAATGTGCTCAACCCGCCCACTCACACGGTCACACCATTCTAAAAGCTCAGAAACATGCTCAAACATCCCCGCCGCTCAGAAGGGGACGGGGCGGATCCATTTCGGAATTGAGGGCTTTAAACTTGCTGTGCTCGCTCGTTTTCGTCAACCATGTCATGACTCGTTGTTGTCCAGTTCCGTCTTCCCAAGTCGATAAACACTTCCGCAGTATCCGTACGATCCTCGGGGTACGAGGATTGACCAGCAAACTTATCGCTCTGGTCATTTCGCAAGCATTCTATCAGAACAATAATACATAGACAGCAGACATGAACATGGACCACTCGAGCCATTCGAGCATGTCTTCCTCTTCATCGATGACCATGACTATGGTCTTCACCAACAGTCACGACACTCCGTTGTTCTCCTCGGCATGGACACCGTCCTCCAGCGGTGCTTATGCAGGCACCTGCATCTTCCTAATCGTCCTGGCCATCATCAATCGCTGCTTAGTCGCTTTCAAAGCCTCCATGGAGCACTACTGGCTCGCGACTCATCTCAATCGCCGTTACGTTGCCATAGCGGGGAAATCATCTGAAGCCGGTCGTATCGACACAGACCCTGACGCGAAGGTCGCTTCTTTGGTAACAGTTCAAGGTGTGGAAGAGTCAGTAAAGGTCGTGCGACGCGTTTCACGAGAACCTATTCCCTGGAGATTCAGTGTCGACCTTCCACGAGCAGCTATCTTCCTGTGTATCACAGGCGTGTCCTACCTGCTGTATGTTTGATGCGCGCTCTCTTTCTCTCCTTGCGTAACTCCTGGCTAACTTCACTTCCAGCATGTTAGCCGTGATGACAATGAATGTGGGCTATTTTTGCTCCGTTCTTGCTGGTGCTTTCCTCGGAGAGCTGGCGGTCGGACGGTACATCCAATGGAACGAGCACGGTCACTAGAATGATATGAATGTCTTTAAATATGAGTTCTGGATTTAGCAACGGCGCCATGGAGTTCAACGGCAATATTATACGGCATTATCAGCATTGGGTTAGACCTCGATATCATCTACCTGCTTTTTATCTCAGCACCTACTATCTATCACTCAGACGAGAATATACACCAACCACTTCGCTTCTTCAAGTGATGTTTTACATGTGTCTCCATCTATGCAGGGAAGATGGTGAGGAACCAAATTCGACGATACTTTCGTTCCAGCTACCCTCAAGGCTCAATTTGTAGTTTCTATATAGCTGCTAATGACGCGCCGCTGTCCATTTTAACGTGATATCCGGTTGTATCTGCTCACTGTATGTATTTCTTTTGGGCGATTCTGTCCGCAAAAATAAAACCTGGGCGATGGCAAGTTCGCATGTTCCATCCACGCCCAAACTCCCAAACAATCTCCCAACTCCAAGTCCTTGGCTTGAACGGGTTTCGGCAGATGTAACCTGAGTATTGACAGTCATTGGCCACTTCATTTTAGCCGGCGTGCAGGGTCCGGCACTAGCCCTGATAAGGTTAAATAATTTGCTCATTTCTGCTCAGACCGTAACACGCCAAAAGCTCTATGTGGGGCTGCTCCGTCTGAGATAGAATAATACGGCCAAATCCAGCTGGGAAGCTGTCACTGACGATGCTGTGGTAGAACCAAAGAAACGGAAATCGTCACTGGATCATAGATAAACAGGTAGAGCACATTACTCTGTAGATGAACCGAGCAACTGTCTGTCAAAAATCAGGAGTAGACTCGGTCCTAATAAAGGAAGATGCTCCATGTGGAAATGAAGGCTTGACCTTGAAGCTCCGCAGTTTCCGTACATTAACAGAATCATCAGTGCTACCTTGTATATAAAGAGTAACCGGGTATCCTAGTGACACCGACAACTCCTACAATTACACCATTGTTTAACCATATTCACTTCTAGGAAGACGTCAAAATCCTCCTCCTCCCCTTTACAATCGCCTCTTTCCCTAGACTTTCGCCTGTCTATCACCTCACCATCTCCCTACTCTGAACAATCAACATCAGAGCCACAATGAAGTTCTCTCCTGCTTACCTGCTTGGCTTCGCGCCAATTGTCGCCGCTCACTTCAGACTCCAATATCCCACGAGTCGCGGCTTCGATGAGGATACAATGCCTAACTTTCCCTGCGGTGGCTTGGCCCAATCCTCCAACCGGACTCAAGTGTCTCTTTCCTCGGGCTCTTTCCCTGTTGCCTTGAGGATGGGTCACGATGAGACTGCTGTTGAGGTCCTCTTAGCTCTTGGAAACGATCCCGGTACCAATTTCAACATCACTCTCCGTCCCACTTTCCGTATCGAGGGATTGGGCGAATTCTGTCTGCCTCATGTCGTGTTTGACGAGTCTGTGCTGGGCACGAACATCACCGACGGAATGAACGCGACTCTGCAGGTGCAGGCCAATGGTGATCCCAACGGAGGTCTCTACGCTGTATGTTTATTATCCATGACCTAAGTGAACACTGAGAAGCAGCAGGCTGACAACTTCTAGTGCGCCGACATCCAGTTCTCTTCGACCGCACAGTATGAAGAGCCCTCGTCGTGCACGAACAACACCGGCATTTCCGCTATTGCATTCACCGGTGCCGCTGCCGAGCGCAATGCCAACGAATCCACTGCCGATGGTCAAGCACAGAGCGGCAGCTCCGCCTCCAGCTCCGACTCCGGCCACTCCTCCGCTACCCACACTTCGAGTACCACCGCAACCTCGACTGGTGGCGCTGTCGCTCTGGAGACCGCTGCCTGGGGGATTCTGGGCGCTGCCGTTGTTGGTGGCCTTGCCGTTCTGTAGATGATTGATCCTCCCATTATGATATGATTTATGCGTCTCAGTGGAATTTGCGATAGTGAGGGGTGAAGATGAATTGACGATATTGCATGCCCAACTGTACCATATGTGCGCTTATTGCTGGAAACAACAAATGACATATGATTTAGCCTTTAAGATAACCTTCTGAAATTTGGCCTTATCGTGGGCTTGTCACGTGTGTTACTGTCTAGGCTGCAGTGCATCGTATCCAGCTCTTGACTCAGAAGCCACATGTATCTACAAAATTCCCGAGTAACTAAGAAACTGTTGAGAGATATAACTTTACAAGGTATTGCTGTTCTAATTCGAATATGGACCAATTGGAGCGGCTGCGTGCAGTTGGTGAGCAAACATCTTGCTTCTGTTGCACCCAAAGCTGATCATCCCCAGGTCTTTTAGAGAGCTACTCCACAGCGAGACATCATCTCAAATTCTACTTGAATGTGTCTGTGGCAGCTACTTACACACTTCCGGAAACATACAATTCCCCTGTGCAGGACTATATATACACAGCCTGTGGAAGACTCATTGGCCAACATCCGATTCTGTCCGCCATCCCAGTGGGCGAAGACACCAAGGAACCTTACTTTGCGCGGCTTCCAGAGATTGATTTGGAGAAGTCGGTCTCGTTTGCGAAGCGCTCCCATGATTTTCCAGGAGCAGATGAGCCAGACGCTGAGCTGGAGACACTGCTGACTACTCAACACAACACGCCTTTTACACCACCATTACCCTTCTGGAGACTCTGTGTATTGACTGGTGCTACAAACGAACGGCGGTTCACCGCTGCTTTCGTATATCACCACGCCATTGGCGATGGAACATCTGGCAAAGCCTTCCACAAAACGTTCCTCCAGGCATTGCATGAAACCGCCGCATCAGTAGGCCCCGAAGAAGTCAAGTCAGTCATAACTCCACCTCGGGTACCGCTGCTGCCAAATTCCGAGGCAGTTCATCACCTTCCAGTATCTATTTTCTACCTTGCTACCACCCTGTTCAAGGAGAAAGTCTGGCCATGGTCAGATCCTGGCCTCTGGACCGGCTCAGAGGTCATCGTACCGCTGGAGACGCAAATGCGTCATATTGTCTTCCCGGAACATGTCACTTCATCCCTGAAGGACCGCTGTCGTCAGAACAACACCACCATCACCGCCGTGTTGGAAACCGCCATTGCTCGCTCGCTTTTTGCTCGTCTACCCGAAACGTTCACGAGCGTCAAGTGCACTGGTGCTATGTCAACGCGCAGGTGGCTGCCTGACATCATCACAGATGATTCAATGGGCGTCTGGGTCCAGGATTTTGAGGACACATTCTCCCGCGATAAAATCACAAGGGACGGCTTCCCGTGGGAGGAGGCGAGACGCGCGCGGCAAACCATTGAGAATGTCCTGAGTTTGAAGGGGAAGAACGCCAATCCCAGCCTTCTCAAATACGTGGATGACGTTCATGACCTTTTCCTGTCTAAAGTCGGCAAGGCAAGAAAAAGCAGCTTTGAGGTCTCTAATGTGGGTGTTTTGGCTGCGGATCAAGATCCCACCAAACCGCGGATTGGAAGAATGGTCTTCTCTCAGAGTGCCAGTGTCACTGGGAATGCGTTTGAGGTTTCTGTTATCACGGGTGGTGATTTGTGTATGGTGTTGGCCTTTACATGGCAGAGCCACGTTGTAGAGTCGGATTTGATGCCTGCTGTTATTGACTCCATCTGGACAGAGCTGGTCAACCTCTGTTCTTAGTTATTTGATATGCTTTGTGCGCCGGTATACTCTAATGTCTCGCTCAATGTAGTACATTCCTATACTTTCCCCTCCAACATCGTACTACATGGACAAAGGAAGCTACGAAATAGTTTGTGGATTTCAACGAAGCGTTCGTTTTGATTAGCAAGGGTGTACCTAAGATACCGAAGGACACAAAAAATCTGCATTGCCCAAGAACTAGTGTTGATAGATAGGCCAGTCCCGCCTATCTTGCCGAGCCTTAAAGTGACACATCGACTGTTCAATCGATATCTTTAACTTGGTATTTCCTTTCAGTAAACATACCAGAAAATTAACGTGCTGTAAGTCCGAAGACGAACCGGCATTGCTTAGGCCATACAAAGTCCGCCGGGCCAGTCAGCGCTACCCAGCACCCGACTGACATCCACAACTACTACATGAGTCTGCAGGGAGAGAACTTCTGCGCGAGTATCGCAGAAACATTTGTAAGATTTTGACGACTCCGTAGCAACTCCAGAATCTCCCAATGAGAGCATGCAAGAATAGGGCCATCTCTCAGTCGTAAATGTTGGAATTGCGCCTGTATGTGATATCGAGACTGCATTACTAGCCTATCGGACTCCTCGAGATACAACATGGTGTGGAGTTTGGCCCGAACGCGGGCACTATTCGAGACCAAACAACTGTGTAACAGGCATGGCCTGCTCGTTGACACCGAACTGGAACAATCTCCAACGGTCCGGCTTGACGATTGCGTCGTCGGGTTCTCGTCCCAATTTCAAGAGTGTCATAATTCGTGCTCGATCACGAAATGTGAGCGACAGGCAGGGACACAAATCAACGATACCGGCGTGGGTCATGCATCGTCTTTGCAGAGGAGGAGGGATTCTGAGTGAAGATATTTGGAATTCCTTGCGTGGATGTAGCCAGAGGTCCAGAAATAGCGTGTCGCTCAGGGATAGACAAGCTTGATCGACTGGTTGAAGGAGTTCGAAGATGTCGCGGAGAAGGCACTCAGCTAAATAAAATAGCGGAGGCTCCTTTCGTACTACACTAGGGTGGGAAAGGGAGTGCCGCTGATGATGCCGTTTTCGCCCTTCTCAGACAATGCAGACATGTTATGGGTTTTGATTGTGGGAACGTTAGTTATGAGGTTTGTTAGCAACTTGTTTCACTTTCTTCGGATCGAATCAGAATATGCCACAATCGAAATCTCAGCTGAGGTTAGTTTGGCTGTTTTCTTCTAGAGAGGTCTCGTTGATCGGGAATGTTCTATAAATCTTATGCTGATATACGAAACATGATGACCAAATCAGTCCCTTGAAGCTGTCCCTGGCAATGTCGAAACGGTTACTGCTGGATTGAACCACGATCCAGTTCAGCACCGGCCAAGGTCGTGAACACGTCACTCATAAATAAAAACCACTGTTAAATCTCAAAAGTAGAGAGTATAAGCTTAGAATGCTGTCAATCATGCTACCAAGTGTGCCTGCGGTGATTGTTATCAACATCTCCAAGTTGGCGTATACGTACCTGTGGAGTATAAGGCGGTGAAGCCCATGCAACCTCGGCGGCAGAATCGCCGGGGGTTATCTGCCTGAGGCATTGAGTTGACGCAAATCTACTCCGTATCCTTACATCTTTCTCACTCTTTACTTCTGTACTTATCAGGATTGATCGGTCTTCTATTGCAGTCTTGTCAAAGTTTCATTACTGCCAAGATGGCTCCGCCCGCGCACCGTACATTGTGCCGGCGCTCAAGAAGCACACGGCGACGGTCATTATGGCCCATGGACTGGGCGACAGGTTAGCTGCTTGCAGTGGTACTATGCCATTGACTCTTGACTGACTTCTGCTGCTTCTTCTCTTAGTGGCGCAGGATGGTAAGATTCGCTTTTCGAGAAGACTTCGTCGGAGTGGTCTAGTTGACTTGTGCCATCACGAAGGATGTCTCTTGCTCAGAACTGGCGTCGCCGCGGCATGTTCGATGAGGTGGCTTTCATCTTCCCAAATGCGCCTATGATTCCAATCACAGTGGTAAGCTGAGACGATCTATGTGGCATACAACTATCAAAGGAGTCGATTAACCGTTTCGTTAAATCAGAACTTCGGAATGACCATGCCCGGATGGCACGACTTGACGAAGCTTGGTCGCGAGGTGGGATACCCCTTACTTTGCCATTGAGATGGGACCTCTTTGCTAACGGATTTATTGCAATAGCTCGATTATGAATCAGCGATTCGGCACCAGGACGAGCCGGGAATCGTTCGATCTCGCGATTACTTCAACACTTTGATCAAGGAACAGATTGATAAGGGCATCAAGCCTTCACGGATCGTTCTGGGTGGCTTCTCCCAAGGAGCTGCCATATCTGTCTTTACTGGTATCACTTGCAAAGAAAAGCTTGGCGGTGTTTTCGGTCTGTCCAGTTATCTCGTTCTCAGTGACAAGATCAAGAATTACATTCCGGAGGATTGGCCGAATAAGAAGACTCCTTTCTTCCTCGCTCATGGCTTGGAAGATGAAGTCGTGTTGTTCGACTTCGGCGATTTGTCGGCGAAAAAGATGAAAGAGATCGGCTTGGAGGATGTCACTTTCAAGTCTTATCCGTGAGTTCTCCGCATATCCGCCGTCGTAAATTGTTCTTTGCTTATTTCTCTTGTTCAGTGACCTGGGCCACTCCGCCGACCCAGTAGAGATTGAGGATCTGGCGCGATTCCTTCAGAAGGTTATCCCTCCAGAGGACGACGGGCAGGCTTCTGCCGGATTATGACTTGATGACCATATCCGGACTCAGGGTTTAGCAGGAACACATTTGAAAAGCCTTGTCTTCGGTGTCTTGATTTTACTGTTTGCTATCCTATTGATGAGATTTAGCGCAAAAGATAGGAATACACGAGCTGTTTCTAAGCAGCGTTGAACAACGGCATCCTTTGATCGAGTGACACCTTCGAATGCAATTGCATAGTTCTATAACTTGCTACACAGGACTAGGAGGTCACAGAACTTGGCTCCTTTCGTGACTCTATCACAATCATGATCTATCGGTCGTATTTCCAAACTACCACGAGCCGCGCCAAATTACCTACTCGTTATTCAAAGCCCGCTCGATGGATTTCTCAATGGCGGACACCATGGCGGTAGTGTTCGTCTGGTCAAACGGGATATGATGCTTTGAACCATGGTCGTAAAAGACGGCCTTAGATGGGTCGCATATACCGTACAGATGCATACTTCCCTTGTAATACGGATCTTGCTTACCCACAATGTGCGTCGTTGGGATTGTGACGGCGTATTTTTCGTCCTCAGCAAGAAGCTCTTTAAGCCCAGAGCTTTCGTACGGTGTCGCACCGCAGATGAACACGGCGACCTTGAAGAGAGGCTTCGAATTGGTTTTGGCATGGTCGGCTATAAGAGCACATGCAAGCGCGGCGCCCTGCGAGAAGCCCATCACGCCATCAAAGGGGCCTTGCTTCTCGATGATGTTGAGTGTGTACTCGAATGCCCGGGCAAGGTCTTCGCCGGGGTAAACATCACGGGGGTAGTGGCAGTAGAACGGGCCGTCCAGAACGCCTTCGATTTCTGTGATTTGGGTTAGAGGACTCCAGTTGTAGCAGATTGAAACTCTTGTCATGTCTACGGACCAGCTTCGGGCAGGGAGGCCAGTCGTCCATCGACGAATACGAACTTGTGGCCCTTAGTTTCCAGCTCTTGGGTGATTCCGCCTGTGCTTGATTGTTACTGCATGATCGATGACACCGGCAATTCCGGAAATACTCTTTGGGCGTGGTTCAAATACCTGACTGAATCTCGAAGATCTATCCTCGACAGTCAGCCTCCTATTTCTACCAATTGCACGTTCAGATGTGTTATAACATACTTCAGCGCTTGTCCCCGCGCCGTGAAGACAAAGAAAGCGCATCTTCTGCCTTTTCCAAGCAAATCGGTGTTGACCCAAGTCTAGGAGGACTGGAAGTTAAGGTGATTTATCTTGTTACGTGTATGTGGTAGAGCACAAGAAGTGCTGAGCTGGCTGCAGCAAGGAGACGACTGGTTTCCATGCATGACTATCCTGGTCTCCCATTTTGACTTACGCGGAAACTACCTAACAAGCAAACTTATGGGTCCTCCAGCCTGGTCGCAATATGCAGTCTGATGTTTGTGCGTCAAATGGCCCATCAACGAACTTTCTCATAAGTGTAACTGTATCACTGATCAGCTGTTTACATGGTAGGCTGGAGCATCACTAGTCATTACCCCTTATTCTTAGTTAACATTTATGCCATGGGAGACGAGCCTCGGCGCCGATCCAGAAACTCTGTCCGCATATCTGTATTATGAACCATGGTGGCTTCTAGGCTCCTTTATCTGATCATGGACAACTGCAAACAATTCTAGCGAAGGAGGACGTCGAGCGTATTTGGATAATTTTGGATAATTTTGGCTAGGCTGATATCTTTATCCTGCAATATGCCCCTTAGCAACTTTGCTTTCGCTGCCTCCTTCGCATCCCATGCTATCCTTCACCCGCTGGATTTCTACTCAAGCGTCGGCCCTACATTGAATGAATCGACTTTCGGTCTCTTGGGCGCGTCTTTTGACCCGAGACGTGATATCACCGATCTCTCCGGCAAGGTGATCTTTGTTACTGGAGGTAATCTTCAAGACCGTGTCCTTCAAGGGTTTCCCTACGGATGCCATCATTTGCTGATTTCGTGTCCTCTTTGGTAGGGAACATTGGCCTTGGAAAAGAAACAATCCTTCAGCTCGCGCACCATCGTCCATCCCGCATATACATGGGTGCGCGCAATGCGACAAAAGCTCGCGATGCCATCGCCGATATTCAGCGGCAGCTTTCGACCCCCGCGGATATCAGACATATTCCTCTCGACCTAGCGTCTTTCGCTTCGATTCGCAGCGCTGCTGAGAAATTTACCTCCGAATGCGATCGCCTGGACATCCTGATCTTAAATGCTGGTACCATGGGCAACCCGCCAACAACCACAGAAGAAGGATTTGAAGTGCAATTTGGGACAAACCATATCGGTCACTTTCTGCTCACAAAATTACTGCTTCCGGTATTGCAAAAGACTGCTGCCAGCCCTTCCTCAACCGACGTGAGGATAGTAACTCTGGCCTCTTTGGCCAACTGCGCCGCTCCGTCGTACGATGTCATGACATCTACGGATGCGCTGTTGGCAGCTAGCACTTGGACACGCTATGCTGCTTCCAAGGCTGCTAATATTCTATTCGCCTCGGAACTTGCTCGCCGGTATCCGGCGATCCTCTCTGTCTCCGTTCATCCTGGTACTGTAACCAGCAACTTGTACGAACAGGCGAAGGCGTCGAGTCCCGTCTCAAAATGCGGCGTTGCTGCTCTCTCACTTTTCTTTCGGTCAGTTGGTTCAGGCGCTCTGAACCAGCTATGGGCTGCTGGGGTCAAGAGGGAGCTTTTGACCAATGGAGCATACTACATTCCGATCGGGACTCATGCTAAGAACAACAAGTATGCCACGGATGCGGACATGGCAAAGAGATTGTGGGACTGGTCAGAGGCTCAGATTTCTGAAATATCTGTGTCTTGAACCTCTTTCAGGCATTTTGCTAATTGACCATCCATATATACGTGTGCTCTATATTTTGCACTATATACGATCGATCTTTTCTCTTGAAAGCTTCTCCAGGTGTTTCGCTCCTCCTCGCTTGATACTGATCCAAATCATGATATCTAGTTCGGTTATCATCGCAATCTCTTGAATATGATTAAGCTCACTCTACAGATGGAAATATCCTTTGCCGGTCTGTCAGCTCTGGATCCACGACCTCGCGCGGGGAAGCGGGGAAGATGCCCCTGAGGACCTGGGTGTCTCCCCCAACTTGGTCGCTTCAAAGAACTTGTCTCTGGTCAAGAGTCCTTACTGCTACGTCGAACCATCCTTTCTCTTGATGCCTTAATTATTTATCATGGGTCTTCGAGTAATTATCACCGGTGGTTCTGGTAAAGCCGGTCAACATGTGATCGCAGAGCTCCTTAAAGCCGGACATACAATCTTGAATTTGGATCTTGTTCCTTGCCCGAATGATAAAGTCTGCACACTCAAAACTGACGTGACTGTGTCAGGTCAGGTCTTCAGTGCCATGTCTGGTCAATTCGCGTTGAGTGAACCATTTCCACCGGGTCTTCCTCCGACCCCAGATGCGGTCATTCACCTCGCAGGCTACTCACGCAACATGCTCGCACCTGAGGACGAGACCTTCCGGATGAACACGGTCTCTACGTACAATGTGATCGAGGCCGCCTGTAAACTTGGGATCAGGAAGATCATTATTGCCAGCAGTGTCACGGTGTACGGCGTGTCTTTCGCACTGGGTGACACAGATTATCCATCTTTTCCGGTAGACGAACAAGTCGATGCGAATCCGACTGACACGTACGCAATTGCCAAAGTTTGCGGCGAGCGAGTTGCAAGGGGTTTCGCGGGTCGGTTTGGGGCCGATATTTATGTCTTTCGGATTGGGCGGGTGATTGCGCCTGAAGAATACGAACAACAGCTCTTTCACAGTTACGTCTATGAGCCTGCGAAATGGAAGCCCCATGGTTGGTCTTATACGGACGCCCGTGACCTTGGTCGGATGTGCGACTTGGCCCTTGGGAAGTCGGGACTTGGGTTTCAGATCTTCAACGCGACGAATGATACTATCACAAGCACGACCCCGACAGAGGAGTTTCTCAAGCAGCAATGTCCCAATGTGCCATTTACAAGGCAGATGGAGAAGTTCGAGGCTCCATTGACCAATGCCAAGATCAGATCAGTCCTGGGATTCCAGGAAGAACACCCATGGCGCAACTATTTTCCCTTCAAAGCAGAGCAATAAATATGTCAGTGATGTAATAGACTTGAATTGATGGGTTACTCGCCCCGCTTGATCTGCAAAATAGTGATCAGGATTTCATGATCAAGGCCTGGCGTAGGCAGGTAGATGGTGAGATTACCGGATTCGGTAAGTGATGCCGCTTACGAGGAGTTGAGGACCACCTTCACACTACCGCAAGACAGTATTTATGACAGGCACAAACTCACTCCTCTTTTCAGCCCATAGACAATATGAACGATTTCACCATTTAGTCAATTACAATCTTTAGCTACGGTTACGCCCAAAGGTCTCCTGCAACACCGAGTCTTGTCAGTCGAGCCTCGAGATCATTTAGGGTTTAGCCGAGAGGCCTCTCAAATCTCCCAAGAGCCAAACCCACAACCCAACAAGAGCACCTTAAGAAGAGATGTCGATGATGATATTGTAGAATGATGATTTCAGAATATTGACAATCGTAGCAGTATAATGAAAATTCATCTGTAAGCTTGTGAAGTAAAAATCCTCAGAAGCCGTCCGACGCAACGAATTAGCGAGCTCGACTCCCCACACAAACCACAACTGGAACTTTCGTGCTCGGGGAGCCGAGATGCGCATCATCAGCAACTTCAACCTCCTCCCACTAAACACCACCTCAGTCACGGTAAGTCAACCCAAACCTCATCTCAGCCCTCGTCCTTCGGTTCACCATTTCGACGGTGTTCTTATCAGTCTCTCCCTGACCCGGTACCGCAACCTTGAACCCTCCCGCTTGATCCTACCTCGCACCACCCCACCAACAGACTTGCAGCCGCACATTTTGTCCCTACCGAGTTCCACAGATCTGGGTTCTTGACGTCTTCATTCTAACCATCGCGCCAGATTAGGTTCTCTACGAACGCACATAAATTACCGTCAAAATGGATCAAGCAAAGCTGGCTAGGATGCAGGCGAGCGTGCGGATTGGTACGTTTTATTCTTTCCTTTGGATTTTCGAGGTGCTGGTGTCCGAATCGTGTTTTCTGCGGACGGCTTGAGAAGAAGCTTTTGAAGCTTCATGGCGCACCAATTGGGCAATGTGATGTCGCGACTCTCTGGAAGTGGGCAGGAAAAGCGATTTTAGTCCGTAACTGACAGCTAACATCTAATTTCTTCTTCTAGGGTACGTATACTACTTTCATCATCTCCCCGTCCTCGAATTACGATCATGGCGACATTGAGATACCCTATAACAAAACGACTTCATCCACGATTGACAATCCAAGACTGCGACTAATATCATCGACAGAGGAAAGGGTACTCCCCGCCGCAAGGTCAAGAAAGTCCACAAGTCCTCCGGTGCCGACGACAAGAAGCTCCAGACCACCCTGAAGAAGATGAACGTCCAGCCCATCCAGGCCATCGAGGAGGTCAACATGTTCAAGGAGGACGGAAACGTCATCCACTTCGCCGCCCCCAAGGGTGAGTCCCTCACTCCAGCTTCCGTCTCCATTTCCCCGACCCAGAAGGCAGAAAAACTGACGAGTAACCGCAAATAAATAGTCCACGCCTCCGTCCCCTCCAACACCTTCGCCCTCTACGGTAACGGCGAGGAGAAGGAGCTCACCGAGCTCGTCCCCGGTATCCTCAACCAGCTTGGCCCCGACAGCCTTGCCTCCCTGCGCAAGCTCGCCGAGAGCTACCAGAACATGCAGAAGCAGGCCGGTGCCGAGGGCAAGAAGGACGAGGATGAGGACGATATCCCTGACCTGGTTGAGGGCGAGAACTTCGAGAGCAATGTTGAGTAAATCGCATTTTGATCTAAAAATGGAAGAGACAGAGAGAACCTAAAGACATGATTGCATGCCATGCCTAATTTGATACACAAACTCGACCTTGACTTGATCTTCACAAAAAAGTAGGACCGGACTTTACTCTCATGTGTTTTTACCTCCTTTGCGATGATCACTGTCATCCTCGTCGGGGTAGGGAACGGCGTTGGGTTGCAGTAGATGTCAGGAATGAGATTATGGATAAAGAATCGGTTGTCCAGCGCCTGATCACAAGGGGAGCTCGTATCCTAATTCGGAGAAATGTCAGCGTCAACCGCCGGAGTCACTATTGTGTAGGCGACTGATTCAAATTCGGGTACAGCTGTTAATGCCAGAAAATTTGCTGCATGATCTAGGTAGACTAAACTGTAGTTCAACTTGTATCTGTAGTGTAATTTGTGATGTCGACTAAAGAGATGTTCTCTTCATCTCTAACAGCTAACCTCAAGTATTTCACGCCAATAATGCAAATACAAAGTTATCTTAACTCTCTCCATATTACCAATGCTTCATGAAGATAAACGCGGATACGAGATGAGGTGACAAGGGGCGGGTTGGTATGACGCAAATGAAGACTGGTAAGGAATGAAAGGGTGTTATCATACATAGGCAGGGTATCCGAGGATAGACATGACACCCCGTTCTTGAATCTCGTTCAAATCGTTAGAGAAGAGGAGCTGTATGAGAGTATATCTGGATTGCTTTGGAGTCGAGCCACTCTGTCGCAGGAATATCAACGTCGGACTCGGAAGTGTGATGAATGATGTGGAGGATGGCGGCGGCAGGAAACGGGAAGGATATCACGATTCCTCCTTTAGTCCACAAATGTCGGTCCCCAGAATCATGTCCACCATGTACCAGAAGCGCCAATAAGCGTTAGATTTATCATAATCGAAGGTTCCATCTTCACGTAGCTGAGGCCCATCTCCAACGATATCACCAGTAAACCAACTGAGGATAGGGATAGATCGTAGTACGCGCTCTGTCACGGTTGGCTGCGGCGGAAGCGCTTCTGCAATGGGGCGTAATTTGGTTCGACGAACTGTGGGGATGTGTGTCATGAATTCAGACTCCGGTTTTGGCTCCTTGGAGACATTGCGTTGCTGAAGGGCAGACGGGTGCTCGAAACCCGTGGCGGTGGCAGAGCTTGCAGTACTTGTCGATATTTGTGATTCCTCTTCTTCTTGTGATTCGGCTACACCTGATAGGTTGTTCATGGCAAACGATCGCGGTAATGTGGCTGCACGATCTTTATCCTGCGGCTGGAGAAATGTCGTAGAATGCGAGGTGGTCAAGGTGCGCGGTGCTTTTGACTTGAACTGGGCGGCTTTCGATGAGTCCACAGGAATCGGTGCATCCTCTGCAGGTCCCGAGCCATGATACAGTTCACAGAAGACCAGATGCCCATCGATCTCCTGGGGAGAGTAGAAGCATGCGCGATCCGCAGCGATCGTCGAGTCAAACGTCACCTTAATCCAGTGGAAACCTCCAGCGTACCGTTTCGATTTGCGGTTCGCATCCGCAGACAGATCGGGGCGGATGACCACGTCGCCACCACTAAGCAGCTGCGCGAAGCCACTCGCCGAGTTGGGGTCGCTACGAGGATAATCCTCACAGATCAAGCCTCGAGAGATCTTCTCGTACTTATCGATGACCTTCCACTCGCCATCCTTGCTCCTGTAACCGTAAAGTATGCACTCGGTCGCAATCTTCTCGGTCTGTTTTCGTGGGTTGTCAAGGCTGGATGATGACGAGGACTTGGGCAGGGTATTGCGACTCTTCTCCTCCTCTAGTTGCTGCGCGAACAGCCGCCCGAACTCTGCTACATTGGGATTCTCGCGCTTTGCTGGTGTTCCAGTACGTGTACGTGAACGAGCTTGCTCATAGCGAGCATTTCGTCTCTTGCCAAAGGGTCCGCTTTCTTCAGGTGGTCGTCGCGGGTTGCGGGCTTCACTATTAAAATCAGAGCTCATGTTAGTTACATAACCCAGAAGTCAAGATCCCAAATTGTGAGAGCATAATAGGTTTAGTAATGATAAAACCCACTCTTTGTAGACATAACCCCAGGGCAAAAGATTCCCCTTGTCATCTTTAGCGCGCTCCTCTGGAGGCACAAAATGGTACTCCATGGCGAAGGGCGGCGGCGGCGGCGCAAAGATCTGATGTTGAACAAAGAAAGATGTTGGTTTTAGGGTGGCGATCCCAGGGGTCTAGAAGTGTAAGGGACTAATTGGAAGCAGAGCCTTGTCTCTAGCTGGGTATTTGTACGTTGTCTGTAGCAACACAAGCAGATTTTCGTTGAGATGGATGGAGCTCTATCAAATATTTGGTTCTTGCAACAAACAGTGCGTTAGCCCGGATACGGTCACGTGATTGACTCCAAGTACATCAACGAAGTATGGAGGGTCTAGCTCTTATTATTCACCACTCAATTTGAGCTCCAGAATATACTCAATCCACAGTCTCATATGGAAACTGTTCGGATGGACGCAAACCGGGCCAAATATAGGTGACTGTCTCCAAAAAAAGTCCATGTGTATGCCGCAAGGCTTCGACCGATCTACATAACTATGAGGCAGTTCAAGTATGAGGTTGCAACATGACTTTCTATGAATGATCTAGTCTTGCCTCAAGAATGTAATGTGTCCAACAGCGCCTTCTAATCCACATACATCCCTAAACTCACCTACTTCCCGTCTCCGTCGCTGTACGTAATCGACAAGTTCCCCTAATGGGCAAGAAAATCCTGGCCCTGACTTGCAATGTGGTAAAGGCGTAGGTTTGTCATTGACGAGGACTCGTATGAATGTCTCGTCATGAGAATCCCGATCATTCGTGATTGATGGCGGGCATGCCATTCGTTCGATGACAATTCTGCCACCCATAGGCATCACTGATGAAGTACGCCAGTTACGGTCCTCGGCAACATGTGTGATTGGCAGATAAGGGTCGTATTTTGAGTCTTGTAGGATTTCCAGAGCAGTGAGAAAGGCGCTATATCTCCGTCATGAACACTAAGGCGAAAGTTAGTATAGTGACTTCTCTCAAATGAGAATTTTGGCGTCTGGAGAATCACGGCTCCATTCAACACCATCAGGAGCTACTGACAAGCTGAAAAACATGGTGCCAGCCCCAGGACCAGCACGCAATAAGGCTGTCGTGGCATTGAGCCAGAGCCAGCCCATCGCACCAGCATATGATTTGCCAGGACCCGCGCGATAGTAATGAATCACGTCGCGGGCGTACGCGAAATATTCCCATTCCTTTTGACTGAATACACTGCACCACGGACTGGATCCTCGTACAAGAGTCTCAAACCCACACATCTCCTGCATGCTCCAGACCTCCAGATTAGTAAACGGCCCGATTTCCTCGTTTCGTTCCTCGAGGATGAGTCGCGCTGCTATAGCAGGGATATACGTATCCTGGAACCGTGCCAGCATAGTGTAGCCGTTGTCATGACCGTTCTGGGCGTCTTCAACATAGCTTAGGCATGTATCCCCCGGCGTGAGGGTATCCGCCTGTCGGTCGAATGTCTCGGGGATGACTTCCAAAACAGCTTTACCAGTCTTCTCCCAGTCCAGACCGAAAAGACCAGACGCAAAGTACGCTGCTGTGTCAATGACGCGCTGCGAGTCGCTTGCCCAGAGCCGCGTCCTCCGGCCAGGCCGTAGGAGATGCTCATACCGGGTTAGGAAGCGAACACCCGTCATGAAAGCTTGCAGGGTGCCTGCGTACGGGCCGGTTCTGGTCAATTGGTCAAAGTCCTTCCATGGCTCGTCGGTAAAGTAGGTCCAGTTGTTCAGGAACGATAATGAGCCGTTCAGAATGACATTCGCGTCTCTGATTCTGTTGAGAAGTGAGAGATGGCCTGCGGTCATCGGATGTTAGATTCCATCCTTACTTGTGTCGACGCCCTCTCGAGGACATTAGTATCATTGACGAGTGTGACATACGAGCTCCAGCACTTTTTGTCGGATATCGCTCTGCGTGGCGTGACATTTGAGCATCGATTAGATTTTGGAGCAAGAACTAAGCAGAAGACTAAAAAGCAGAGGAGTCTATACCATATGGACCTGATTTACAGCACATCCCTCCGGAGGACTAATGCTTTGCGTCTCGGCATGTCCATCGAGTTCCTCAACCCAGGGTCCATATCCACCGAGATGATAGAAAAGGTTCCAGTCTCTATGTGAGTCGTTTGAGCCACCGGGAGTAGATGGATGGATCCAAGTATTCCAGCTTGGGTGATATGGTGTCTGGGAAATAAAAAACTGGTTCCTCGGACAGGTCAGTAGTGAACTGTGGCTGTAATAGAGGACGCTCGCAATGGCAGCTGCAAAGGAGAAAATTATCGTCCACAATGGGCGAACATCAGACATATTATTTGGCAAGTAATTTGGGGCAAAATTTGGGGCAAAATTTGGGGCATCAGAAGCTAGATAAAAGCCCTTGAAAGGATGAAAGACTATAGCAAAGGGAAAGGTCATAGAAATCGCACGAACATTGACTTGCCAAGAAAGGTCACCCCAAATGTGGTGGAGCACAAGACTCAAGTGTAGATCGCAGAGGTGTCGGACATTGCTCGAACAAAGGACCGGAAAATAATACCGATCATACTGTTTAGGTAAGAAGTCGATATGGATCTCGAAGGCTACATTGGAAAGCCAAAGTGAAATAACATCATCGAGTGAAAACGCCGCTGGAACGAGATGCCTGATGTCTAATTCTGTCTAAATCGTATAAGATACTCATCCAAAGCCTCATGTTGTGTATCGGAACCGAGGGCTATTATCACCCAGCTCCTGAATTTCCTCCTCTGTCATGCCTGCAATCTTCTCGTCCTCAAGGCCATTGGCTCTGCGGTTATTCTCATGATGATAATACAGCCACATAAGAATCCATACGATGCATGCGAATCCGACCAGTGATAGGGTCACGGCATTGCCGCGCACATAACGAGGGGCCTCTGTTGTTTTGTACAGGAAGGGCGACATCACCCCGCTGACATTGCCAAAAGTAAGCTGCATACCTGTCGCCAGCGTCCTCTTTCCGTAACGCGGAAGAGTAGTTGGTAGCCATGCGAGCGGTAGACCAACTGTCACATATAATCCCAGGGCAATGAGCAGCGCTCCAAAGTAGTGCGCGCCGGAAGAGACATCGGAGATAAGAATCCCATAGCCGACCATAGAGATGACGCTGAAAATGCAGACGAACAATGCGCGACGCTGAAGTCGATCGCTGAGCCACGCAATGGCGAGGTATGCCAGTGCGCCTAACGCATAGCAGGGAATGGTAAGTGCCTGAATTTCCGGAGTGGACCACGATCCCATCCCTTTGATGATAGTCGGAAGGAACGTGCTGTAACCGTAAAGCATAGTATCGACGCCAAATTGGCCGATGCTGAAAGCGTAGATCTTCCAATCCAGGAAGCCTTCCTTGACATCTGCCCAATGAAACTTCTGTGCCGACATAGTCTGTCCGACATAGCGACTGCGGCAGCGCACAATAAGCGCTCTTTCCTCTTCGTTGAGATAATAGGCTGTGTCGGGTTCGTCTGCGAGAACGAACCAAGTTGCGATGCCCAGGATGACAGTTGGGATACCTTCAAGTATCATAATCCATCGCCAGCCCCTGAGCCCACTAATGCCATCCATATAACCGATGCCGTATGCTAGAAGCCCGCCAAAGGCTCCCGCGATGGCTGCGCTGCTGAAGAGATACCCAGTCCGTAGAGCCAGTTCACGTTTCCCGTAGAAGAGCGTGAGATATGTCATAAGACCGGGAAAGAGCCCAGCTTCCACCACGCCTAACAAAATCAGCCTTAGCACTAAGGCAGCTTTGTACGTTCAGGGTTCTACACTAACCTAGAAGAAGCCGACAAGCAATCAAACCGCCGTAGCTTTGAACGATGCCGGTCAGCGTCGCAATCACACCCCAAATAACGGCAATGGACGCGAGATAGCGCGATGGCCTCAGCTTCTTAATGACCAGATTAGACGGTACTTCAAATAGCTATGAAGAACACACAATTAGCCGCTGGCGGATCAATCACTGCTGTGGTAAGGATGAAATCATACACAATATGTCACGAAGAGAATGGACACCGCAACCTGGTATTGATTTCCTACCAGGCCAAGGTCCTCTTCCAATCCATACAGGCGAGCATTCCCGATGTTGACTGGGCCAAGAATCAGTGCACTGGTGAGATAGACAAGGCGAGAACCAAAGCGTACCTCTGTCAAGAAAGCTAAACAGATAGAGAAGAACAACCAAAGGCAGAATGTAATAGTCGATCTTGCGAATCAGAAGCCTTTCCCTCTTCTCATCGAGCGTCGAGTCCTCGGAAATGCTGCCATTGATCCTAGCTGGCGGTGACTCCACGTCCGCCTTTGATTTCTGCTCGTGCTCCATCGCGCGGGTCACTTATAGGGTGCTGTTTTCCAAATATAGGGAATCTATGCCCTGTATCATATACGGAGGATTACCCTCCCTGTAGGAAAAGTTGGCTCTGTTACTGGCTCATCGGGCGATCAACGTGATTGACGCCTCTTGAATATAAGACAACGGATATCGCCAGACTATTGTTCACGTAATCGAGATATAAAGGTTCCAGAAGCAGAATTCAGAGCGCGAGCAAGAAATCCAAGGGCAGAAGAAAACGCGAAAAAAGTTGACGAACTTGTGTCACAGTGGCCAAATGCCAAGATTCCAGACTGATTGGGTTCACGATGCTTATCTGTCAGAGTTAGAGTTTGCTTATATTATTACCTAGGTGCCATGGCTGGAAATTTTAGGTACAGGGTCGATCGACAATGCAGTTTCCCGTTCTTAAAAATAAAAAGCACATATCTTGCTACTATCAATTGGACGAAAGTCATTCTGGATGATTGCAATATGAGATCATGCCTATGATCTTCGGAGATCTACCTTGGGAGAGCCGTGAGGAAACAAGGTCAGTGCGTCCCTGAAGCATCATTCTCTCCTTACCGTCCCATGGCTCTGGTACTTGGTTGAAAGCTAAGCTTGAAAAATAAGCATCTTGCATGCGACTTCCTCTATTGACAGTAAAAAATGATATATCTATGTCCAAGGATGATATCTTAGCGATCAATACATCGATGCTCAGCTTGGTCCACAACACTATCTTCGCCACTTCTGCAGAACCTTGATTTCTAATACTCCCAACACTTCAAAGTGTGATCAAAGGGCCATTGTGCGAAGATCATACCATAGCGGATGCTCTGATACTGTGACTGAAGACGTCAAAGCTGTCACCAAACTCAGCATTAGACTATTAATTGCATTGACTCTCACAGCGGCATTGATACGACTGAGTACTGTCGGTGACTCGGAGACACAAGGGATGCTCTCCGCATATCCAAGCCGAGGCGTAATTACGCTTAAGTGGGGTTAACTAAGCGATGACTTGACATCATGTCATATAGAAGGATGATAGTAAGCAGGCTAAGTGTCTTTCACTGACTGCTGTTTCGTTCCTGTTTTCTACAGTCATCTCAAAGTGTTCTTGTACATCAATCGCGGCCAAAATGCCTGAAAACTACGGAGAGTTTCAGACGGAGATCTATGGCCATGGAGCTATGATGGGCCTCAAGCCCAATGTCACCACCGACCTCGCCTGCTTGAAGAACAGGCGCGCAAGGCATTAGGAGCGGAGCGGGCGAAAAAGCAACCATGGATGCTTAGAGATCGGCCTCCGGTACACGTACGCTACAACTACTCTGATGGACGGACTGAAGAACCCCAGGATGTACTGATTTCAGCTATTCTTAAGACAACGGAATTCTCCCTAAAAAGAGTAGACTGCAAGCTCACAGCAGCTCTTGTACGAATGGACACATTAGTATCGCAGTGGCTGAATGATGAGGAAGAAATTACTTACTGATCCGAGTACTGTCTATATTAAAAGAGGGTGAGAGCTATTCATACTGCTAATCGGACGTTCGGCTCCGTAGTAACTTCTCGAAGTACTTGAGCACCGCTTCCTTTGTCAGGATCACATCCGTTTCCCCCGGATTAACAGGCGGGCGTCCAATGAGTGATTCGAGAGGGAGACGGATTTCGTCAGTCTCGGTTTCGACCAGCGTGAGTGGGTCTAGCCGAGACCCTGAAACTGACAGCGAACCGTTTCTTCTGTAAACACTAAGTGTGGTAGTCTGCTTGGCGCGTGGATACGGGTTTCGAGTCGTCATGTTGCATGGCTGACGGACCAGTGACCAAATGGCGATTGTTAACGGTTTCGCATCTGTCTCTGCTTGTAGATATTTGAAGCAGACAGTAATAACTATTTGGATGTGACATTCAGATGTTTCGAGCCATCGATGGGCATCAATAGCTAAACGTGCTTCAGACTCTGAGGTCCCAGTCTCCACAACACAAGTAGGGTGCCGGGGTGTAGAGTCGGGAATCCAACAACCGTCAGGCTCCTTCGAACCATTGCGAAGAGCTATAAGCGGAGCTCCTAGGGAGACACATTCATCATCAAGATTCATCGTTGCAAGCTGCTTATTGATCGTGCGCTGGAGTAGGCCCGTCGCATATTCGTGATCCCAACCAGGCATGAGTTTAATGACGAGTAACTGGCTAACGTTGTTGTAATCAAGCCTAAGGATGCTTCGGTAGTTTCCGATATGGTCCAACAATGAGGGAAACTCTTTCGGGGAGACCGGCTGGAACAAGAGGATTTGCTTTTCCGTCCTGCGGCTTATCAGAGCATCGTGCTGCTCAAGAGCACGACTTAGGAGCTGACTGGGTCCCTTGTACTGTATTATGCTCGCGGCTTCTGTAGCGTGGGCGATTCCGACCATTGTGGTTTGTTTGGATAGAATCTCGGACGCAACGCAGGACTCAGTCGATGGAGGAGCATGTTGTCGTGGTCCGGCCGCTTGGGAAGGAACGGCTGCTTGGGAAGGAACAACCGCCATTGTTTCCGAGGAACGCACAACTCGTAGAACCTTCTCAAGTACCTAGATCGAGGAGCACGACAGCGGGGTTAAAGAACTAGCTAGATCGATGCATGGGCATCAAAGTGAAGTTATTATACTGACTCAAGAGGAGAAAATTTCGAGTCCAGGTAGCGAAATGACGTGTTCTCTGTTTCGCAAATCAGAGAAGCCACAACAATACAATGCGATTGTTTGATTGGGGCAACAAATACCAAGAGTCCAAGATGTCAAAGTGCAAGGTCAGACGGACAGACTGACAGACTGACTGACGATGGATTGGTTGATTGGACAGAGGAGTCCGGACTACTATGTATGTGGTGGACGGTTGTGGCGCGTCGATCACTGTTAGTGACGTCAGTGTGGGTATGACATCCTGGTTCGACCACTCTGAAGAACACCAGGATGGCAGAAGACATATGGCAGGTCATGTCTGAGGTGCAGATTAGTTCATCTAAAGGGAAGATAGACCTTAAAGGAAGTAATATCATTCATCTGTCACTAGGTAATAATAGCAAAACGATAGCTAAAGAACAATAGTTATCCACCCCGATAGGCGTTGCTAAGCAAAGCAAAAGAAAAGAACACCTTCCGCCCTTTCGTGTAAGAGTTTGGTCTCCGCATGGAAATGTTGCCAGCGACTTCTCAGAGGGAGACAATTTCATCGTCCAGATTGAGGTACTCCTCCGCCACGATATCTCCCCAGTGCTCCTCTGAGATCTCTTCTCCTTTTGCAAGCAGTATCTGCCGAGGAATAGCCCGAAGGCTGAGTCGATCAATACATGAGAATTGTCCGAACAATACTCCAACTAGCTTGTTTGGCATCTTGGCTTTTGGCATAATAACAGCAACAGCTTCAATAGTAACAGGGCAATTTGTTAAAGCTATAGCAGCATCAATCTGTAGAACCAAGCCATTACTTGAGCGGTATGGATCGTGAACCGAGTCCTTCAGGTATTCTCGGAAAGAAGTAGGGAGAAGTTCGTCCGCGATAATAGTCTGATGGGCCCCCGTATCGAATATCATATTAATCCCTTCGAGCTTGTAGATAGGGTCAGTCTCATTGCTATCCATCCCTCGTAAAATAAGATCTGCACGAATAATAGGGAGGTGCCCTTCTCCTAATGCTGGCCGGAGTGATGCGTACGGCTCTCGGAATTCTGTCTTGGCAGCCTCCTTAGCCATGTTACGGAGACGCTCGCGAGCTGCCTCACTTATCGGCGGGCGGGGTTCTGCTGTCTTTAGGTCGACATTTGTTCGTATTGGGCGACCCAAAACATTTTCTGAGGGCGACTCCGAAGCTAACTGGAGTGCTGTCTTCCGAAGTAATCGACGGTTGCCAGTTCCGCGGGGCATCAAAAGTAACGATCCATCAATATCGCCGAGGGCTGCTTCCGCAGCTCGGATAGCAGACTTCCAGGTAGTGTGTGCAGGGAGAGTAACAGAAAGTTCGTTGCGCTGTCCATTCATTGAATCAGCAACCTGGCGAAGCACCTCCCTCGGATGCAGGGTTCTTGTCTTGTTACTATCCATCGTTGACCTAAGAGATAGGATCCATAAGTCCCCTGTAAGGTTATAGACGATTGATTACGGAGTAGTACTTACTGTTCCTGCTCACCGGCTTGCCAGTCCCTATGAATCGGTGTCTGCCCAACGTCGTCCTCAAGGAGAAGGAGAACACGTTTCCTTTCGACGGCAGCTATCGTTGGACTGTATCCAGAATGGGGTTGTTTGGCACTGGCCATGATAAGGTGGGATCAGTGATTGTGCTGTAAGGGTAGAGTGGAATACAGCATACCTTGTGTCGGGATGAATGTAGTCCTTCCCTCTACTTCTAAAGCAGAAGTCACGCCTTTCGAGCGTCGATATGCCAACAAGGCAGGAGCGGATATCTACGATAGTGGAGCACGGAATAAAAAGCTTGTATTTCTCAGTGGGGCAAATTCCCGAAGGAAATGCACTAGGTAGGACAGTAATTGTGTCACGGGAACACGTGATCCGACTACCTCCTCCACTTCCTCGTATATCCTACGTACGTACTAGTTAGGGATCATCATCATACATTCAGTCCCATCATACGTTTACGTCTACGTACCGTAGAGACGCTACAATTGGTAGCATTCCAGTACATACTAGGAACCGACTGCATCTGACCCGGTCAAAGCGACGTTCACCAAGAATTTGGCGCGAAAGATTGTCGTCGGTGCTTCCATCCACCTCCCTTGGAAGACTTCCGCAGAGGACAGTCAACCTTACGGAGCACACTTTCACCTCCCTCTTCCCCAACCTCTCCTCAATCGTCCAAGACCGTTTACGTACCAGCTTCTCTCTCCTACTGATATATTCGTCTTTCCGCTGTTAAACAGGAACAGGAACCCTGTGGACAGCGGCTTCTCAGCGACCGACTGTACGAGTACCACCAATGCGTCCTCCCCTCCTACCCAACGCGTCGAGCGGTGCCTCGTCCCCCTACCAGCCTACTTGTCCATCTTTTTGACCTCGGTCTTTGTTTCAGTCGGTGTGGTAGGATCGACTTCCGTGGCCCGTCGTCCGAGCTTGGATAGGAGACGTCAATACGTTCTGTCTCGGACAGTGGCTGTCTGGTCCTATTATAGCGGAACTGGTCAACGTCCCACAAGCGTCGCGCACCTGCTTCATTAGCGCAAATTCTGTGCTTGAAACGTTCCAGTGGCTCGTCCGGGTCAGGGGGTACCAGACTGGCCAGTCTGTGATCGAAGTTTCCCAGAGATCTGTTTTGATTGATTCATCGTCCGTTGATCCGGCTGCTCGCAGCAGGGAGATCTTTGCGTGAAGTATTCTGGCAAAAAAAGGGTGTCAGCTGTGCTAAACTTGAAACGTAGTTCGTCGAGAGAGTAGTGAATTATCAAGTCATGTTATAATCATGTGACAGGCTCATCTGAAGTTGCAGCCTCAGGCAGATTATATAGCCTCAGGCGTAAATGCTGACTAAGGGTTTTGCGTCCATCCCCGATTGTTGGCTCGTGGTGCTCCGAGGGAAGCGAGGCCTTCTGGCTTGTGGCAAAGGAAAGGTCCGGGCGGTATTTGCGGGATTGCCGAGTGCAGCCGGGATAATGTCAGGAAAATTCAGTATCCCGGGGACCCGAAGGCAATGATGTGATATCAGGAAGATATGCCATTGGCCTCGAGTTTGTAGATATTGAGTGTGCACATGTCGTGGACGTCGTTCGAGACATTGCACAGACCGAACACTCTCATCTCAGTCCTAGTATTGGAGCGAAATGGATTCCTACGCGCGCTTTCGAAAACTCCATCACATATACAGTCAGACAGGAGTAAATTGTAATGATGGAGAACCGTCAGGTACCTGAATTTTGAGTAGATGGCCAGGCCAAGCAACACCTCCGACCCGCTCTCTTGTTGGGAAAAAGACGGAATCACATGTCACCCGCCGGCGCATCTCAACGAATCAACCTCCAAATGCGAGATAGTCTGGCCGATGACTCGTGGCTTGCCACTGATCTACGCGTTGGGCGATTTTTCTCCAGGAACAGGCTCTTTCGAATTCTGGTGCAACTTCTGGTTATTTACCGACTTGGCAACATGCGTCCATGGCTCGTGTCTGCCCTGATTGATTGTCGCATTACGTCGCGAAGCTGCCATGATCTCGACCCGCCTTTACAATAAATGAATGCACATTAGACCCCTGTTCCTACTATATGGCTCGGAATGTCGCGTCTGCTCGGTTTTGGATCATTTTTTGGCAAGCGGGTTGAAGCCGAAGGCAATCTCGAGGAGGCTCTGGATCGTGATGGCGCAAGCCATGTGTCAGCTACTTCAGGGGCTACTCTACTTCCACGACCAGTTGCATCTGCTTTGTCAATCTTGACTCAATCGACCTCGTTGTCTCTGAAACTGGGGAGTTTTTTCGGTGGCATTGCTATTGAAGGAGCGCGAGTCACGACGCTGACCGGATTGGAGCTCAGTAGAGCAGTCATTGAGGGGATTCTTACAAGAGCTGGGCGAGATGTTGCTCTTCGAAGCAGTGGAGAGCGTGGGAAAGTGGAGGCGGAGTCGCTACTCGAACGAAGTGTATGCTGATTTATGCTTGTTCCTGTCTACCCGTCCATCAAGCTGATATAGGACCCAGTTGGCCGCCCTGCACACCACTGTCACCTCCGCCTCGTTCTTTGCAGCCGCAACATTTCATTTCTCATCGACAACGCTCTCCTCCGCTGCACATGTGTCTCAGGCCCTTTTGTCTACTCTTGACGCAATACTCGGCTCGACCGAATCGTCAAGAGCCATTGCGGCTATCATAACGCTTATTCGACGGGAGTTCAGAAGTCCCAATGCTGAAATCGGTACGGACAATATCGGTGTCGGCGACCTTCTCGTCGGAACCGTCGGCTTTGCGATGCTTCAAAGTTGGGGGCAAAAAAGCACCGAGAGGCATATGCGCCTCAACGGCGGCTATGAGACTGTTTGGGATGTTGTGATCTTAGACAATGGCGCAAGGGCCGACGTCATTGGCACTCAGCCAATGGAGCCTGCCGAATATTCTCGGAGTGCCTTAGGGTCCGCGACTAGACGATCATCTTTCATATCGCCCGGTAATGAGGAGGACCGTTTCGATGCTGTGCAGCGGCCGTCGAGTGTGGTCGAACATGCTGAGGTGCCCGAAATGTTACTTCCAGCCAGCGATCAACAAGTCTCTGACGAAGATATTCGCCTACACATAATGAGGCAGCTTCCGCGTGGTTGTCGTGCGTCAATCAGATCCAATGTGGTCACCACGCGGACCATAACAGTCGATATTTATGATGATGACAATGCTGAGATTGCTGCTCCTCCCGGAATGATGATGATTGAGGAAAGGTTTCACAATGACAGACCGGATGAAAACAGTGGTCTTCTTTCTACTATGAACCAGCTACCCAAGCACACGGTTGTCTTCAGGACTGCTTTCAATAAGACACAAAATGCGGATGTCAGGCCGTCTCGTAGGGCTGAGACCTCCGATTCGCGAGGACTCGAGATTCCGACAGCTACGAAAAGTCTCCCTGCGTTACCATCTACCTTGCTTGATACAAAGACGCGAACGGATAACAAAAATGATGATTTCCAGGCGCGAATCAGCGACAGCAGAGGGCTGTCCGATGAGCAGCCTTCAACGACGGGACATATAGAGAGTCTTGAATATGACAAGCCTCATAGTCGCATCGCACCGGAATCAAGTTCAGAACGCTTCTCTCCGACAGGAGCAGCACGAGATGGCAGGCCGGGCGATGCGAAAAAGTCTCGCGAAGTTTCCAGCAGTGGCCCTGTGAACGAACCAAGCACAGGATCTAAAGGGGCCTTCGGGAAAGGGTCGCTAACAAGATTGGCGCAGAAGGTAAAACCAGCTATTGTAGAGAGAGACGAGGCTGGCAAACGAACAGCACAACGATCCTCTCTCGATAAGGCTCCGAAGGTCTCGAAAAATGCGACCCAGCGTAACAAGATGCAGAAAGGGCACCTTGCCGACAAGAGATCAGCCCACCATAACATGTCGACAGCGCCAACTGTCGCGGGAAGTGCAACCAAGACGACTGGATCTCACACGAACAGAACATTGTTGCCGGTCGCGAACAGAGGCGTGCCGAGATCACCCTTACATGACCCACGGCTGCGAACTTCTCCCAGTCAGACACGTCGAGTACAAACACCGAACAGGCCCCAAAGAGATGCTCAGCCTGATTATTTCACCGTCCATGAATTGAACCAGGAGACTTTCGTCACCCAGTCAGACTCATACTCCCTCCGATCCGCAGGTACACGAGCAAACTCACCAGCCGCTACAAGAACCCATGTGCGCAGTAGCAGCTCCTTGTCATTGACGCGATCCGAGACAGATATGGCTTTGTCCCTGGGTGCAGATGGCCGCCCAGCCTCGTCGGGTTGGCAGCAGAGGACTACCTCGTTCGCACCAAGTATATACTCCTTAGCAACAGCGGGCTCGGAAACGTCACTCATACTTGCTCATCGCGCACGAAAGAGCGCATACGACGATATAGACACTATCAGATCGCTAACCCGTGACGGCATAATCCCCGGTATATTCCCAGAGCAACATTTTGTACAGAACATCAGACGCTTTTGCCGATTCTCCTCGGCCTCATATGGATCGAACGCTTTGAAAGTGATGGGTGTGACGAGGCCAACCCAGGCTGATCCTCACCTGGAATCCGACAGCCAGGAACACTCTGATTTCTCGATCCACACAGGACTACCAGCGTCGACAATTCTCTTGTCATCTTTCGTTGATCCGGCGGGAGGAACCAACGCTGCGGGGGAGACTGACAGCGGCTTCCCTTTGGTTCATTATGTATGCCTGGACCATGCTTCAAAAGCTGTTGTTCTGACCCTCAGAGGAACGTGGGGATTTGAAGACGTTCTCACAGATATGACTTGCGACTATGATGACCTCGTATGGCAAGGGAGAAGCTGGAAAGTCCACAAGGGTATGCATGCCTCAGCAAAGCGCCTTCTAATGGGAGGTGGCGGAAGAGTTATGATCACCATCAGGGCCGCTCTTGAAGAGTTCCCAGACTACGGCGTAGTATTGTGCGGCCATTCCTTAGGGGGTGGTGTTGCCGCACTTCTAGCCACTATGATTTCGGTCCCCAACAGCGAGCAATTTGGAACCACGTTCGTAACCGCTACGCCTCGGTCTGCCGCACGGCGGATGCTCCAGGGGAACAATGACGACGAAGACGAAGAGAGCCGCCTTCCCTTCTATCTCCCAACTGGACGTCCAATCCATGTCTATGCGTACGGTCCCCCATCTGCTATGTCCCCATTCCTACGCCGTGCAACTCGTGGCTTAATAACGACGGTCGTCAACGGGCAAGATGTGGTACCAAGTCTTTCTTTAGGCATCTTGCACGATATGCATGCTGTATCTGTCGCGTTCAAGAGTGACACTTCCGGAACTAAGTCGCATGTGCGATACCGAGTTTGGGAAGGTCTAAGGCAGAGCATTGTTAACAAATTTTACGTCAATGAAGCGCCCATGCTTCTGCACGCTGGCGATGGCCTTGGGGAAGACGCCTGGGCGTGGAAAACATTGAAGGCGCTTCGAGAAGAGATGTGTGCCCCCAAGCTGCTGCCTCCTGGAGAGGTCTTTGTGGTAGAGACGATGCGTGTTCTTCAACGCAATGCTTTTACGTCTGACTTTGGCAGGGACGGCTACCCGATGCTAGGCCGGCCTGCAACGAGGGTACAGTTGAAGTTTATCCGAGATGTCGAGTCTCTTTTTGGAGAGTTGAGATTTGGGTCCGGAATGTTCAGCGATCACAACCCAGCAAGATATGAGGCCAGTCTGGCGGCGCTTGCGCAAGGTATCCTGGACGATTGATCCGCTTCCCGATCGATGAAGTGAGAGCATATTTCTTATGATTATTGTGCTGTTTCCATGGATTCCAGGATGTCACTCTTTGATAAACGATATTTGGTGATATTTGGTGATATTTGGTGATATTTGGTGTTCTGTATAGATTGGCTTTGACTCCATACCCCTGATATACCCCATTTCATAGCTCCAGATTTCAATTGATATGCTCTTGACCTTGCCAAATCTCACATAAATTTCCATGCACACTGGCTCCCCTGTCTGTGAGCGTGGATCATAGGCTTTATCGCTGAATCGTCTTGTCGGCGGGGTGGAAGACGTCCAAAAGTATAGCTCATGAGACTATAGCTTGTACCTGCTGAAGTACTCAGTCCCGGCTTTAAGCGACTCCGTTATCGAGCAGTCTCTTTTCATCTTCTTAGTAAAAGCCCTGGCACAGACTGAACGGCGCCGACGTTCAGCTAAAGCCGGGTTTGGCATAGCCGAGATACTGCTGTGAGCCTTTCCGGCATCCTGGTTGCATAGCCCTGATCGACCAGCTATCGGCGGCTGCGATTGAGCCCCAGCAGCAGCTGAGGCAGCGATATGCTCCTAGACAGATAGCAACGAGAAAGAAGACCATGGTCATTTTAGTTCTCATTTGTCGCGAAATACGCGGTTCACCGTCCATTATGGGGTGTCTCCTTTTTCTCGCCGATGCCCTTCTGTGCCCTCTCTTGGATTCTTTTCTCAAGGTCGTCGATCTGTCTCTCGACAAGTCCCTTCTTAGACGTCAGGTTCTGTCGCATGGCCCGTAGTGACGCAATTCGTTCGTCAATTGTAGCTTCTCGAGATTTTTGGACTGTCTATTCCACGCAGAACAAGTCTGTCAGATCGGCATACTCTTTTGCCATGAGTTGAACGATCATACCTGAGTAACCTCTTGTTCGGTCTTAACGCTAGCGCCGTAAAGAGTTCCTGCGATGGTGATTGACGTGACGGCAGCAGCCAAGACAAGCTTCGGTACATTTTTAGGAGCAGGCATGATGACAGTTATTCTTGTTCTACTCGTGATGATCTCTAACACAGTAAGATGTTGATGCAGTTATCTGCAATGAGAGATCATTTGTAGAATTGCCGCTGTATACCGCCTGACCGATGGGGGAGTAGATTGATTAGCCCCATCGGGGGTCGCGTCGCGTCATCCGCGCAGGAACTCCAAAACTATCTGTACCAGAAAGTTGAAAGAGATAACGACCTTCTGTCATATGCGCCTATGGACGCAGAATATCGCGCATCTCTGTTAATATGCCGTCGCTGAGCACGGTTGCCCGTCGTCGGCAGCGGTCGGAGAACGAAGGCGATGATGAAACGTCGACCAACTCATCAAGAGACCCCACGCCTGCGTCAAGAAATTCGATCAACGGCAAGCGACGTCGACTAGATCCAGTCCAGGATGGCGCAGACGAGGAAGAAGATGACGGTGAAATTGGTAGCGAAGGCACTGATGAAGGCACGGAGCAAAACACGCCTGAGCTTACGCAGGCTGATTCCGGACCTGCACAATCCTCCAATTCGCAAACGACGTCTTTAGCGAATGGTGAGGTGGATGAGGATGGATACAAGCCCGGCGCTATTGTACGCATTAAAGTTACAGATTTCGTCACCTACACTTCTGCCGAGTTCTTCCCTGGGCCGAAACTCAACATGGTCATTGGGCCGAATGGGACAGGGAAAAGCACTCTTGTTTGCGCAATTTGTCTGGGCCTGGGATGGGGCCCACAGGTACGAGCATGTTCATCTTGAGGCAATACAACACCATGGCTAACGGGTTCTACGCCTATTCATAGCACTTAGGACGAGCGAAAGATCCCGGCGAGTTCGTCAAACACGGTTGCAGAGAGGCCAGCATTGAGATTGAACTGGCTAAGGGGCCGGGGCTCCGTAAGAATCCAGTTATCGGTCGAATAATCAAACGCGAAGGCAATAAGAGCTCGTTTACAATCAACGGAAAGCAGGCTTCTCTCGCGCAGGTTAAAAAGTTCGCTCAGTCATTCGCCATTCAGATCGACAACTTGTGTCAATTCTTGCCGCAAGACAAAGTGAGCGAGTTTGCTGCACTGACCCCTGTGGAACTGCTTAATTCAACGCAGAGGGCCGCTGCTGGACCAGAGATGATCGAGTGGCATGAGAGTCTGAAGAAGCTTCGAGCTGAACAAAAGAAGTTGCAGTTAGATAACCAGAGTGACAAAGATTTGCTAGCAAATCTCGAAAACAGACAGGAGATGCAGCGAGTAGACGTTGAGCGGATGCGGCAACGGGCCCAGATCAAGAGGAAAATCGAGATGTTAGAGCATCTCCGTCCAGTTATTCAATACAGAGAGGCCCGCAACGAGTTGAATCGGAAGAAGATCGAGCAAAGAAGACTCCGAAAAGAGCTCGAGGATTTGGAGGCTGAACTAGAACCTGCACTGAGAGCGGTCAATGCAAAGCAGAACTATTGCTCGGAGCTGGATGAAGTGGTCAAGTACAAGAAGCGATGCTTTGAACAGGCAGACCGCGACGCCATGGAGATCGTGAAGAAAATTGAACAATTTGACGATGCGCTGAAGGATCTCAATAACCAGATTGAGGCTGAGAAAAAGAGCGGCCAGAGTTACAGGCAGGAAGCGACCAAGATCCAGCAGACAATCAACAGGCTCAATCGCGAGCTCAATGAACAACCGGCCGAGTTTGATATCGGCTGGTATAATGAGAGGATTGTGGGTGCGCTTCGAGTGTGATCAGAACGTATGCTGACTGTCTCCGCAGAAAGAAAAGCGTCTAGCAACCAGAGAGCTTGAGGGGAAAGCGACTGAAATCCAGCAAGCTCGACTGCCGCTTGTTGAAGAGCTCAAGTCGAAGAACGATCAGATTAGACGAGCAGAGCAACAGCTGCATAGTCTCGCCTCCCAATCTGGGCAGCAAGAAGCCAAGCTCCGTAAAGCGTCACGAGATTCGTATCAAGCTTACAAGTGGTTGCAAGACAATCAGGATAAGTTTGAGAAGGAAGTTTTCGGACCGCCAATCGTCACCTGCTCGGTCAAAGACCCCAAATATGCTGACACGGTTGAGTCATTATTACAACGAACGGATTTTACTGCCTTCACCACGCAGACTCGAAATGACTTTCGGACCCTGCAAAGAGCCCTGATCACAGATTTGAGGCTTCATGACATTAGTATCAGGACTTCAACGACGCCTCTAGGGAGTTTTCGTCCACCTGTCTCGGACGAAGAGCTAAGGTCGTTGGATTTTGACGGTTGGGCGAAGGACTTTCTCAGCGGTCCCGAGCCTGTGCTGGCCGTTCTATGTAGCGAAAACCGGTTGCATCAAACCCCTGTAAATTTACAGGGAATCTCGGACGAAACATTCGCCAAATTGGAAAATGGTTCGATCAGTTCCTGGGTAGCTGGGAAGCAAAACTACCAGATTGTCCGGAGACGGGAATATGGCCCTGGTGCGGTTTCTACCCGTGTGAGACAGGTTAGACCGGCGCAGATCTGGACCTCGCAAGCAGTGGATGTTCTAGCGAAGCAAGAGGTAGAGCGGGAAATTCTTGCCCTGAAGGACGAAGTAAGTCAAGTAAAAGAAAAGATGGAATCAGAGCGGAGCCGACTCCACAGGATGGGCGAAGAGAAGAAGGAACTAGATCGCGAGAGGGTAAGTCAACGGCAGTCCTAGAACTCTTCACTTTCGCTCACTCTTTCCACCCAGGCTACACTTGAAAAGGAGAAAGCCGAGAAACAGACAGCACTCATCAACTATAGGGCTATTCCTGAAAAGATTCGTAAGTCGTCCGATCTGCCTATTCTCTCGTCTGTCGATCGTTCTCGTCTCACGTCACGAAAATAGGTCAGCAGGAAGCGAAGAAGAAAGATATCGAGAGACTGTTTGAGGAGATGAGAGTCAGAGTCCTTGAAATTCGCGGTCGCCAAGATCAAATTTCAATACAGAAGGCCAAGGCAAATCTTGAATATGCGGTACGATGGACCTTTGACTATTTCTCAATTCGTCATTACCATGCGTTTTAGAGACTGACAGTACGCGCAGGATGCTGTTGAGAACCTTCGCAGACTACAGGAGGAAGCTACTCAACTTAGCATACGTCTTATTGAGGGCCTTTCGGATTGCACGACGTTAAGAGAGCGCAGTCAACATCACAAGACGAGGCTAGACGAGAAGAGTTCCGAGGTGAAAGCGGCGCATGAAGATGTTAAAGCTCAATCTGAAGCTGTGAGGAAAATGGTCGATCAAGCAAACAGGGCGATACGGCTCGTCAACGAGCAAGAGGACTTGCGTGAATTCATGCCCACACTGGTTGAGCATACTTTGGAACAGCTTGAAGCGGACATCGATTCAGAAAGAGCACATCTAGAACTTGTGCAAGGAGGCAACGCGAACGTGATTAGGGAGTTTGAGGAACGCGAAAAACAGATCGAGAAATTGCGAGACAAACTCTCCGAGTTCCAGAATCAAATTGCGGAGTATGATCATGCAATCAACGAAATTCGTGGCAAATGGGAGCCCAAATTAGAGGAACTTGTGAAGAGTATCAGCGACGCTTTCTCAGACTCCTTCGCTCGCATTGGGTGTGCTGGTCAAGTCACCTTGGATAAGGCAGAGGACGAAGAAGGTCCCAACGGCGAGCCGGGAGGCAGCAATTTCGACCAGTGGTCAATCCAGATCCAAGTGAAATTTCGAGAGAACGAGAACTTATCCATACTTGATTCCCATCGACAGTCGGGTGGTGAGAGAGCCGTCAGCACCATTTTCTACCTGATGGCCCTCCAGTCGCTGTCGGCCTCTCCCTTCCGTGTCGTCGATGAGATCAACCAAGGTATGGACCCACGAAATGAACGAATGGTTCACGGACGTCTAGTCGATATCGCTTGCGCTCCAGCGCGCAATGGAGGTGGCGGCCAGTACTTCCTCATTACTCCCAAACTTCTCAGCGGCTTGGTCTATAAACCAGGAATGAGGGTTCTCTGCATTTACAGTGGTGAGCATATGCCTGAGGATTACAACCTTCTCGATTTCGGCGGAGCCATCAAGCGCATGAGGGCATTGAATGCCAAGAAGAAAGGCAAAGGAAGAGCTATTGAAGGTGGTGCTCATAGGAGCAACGGCGATGTTGATGTCTACGGCTGATGGAGAATTGTGTTGTCTGTTTTGTCTGTGATACCTCTTTGTTTTTCGTTTTCTGTTGCAATAATCCCTTTTTTTATCTATGGCAATTTCAAGGGCATTTAGGTTACGGACTGAGCCGGGGCAGGTGTCGGGTTTGGAGGTTAGTTGGCTGTACAGATATTTTTACACGTTCAATGATCATAGAATCTGCGTTCTTAGAGATGTGTCAAGGTGAGAGCTCGTCTTATTTGGTCAAATTACAGACGACGTATGTATTAGATAGACGAGCCAGATTCAGAGTCATACTTTGGTCTATTTCTATACTGAGGAGTCTACCTTAGATCACCGAGTGATTAAAGGTACCAATCAGTCAGATGTACAGAAAACTTGTCATCTGTCTTCGAGGTCATGTCACGTCACATATCTCACAAAGGAAATGACTCAAGGGAAATACTAAAATTGAACAAAGAGACATGTTCGCCGGGCCCTTTATTCCATGCCCAATGCTCCCCAGCCCGAATACCCCAGCGACGCCTAGCCTTTATCATCACGAAAATCACTTGGAAAAGGGAAAATAAAATAAAAAATAGAATATACACAGAAGAAGAGAAATTGCATGATCGTGCCGATCCCCGGACACCTATCCACACACAAAGTAATTGTAACATAACATGCGCACGCATAAGAGGGTATCATGAAAGAGCAGAGGCAGAGCGGAATCGTCGCTGGTTGGGAATGGTGGCGAGAAGGGTTGGGTAGTTTTGTTTCCTTTTTTTTTTTTTCTTTTTTGCCTTTTTTTCTTTCTGCTTTTTGGGGTTCCTCCATGACAGATGTCATGATGGCTGTCTCAATGGGACAGCGGAGATGAGGTGAAGTTTTTTTTTTTTTGAATGCTGAAAGCGCAATCGCAGTCTATTGAACCATGGCGGTAGCAACTGGGCGGCCCGTATGGCAACCACGCTCGTGACGCTTCATATTGCTCCGTACGCTAAAGGCCTTGCCGCAGCCGGCATGTGTGCAGCGGAAAGGCTTCTCGCCAGTGTGGCTGTGGGAGTGGATGCGCAGACTGGAGGGCCGCGAGAAGGCCTTGTGGCATGTCCGGCAAATGTAGCGATCATGGTTCTGCTGATAAGGTGTGGAGCTGGAAGGGGGAAGTAGTGGTGATGTTGCCAGGCGGGGGTGACGGGAGAAATCATCTGCTGATGACCCGGCGAGGGAAGAGATGTCGTGGATGTTGGAGGGAAGGAGCCTGCGTTTTGGAAGGTGTTCGGCGCAGGGTTTCTTTGGTAGTAAGCGGCAGTCGATGGTGTTGAGGGCTCGATGGGAGAAGAGAAGGATGACACGCTAGGAGCAGGCGAAGCATATGGAGCCCCGGCGGCATGCTGAACGGACCCTTGGCTCGAGATGGAGGATCGATCTGTCGGACTAGGAAGCCCAATTGGCGCCTGAGGATATGTTTCGGTACTCTTCATCGCAGCACTGGTGCTGGCGGCAGAGACAGACGATGCCGAGGGAGAATGGCCATTACTGTGGAAGCCCGAACCAGGACGCAGTGGCGGCGTTGGTGGCATGGCGTGTGGTGTAATCGAGTCGTATGGAGGCCGGGGATCCGAATCCCTGTGCGTTGATAGACCGGTTCTTTGGCGTTCTGTGATCTGCGAGTCAGTCATACTGGGCTTTGTGACGAGGTATTGAACTGCGAGGAGATCATACTTGCTGCGTGTGCGGCGGCACCGTCTGCGTTCTCGAGCAGGATCGAGATGGAAGGAAGCGAGCATTTGGGCTGGTCCTCGGCTGGAGGGGACAGTGGCGGCTGAGGGGTACGAGAGTAAGATGTCGTATGTGTCGGTACAGCAGAGAAGTAAGAACCCGTATATTGTTCGGAGAGGCGCTTGTAATGGCTGGCTGAGTGATTCTGAATCGATCTTGACCTGAAGGACGGAACTGTATCCGACTCAGAAGGCGAGATGAGGCTTGCGACATCCATGGTGTGCGCGAAGGTATGAAGCGGCCAAATATGATGGTAAGGTCCTCAATGGTATGCGCGGTGGGAAGCTGAGAGTGAAGAAGAGGAGGGAAGATGGCTACGGTGGAACCATATATGAAGGCTGAGCGAGTAGTGAACTACTTGAAGCTCAGGGCCAATCCAGATTGTCTCCTCTTTGAGTGGGGTTGTGTCTGGGACCAGGGGGATAGAATGGGGTCTATACTTTATAGACGAGGAGATTTGCTGGGTAAGGTGGGGGAGAAAGTCAAAGGCAAAATATAATTATAGCTTGGTACTTGGTAGAGATGATGATGCACCGTAACTCCGTCTGCCAGGACGAGCGGAGGTCAAAATACAAAGCACGATATGAACGAAGCCGAATGAGGAGACAGGAGACCACCAACATGAACCTGTTCCTTAATTATAATGATGGTAATTATGATGAAGATTAATAAGAGCCTATATTATTATTTTGCTTTCATTTTCATTTTCTTTAACCTTGATCTTTTTTATTATTATTTTGTTTTACTTCGGAATGGGTATTAGCAGGCGAAAATAAGGAATAAAAATAAAAATATAAAAATAAAATTAAAATAAAATAGAAGACTGATCCGGTACAGTGGATTGTGTATTAAATGGTAATAGATGGCTATCACCCAAGGACGTCTAAAACATGTTTTTCCTGAGCCAGCAGGGCAGTAACGTAAGTATTTTCCTGGTATTTTCGTTTCGGTTCTGCCTCACCAGGAAGCTGCTACCTCCATCCCAAAGCTTAATTAATGAGCACCAGGAGCCTGGATAAGAGGTCTGGTGGAAAGATTAATATTCATTTTTGCTTTTTCTCGCCCAATAATGCATACATTGGGACGTGGTCTCGTACCCGGCGTTAAACACTCTGTATGGCTAGTCCGCGGGTGGATGGACAGATGATGTGCGATTAGTTTGTATTGTTTTGGGTAGGCTCGACGAGAGCTAAAAAAACGTGCGCCTCCCGGCCCACTCTTACAGAGGCCACCGTACCCCGGCTAAGTTGGGGCCGTTCATTGGATTGTTCCAGCTTGCGATTTCACGTCCAACGGGGTCTTAGCTTTGCGTCAAATGTGCGACTTGACTGTATGCTCTTGATCAACAACCTCCTGCATGCTGGGAATCTCCACGTCGTGCTTTCCATGTCATGAGAGAGATCATCGAAGAATCGTTGTAAAGCATTCCTGCTTCTTATGAAGCCGTCACTCGTCGGCCTGGCGTTGAGAGCCTTGATCACCATGGCGTACGCACTCCGTACTCCGTTGCGTATTTAGGGCTCAGCTACAGAAGGTCTGGTCCTAGTGCAGATCCAAGGACACTCCAGCCTCAGTCAAGTTATTGAGATTCAATCATCGATCATCATTTTACTCTGGAGGGGGCAAATCATGGCAAATCCTAGGTCTCCTATGCGGGAGACCAGCACTGTAAACGGTACACGGCCCATCCAAGTTACGTATTGCCGCCATCACACTGGAATGGACTCGCTAGCCGATCAATCCAAGTGGATCCTGGAGACAGAATATCCTACCTGTCACAACGATCCCATGCCCCATAAACGGCTGATCGTTGCCGCACGATCACGCGTTGGCAGTTTGCTGAGAGCACTGATCTCATGGTCCAATTTCCAATCATACAAACCGATAAATCATCATCGTAATCGACTGTAGATCCTTTTGTCTGGGCGGTCGGTGGACATGCTCCAGTCGTGAAGATACCAGCCGTGTTGGGATTAGCCTTCGGGCTCGCCGTAGAGGTTACTGTTTCAGAATTCGAACTTTGGATTATGCTTGGATCACCAGTTTGATGATCGTCCCCTTCCGTCGAGATTAGCTGGTTTTCAATCTAATGCTTCTTTGATTATTTTGATCTAATATTCAAGTCGTAGTCTGTAGAGGAGGGAACTGGACAAAGCAAAGCATAAATTAACAGGAAAAATCACAAACAAAAATGCAAGAAAAAAACAGTTTAAAAATAAAATATAATAAAAAGTACTGGTATACATACGAAAATGAAGCGACAGGAGACATCTATCCCAGTTGGGAAATATCTCCGTCCTGGATGCCGCTATCATCCTGGATAGTCTCATCTCCAACCAAGTCCATGGGGGTGGATGACGGAGTTGCAGGCTCGCAAGCACGATGGGAGAACCGGGTCTAATCCACAAATAGTCTAGCCCCAGCCACCCAGAAGGGAATTTCTGAACGATTTTCCTTCTCCTTTTCGCTTGGGGCTAAAGACATAAGGACTTAGTGTCTTGACGGAACCGGAGATTATTGTGGCGCTGGCAACCAACGAAAATCCCAGATGATCTCAAGCGAAATTTGGACGAGCGTGTGTCTGTGAGGTACCTTAGCTACGTAACTACGTATCTACTGCGTATTCCATGTCCGATAGCAGACTCGTATCACTTATTCTTTTTGCTTCTTTCTCCCAAGGGGCCCGGATGGTGATGACTCTATTCCTTCAGCACTGTCCAACAAAAGAAAATATGAAAACGGGAGAATGAGACATGACAGGACCAGAGACAGGCCACCTCCTTGACTGTTGCATCATTGATCGAACCTGAGGGGATATTGGCAGCCCTGATCGCCCATGCAGGGGAACCAGCTTCGATAGGTCATACGCACAAACAGTACTCCGTAACAGTTGTCCCCTCTCCTTTAGACGAGACCATGCCATCGCTGATAGAAGAGCTGTATCTGGACTCAAAAGCTCCCCCCGATCCGCTTCCCGTAAACAGATGCCGACCGATGAAGATGAAAGTCTAACCCACTCCTTACACTGGTTAGCGACGGCCAGAGCGTCAGGCGCTTGCTCTTTGAAAGGGAAGTAATTTCTCTGGATTTGAGTTCACTATGAAATGATCATAGTGGTCCATGGATCCAAAACAAAGACAAAAGACAATATGGAGTGGTAAAGAGAGTTCTCTGGGTCCATGTCTTGGCTCTTCCGGTTCCATGTGCACGAGATGAGATGCCTCGGCCGACAACCTACGAAACCAACTACCCAAAAGGGTTACGGAGACGACCGGCCTTATTACTAATTATTTAGCTGAAGATATCCACTCTGTCAATCTGTTCTGGAACCAGAGGATCTTCTTCTGTGAGGATGGAGTACGGGTACGGAGAACAGAGGATCATGGATTCAGCATGTGCCAGTTCCCAGAGGTCCAGAGGTTGCATAATTTGGTGTTCAAAAGTCAAAACTATCTTCAGTGTTTTATGCAGTAGACTAATCTTCCGATTTGTGTCCATGACTCCATTTACTGGTTGCTCGATCTGTCTTGTCACGTGTGAGGCTGTGGGATACCCCCTTTGTATGCAGCTCAGACAAATCCGGTTATGTTCCCGTTGGTCCATAGCTGTGTTGTCATTCTGTCTGAGTCAGTTGCTATTATCACACTCGCTTGTTAGTAGATATGGTATGTTATTGAGGCATAATAATAATCAATGCAACTATTGGTTGTCTCGTACGACTCCCAGCGTCCACTATTGATTTTCCCTGCTGAAGCCGAGGATCACCCGTCGGAAAGCGAAGGTCTCATACCTTATGTTACTATGCCCCCTCATAAAGCACCTCCCAGAGTCCCAGTCCCACATCCACATCCTCCGATTCAACCCTTAATAGACTATCCCGCTAGATCGTCTCATGGAATATCTAGAAGCCATACCTCCTCGGCATCGAAACTAGTTTCTTCGGGAAATCATTTCCTTCTGGGGAACGATATTCTACTCTCTTCGAGAATGTCTTGGATTCTAATCTATGCTCTACAATAGACTACCATAACTAGCGATCCTTGGCCGGAGATTGTCTCAGCACATAGCTAGTAGCTAAGGTCCTATGCTCGAACAAATTGGAAATTTGATGGTTTCGTTCCATAGAACTTCTATCCCTGATCCTTGGTATTGCCATAGACACCTACAGTCTAGCCTGTCTAGGTCCTTTGTTACGCTACCCAAGATCGCCACGCGATTCATGGGCCCCAGAAATTGCATAGCCTGGCGAGACCTCAATCGAGTGACTGGAGCTCATAGCCACGCTACCACAACAAAAATAAACGCACTGATTCATGGTCGCATGGACGTAATCCACCCCGCACAAAGTATCTACGACACATCTGTATCCTGTACTCCGCGTCAGCACCGACTTTACTCCGACCTTGGTTCAAAACTTCCAGACGTACTCCGTAATGGGCAAAGGAAGGAAAGAGCTATCGCACGATTCCGTATTCGATCGTTTCATGGAGACTGAGCTTTGATGAATGAGTTTGAACTACTCCGTGGGACTTCGCTTCGTGAGCCGAATGGATACTTGACTAAAGAGCTTGATAATTACTGGTCAGAGTCGACAACACGAGCGTTTCCATGTAAGGATTCTGAAGTCTTTACCGAGAGAGTCCCATTATTACAGAGAGTCTCTTCTTGTACGGTTATGCCTAGTGATTGACGCATAAGTGGTACAAACACTCGCAATCAGTAGTGTATGGAGCTATGAGCCTCGCTTACATCACTATGGTGGGTCGTTATTCCTGGCAAAAGACTCATCCACCGACGAAAGAGGAAGGGGAAACAGATGCAGTACTCCACAAATTCCGCGGCCGTTCCTGACACAAATACAAAAATTAACAGCAAAATCGGTTACACGGTTCATCTACATCCGTCGTTCTGGATCCAACGATGGTAATGGAGAGCGAACAAGGCCGAGGGAGGAAGGGGTGAAAAGAACATCACGATTAGGTATGAAGTCTGCGACTCATCCAGGAGCTGCTGTGCTATCCCGCCCTTGAAACCGGGAAGTCAAAGGTACCAGAACCAGATTTAGAACAGATTGACCGTTGGGTTCCTGAAGATCCTGACCACGATGGTGCTGCGCATTATGAGATATTCTTGTCTGGCTGAAAATAATGATGCCGGAAGTAAGGGGAATCACACATGTGGAGTCCTCAACAAGCGGCATTATTCAGAAGTCAAGCG